GCTGTCGTAATATTATCCAGTTATACAAGTACAATTTGAACAAGCTATTGTTTGATAGAAATGATAAATTACTTGCACATTTATGGAACTCATCGGTCACATAACCTGATTCACAGCTTAAACAGTTTCCTGTACCATCTTCACAAGTAACACAATGCAAGGCACATTAAGTACAAGCTTAGCCATCCAAGTAATATCCAATATTGCATGAAGTACATGTTGTAGCCAAATCAACGCAAGTTTTGCAAGTACTAGAACATTATTCGCAAGTATCACCAAAGTATCCAGAAGCACAAGCATCACATTTTACAGAGTCAACTAAGAATTGACAAGTCGATTGGCATTTTACAGGGCATTCTAAGAAAATTAATTAATAAAAAGAATTTACGTTTGCATGTTGTTCCCTCAAGATAATATGGTTATTTGCAACTTGAACATTGAGAAGATGCTGGCCCATTGCAAATAGCACACTCTTAAGCACATTATTAGCACTAAGTTCCATTAAAGAAATATCCATTTATACAGGTTAAGCATGTCGCAGCACTTGAGCAATTTACACATGGTGACTAACAAATATTACAGCTGCTTGATTCCAAGTAATAGCCTTCAATACACTTAGAGCAACTTGAATTTCCAGATTACGAACATTCTGTGCAGGGCGATTCGCAAGATTGACAAGTCTTACTTGAACTGATGTAATAGGATCCAACAACACAACTTAAGCAAGCCGAAGCGGATTCGCAAGTGTCACATGGGGATGAGCATTGTTAGCAGGAATTATTATTCAAAAAGTATTTGGAATTGCAAGATAAACAATGAGTGGCTGAAGTTTCACAAGTGGCACAAGGGCTAGTGCATGCAGAACAAGCATTTTCTTATATGAATGTTCCAGGAGAACATTATTTGCAAGTGCCATCCAAGTAATAGCTTAATTGGCAAGAGGTGCATACAGAAGAACTAGAGCACTATGTACATCCAGTTGGACAATTTAAACATGAAGTTCCATCTAAGTAATAGCCATCAGCACAAGTTTGGCATTGAGTTTCAGATGTGCAAGTTTTACATTTATCATTGCAATTAGTACAAGCTTGGTTATCAACCCAATATCCTGAATCACATTTAGTACATTGATTTTAAGATTCGCACTCAGCACATGGAGCTACACAAGGCAAACATTAATTTCCTTGGATGTATTTTCCTGGAGCACATGATATACAGTTTGTTTCACTTGTGGAACATGTTTTACAATTAATAGAGCAATCATAGCAATGTTAAGAAGAGTAGTATTGGGAATCTGTACATGCCTAACAATATCCATTGACAATTTGATAGCCGGAATCGCATGAGTTACATTATGTTGCAGATGAGCAATTATTACAATTAGTCGAACAGATAATGCAGCTTGTATTATTTAAATAAGAGCCCAATTGGCATAGGGAGCAATTATTTGAAGTGGTTGAGCATTTTAGGCAATTCAGATCACAAGGTTTGCAAATTTAACCATCAAGATAATATCCATCTATACAGGATGAGCAATTTGAGTTTCCTCCAAGTGAACAGTTTACACAAGGGGAGGTGCATATTCTACATGTCGAAATGTCTAAATAATATCCAGCAATGCATGTTTGACAGGTGCTGACAGAGCTGCAAGTTAAGCAAGGATCTGGACAATCAGTACATGTTGAGTTATCCAAATAAAATTAAGGTTAACAAGCTTGACAATTTGTGGAGGTACCAACACATTAGGTACAAGATTCATTACAAGTTTTGCAAGTTGTCTAAGAGCTGTCGTAATATTATCCAGTTATACAAGTACAATTTGAACAAGCTATTGTTTGATAGAAATGATAAATTACTTGCACATTTATGGAACTCATCGGTCACATAACCTGATTCACAGCTTAAACAGTTTCCTGTACCATCTTCACAAGTAACACAATGCAAGGCACATTAAGTACAAGCTTAGCCATCCAAGTAATATCCAATATTGCATGAAGTACATGTTGTAGCCAAATCAACGCAAGTTTTGCAAGTACTAGAACATTATTCGCAAGTATCACCAAAGTATCCAGAAGCACAAGCATCACATTTTACAGAGTCAACTAAGAATTGACAAGTCGATTGGCATTTTACAGGGCATTCTAAGAAAATTAATTAATAAAAAGAATTTACGTTTGCATGTTGTTCCCTCAAGATAATATGGTTATTTGCAACTTGAACATTGAGAAGATGCTGGCCCATTGCAAATAGCACACTCTTAAGCACATTATTAGCACTAAGTTCCATTAAAGAAATATCCATTTATACAGGTTAAGCATGTCGCAGCACTTGAGCAATTTACACATGGTGACTAACAAATATTACAGCTGCTTGATTCCAAGTAATAGCCTTCAATACACTTAGAGCAACTTGAATTTCCAGATTACGAACATTCTGTGCAGGGCGATTCGCAAGATTGACAAGTCTTACTTGAACTGATGTAATAGGATCCAACAACACAACTTAAGCAAGCCGAAGCGGATTCGCAAGTGTCACATGGGGATGAGCATTGTTAGCAGGAATTATTATTCAAAAAGTATTTGGAATTGCAAGATAAACAATGAGTGGCTGAAGTTTCACAAGTGGCACAAGGGCTAGTGCATGCAGAACAAGCATTTTCTTATATGAATGTTCCAGGAGAACATTATTTGCAAGTGCCATCCAAGTAATAGCTTAATTGGCAAGAGGTGCATACAGAAGAACTAGAGCACTATGTACATCCAGTTGGACAATTTAAACATGAAGTTCCATCTAAGTAATAGCCATCAGCACAAGTTTGGCATTGAGTTTCAGATGTGCAAGTTTTACATTTATCATTGCAATTAGTACAAGCTTGGTTATCAACCCAATATCCTGAATCACATTTAGTACATTGATTTTAAGATTCGCACTCAGCACATGGAGCTACACAAGGCAAACATTAATTTCCTTGGATGTATTTTCCTGGAGCACATGATATACAGTTTGTTTCACTTGTGGAACATGTTTTACAATTAATAGAGCAATCATAGCAATGTTAAGAAGAGTAGTATTGGGAATCTGTACATGCCTAACAATATCCATTGACAATTTGATAGCCGGAATCGCATGAGTTACATTATGTTGCAGATGAGCAATTATTACAATTAGTCGAACAGATAATGCAGCTTGTATTATCTAAATAATAACCATTACCACAGTATTAACATCCAGTAACGCAAGCTACAAAATATAAAATTTCTTACGTAAGCATTCATTTTCACCCAAAATATAACCTTATATACACTATTAACAAAATTAATTCGCTTGGTCGCATTGGCTGCATTGGTTATTATTCTCACAAGGGACAGAGCATAACCCTTTTTTAAGAGTCTATATTAAGATAAACATAAAAATTAGATAGCTTTTCATAAATATTATTTTAATTAATGAGATTTTGAGATATTAAATTACCTTTTATATGTAAAATTATTATTATTATAAAGAAAAGTTTATTAAGCCTCAGTTAAAGAAAATAAAAAAAATTTATCTAGTGTATGATGGTTGCTTTTATATAAAAAAATATAAAAACGAATATATTATATTTCATTAAAATTTAAATTCAGCACCTTAATCACAATATTTTTTTTAATTTCTCACTTATGAATAAGAAGAAATTCATTTACCTCTTAGTTGAGGACAACCATACATGAAATAAATGAAACACTCTTTATAAATTTTTCCTATTATGATAAAATTAGTATTAGTGTGGCAAATTTGAATGCAAAAATAATTAGTTTAAATACATTAGATAAAGTAATTTTTGCGCCAAAACTAAATCTTTTTGATTTTATTCATGAAAAATAAAGTTCTTTTTTAGCATATAGTTTTTAATATTTATGAAACTAATAAATACAAAAATATTAACTTTTTCCTTTACACTAAACACACATATAATTTTCCCTTCCTTTAGTCCCTAATAAGACGACTAAATAATTCTAGAAAAAATCTGATTATTTTTATTATAAATATTCTAAAGAAATTAATAATCATTTTTTAAAAAGGAAACTATAAATGAAACATATGTAAAATAAAGTTGGTATATTAATAGAGGTTTCAAGTCAAATTAGTAGAAAATTTTTCTACTATTCACAATTATTACTTGAAAAATATTTAATTTAAAAAATTAACAATAAATACTGGTAACAAACCATGATTGCATTTGGAATAATATAGAATTAAAAATAAATAAGTTATCTCTATGAATAGTTCATAATTTAAGTTTAAATTCTGTAATAATTTCTAATAATTCTATTTATCCAGATCAAAAAAAGTAGTTGGAAGTTCATTCTCTCTAAAGTTTACAAAGTATATATATATAAGAAAAATAAAAAATATTATTAATTAATTAAAGTAGAAATATTTATATTATTAAACCTAATCAATTAAGAAGTACATTATTATTATGAGATCTTTTTAATTTTTTATGTTTCAATTTTACTTTATACTATTTGATAAAATTACCAGGGTACTTTAAATAAGGTAATAATTTTTATAATTTCCTGATGTAATATTTTTAATATTTAGTAAAGTTTAATCTCTCAACTATCTTTGATAAATTAAATGATGAAAAATAAACTTTGAATTCTCTTGCTAATTCAAATTAATCCATTCGTTTCCTTTCATATTTGTTTAGATTCTTAGTTTTAATTAATAGCATTTCAATTGAATCCAAATCCTTTTAATTTACTTCTTTAGCCCTCTTAAGATCAACAATTAATTCTCTTATCAATTTACAATCGAATGAAGTTTCAAATCTATCTATCATACTTAAGTCATTCCTACCAAACCATCTTTAAATAGCTATTACTTTTTTAACAGCATTTATAAATAGTATTTTTGTGTTTGATTTTTAATTTATTCTGCAAGTATTTTGTGTATTACCTCGCAAATTATATATTATCATAGGTTTCTCTCCATAATCAATAAGTCTTAATGGCTACATATCTAGAGGCTTTTATTAACTATTAGATTTAACATGAGGATTACTAAGAAGATTCTTTGATTAAGTTAGCGACTTTTATTATTATTTATTTTACACTAGATGTGGAGTTGTTATTTTATTAGATATTATAGAAATCTATTTCTTAAGAAAATTTAATTCAGATAACTAAAAATATCTTTTTGTTTTATTATTTGATCTAAGATGATCCCTTCTCTTTTAATTTTTATAATAATTGAACTTTTTAATAATAAAATCTTTTTAGGGAGCATAATGTATAAAAGGACAATGAACAACTTTGTGGCTGTTCATTCCGCAAGCAATGCAATTATATTCAAATAGCTAAAGATCCTGATTAAATAAAATATCATCCTTTAATTTGCAAAATGTCTCAAAATCTTCAGGAAATTAACTTAAAACATTTATAAAATCATTTCTTTGAAGGATTAATAACTTAGAGAGACCAATACTTTTAAAAATTTCAGTAGTAATAGTACCTACTATAAAATTATCTATTCCCAAAGCTTATTATTTATTTACTTTTCTGATACATTGTTTATGCTTTTAATTAAGAAAAACCTCTATTGTACCTTCCTCTATGTAAAATAATGTAGGGCAATCTTGCTTTTCATCTGGAATTTCAATGATTTGTCCAGGTTATAAAACCAAATGGTTAATTTTTTTTAATAGCTTTTGCTTAAATGCTATTGAGAAATTATCCTTAAATAATGATACTTTATTAAAAAATGAATGATTAGCTTTAATCATAAGAGTATCTCTTAAGTTTTCTGGAAGTTATTAAATAATTTACTTTTCATCTTCACTTTCTTCACTTGCTTATAGTTACCAATAATAATCAAGGTATTATCTAATTTAATTTTGTAAAGTATATGGTACATTTTTTCTCTACATATAAGAGTTTATAGTTCTGAGTTTATTTTTTCTTTCCTCGCCATAAGCAGATATTTGCTATATTATATTTCCTACTGTGTTGACAGAATATGGTAATTGCACACTTGATAATATTATGAATAGAATTGTTACAACTCTTTCTATTTATGTCTTAGGTGTTAGATCACCATATCCGACTGTAAACATTGTTACGCAGGCATAATAAAATGAAACTAAATATTGTTGGTCCCAACTATCATCCAAAATTTCTGCTCTATATAACCAATTTTCTGGATTATTTTTATTATATTTTCCAACCCAATACCATAAGCAAGCAAATACATGAACAACATAGAAGAAAAACATCAGCAATTTGACCAAAGTTAAATATGAAGAAAACTTCTTACTTAAATTAATAGCAGTTTCATAAACTGTTACGATTCTGTCAATATTAACCTTATGCACAAGAAATAATAGAAAGATCAAATTTTAAGGAGTACTATCTTATTTTTAAGTTTAAATATCTGGAAATATAAGAGCTAAAATAAGGATAATGGTAGAAAAAATTTCTAGGCCATATGATTTGCTAATAAGATTCTTTGCGATTTATTTTCTGTCAGTAACCATATTCCCTTCCTAATAATATGCAACATTTAAATTAAATAAGAATTCTGCTATCAAAATAGTAATCATAATAATGGTTATGAAAGATAATGATTAAAATAGAAATGCATACTATGCCCAAGCTAAATCAACTGGAATCAAGTACAAAAAATATAATCTTGCTGTCGTTCCAATTACATCAAAGGTTATTTTAGCATAATTTTCTGGTTGTATGATAGGAATTATGCTTATATATTTCTTGATGACAAAATAAACTTTTTTCTCCATTAAATTTGTCACATTTTAAAAAAAATCTAAATTTAACAAAGATGGAAATTATTGAATCCTATTTGAAATGGTTGTGTAGTAAGCAGATTTATCATCAATCAAATTAAATATTTCTTGTTAGTATTATTGTTTGATTTTCTTTCTTAATAACAATCTGTTTAAAAATCTCTTCACATAAATGTTTTTTAAAAAGAAAGATAGCATAGAACCTCTATTTTATATTTATCTTTCAACTATCAATTGCTCGTTAAATTACTATAATTTGTTATAATCCGATAATGCATTTCTTTTATTTCTTTTTTTTATTAATTCTTTTGGACTTTATTTAAATTTTTCTTTATTTTATATAGTGTCTAGATTAGGCTCATCTGGTTCAGAATTAATTTAATCAAAATTCATACAAAATTTATTGATAAATTATTTTAATAATTAATATAGAAATTAGTCAAAGATTATTGTTTCTCAAACATTTTCCTCCTCTGTAATTCTTATGCCACCATATTTATAAGAATGTGACACATTATAAGTCTTAATAAACTCTGCAGGATATTGTAAATATGAAATATATTTTTTAATCAGATCTTATAGTTAAAAATTGTTATTTTTATTAATTCTTCTTAATTATCTATCAACATTATGTTAAGGATAATAATCATGAAAGATTTTGCTTACTTCAAATTCTGTTAATCCTTTTTTCATATACTTTTAGAGATTTTGCTATTTAAAATATAATAATTCAATAGATTCCTTATCAAAAGTATTCATACTTTTTATTAATTTTAAGTTTTCATATCTCTATTTTAATTCATCATCTAAATTTATTTCATTGATAGAACTAGTAAGTAATTCTTAAGCATAGTTTTATTTAAAATTATTATTATTGTTTTAATTATTCAAACCTAATTAATAAATATTTAATATGTTTAATCCTTGGGATTATCTTCTTGAAGCAAGACTATTCTATTTTAATATCCCCATTCCATCTAATTAATAATCTATTTGCTTATTGTTAATTTGTTTATTAGTTCTTAGTCGATTATGATTATTTATAGTTCTTTTTATTTATTCTATATGATCTCCTGGAATCTATGATAATGCCAACATTGAATCTCTTTTTAAACTGACTTATGCTGTAGAACTCAATTAATATTCTATTTTTGATTCTTTTGATTCTTTAAAATCTTCTGGGGTTCCATTTTAGAATGACATAGTATTAATGTTATTACTGGTAGTTTATTATTACTGAGGAAGGTGATATTTCTTTATAAATTATTATTTGATTTCATTAAAATCTAAATTGTCTATTTAATCATTTTCCAATCTCTAAGACTTAAAGGGTCTTCTGCAAAATACTTTTCTTTATTAAAACAAAGCATATTAATATCGCTTTATGATAAGATCTTTTTAAGGAATAAAATGAAGCAAAGGGCAAAGATTTATTTCATGTGCTTAAGATGAGCAAGATTCACATAGTCTGTGAATATAAGAAGATTTGTAATTATATATTAAATCATCTTTGATATGGCAAAACTTTTCGTAATCATTTGGAAAATCTTTTAGCTCCTACAAAAAGTCATTTCTAGATAATACTAATAGTTTAGTAAATCCTACACTTTTTAGTTTCTTATTTTTAATAATATTTCCTATAAATAAGTTTTTTAATCCAAAGACATCATCTTTTTTTGCTTTTTATATTATTTGGCCTGATTCCATTAAAACATCTATTTCACCTTCGTCGACAAAATAAAATTTAATATCACTGTTATCAAGATCAATTATTTATTCAGGTTAAAGTTATAAGGAATTAATTTTCTTTAATAAATTCTGTTGAAATTAAATGCTAAAGTTCTTTTATAATAGAGGTACCTTAGAAAATATTTGACTATTAGCTTGTATAATTAATTATTCTCTTAGATTTTCTGATAATTAAGAAATAATCACTTTTTCTTCTTCAGTATCCTAACCTTCTATTGATTCCCAATAATGATTTAAATATTATCTAATTTAATTCTACAAATAATATGGCACTTTTTTTTTATTCATATAGCTATTAATGGTTCTTAACTTATTTTTTGTGTCCTCTCCATAATCTGTTATTTTCTCAATTATTGAACCAACCGTATTTATAGAATAGGGCAATTGAATACTTGATATTAAAATAAGAAAGATGCAAATTGATTTTTCTAATCCACTTTATGGAGCAATATCTCCATATCCTATTGTAAACATTGTTACACAAGTATAATAAAATGATTATAAGTATTCATCTGTCCAATCCAAAATTGGAATATCTTTTAAAGAATCTAACCAGTTCAATTAATAATTCTCTCGACTATAATTACCAACCTAATTTAAAAATGTAAAAATACCCAGAACCATAAGCAAGAAAACAAGTGAATGACATAAAATAATAATAACAAAAATTTTAATAATTCTAAGTAACTTGAGGCTTTCTTGGATAAATTCAAAGCTAATTCATATTCACTAGCTTTATAATGTACGCTTGTTTAATGTGATAATACTGTCAGTAAAATTAAATAACTAGGATTTTAAGTCACATTAATTGTAGTAATTTCAAGAGATTTAAATACTATAAAAATAGCAGCTAATATTAAAGTAGAAATCCATTCCAAACCATAGGACTTTCTAATTTAATGTTTAAAGATTTCCAACCTATCAATAATAAGTGATCCTGCATTATAATAAGCAGTATTTAGTCCAATTAAGAAATCAATGAATAATATAATTAGCATCACTATAGTGGATGTGTAATAACGATTAAACATTAATGATTGATTTGTCCAAGCCAATTCTAAAGGAATTAAATACAGAAAATATAGTTTCGATAAAATTGCAATAATATCCCAAAGAATAATTCTTCTGTTTTCTGGATACAATAAAGGAATTGCAATTATACAATGACTGAAACATTCTACAATTGGTTTAAAAATTCTCAAAAGTCTTTTTTTTAACAATTTATCTATAAAGATTTTAAAACTTGATTATGTTGATATTTTATCAATATTTCCTAAGGCTTTATCATTAATGATTTATAAATGTTTATGTTTTAAATTTTTAAGATTATGTTTTTGCTTTAAAAGGATTTCAATAAATTTCTTAGCATTTACATTTTATGCTTATAAACTTTTTAAAACTAATCGCTCTTAATAATCGACAGACATCTATTTGCCAACAAAATTTAAAATTCTTTGACCTATACTTTTTGTTTTTATGGCCATACTATTTTTTCTAGCTGCTACTCTAGTAAATTAATGATCCAGTTCTCTTTATGTATCAATTCGATCTTTATTTACTTAAATAGATTAATAGTTTGTGTAATGAAAACTCATTATAATAAAAATAATATATATAGATTGATAATAACAAAAATAAAAGTCAAGAATGTTTGTATGTTATCTTATTATTATTAATGATTTATTTTTATTGGTTTTACTTGGCTACTTTTATAATCATTTGCTGTATCAAAGTTCCTTTTTCTAAAGGAATATTAGATTTTGGAGGATTAAAGGTGCCACTGTTCATCTTTTTAAAATTATGTCCTTTTGGTGAGCATTATTAAGTATGATTGTTTTTTAATAGAAATTCAAAATTAGATCCTCTTTCAGTTAAACAGACTAAATCATTTAATTGTTCTTTTTGATATAAACCTCTACTATCAGAAAAATGTTTTTTATGGCCTGATGATTATTTTAATTCTTAAAATAATAGCCTTGTGTTTTTGTTTTTATAATCATTGATATCATTATTATTATGAAAAGTCATCAATCTTTCTTAATTGGAAGTTTGTCTAATGTGAATATTTTAAGAAGTAGTTTTTCTTGATTTTGGTTAGTTGTTAACCAAATTTTTGGTATTTAAATTATTATTATATTGATGTTGTGTTTTTGCTTTTTAAAATTTAACGTTTTCTGATTTCATTTTCTTAAAAAATGGACTATTTCTGTCTGAATTGAAAAAATTTTGAGTCCCTGAAATAGGTCGATGAGTTAATGCTCCGTTTTTCCATTTCATATCAGGTGATATTTAATCGTCTTCAATTAATAATTTAGCAATATAATTCTTGTTTTGATTAGTTTGAGATTATTAAGTTTTAATATTAGCAAATGATCCAATTGTGGTTTTTTGGTTAATTTAAGTTGTTGGAGAGGTATTTTTATTATTGTTTTAACTTGTGATTAATTAATTCTTAGGCTTTTATTTTAAGGATTCACTTAATCTACTATCTATTTTAGTTGCCATTTCATCAATAGATATCTTATTTTTTTCTTGCTTTCTATTTAAATAATCTAATGAATTTTTCACAAAATTATAATTTTTATTATTATTTGGATATTCATTATTTTATGTTTTCAATAGATAATTGATCTCAATTTTCTTCTAAATATTATTCTAATTTTTTGGTTAATGCAATTATAATAATGACTGTATAAGTTAATCAGAAGGTTAAGTAGTATATTTTTTTGGATTGATTTATTTTTTATTTAAATATGAGAGAAAGTTTTCTAATTTCATTTCTTCTGATTTAACATTTTATGGAATATATAATGAAGATTAGTCAGGGTAATTTCCTATTTATTTACAAATTTCATTTAATGTCTATGATACGTCATGTTTAATCTTAGCTGGTTTCTCACTTTGCTAATCATATAATAAATAAGGAAATACTTATTATAGTTAATTTAACCAACTCAACTCTTTTAAAATTTGAATGTTTTACAGATTTGATTCATTTTACTCTTCTTCATTATTTTAATTTGATTCCTATGAGTTTAATGGCGATGGTTTATCTCCAACAATACCTTTAGGAGGTTTATGTGGATTTTTCTTATTCTCATCTTCAATAAGCTTAGCTATTCTATAATACTCGTATTTTCTCTTTTTATCATAATACTTGTTTAGCATTGAAGCCACTGGTTCTTAAAAGATTCTTGCAATATCGCTGTGAAACTAAATTATATTATATTTTTAAAGTACCTTATAATATTCAGCTAACAATGCAATTTTGGAAGGATACTCTCCTAACTTGTAACTGCGTTTTAGATATTCATCCTAATTATTAATATCATTATACTTCTTCATCATAACAATTCCAATCTTTATATCTAATTACACCTTTTGTAGTAGCATCGCTCAGAATATCATTAATATCTCTTGTGTAATAATAATTTTGAGATTGGCAATACTTCTCAAAAAGCCTTTAGTTAATTATCTGACTATTGATACCTTTATACTTTTTCATTAATTAATTAAATATAAAATTATATTGAGAAAATTTCTAAATTACAAATAATTACTTCCTTCTTTGATAAAAGTAATTCTGATATAATAAATTAAAATTAATTGAATTCTTTTAGCAATAAGAAGTATTATAACTTAAAAAATAAGGATACCCTTAATAAATTTATAAATATGAATAAAAATTTTATTATATATGTACTCTAATTTTATAGTTTAGTACTTAAGAAATAGAGCATCAGAAATAGTTGAGATAATGTCAGACAGTTAGAGTGATATTAATAGTACAATAATAATGATAACTTTTTGCTTCCAAAGAATTAGCCTATTATTTTCTTTTGATAAGTTTGCTGATAAACCATATGAAGATTACAAATTAAAATTCCTACAAAAATTATTCAATTGGTTTACACTCTAAACACCCATATATTTAATTAACAGCTAACATTTTAGTAAAATTGTGATGTACATCATTTGTGTATATCTATGGCTCATTATTATTATAATGATTACAAAGGTGAAATTGAAAATTCTTTTGAAAAGCTTCTTTACTTTTTATCAATTATTGATCGTCATCCCTTTGATTGAACATTTGGACACTCATTTATTTAAAAATGAAGATTTATTGATTGGAATAGTAACTTTGATTCCACTAACTCTTTGCTATATTTTCTTTTTCCTTATTCACAGAAACTATCTATTGCCCTAGAAAAACATATATCTGAGACGTTATTCATATTATAATATCTTGCTGATTGTATTCGATATTTCAATTATGATAGCTATCTAAATAGTTGATGAATTAATTTCATCAATCCTGATAATATTTATGTCTCTTCTTTTAATCATAGATTCATTCATAATTCAACCTTATTCCTATTAAGTTAATTTGAAATACATAAGTGCGACCTCATTTACATTTTGTGTTTCTACTATTAAAATATTGTCATTTAAGATATCATAAGAAGAGACCTTTTATTGCTTCATCATCTTAATCCCATTGATAACAATTATTTTTACTCAAGTTTTTTAAAGATTAGTGAATAATTAGATTTTTGAACATCAATTAGGATTAGCAAAATTATTAGCAATAATAGATTTGATTAATGATAAAAAAACAAATCATTTTTAAATGATTTCGATAATAAATCATATTAAAAAACAATATAAAATTATGATTGATAGTGATAATATTTATGTGAAGATTCAATAAACAGTAATTTAACTTTTTGATATTGTAATTGCTCAAGTAAAAGTTCAAGATTCTACAATTTTAGAATAGATATAACTTTATAAAATCCTTTATATCACAAACACTTGCAAAAGAGTATCATTAGGATACATAGAATTGAAAATATTTATAGCTGCTTCATAAAGGCAAAGTGTCTATTTTTCAATAATATCAAATTTATTATAAGAGAAAATGTCAAAGAGAAAAAAATAAGTTAATGATTAAGACAAAAGGTTATCATTAATAGATATTCGAAAGGCAGAACTAATGTATGAAGATTCTATAAATTTTTTTGTTAATATATTAGATATGAAAATTAAATTTTGGATTGATTTAGAAAAGGGTTATTAAAGAATAGAGGAATTTGCATTAAGTGCTTATAATCTTAGTGAAAAGATATGGTATATTAGAGATTTCTTTTTTTAATAATTTTCAATTGAACCTATGAAGTTGTAATCTCGATTAACACACTTCAACATACTTGAATTAAAGCTTTTGGCAATTCTATATTCAGCAATTCTAAATGATTATCATGCAACATTAAATATTGAATAAAAAATAGATGAAATTTTATAGAATGAGAAAAACTCATAAAATGAATATATAAACAACATCACTTTAATAAATGAAGATTTAGTAATGATGGCAGTAAGTTTTGTAAAATAAAAGAACTAAATTTTGAATAAAAATAGAGGTTAGATAGCTAAATTTTTTGGGTATGAGAATGAGAAGGATTTTATGAATATTATTTCTATTGAGCAATTAATGCCTCAATATATATAACAATATCATGAGACTCTTTTAAAAAAGTATTTGAAAAAAGGATATTCAACATTCTTTGATTAATCCAAAGAAGTTTATATTAAAATGAAAACTAATTTTATTCAAGCAGTAAACATGAATTTATTACATATGTATGAGTAAGATTCAGATTATATTATAACTGGAGCTCTCTAAAAAGTAAAATAGATGTATGATTTTATTATTTTTGATCGAAAAGGTAAGATATTAGGTATTAGTGAATAAATCTTTAAAATTTTGGGTTCAGGGTTTAGTATTGAATAATTATTAAATAAAGGTTATATATATTTTTGGATCCCTAATGTATTTGAAATAATATCAGAAGAGAAAGGTCAATTATTGGAATCATCAGATATGTAATCAAGAAGCATGCTAAAATAATAATTATTATTCTCAATTAATAATTTTAATTAGCTTTGTTAAGATCATGAATTAAGTAGAACTAATAGTACTGTTAAAAATAAAGAATCTTAAAAATTTTATACAGAATTAAATGAGACAGAATAAATGATATCAGTTGGAAATGTCAATTCTATTCATTTTCTAAAAGATTAAAATGTTTCATTAATAAATGAATTCTTAATTAAATATAATTAAAGTAAATATGTAGATTAAGATAATTTATATTCAATGAAATATTCTATATCTTTTAATGTAATAGGAGGTGATATATTACCACAATTTGTGATATAAATTAATGAAATTGAAAAAGTCAATCCAAAAAAATAAGGATAAACATTTTCAATGAGCTTTTATAGTACTATAAAAAAAAGTACAATCAATGATAAAATAACAGAGAGTTGTTTTGTTTTGGAACATGAAATGAATGATAATAATTAGAATCTTTATATAAATCCTCCTGTAATCAATAAAATGAGTAGAATATAAGATTCTAAAATAGAAGACAGTTCAAATAAATATCCAATTTATAATTAAAGTAATGAACAATTTAAATTAATATCTCCAAGAGGAAATAAAGAAATCTTAATTGGAATTGATGACTATGAAGATGAGGATGATGATTAAAAATTTTAAGATGCCCCTAAAAGTAGTTCTTAATAACATAACAATTAACCTGATGTAGTTTAAGCTATTCAGCAATACAAAGAATTAGATTAAGAATTTAAAGAAAATGCAAAATAATCTTAGTCAAGTGGAACTTCAGATAGAACTTAAATGTCTGTTTTTAATATTCTAAAAAATTTACAATATTCTCAAAGATATTAAACAACTCTAATTAAAGTTTTTATAAACACTTTATTTCTTTTTACAATACTTTTATTTTTAATTGTTCTTTAATTAGTTATATCAAGAAGTAATACAAATAATTTACAATATCAAATTCCACTTGTTGGATTACCTGATGAATTTAGTAGAATTTATAATACATTTACTATTCTTGGTTAAATGGATATAGAAATTAAGATTTTGAATATGACACATGGAGACTATTATGATCATCGTATAGAATAAGATAGTAGTATTTTAAGGGAAAAACTGTTGGTTTTAATTGTAGAAATTGAAAAAGAGTTTTCCAAATTGGAATAATAAGGTAAGTTAAATTAAGCTTAAATTAAGATAGTTAGCTAATATAGTTTTGATTAATTTAATATTTCAATTTTATAATTTAATTAAATGGTTAATGAATATACTGAAATTTTAGATTAACTTTTTGATATTGATAACAAAGAAGATGTAGTTAAAGAATAAATTAGATTAATGTTTTTTAAAGCAAATTTAAATAATTTATTAGATTTTGTAAGTAATTTAATCAATAATATTGTAAATGAATTTTTTACAAATATTGAAAATTATGAATTGCTTTATTTAATATTTTTATTTATTGAGTTGCTTATCATAATTGTTGCAATTTTATTACAATTTGCTCTTTGGATAGATCCTTATGTCTATAAATAGAAAATTCTTCTTATGATTTAAAGAGTTCAAGAAAAGGAAATAGATTTACTATTACTTAAATATAAATCTTATAAGGAGATATTGTTAAATGATATTAACAGATGGAAACAAGTAAACTATTTTAAAGAGTTCTTTACTTGTAGAATTTCTTAATTAAAAAAAATATAGAATTTAAAATAATAACATGAAATTAATAAAAAATAACAAAAGTTATAATAGAGAGCTAAAATCAACACAAGAATTCAAGAAACTCAGTATTCAGTAATTCATATTTATTTTATGTTACTTTTTCTATGGTTAGTAATGACATCATTTGTATTATCCTCATATTTATACTAATACATTAATATTACTAATTCTTATCCAGAACTCAATTTGTGTATGTAATTTGTAAGATTTAAATAAGAATTTGATGCTACAATGATTATTAGTTAATTAATGAAAAATGCACCATTATTAAGTTAATACTAAAGTCAAAGTGGAATTTATTCAAGAAATCCTGAATATTTAAAAAAGGATGGATTCTTTAAAACTAATAATTAATAATTATTGAGTCAATTCAAAAGCAGTTATATAGCTGGAAAAAATCATTATTCAACTATTTATTAGAATATTGTGGCATCAACAAAAATAAGTGATACTAATAAAAATTTATTAATAGGATTATATTAAAATGATTTATGTATCCATATTGCTTAAAAATTACCTTTTTGTTCTTATGAAAATGGTAAATTCACTTATTTTCCTAATTACCCTATACCAGAAGAAATCAATAATAATAGAGAACGTCTTAAATAAGGATTTAATGGAATTTATTAAGAGTATATATATATTTATATTAAAATTATTTAGAGTTTCATCATTGTTTGCTAGTAAATTTGTTAAAGAACTTAATGGTGATTTGGAAACAAATAGTGATGAAATTAAGAATTTTTTACACACACCAGAATATTCATAAATCTTATTACCTTATTTTTATGATTTAAATTAGGCTATTGAGTTATTTTATGATACTATCATAGCCACATCTGTAGACATTTTGGAATTGGATTATCAAAATTATTTGATTTATACTATTATATATGGGTTTAGTGTATCAACTATATTGTTTTATGTAATAATTTATAAGACAAGGAGATTGCAAAGATAAATCAGAGCAATTCGTCAAGCATTAATATTATTACCACATGAAAGTTTATTGGATGTTTAAGTTTATAGTGCTATAAAAAGATTTGAATAAGGAATGTGAAATAATATTAAATATTTAATGAAATAAAATTATTAATATTTTTGAAAAGAAAAATGGAGATCTCTATTAATTATTTAATTAAAATATATATATATTATTTGATTATCCAATAGGAATAAGAATATATAAAATGCTTCAATGTAAAGTTGATAACAAAAGAAATCTAAAAATATAATGAATAATGTACTTTTTGCTATGTAAATGTGAATATTTAATGAATAGAGATTAATCATTATCATAAAATTCATTCTTCTGATAACTAATTAAATCAGTTTCATAATCTATGTTATCATTTGAACATTTTCTTGAAGTCTAATATTAAGGATTGAGAGATAGACATTATAAACTTCCTTAAAATATTGAAATATAATTAACCTTATAGTGATGCAACAGTTTGTCTCTTATTTTCTTCTCTACCATTAAATGTATTTCTACTTGATAAAGGAGGAGCCAATAAATTACAGGAGCTAAAATTACAATGAGAGAGTACTTTTATTAATATAAAATTCCTGATAGTTATTTTTCAATTGACTTTTTCATTTCAACTGAATTATGTGGAATTAATGAATCAAAATGAGTAGATGATCTTACTTCAGTCCAATCATAATATCCATCTAAATTAAGTTTTAATGAATCTGCTGCTTTCTTCAATTCAAAAGTAATCATCTTGTAATTTGGATCTGCCTTGAAGGACAATTAACGAATGTAACTTTATTTATGTTACAAATTACTCAAATATCTTTTAAAACTCTTTTGGTTGATCTCTAAATATCTCATTCTACATTAATATCTTCATTTCACCTACTTTTTTTGTTCTTTCTTTATCTGTAACATTTTACAAATTCTGCCAAGGCAACTATCTTTATATTAAAATAATAATACCCTCTTATAAAATAGAGTATGATGTACATCATTGATTCTAGATCATCCTTTCTACTTAATTCATGGCCTAAATGAGCTGCTATAGATGCATAACGAGTAGTACCCAGAAATGATCGTTATTCACGGAAGGGCCTAAAATAAACTAAATAAATACATATGATGGTTATTGGCATCTTTATAGATTTTACTTATACCGAAATCGATTAAATATATTTTACCATTGTCTTTTCCAGATCCTAAAACAATATTTTCTGGTTTAAGATCACGATGTACAACACCTTATTAATGTATTTTCTCTAGCACATCAATTAATTATATCCCTATCAATAAAGCAGTCTTCAGTGTGAATCGTTTCAACTGCTTAAAATGGTACGAAAGATCTTTTCCTAACAACTACATCACCAAGATTTTATCATTATTTTCCTCTCCAAACCATATTAATTATGGAACTCCTTCAAGAGTACCTAATCTCTTGAATATTTAAACTTCTCTATCTAGTGATCTAACCTCTTCATTTTCTTCTTTTTCAATCTTTATTGCTACCTCCTGTTTATTAATTTAATCGAGTCCTTAATAAACAATTCCAAAAGACCCAGATGATAATTTTTTGTGAACAACAAATTAATTGTTGAAGATTTTGTTTTAAAGTAGCATAAATAATTATTTTAAAAGATCAATTGCATTAAAATACTATCTTTATTTCAAATTTAATTAATTGAATACTAAAATTAAAATAATGGATTATTATGAGGCTTAATTAGAGGAAAAAGAGTAGATGCTATAAAAGGCTGCTTAAATTATTGAAAGTTTAAAATTAGATGTAACTAAATTAAATCACACATAAATTAGTTTCAAAACTTATTAATTCAATATTAGAAATGTGAGACAGAGAAAACTTAAATTAAAGCTTCCATTTCAAATTGGGATCAAATATAATAATTTGAAAAACTCAAATTGTTATTGACTCAAGAAATCATAACATTTCATCCTGAACAATACAAAATTCCATTAACTTAATTTAACTATAAAAATGAATTAGAATTATCACTCTAAAGAGAAGCAAAATTCAAGGATTTTCTTTTTAATATTAATGAAAATGTTAAATTATTAATAGATTCTTATACTAAATGTATTGATGAACCAATTACATAAGGAATATAATAAATATTGTTTGAATTTGAAATTTGGGATAAATGTTAAGAATAAAACAGTATTTTATAATTACAAATTGCAGAACATTAAATTCTAACTTATACTCAATAAATTTCTACTCATTAAGAAATTTCAAATATATATAATCTTTTATTAGAGAATGATTAATAAAAAGAGCTCTAAAATTAAGAATATATTTACAATTAATAATTATAATAAATATTAAATGTCATTTAAGAAAATACATAAATTACTTAAAAAATGACTCAGAAGATTAATGAATAATAAGTAAAAATTAAAGAAAATAATTAAGAGATTGTTGAACTTAAAAAGTAAATAGAAGAGTTGAAATTATTAAATGAATAAATAAATAGTCAGAAAGAAGAATTTTAATCAGCTTTAAATTAGTCTAAATAATAACAATAAAAATTATAATAATAAACAATAGAATATTTATAAATGATAGATGAATATGAAAGAATTTTTAATTCAGAAAAAGTAGATGGAGAAGAATATAATAAAGTTACTGAATTATTTGAATAATCTTTAATTGATCTTGAGAACTTATAAACTAAATATGAAAAAAAGGAACTCTAAGTTATCGATTTATAATAATAATTAAAATGCAAACAAATACAATTTGATAATACTTTAAAAGATATCAAAGAATTATTAGACAAATATTAACTCTAAAAATAAGATAATATTCTTCATAAAATATATTAAATTTTTAATAAAGGAAAATCTAACTGTTAAAATATTCCTCCCAATTAACTTTTATTATAACTTTCAAAATCACTTTAAAAAAGAAGTGCTACTCCTTAGAATACATAAAAGATAATTAATTGATATTTACTTTACATCTAAATATTTATATATATATATTTTAATTTATTATGAATACATTAAGTTCTAATCCTAAAAAAACTATGTTTTACGCTGCTGCATAAAGTAAATTATTATCAAAATTTTAGATATGTTAAATTCAAATCAATCTTCTATGCAAAACTTAAAACGCAGTTTATTTTAATTAGCTATGTTTCCTTCAAGTCATCAAAAGGATCAATTAAATTTATCTTTGAATAATAACTCTGATAGAGCATAAGCAAATTATTCCCTTCCAAGAAGAAGCAATTTATTCTAAAATGATAGGGATCGTTCCTTATCATACAAATAAAATATATCAATGGAATAAAATGGATCAGTGGAGAGATTATAAAATGCTTATAATATAAAGGGACATTTTTAATTGATGAATGAAGATCCAAATTAAATAGTAGAGAAAGAATAAAAAAAATTAGAGTATTCTTTTTTTAATTATGTTTCAAATAGGTTGAAGGAATATTTATTAAAACAAATTGAGGAAAAAAAGAACCAATAGAAATATGAATAAGAAAGAAAAAGAATAGAAGATGCTAAGGCTGAATAATTAGTATAGAAACAATTAGAAGAAATGAGAGTTAGATAACATTCTAAATTTGAAAATTAAAATATGTAATAATCTTAAGGTAGTATTTGGTTGATATATTATTATATAAGAAAAATCCAGCATCATCAATATAAACAAAGGCAATTTAATAATTATCTGTGTCACCTCAAAAAGAAGGCATATTTATGTAAATATATAAATAAAAATAATAAAATATTGTATCATAACAGACTGATATACTTGAAAAAATTAATCATCTTTAAGTAAATAATAATATAATTTATATTTAGAATGATATAAAATCTCTATAAATTAATTAATAATAATAAAATGATGTAAATTCAGTAAGAAATAATATTAAATTAATGATGAAGAAATAAAGTTCTATGAATCCTGAATAAATTAACAAAATTTAAAAAAAAGATATATAATAATTAAAAGAAAGATAATTAGATTGTGAAACTATCTTTATTCCAGCTAATTTAAAATTAAATACTGATGTTGATATTTTATAATAAAATGATAATACTATTTAAGATGTAAATAAATCAACAAATAGTTTGAATTTTACTAAAAATTCTTAAAATTAATTACTTTTAAATAATACATCTATTATTAGTAATTAAGTCATAAATAATTCATAATAATAAGTTAATAATTAAATAGTAAATCATTCAAGATTAACTATCAGTTAATTATCTTCTAGAAATAGATCATTATCAAATGAAAAATAAGTGTTACCTGATCCCATATAATCAGACAATACTCAAGAAGAAACTAAATTAATTTAAAAACAAAAAAAAGTATAATTTATATGTAAATTTAGCCTAAATAAAATAATTTGTAATTAAAACTACCACATAGAACAACAATGTTAATGTAAATTCCTTCAAAAAAGTAAATATATAAATATAATTAATTAGCTAAATTTCAACTTAAAAATCAGAAGAACCAAAATCATCATAAAGAAATTGATTATATATTAATCTAAAAATAAATAGAAGATATAAATATTATATATTCATTTTAACTCATTTCTTTTTTATTTTAGGAGTTCCATGATTTGAAATACAAATTTAACTTGGAGTAAGATGTCTTGATCTTAAACTCCTCATAGAACTTTTTAAATCTTCAAAATTCTTAGTACTATTAGCTAAATTTGTTCTACCTTTTACAAAAAAATTTTGTTGTTAATTCAAATGAATTGCTTTTTTCTTTTAATTACTATTATTAAATGTCATTTTAGTTGAGAACATTTTTTTAGCTAATTCAATTAATAATTCATTTTATTAAGGTGTATTTCGAGCTGTAGTTAAACAAGATTTAGTGAATTCTATATTTCCAAGTGATGCTTATCTTTATTTTAATTAAGGTGGTTTTTTTATTGTTTAAATTGGTATATCAATTTTAGATGATTATTTATGAGCTGAAGATTATCTAGATGTTTGAATAGGTTTTGTAATACGTTAAGTTAAAGGAGGAGAGTTAATTTATTTTGTTTATTTTAATTATTTTTCAATTGTTTTTTTTAAAGTTCCTTAACAATGTTAATATATAAGTCTTTAAGCTTCTTGGGATGGTTTAAATTATGTTTAAATTTGTTTGTTTTAATTAAATATTTAAAATGGTTTAGGTTTACTTTTTGGTTCACCTATTAATTGGACTAAGTCTTTTAGAACAGTTGTATTACTAATTCTAGATATATCTGTAGATTAAAGTTTGAGATCTTTTAATAAATACTTTAATTATGTAACAGAACAATCATCAGATGAATCTTTGACTTTTGTAGGAGTTTATTGTTTTACTTCTTCATAAAGACCTAATTCAATTTTAACTTTGCAATATTAGATTTCTCTAACTTTTTCCATTCTCTTATTTATAATCTTACAATGAAAGTTTCTTGGAATATTGATATGGTATTTATAATATTCCAATAATGAAGGAATTCTATCATCACTTTCAAAATATCTATAAAATCTTTTGTAATGATATTATTATTTTCATTACCTTCGCATATATTCTTTTTCATCTCCAAATTAAGCATTATCTTTGTTTCGAATAGTAGATTTTACTTACTTCTCATCCAAAATATCATTAATGTCTTTTTCATAAAAAAAGTTTTATGACTGAGAGTATTTGGAATATAATGCTCTTTTTAGAATTAACTGAAAAGATCCATCAGTTGATAATTTTTGGCAAAACATGCATTTTTTAACTTACATTTATATTTTAATTATTTTTATATTTATTATAATATAAAACATCAAACATCTTTACCTAGAATACCAAGAGTATTTTAAATGGTTCTAATAACTGATCTTAAATCATCAACTACTTTATCTTATTAATCAAATCTATTATTTATTTCATCTTCAATATTATCAATTTATAAATGAAATTCTTTAACAGTATTATTTCTAAATCCTTCTGAATATCTATTCTCAGATTATAATGAATGATTAATATTTTTAATTAATTCTTAATGTTTCTATTCCTTTTCTATAGATTCATTTTTTATAGCTTAATCAATTGATTATGAAGTATCCTTTATTGTATTTAATATTTTTTTTTCATTTGCCACTCTTGTTTACTTCTCCAAATCAAAATTACTAAATAATTCTATATTTATTAATAGATATATCTATACAATCTATAGATTTTTATATATTTTCTATATTTTCTTTTTCTGTCCTTATTCTATCTAATTTTTCTTATTCTATTGCTTAATCTAATTTCACAATATCAGAATCAAGTGTAGTCAATTTGGCATTTGTGTATGTCTTAAATGTAGTGTGTTATTCATTGTGTTTATTTTCCAAATCTATTGAAATAATATTAAATTGTAACTTGAAATATTTGTATTGTTTGTTTTTTGAAATGTTTATATTTTTCCATTTAATTCTACAGCCAATTTAACAAACATCTATTTTGTTTAAGTGATTTTACTATTTAATTATAATATATATATAATACTCATAAACTTCATCAAATTTAGCTTATAAATCTGCTTTAGCTTATTCTCTATTCTTTTTCATAATTTCATAATCTTATTAAAGTTAGACAATATCTTTATCTAATGGTTTGATATTGCCTGTTATTTTAAATGTATTTGTAGTAAGTGCAGCTGTTGTCTCCATTACAAAATATTATAATATATATATTATATATATATATAATTTTCATTTTAAAATTAAATATATAGAAATAATTAATAAAATAACAATAGATGTGATAACACCATATTATAATATATCTTCTGTATCATCCACCTTTGGTTCAAAATGATTAAGTTTTGTTAAAATAGTTTCTTTAGTTTATATAGGAGAATCTAAATCAGTTTCTCCTAATTATATTAAATGAGATCTTGGTAATATTTACATTTAAATTAATTCCATTTTAGATGCTGAAAAAGTTGAATAATTTTTAGTTAATCCTAAAGTACTTTATTTAAGAATATCTAATTTAGGTATGATCTCATCATCACTTGGTGCTCCTAAAGAACCTTAATCATATTCATAATGTCTTTCTGATGATTTCAACAAATTACTAATATCCCAAAGATATTTATCATTTAATTCTTATTATGAATATTAAACAAAATTTTAATCTTTAGAAAATCTACTTATAGCTAATTTTAAAGTATTATTGCATTACTCCTGATCAGCATTCTAAAATGTCATAATTAAATAATAGCATTCTATTAAATCTAATAATAATAAATACAATCAGATTTGTTATACTTTCCATGCCATTCTGCTCTAGAATTTATTTTTTCAATGAATAATTAATTTTAATCAGGTTATTTAGATTTTAAATTTAGAAGTTTCTCAATATTATTAATTGTTTATGTAAATGATTATTTGGAACCTCTACGAATTTGAAATATGATTTTTTGCAATTTGATACTGTATATTGCAAATCCTCTATAAACTCCAAATTCTACATATTCTCTATCTGTAGTTTTAGTTTAAGCTAGATCTCTCTAATTATTAAGGATAGAATATTACAGTATCATTTTTAGATGGTTATTATTGTATATTTGATCTGAATGAACTTTAAGGATTGGATCTATAAATTATGATTAGATATACTTAATAGGATTAAATGTTATAATTTTGCTACCAGCTAATTCATCTTCTGATGGATTACCCATAATTCCTTCATTTTCAATGTATTAACTTTCCAATATGTCTATCAGTTTTCTAATTTCTGTTCTTTTCAGTTAATCTAATTGTTCAGAAGTTAACTACTTATCTTAAGAGATTTACATGATAATAATTAGGTATAGTAGATACTAGTTTAATTATTTGATTTAAAGCATCATTCACTAATTGTATATTACTTTAGGGAAAAAGCATAAATAAAAAATAACACTCTAGAAATATGTTATATTTAAATTACATTAATGTTAATCTAATATTCCAAACCATTCTGAATAGGCATTTTTATAATTTAATTATTTAGAATTAGTTTAGAAACATGTTTCAGCTTAATCTTTGACATCTTGATAAGAGGATTCATAAGACTTATTACAACGTCTTTTCTGAATGTGAATGAATTCTTATCTATTACAATTAAATATAGCAAAGCATCGATAGACCTTACCTCTATTCTTGTTATTCTCTCTTATTATACTCATTATTTTATTATTTATAAAAGTTATTTAACACATACTTATATATAGAAATATTCATTAATTAGATTTTAGATCAAAGAACTATCATTTATTAGTATAATAATTAAGTAAATATAAATGAAAATGTATTTATAATATATCCTTAAGCTTTAGTTTCAAATGTTATGTATTCTTTACTTAAATTAGTGTTCTTGAGTCATAGATCTTAATTAATTCTTTAAACCTTAAGTATTCTATACTTTGTTCATATCCAAATATTGATGTGGATTATTTAAAGCATCTATGATGAATTTATCCCATAATGAATTTGGAATCTTTCTTTATATCATTTCCTTATGTAAAATACATAAAGGTATTTTTTAAGATGGATGAGTATTAGGTAATTTAGTTTTTTATGCTAAACATTTAGAATAGAATATTCTTTATTGCTAATTATATTGATTTGAGTTATTAAAATCATTATCATTTTAATTTGCCTCACTTTCATCTAATTATGATGTTGATATCTTAGTTAATATCTCACTTTTCATATCATACAATTAATTTCTATCTTAACTACCAGAAAATTTAGTTATTATTGTAGGTCTTCCATATGGAGAATTTTAAAATTATGATGATGGTGGTGGTAATTATGAGTTTCTATTTTATTCTGAAGGTAATTAAGAACCTCTACTTTATTCTGAAGACTATTAAAAAAGATAAGTAGATGATTATGATTGACTGTTATAATTATTACTAATTTATTTATTATTTATGTTATTGCTTTATTATTTACTATTCATTTAATTGTTATTGAACTTATTAATATCAACTCTAGGAGTACGAATCTCCTTTTCTAATTAAGTTTATTTTTACAATCCTAAAGAATGCAATCTTTCTAAATATAATGCTATAGCTAATGAACCACGATAAGATTCTGTCATTGTTCGTAATTCTTAATTTAAATCTTACAATTTTCTCAATTCAATTTAATTTGTGTTTTAAATTGTCTATATTTATTCACACATTTCATCTGCTCTTATTAAGTACTTACTATTTTCTTATTTCTATTCTTTTGAATTTAATTGCTATATAGAATCTCTTAACTTTGAAATCTTGAAATTTATCTCATCTAGAATCCTATTTGATTTTAGTACTGCTGTCACACTCTTTGAAACACTTAAACATTTCATTGTATGTTAATCAATCTCATTTATAGGTATCAAATTCTCACAATTCATACAAGGAACTGAATATATAACTGCTGCATTTGTTTTTGTTACTCTATATTACTAATCAAGATTCTTAGTACTCTAACTATTATGCTTAGCTGATCTTTAAGAAAAATAATCAGTTTACATTATATTAATTTTAATATATATCCATAAGAATCAACAGCATCCCTCCTATTTTTTATTTTTTAATGGTGGTTAATACCCTGTTTAAAGTTTCAGATTTTGTGAATCTTATTGTGATTTCTATTATTTTTATACATTTGCAATTCCAGGACCTACTTTGATTCCATACATCTAATAGATTTATAATTTTTATACTTCTAAAGAAGTATCTATTTCACCAGATTCAATCCTTTACAATATAGTTTAAGCCATAGTTTCAAATAATGTATCTACATTTTATCCTGTTTTTCCTGATGTTTCAAAATATGCTAAATCATTTTCTTTAGCAATTTTTTACACTTCATCAGTTGTTATTATACGTCTACAATATTATGATGAATATTTGTACTTTCCATCTATATCTATTTTATTTGCAACTAGTGCTATTTGAATTTTATCACAAGCATAACCCTTAATCTCCTAATACCATTTTGTAACACCTTAAAAGGAGGATCTTTATGTCACATCAAAAACAAGAATGGCACCAATGAATCTAATTTATTTAAGATTCAATGAATTGAATAAGAAGACAACTTTTACAAACACCTTTAATATAGTATTGATTGGGATTTACATGTATCAGCGATAATAATGAATTTCATAAGATAATCATAATTGTTCATTAATTATATCAATTAAGTGCATCAGTCAAAAAATTACATAAACCTTTTGGATAAGATTTAAGTTATTCAATCAATGGTAGCTACTTACTGTATAAATTGGCATATTATTATATTTGATGCTTTTGTAATCTATATTTATTAGAATTTTCAAGGCTATGTACATCTAAAGTCATTTGATCAAGTTATTGGAACCACTATGCAATTTCTGAAAACTCATGAATGACTAATATTTAAGATTGAAATTAATCAAGTATTTTTATAACCAAAGATGGTAAGTAAAATATACCTTCAACAATGATGTAATCCCAGAATCTGAGACAATATTGCAATTAAAAATTATACAAAAAGAGTGTTAATATAATTTTGGTAAGCCAAAATGATTCTGGATAATTAAGTTAACTATATAAATGTTTATATAGTTAAGGAAGGTGAATTTACAATTATTTCTGAGTAATAAATTCTAAAAATCCAAGCAATTGAAAATTTGAATCATAATTAAAATAGAGCATAAATTTAGGATGTGACAATAGAGTGATTAGACATTAATAACTGTAATATTCATCACCACCAGAGACTAGTAATAGGAATCCAGCTATGAAATTCATACCTTAACAATAACCTAATTTTGGATAATAATTGGATAGTCCCTATAGAATATGATATAATTATAAATGTCCTATAGTATAATCATCATTAGTTGATTAAAAGAAAGGATGATTTATAAGGGTTCTTTTTATGTCTTTATTGATAAGTTCTGAAGATCCATTATAATTGTAAGGATATTCATTTTTCAATATTATGGATTTCCAAGCTGCCCATCTAAGTTTAGAGGGTGGTCCTTATCTTACTAGATTGATATAATGTTATTTGCTCATTATATAGTATGTTTTAAGTGATTTTTCTAATGGAAATGTACAATGATGGTATTTTTGTATGAGTTCTGATTCAAGATCATAATCTTCAAAGTTAGTAGTCTATATAATAATCTTCCATTCCTATTATTTGTAATGATCTGAGTCTGTACGATTTAAATATGGTCCAATCTCATGTTTTTATTAATATGAGTTTCTTTCAGACTAAGTGAATGATGTAGGAGGAATATGTGGAGGTATTTATTTTTTATGACAACTAGAGAGTAAATTGGACTGACCCATTTTTCAAAATCCTAAATAAGATTTCGCTATTTGAGGTGTAAAGTTTCAAATAATATATTTATGTAAAAAATAAGTGATTTACCAAAGAGACCTGCAAGATCATAAAGATTGGAACAAATAAGCAGACGTATAAATCTGATATCTAATCACTTTCCAATAAAGTTTATATAGTAAAATCAAGCGATTAATATTTACGCAGTTGATTTTGATCCACCAATAGCAGATGATGCAAGAAAATTAAGAGAAGAAATAATTAGATAGGCAACTAAAAATCTTTAAATTTAAGGACTCACAGAATTCACAGTAATAAATATTAAATTGATTTAAGTTAAGAGGAAAGAATATCTGGTCATCTTTCTATATCAAAGATCGTTTAATTGCCAAAGCTACTTTTTAAGAATAAGAATATATTGTAATTGTTGAACACAAGAAGGAATACACTTTACAAGATCTTTCAGAAACAGTAACTAATCCAGTTACATAATCAATAAATGTTGCAGTCAAAAAATCATTGAAGGAAATGGGTATGATTGAAATTGGTAGATAATCTAAATTCTATGATCCAAGAAATATTGAATGCAATAGAGTATTTATAATATAAATACTAGATTAATGAACATGGTTTAAAAGTATGGAGAGGAGTCAAGACTTCCTTTTAAATATATTAAGGAATGCCTTATCTCTAAATAGATTTTGCATCAAGAGTTCTTAGAGATCAAACTGCTTTAGAATTTATGTTCAGTTTAAACACTAGAAATATTTAAGACATTAAAAATGAAATGATTGGTTTGAGTGTATTAGCAGCCTATGGAAATTGTAGAATATATAGAATAGATGAAATTGATTTCAGTCTATCACCTTTAAATTCATTTTAATTGTAAGATGGAAAGTCTATCACTTATTAAGAATATTATAAATAAAGATATAATATTTAAATTAGAGATCTTTAATAACCTCTTTTAATGTATAAAGATAAAAGAAATCTAGATAAAATAGCCTACTTAGTACCTGAATTATTAATTATGACAGGATTGACTGATCGATAAAGAAGTGATTATAAATGTATGTAAAGTGTTGCTAAATATACAAAATTGACACCATAATAAAGAGATGATGAGATATATGGATTCTATTAGAATCTAAAAAAACATCTTATTAAATAGAATATTCAATTAAGTGATGATCAAAATGTTGGTGGTTTTTAACTTTAAGCACCACGAATTTATATGGGTAATAAAGAATATTAAACTGATTAAAGTGGATTTTTTATGGTAAAAGATCCTGTCTTTTAAGGATCTCATATTCAAGATTGGTTTATGGTCTATTAATCAAGAGGAAAGAATGATGATGATGATGTTGATTTTATAGTTTAAGAATTATAAAAATAAGGAGAAAGAATAGGAATTAGAATAGAGAAACCATATTATGTTATGCTTAAAGATAATAATGTATAAAATTGGTTATAGAGATTGACAGCTGAAATTGGAGATAAACCTCCATAAATAATAGTTACTTTTGTTAATGAAAGAGATAAAGATAGAATCTATGGACATATCAAGAAGTATTGTTTTCAAGATTAAGGGATAAGTCATCAAAATATACTTAGTAAATTCTTAAAAACAAAAAATCCATCTAGTGTTGCTTCAAAAATAGCTTAATAAATGAGTATTAAATTAGGTAATCCTTTATGGGCTATTCCAAAACCAAATGGAATTTCAGATAAAACTATGATTGTAGGCATAGATATATATCATAAACTATTAACTAATAGGAGATCTTGTATGGGATTTGTTGCTTATTTGGAATCTGAATGTTTAAATACATTTGCAAAACCAATAATTATGAGAGAAGGTTAGGAACTATGTCATGAAGTAGGTAGAGCAATTGTAGAAGCTATTTCTGCTTATTTTGAAAGGAATGGCAAAAAATATTTACCTGATACTATAATTGTATATAGAGATGGAGTTGGTAATGCTTAAATAGAGGCACTTAAATAAACTGAAATATAATAAATGAAAAATGCAATAAAGAGTATCAATAAGAATTATAATCCATAATTTGCTGTTATTATGATTAATAAGAAAATTAATGATCGTTTTTTTATGGTTAATGGTGGAGGATAATAATAATAATAATAATAAAAATTATAACTTACAAATCCACCTTCAGGAACTGTAATTGCAGATAAAATTACATCATCTTGTTTTGATTATTTCATTACTGCTTAATATGTTACATAAGGTACTTGTACTCCAACTCATTATAGAGTATTAGAAAATACTACTAATTGGAGTGAAGAATTATTTTGGTAATTAACTTATTATTAATGTTTTAATTATTAGAATTGGACTGGAGCAGTTAGGTATTTATTAAATTATTAATATTTAGAGTACCATCATGTGTATAATATGCACATAAATTAGCATATCTAATTGGAGACACTTATTAAGGAAGTATTCATAAAAGATTAGCACATTTATAATGTTGTCTATGACTATTTAATTTATATTTCTTATATAAGTTAAATTTTATAAAATTTACTTATTTAATATATAAATTATCTTTAAAATGTAGTAATATCAAAAAACCTTCATTGGAAAACCTATAGATCGAAATCTAATTGTTAGATCTACTCTTAAGTTACCATAAATTAGGTAAGATGTCTCAAATCATTAGAGTATTGGAATAATGAATATCCCCAATAGATCATCAGAACATATTCGTAATTCACGTTTACATACTAAAACCAAAACTCAAGATACTATTAAGGCAGTTGTTAAAGAACGTCCTCATTTTAAGTAGTTGCCTACTGATAGAACTATGCCTACATTACCATCGTTAAATTCTCCAAGGTCTGAAGATGAGGGAGAATCAACTCATAAAAGTTAGTTTTCAATTAGAAGAACTGTTATTGATACACTCTCATTGCGTTAATCTCGAAGGACTAGTGTAGAGAAAGAAAAGTTTAAGGAAGAAAAGAAAGAGGAAAAGAATGAAGAAGAAAGAGCTGATGCCAAATAATTAAATAGACACTATGTATAGAACTAATAATTAATTCATCAACAATTAAGCAAATCCCATGATGAACTTATTTAAAATAATGAAAATTTAGATGAAGTCTTAGAGGAACCAGTAGAAGAAATAAGACCAAAGAAAGAATCATAATCAATTAGACCAAAAAATGAAAGTGTTTCTTCATAATTCACATAAATTACTGATGAAATACATTCAGTATGGGATAACGTTGATTTGTATTTAAGAGGAGTACAATTTGATGAATTTGATTAATAAGCTTAATTGCAATCATTTTTGTAACTCTACAAAATGAGAAGTGGAGGATTCCCTGTAAGTTACTCATGATTAAATAAGGGCTAAAGAGAGAACTTGTCAAATGAAGAAGTAATCAGAAGAGCTGCTGAATATGCTAAAGGCAATAGACAAGTATTTAAGAAATATTTTCCAACTAAACAAGTAGTTTTTGAAAATGATGAAGATTACACATAATCATATGATGTTAATAGTGATGCTAATTTTTAAAAATTCTAAAAGTATATTCAGAAATATAATCAATAATGAGAACACTAATGAATTATATCTCATAATCATAATTAACAATATCAATTTATAATTCATAATGAGTACACATGAAATTCTACTCCATCTCCCTTATAAAACTTATTCTGAAATTCCACCCTTTTTTTTATAGATAATATATAATACCAATGTAATCTTAAAGAATGTAAAAAACATTCCATCGTATCCATACACATTAATACACCAAAACTCACTAAAGCCCAAATTGGATATCTTAATAATGCCTTTATTTATTATAATAATTTTACCCCTATTATACTTCCTTCAGTCATTGGACTTGACAATATCAATGAATAAAAAACATCTGCCAATTAAGAATGCGCTAAACTTAATGCCCATAATCTCAAATAACTAGCTGTATTAGATATCACACCCAAAACAAATTCAATTGTTTCTATTGTTTCATGGACTACTAATTCAGTAAATTCTTCATCTGGACTTAAATCATTATGATCATGTGTTTATAATAATGATTTCTCTTATTGAGTTTCATCTTATATAGATTATAGTTGTAATTCAATCACTTAAGATCCTTCAATAGATGATGTACTATTTTATATTTTTACATTGCTCCTTCTCTAATATACTTGATAACCCTTGATTATATGTGAAAACCACATCCAAGGAATACTTACAACTGCTATAATAATTAATATTGATTATATCAATTCTTAAGAATTAACATTCCACATTGGTGGACCTTCTACCGATCCAAATGATAAAACCATTGTAATCATTGTATTTATAATACTTGGAGCATTCTATGGACTGAATTACACAACCCATTTAAATATTATCAAAAAATCCATATAACCAATTGTAGAAGTAAGAAAAAGAATCTGAGGCAAGAATTTACAACAAAATCCATAAGTATCCTTTTTATTTAAGAAATTACATCCTGATAAACAAATACCTAAACACATATGAAAATAAGCAATAATAACGCTTAATTTCATTTTAAAAGAATCATCAAATTCTAAATTATCCCCCCAAATTGGATCTAATCCAAATGGATAAGTGCAATCCTATGGTTTAATTGGAGTCAATTATCCATCAACAACATAACATGATCCAAAAAGATTTAAGGATAAACTCACAAAATCATTGTAGATCCAACCACAATAAAAACTGAAAAATCCCATCAATACAATCAAGTATCTCAATTCATAAAAGGGTTCAAGTTTATAAAAGATATTATAAATTCCAAAAATTAGTAAACAAAAACCATGACCAATATCACCAAACATAATTCCAAATAAAAAGGGAAAAGTTATAATAGTAAAAAGGGCAGGATTAATTTCTCTATATCTAGCAATTCCATATGTATTTACTATTTATTAGAATACTGAAGTGAATTCATTTAATAAAAAATAAGTTGGTGGAATTGTTTGAGGTACTTTTTATGAAATTTAACAACCTGGAATATCTCTATTTCTTTCTTTAACAATTAAAAGAACTTCATTTAATTAAACACTATCCTTTTTAGGAATCCACAATTCCCCCAAAAATAGATTGCCTTACATTTTCAATTTATTTAACTGAATATAAAGTTATTTCTCCTTGGATATATACATATTATAATGATCTATGAGTCTTATTCCTTCTGTTTATTTAAGTAATTCTTGAATAAATGAATTTAATTGTATATTAGTTAATTCTATAAGCTTGATAAGACAGCAATAAATACTTATTTAATTTCTTTGAGTTTGACAGTTAAATCATTTTAAATTTTATCAAATTCCTTAAGATTAATTGGTAATGTGAATCTATTGAGAGACATGGATTCTTAAACCTTTTATAGTTTCTTCTTTAAGATGACTCCTTGATCTGGATACATTACAATATATATTGCTTTTTAATTTTATAATTTAATGTGGACAAATGCATTTCCTTTGGTTACTCTGAATATCATTCTTTAAAATCTAGGAAATAATACAATAAATTACTAATATATTTCTTCTTATTTCATTGTACCTATAAAATAATCAAATTTAGAATCTCTAGAAACAAAAAAGTCATCTCCTAAGTATATTCTGCATTCTTGTAAAATATCCAATTAATCTATAATTATGCCTTATTATTCAAGTAATTATTCATGATTTCTATTAAGCTCTAAGAATGAATTGACTTTAGCATTGATTTAATCTTCTAATGTATCTAAATATTAATGTGTATGAATTTTGGGACACATCTTATTATTTGTTTTATTAGAGATTTGAAACTGTTTGAGGATTGTTAATTTTTATGCTGTTTCTATTAACAAATTCAATTTGTTTAGTAAATCATCACATCTTGATTAGGATAATTGTTATACCTTTTTATGTAATTTGCAAATGGTCTTGCAATAAGTGGAATAGAGGGATCATGGTCAATGATTTCTACTTTTCCCATGTATCCCAATTGATCCATTACAGCCCAAGCACTTTCCCTAGGCATAATAAGTTGAAACAAAGACATTTCTTATGATCTTAACATATTATAATTAATTATTATAATTCTATTTATTTTAAAGAGAATGTAGTTGACCACATAATATTATAATTATGTTTGATTCTTCCGATAGTATAATTCGAAATAATTTACCCGATGGAGAATTCAAAGGCCCTATTCATCATCTTTTGAGTAACAGAGTAGTGTTGCAAGAAGGTGATATTTAGGGAGGAAGCTTCAATTCTTTTACAGTACCTGAAAACATTATCTTGTAAAATACACCTCCTCGAACTCCCAAGAATATGGAGAGATTCAAAACTATGGGAGGAAGAAAGTCTGAATTTCAATCTGCCTATGAAGGAGAAGAAGTTGATTCTGTAAAGGATAGCAAGCCTTAATTTTTGAGATTAATCATAGCAAAAAGTTTACAAAATAACTTCATCAACAATCTGTGGAATAGATCTTATTTAAGAAAACTTCATCAATTGTCTGCTTATTAAATTGAATAGCTAGATGATTTATAATTTGAATCAGATGCCTTTTCAAATATAACTCATTTAAATTAGAGATCCTTAATTCAATCTCTAGCCTTCTGGAACTTAATTGATGTATTTACTCCTTATAGCAAATTCATTGTAATTTGGGATGTCTTCCAAATTCTTACATATATTATGATCTTTTTTTGGTTACCTTACAAGATCTCATTTGAAATATATTATATAAGTGAATTATTTAATGGAGACAATGGCAGCTAAATTATAGAAATAGTGCTTCTCTCAATTTTAGCACTGGATGTAGTTGTTGGACTCAATTTAGCATTTATTTATAAAGGATAAATTATAAAGGATCGGAAAAGAGTAATCATCAATTATTTCAATTAATATGCATTTGTTGATTTGGTAAATATTAAATTTTATTTATGGTCTCCTTATCCACAGTTTCAGCTTAATTCTTTATTCCAAACCTTAGTTCTAAAGACAGCAACATGCTAATCATTCAAATAGTACTAGGTGCAATCTTTTACATTCTCAGAATTACAAAAATCAATAAAATTTTAGCTTAAATCTAAGAGTAATTATAATTCTATCTAGATTCTTTAATCTCAATGGATCACTTAATGATATGGTTGGTCTTATGAAATTACTAATGATCATCATATTTATAGCACATATCTGTGGATGTACATGGCATGGTATAGCTCATTACACTACAGCTTTTTCTTGGTTGGATGCCTACAACTTAAGAGAAAGAACCAATGGCACTCGATACAATTATTCAATTTATTGGGCAACCATGACAATGACAACTGTTGGTTATGGAGATATTACAGCCCAAAATGACCTCGAATTACTAATTAATAACATAACTATGTTTGTAGCAAGCATAGTTTTTGCATATTCTGTTAATAGTATAGGAATATTTGTGTCTAATATGTATAAAGGAACAATGGAATACAGTAGATCAGTTACTCTGATCAATACATTTATGTCTAAGAATAAAATTTAATTTGATTTACAGACTAGAATAAGAAGTTATTTAGAATATATTTGGCAAGAAGAATAAGAAATGAATGATGACGAAGTTGGTTCTATTGTAAAAAAGTTGAGTAGACATCTTTAAGATGAATTACAATATTAATTAAGAGGAAATATTCTAAAGAATTGTAAGATTGTTATGAAATTGTTTTCTGAACAATTCCTCAAGAATCTCCTTCAGTCTATGGAGGAATTATCATTTAGTCCAGAAGAGAGAATAATTACATGTAATTAAATAGATGATTGTTCATTATATATAATTACTAAAGGAGAAGTTGAATTATTATTCTCAGGTAAAAATTAATTAGGAGATATGATAAAGAGAAATTCGATCAAATTACTCAAATAATATGAATGTTTTGGGGAAGTTGCATTTTTCACAGGAAATCCTAGAACAGCTACTGCAATTTCTAAAGGATTTACTAGAGCATTTAAAATAAAAAGAGAAAACTTTTTAGCTATTTTATAATCATTTCCAAATGATTATGAAAAGTTTTGTGATGCCAGAGATAGATTAATTAATAATGAATTCTCATCTCTTTAATTAAATTGTTATAGTTGTAATAGTAATAGACATCTTATAAATAATTGTCACATTTTACATTTTTGTGCTGATCAAGAAAAGATACTGAAAAAAGAATTATTTCCAGTAGAATAAAGAAGAAGCATGGCATTCAATAGAATAAAAAAAACAAAGGCAGTTTGTGCATTTACTATGTAGAAATATTATTCAGGAAGAGCACATGATTTAATTTAGGATCTGTATCAATAAGATAGAGGTGGAACTGATATAGATGATGGAGATTCACATACAATGCCAATGAATGATGCATATGAAGATGATGATGGTAAACTGATAATTTTAATTATTAGATTTACCTTCATCTATGAATCAATAAAGAAGTTAATCAAGAACTATGAGTAAGTTAAGTTCAAAATAACCACAATAATAAGAAGGTGAAGATGAAGAATAATAAAATAAAGGATATCTTCGTAAATCATATCCTCCAAGATAAACTGTTTAAACAGCTGGATTTGGAGGTAATACAAAAAATAAAGATAGTATTATATTAATATAATAATAATAGTTACATGGAATGTAGAATAATTAAGTGATTCTTTAAATTCATCAGAAGAATAAGATTAAGTTATACCATTATAATCACATCCTTAATAAAAATAAAATGAATAGAATAATAAATAATAACCAATAAAAAGATAACTCTCTAGAAGTGGCTCAGCTGATGATCCTTCTAAAGTTCCTACAGAAATTCGCCTTGCTAAATAATAAATTTCATAGAAAAATCAATCTGATCTTGAAATTCGTCATGCCTTATCAAGAGAATAAGCAAGAAAAATAACAGGTAGAACAAGAACACATAATGATGATCCAACTTTGATCACTGATAATTTAACTTAAAATAATGCAGGTTAATTATTATAAGCTCCTACGATTACTACAATTGTCTTAGCTTTTGATAAAATGTGTATCTTTTAATTTTATTAACCATTAAATAATTATGATGCTGTAATCAAAAGGTATATATATTTTTTATATTTATTAAGATATGCAAGAGCATAAAAATTCTTTGGTAAGAAGAGATTATATCCTGAGACATCTCTATATTCATTCTATTTTATGGCAATTAAAAAAGGATATAAACTAAAAAAATTAGGATAATCGATCCCTAATGGATTATAGAGATTCTCTGCTGGTGCTAAATTACTAAAAAAAGCAGTAAAAAGAATAAAATAACCTACATTAGCAGAAAAAAGTGATATTTTTGTTTAAATTAAATGAATTATCTAATTTAAATATTATCTCTATTAATTTATAACATATATAAATAAAATCAAATATAAACTTATGCTCTATGATGAATTTATGTTTACAATTTAATAATTAACTAAAATTTAATTTAAAATATATAGATTAAATAATAGATATGAAAGAAAATTGCTTTATATATTTATCAAATAAAAATTAATGAGTCACCTTGATTTTCTAAACTAAAAAAACTAAAAAAGGAATCTCCCATTTCAATTATTTCTGTTGGTTCAAATCTACAAACAATGTGTCTATTTTCATTTATAATTCTTAAACATTATTATAAGGGCATAAATTAAAAAGTTAAATTATCCCCTTCACTAAATGTAAAATTACCTTTTCTTAATTATTTATATTTATTTTCATTCCATTCTTTTCTTTTTATTTCTCCTAATTTATTTATAATAAAATCAATAGAATAATGACATAATGAAGAACAAATACCAATTAATAAATTACCTTTCAATGTTTATATTCTCATTCTCCAAATAATACCTTGAACTGCTTATGTTTTTACTTTATGATTAATATAAAAATGAAGAAAATCATTTTTTTATTTTTACAAATTGAATGATGGATGAATTAATTTTGCTTCAATAGCTTAGGTACCAGTAAATTAATAGTTTTAAGTAAACATTGTTTTAAATGAAAATTAATGAATAGTATCAAATGATTCTCCTTTTAACATTTTACATATTTTTTATTCTAAATATTAATTTTTCTGATTTAATTCTTCTATCTTTTTATATAATTAATCAATTTGATTGTCTTTATTATTAAATTAATTTTATACACAATCCTAGAATAAGGATAATTATTTACATCAATAGAATGAATTTAGAATTGTTTCCTTGACATTTTATTTTAACATTTAGTACATTCTATAGTAATTTATTCACATTAATTTTCATGTTACTCTAATTCATTTTACAATTATTATAATCCACAACCAGAGCAATTTATTCTTCTAAAAGGACATTACAAAATATGTTTTTAAAACTACTCATATCGAGACTTTATTGTACATTCTTCATATATACAACTCAATTATATTGAATCTAATAAATTGTGTATTATAGGTATGGATGTCTTTTTAAATGGTCTTTTACATTTGGGACAATTGTGCTAAGTAGTTTCTATTTATATTTATTAAGGCATTTCAGAAAAAGAACTAGATTAAGAACTGTATTGTGATCCAGAGCCAGAATCAGGAGCAATAATTAAAGATTAGGAATAAAGTGATTCTTATAGGACTGCATCCCCAACTTAATCTTGAATCCATTTATTTATGCAAACTTCACAATATGATTAGAAACATTTATCTTATCCACAAGCAACTGGTTTCCATAAAATATTTAAACAAATAGGACAAAGTAAATGATCAACTTCTATTTTTGATTAATAGAGTAAATGTTTAGGAATACCGCTATTTTTTAATAGTTCCAAGGGATTTAATATACTACTAGACTCTGTTTACATTATAATTTATAATTATATTATAATTATATAATCACAATTAACTCCGAAATAATTCTGAGTATCTAACAACCTTTTTAGACTCTAGATGATTCATCTTTCTTTTGATATTTGCTAATTCTACCAAAGAAACGACACTTTTAGTAGCTTAGCCTTTAGTACTTAAATATTGAGTTGAACCAGCTAAACCTTTAAAGGTTTCCCTAAATTAACAATTTTTAGGAGATTTTTCAGTTTTAGATGGTAATTATTCAGAGATATGTCTTCTTGATTTTAATTATTTTTAAGCGGTTTCCTATTCTTTTTAATTATCATCCATAATCACTTTTATAGCCTTTTTAAAATATGTAAATAATATACATTTAAATTAGTTTGAATCATTTATCGAATAATTTATTCTTCATTAATTTATTATTGTTTTTGTTCTTCTTTTTAACCAGATATTTTTTAATATAATTTCATTAAAGCTGATTCCTATTCTAAATTTTATAATTTCTTTTTTGTTTTTTTTAAACCTAAAGTATTACTATGTTTGATAAGCATCTTTCTAAATGGAGATTTAATTGTAGATTTAGGTTTGAGTGATTACTCAAATAATTACTATTATTATCTTTTCTTCTTTAATCTTTCTTAAGCTTCCAAGTACCCTGAAATTAATTAAAATTCTGTCTTAATTTCATTATTCAACTATTTTAAAGAATCAGTTTCTTTAGGTTCAGCTATAGCATTTTTACTAAATTGTCTTTTAAACAACAATATAGCTTTACCTAATTCACAATCTTATTGTTATCTTTGATTTTCATTAAGTTCATCCTTACAAGTTCTTTAAATATCAACAAGTGAATAGAATGCTTATTCTTTTTTCAATTGATTTACTATAACACCTGCTAATTCTGAATCTAATTTAGGGTAATCAGATTATTCAGTTTTACAATATTATGTAAAATCTGTTGGTCTTGTTCTTCTTGAAAATGATGATATAGAGTTTTATTTAATCAATTTTGATTCACTTTCAGAAGTTATTAATTTATGTTAATCATAACCATCTTGAGTAGTGAACGATTAATAATTTTTTGAAATCTATTATTGTGTAAGTTCCCTTTCTGTTTTACTACCTTTTGGTACATTATATAATAAATAAGGAGAAGGAGGTTTAATAGGAACAGGATTTAATTTAAAATACTATTATTTATTAAGTTGTTCCATTTTAAATTTGAGATAGAATTTTTCATTTAGTATTTTTTAATAATCATCTTTAACTTATTATTAAATTACTTTCATTTCAGGATTAGTATCATCTGATAAAAATGTAAATATCATGTGTCTAATTTCACATTCAGCCAAGATATTATCAATATATTTTTATATATCTTAAGCTCTACTAAAGATTAAAATTCTTAATTGATGTTCATCTTCTAATCTCAATATTTCAGTACAAAACCATTAAGCTAAATGTATACATTCCTTCATTTTTGAATATTCAGAGAGATATTCATAACACAATGATTAAAGATATAAAATCATTACTATTTTCATAATGTATTATGCAACAGGTTTTAGATCTGAATCATCTATAACATTTGGAGTATTTCTTTTTTTTAAGATTAAGAAAATTAATTATTACAAATAAGAATAAGCTATTTAGTATTATTTTAATGATTTTTTAAACTCGCACAATTAAAAATATAATTATCCAAAATTTTAGTAATGATCAACGAATATCTTGATTAATTCAACATTTTTTGTATATTTCATTTCTTTAATTTATATAATTTTTTCTATTTTATGCATTATTTTCAAACTATTCTACACTTCATTAGTAATTTTAAATAATCTTGCATATATAATTAATTATTTCATTAACAATGTAAAACATTCATTCAAATAAAACTTAACTATTTATAAATATAATTTATACTTTTATTTTTCTCTTTCAATCTATTTAGATGGGTTACTTTTATTAAACTACCAGGTATACAAATTGTTTATTGAATTCTTTGTCTTAATCTATTCAAACCTATCTTTTATTCAATCTAAGCAGAATTTAATTCTTCAAAATGTTCAGTTCCTCTCTCATTTTTTAGCATTCTTTGAATATTAATATAAATGACAGCTGTATATAAATTACATCTATCAAGTAATAAATCTACTTTCTATATATTCTCTCCTTATATATTTTCATTCAACAAATTTTATGCTGCTCTAATCAGTCTTCTGCTTATTTATATATTGAGTGTGCCCATTTGATTATGAGAGTAACTCATAAAATGTTTGTCAAGTAACAAGATTACCTTTCGATTCCCATTCTTGTATATATAATTATAATACCTTTTTTAATAAACCAGAAGCATCATTTATAATATTTTCAATTGGGTATTTCTTCATAACTGGTGATTCAGATTCAGATTCCATTATTAATTATTTATTATATATTTATTTAATCATTATTCAAATTTAAAACTTAGATATTTGTTGAGATACCTAAATTTGCAGTTTAGATTGATTTATTTATTTATTTTATGGATATCATTCTAAACTTAATTTGACTATTTTTTATAACATTTACCTCCTCTAATAAATCCCCTAACATGAACAAAACAATATTAACTATACTCTCCATTCTTATTTCTTAGATCTTCTATTTTAAAATCAATCCTATTTAAATCAGATACTCTCCTAAAATATAGTTTCAGATATATTATATTTAGAGACCTTTAATAAACCTTTTCCTAAGTAATGAGATTCCACATTTGTTTAGATATAATATATTATAACTCTAATTAAAAAAGCTTAAAAGAATATGAAAATTGATTCTTGATTCATTTTGAAGATTGCATTAACTAAGTGTTTTTTAAATTTCTAACACATCTCTTAATATATATTAATCAATTATATTTATTGATCTGATTAAAATTCTATTGATGAATTCATTAGTATTGGTTATCAATATAGTTGGGACAAAGCTTTCGTCATGATTAATTACGAGTTTCAATTTTTTTTATTTTTGCTTTATTATTATTAATTAAATATGAATATAACATAATTTACTACAGTGACATAGTGGATTGTTTTGATTTTATCTATAATAGGAGTGTTACTTTCATTGTTTTACATATACGCCTTCTTTAGGATAAAAAAACTACATAAGAGTCCAGGTGATATATATTTTGGAATGTGTTTAGGAGAAATGATTATGATGTTGCACTAGTATGTAAAAATCAAAATTTATTAGTATGACAGATTCTATAGTAGTTTTTATAAGTGATAATAAATATGATACTAGTGCATTATGTTATATTAATATTGTGGCTTTCACTTTTTCTGTCATACTTATTTATTCATATACAATTTAATTGTATATGCATATGATTGTAAGACTCATCTTTACACTTCAAGCGAAAAAAATCAATAAATGGTAAGGACATTTAGTAACTTGGGTAATTTCAATGCTTTATGCAGTTATCTCTCTAGTATCTTTTTAAGAAAGTGTTTGTGGAGTCACTCTCTCATCAACTGCACCATTTACTTTTATTATTTTATTGTTGAGCTTTTTCGCCATGGCAATCACTACTAGACAATATATCAAATAAGAATGTACTATCCATTCAAATGTATTACTTTAGCATTATCCAATAGAGTAAACTTTAAAAGGAGGGTTAAAATTTTATGTATTATATAACCAGATTATTTATTGCTTAATCTGTAATAATGACTAGTTTCATTACCTTTGCTATGGTTGCTTATCTGTTAAATTAAATAAAGTAATTGGAGACTTGTCCTCTGAACGATAATGATAAAGCTTGGTTGGTTATACTTGGTTTTTTTGCTTAGATTTCTGCTGTTGTATATCCTATTGTTATTCCATTAATAAGAATATTTGATCCATTTATATTCAAGCATTTGAAGAAATATTATTATCCTGATCGATTTCACTTAGAATCAAGAGATATTTCAATGATTCAGCAATCATTTGAAGAAACAAGCATGTAATTATTTAGATATTCTATTATTTATAGATAATAAAAGAAAATTAGTCTTGATGGACTTAGTTAATCCTTAATTGAACAAAATTCGTTTCATGTTTCATAAGAGTTTACATCTTTTAGAAAACCTTTTACATAATCTGATTTTATAAGATCTAATACTGCTATTTCAAATGGAAGAAGTAGATAACTTACAATGTAAAATAAATAAGAAGATCCATTTATTCATTAACTTACAAATCAATTAAGAAGTGAAATTATTAAGAGAATTCTAGCCTTAATATTAATTCAAGAACATGATAAAATTAAGGCTATAAACTAAAATAAATGCTTTAAAAAGATTCTAAGACATCAAGCAAATTAAGACTATGATGATTAAGTTGTCTTTACTGTAAATGACATGTTTTTGAAAGAACATTTTAAAGATTAATTCAAAATTTAGAATAAAAAATTTAAAATGATTTCATATGCTCCTGTCATATTTGACATTCTTACGTAATAATGTTTATATTATATATTAGTAAGGAAGATTAAGAAAATTTGGATCTATTAAATTGTTTTGATCTTGAAACTAATCAAGAATAAATAAAAGAATGTGCTTAAACTACTGGTGGAAAATCTGGGGAATTCTTTTTCTTTAATCATAATAATAAAATACTCTTGAAAACAATTAGCATGTCTGAATTGCAAATATTATTAGAGATGATTGAATAGTATTTTTGGCATTGCACTAATAATCCTAATACATTAATTGCTAAAATTTTAGGAATATATACATTTGAAGGATTTGAAATTGGAAGAATTTCTATGATTCTAATGAAAAATATTGGTAAAATTAACAAATTGGCCATCAAACGCATTTTTGATTTAAAAGGATCCAGTTATGACAGAGAAGTCATTAAAACAGTTAAACCATCTGGTGAATTAAATTCTTAATAATTGGAAACAATCATAACAAATGATAAAGTATTGAAAGATTTAGATTTCTTAAAATTAGAAAAATAAATACATATAAGTCCTGAATTTTGTACCTCAATTTATGAATAATTAGAAATTGATACATTATTTTTAAAGTCATTAGGTTTTATGGATTATTCTTTATGTCTTATGATTGTTGATTGGTTTAGTTTTTATGAATCTTAACTTTATCATGAAATATAAGATGAAGAACTTATATATAAGATTATTGGATAAAAATTAACAAGATTATAACATTGTTATCCTAGTACAATCTAAAAAGGATAATATTATCATATAGGTATTATTGACTATCTTTAAAAATATAATTTGTAAAAAATTACTGAAAAATACGCTAAAAAGTTTTTAAAATTAGATTCAAATTTAGACACATCCTCATAAAACCCTTATGAATATAGGAAGAGATTCTTGACTTTTATGAAGAGAATATTATGATAGTTCTATAAATTATTTTCTCATTTAAATTTCATAATAATTATTATATTTATGTTAACATTATTAAATCTATTTTAGTTTTTAAGATATAATATTTTGAATCTAAGTTAAGTTAGATAAGTACAAATAAATATTTTAGCAATAAAAAATCAATTTAAAGATGAAGTAAAGCCCAATATTTGAAAACCAATTTTCTTATTTAATTTAGTAATCAAACTCATACAAAAGGCTTTATGTTGATGCTAATACTACAATAAATTTTTTAGCACTTTCAAATGATAATACATTATTAGCAATCTTCCATCATCATAATGGAGCAGGTTTGCTTAATGTTTGGGATCTCTCAACATAAAAAATTAAATACAATATACAAGTACCTAAATTATGGTCTGAGGATGGAATATGTATTTTTTCAAAAGATAATAAATATATTTTTTTTGGTTTATACAATGATGTTAAACTTTAAATTATATCCCTTGAATCAAGAAGGGCAAAGATAACAGATTGTAGACTAGGAGGTGCATTAAAATAAATTAAAATATCAATAAATCCAAAATATTGTTGTACTATTACTTCAGAATAATGTTTGTTATGGAACTAAGACACTAAGAAAGTTGATAAAAAAATAGAAACTAATTTAGATTTTATTTGTTGTTGCTTTAAAAATAATGATAAGGAATTAATTACAATCAGTTATTAAGAACAAGAATAAACATAATTTATTTTTTGGAATACTAAAAACTATAAAATTTTAAAGAAATGGGCAGGTAAGTATATCTCAAATCATGCTAACTGTAGTGTAATTGAAGAAAAATAAATTTTAATAGTAGATTATCAAGATGTATATGAACATTATATATAAATATGGAGTATAGTTGGGTAATGCTTAATTAGATCATTGTATTAAGCACTTGATTCTTTTTAAATTAAGAACATTTTTAATTCTAAATTAATTGTTGAATGTGAAGAAGATGAAGACGAAGAGTAAGATTAAGAAGTAGATGAAAGCAGTCAAAATTAATTGATAGCATTTTTTGATATTTTAACATTTAAATATTAAAGATTTAAGACTTTTATAGAATTAGGCAAAAGATACTTTATTCTAGATAGTGCTTTGATAATTGAAAATAGAAAGAAATAATCAAATATTACAGAAATATTTATTAATTTAAAATGAAAAGAAAACTATAAAATTTGTGAGTTAATTATGAATTAATATTATATAAAGTTTTTGATTAATATTTAATAAGAATGAATTATATATTTTTATAGTTAATATATAAAATTTGATATGTCCTCTCAAATTCCATAGCTCATGATAACTGAATAACCTATGGATGAATACTAAGATTTTATCAATTATTCACTATCTGATGTTTGTTTTTCAGTTAGTAAGTTCTAGAGTAAGGGCAATAATGTAAGTGAGAATTCTGTTGATTAAGACTACTAACAACATAATAATTCAACTCCCCTTTCTCCAAACAATATTAATTTAACTAAACCATCAAACGATTCTTCAGATCGAAAATAAATTATATAGATGCAATAAAGACCAAGTGTAAGTTCAACATAAGAAAGAATATATAGAGACTTTTTTCAATATTTTCTGATTCAAAAATTTGTACATAAAATATCATTCAAAAAGAAACTAAATTCAATGTTTGATAAATATCATTTCGAAGTGATTAACGATCTAGGTGCTACTTTTAATTTAAATTTATTTAGAGAAAATACAATTAAAATGCGACCAATCATAGTCAAATAAGTTTAATAAATAGAAAACCAATTCATTATTAAGTTTAAGAAACTTCAATCTTTGTTATTATAAAAATGGAACTCTTTTCTCAACAAAATTCCATTAATATACCCAGAATCAAAATTGAAAATGCTTTGGGATGCAATTGTTACTTTGGCAAGATTTTATTTTATTTATGTAATTCCAATGGATTTAGCATGGGAAATGCAATCATTTATGTTTGATATCTTAATTATACCTACATCATTAATGCTGACTTTATTAATAATAGATTTTGTATTAAGTTTTAATAATGCCTATTATGAATTTGGATCAATAGTAACAGATCGGAAAAAAATTGCTTAATATGTATTTACAAAAACATATGGATTGGATATATTATCAGTATTAATTCTGATAACTTTTTTAATTATTTCAGTTGTTTAATCACAGTAAGTAAGAATAACTGAAAATTGGTATCATCTATTGTTGTTATTATTTCTAATCTAATATAAAAATATATCTAAATTATCAGAACAAGTGGAAGAAGCTTTGAATTTATCAAAATAAGTGAGTTCATTATTAGAATTAGGTAAATTAATATTTTTATTATTCTTTGTCTTACATATATTTTCTTGCCTTTGGTTTTGGGTTGGTATTTATTCTTATAAAAATGATTACAAAACTTGGCTGAATTTGAAAAACTTAGAAGAAGCTGATTGGAATATCTAATATTTATATTCATTCTATTTTTCAACAGTTACTATGTTTACTGTTGGATATGGTGACATTACTCCACAAAGTACTTTCGAAACTGTACTTTGTATTATGTTTATGATGATTTGTAGTATTCAATTATCTTACAGTGTCAGTACTGTAAGTGCAATTATTGATAAAATTTCATTCTATTCTAAAGAGAAAAGGAAGAAGGTTTAAACAATAAATACTTATATGTAGAACAAAAAGATAAGTTATGAATTGTAATTTAAAATTAGAGAATATCTTAATTATTATTGGTAATGTAATCAATAAGAAGAAACAGAAGAAGAAAAAAATATTATAAATTAATTATCAGAAAATTTAAGAGAAAGTTTACAATTTGAAGCTAATTCAATGATATTGAATAATTGTCCATTATTTAAGAATCATTTTAGTGAATAATTAAAAAAAAAGTTGGTCAAAAAAATAAAATCAATTGTAGTTTAGCCAGAAAATATAATTGATTTTGATCATCTGTTTCCAAGTTAAAAAATGAATTAGTTTATATGTTTTGTAGAAGAAGGAGAAATTCAAATATTTATAGAAAATGAAATGTCATAAAATCATGTTTCATATAATTCGATATCAATAGTTAATACTGTTTCTAAAGGTAGCAGTCTTGGTTTGATGTCATTTATTACTGGAATCAAAGCAAGAGAAAGATTTAAAAGTATAGGATTTTCAAAATTATTGTTGTTGTCTAGAGATGATTTTCTTAAAATTATTCCAGAATTTCCAGAAGACTATGAAGCTTTTAGGGAAATGCATGATGATTTGATTTATAACTCAGATTCTGAGTTTCTTAAATTAGGATGTTTTTCTTGTAAAAGTGTTTCTCATAAAGTTATTGATTGTCCATTAGTTCATTTTATACCTGATAAAGAATATTTAGTTAAAAAACATTAATTTTCAAGGGATTAAAAAAGAAATGAAACTTTTAAGTTTAAATTTAGGAGAAATCCAAAAAGATAGCATGGATATTTTTCAGCTTATAATGATTTTGATTTAATTTAAGAAACTAGTGATTTATTTTAAGCTGATAATTATAAGTAATGTCTATTTTATGAGGAACTTGATGATGAAGTTGAAAAATAAAAAATACAATAAATAAATATTCCTAGACCTTCTAATTATTATATATAGGACTCAATTAAAGAGGAACCTGAAGAAGGTGTTTGTGTGGCTATGAACTTTTTAAATTAAAGAAAAAGTTTAATAAATAAAATCACTAAAAAATCAATATCTTTGTTAGTTGATGAAGATCTAGTACCGTTATAGCATTTTAAAGGAATCAATAAATTTAAAAGAGCAGTAGAAGTTATAAAAAGTATAAACAAGCTTACAAATAGGAAAAGCTCTAAAGCTTAGACAAAAAGTATTTTGGCATCTTTAAATATTGAAAACTATAAAGATTCTGAATAAAAGTAATTGTTAAATGGAATAAAGAAGAGATTAAAGTATATAGAAGATCATAATATTGAATGGAGGGAATAGGATATATAGGAAATGGAGTTTTTGAAGATGAGATTGGAGATGTTAATAAAACTTAATGCTTAGAAACCAGAAAAATTTGATTAGATAGAGAGTGTTAAATAATATAAGTTTTATAATATTCATAATAATGTAGATTAAATATTGACTATTTATAATGAATTTTATAAGGTCAAATTGAAAGAACAATAAAATATTCCACAAGTTTTTAAGTAATTTGTCAGATATTTGATGTATCCTTATTCATTTATTCATAAATATAAATTTAAATCAGATAATTTTAATGTAAGAGAGATTAAATAAGAGGAAACAGATTAATAAAAAAAGAAAAATAAATTCTCTAAATTGTTGACATTACATAAATAAAGTAAAAATTTAAGAAAAAAACTAAATGTAAAGAAAGCATAAATATAACCACTATGATTAAATAAATTATAATAATCATTATTATATTTCTTGCAATTATTCTCTGTAAAATAAAGAGTCAGGATGATTTTTAGGAAGTGTTTTATCTAAGATTTGAATACATTTAGTCAAGCACTATTATGCTGATTAAATGTTTCCAATTTATTTTAATAAGATACCAAGATTCCCATATGTAGTGGCAACAAGAGGGTGATCGTCACCTGATTAAGATTATTTTAAAATAACTAATGCATCTGCAAAGAATTTTTAACTTTTATCATATTCTTCTAAATGTTTACAAGAATTTCCTATATTATTTAATGTTAAGGCAACTTCAACATGATTCTCTCCTAACTTACTTTTCTTAATAACCAATGCTTTTTCATATGATGATTTTGCTTAATGGTAATCTTCCATTTCAAAATATACATTTCCTAAAACTTCAATTGTAGAAGCTACTTCTAAATTTCCAGAACCTTAAAGCTTCTCTCTTATTGATAATGCTTCTTCAATATTTTTCTTAGCTTTTCCTAAAGATCCTTTCAATCTTTAGATTTCTCCTAACATTGTTAAACCTTAAGCTTTTAATAATAAAGCCTAGTTTTATAATTATTAATTTTAATTATTGTAACTCAACATGCTCTATTATAAATTTTAATTTCCTGAGGCATGACCTAAAATAAATGTAGAATGATACCTTCAGTAATTCTGAGTCCTTTTTTCACTCTTTTAAGGGCATGTTTATAATCACCTAATAAGGAATGAACTTTTCCTAAGTTTATACTCATTTTTGCAAATTCTAAACTATCAGATCCTTTTTCTTGTTCAGTAATTCTACATGCTTCCTCCAGAAATGAACGAGCCCTAGCTAAATTTCCTTATAATCTATATCCATTAGATAGATTTTCTAATAAAAGAGCTCCTTCATAGCTGTCATCTCCATTATGACTAAAATAAATATAAAAATAAATAAATTACGCTTTTCTAATACAATCCAAAGCTCTTTCATAATTATCTAATGCTTCATTTAATTTGTTTTGTTCTCTTAATTAATGACCAATTTCATTATATAGGATACTAGCCTTCATAAAATAATCTTAAGCACTAGTCAAATTATTAATATCAATAAATCCATTTGCAATATCAAATAGAACTTCTGCAGCATGGAAATCATCTTTATCATTCTCATAAGTGACTAATATTTCTTCCATTTTTTCAAGCCATTTTTCCCATTCAAATAGATCATAATAAGCAACAGCAATCAATTAATAAACTTTAGTAGATTCAATGCCTGCATATTTCTTCTTGTATTTCATACTTTCAACAAGATTATCTTCATTAATAGGTATTTCTGATAGATATGATTTAGTAAACAAAGATAATTCTGCAGGTGTTAAACGACTAGATTCATCACCTACCAACATAAGTTTTAAGACATCATGATAATCATTACTAGTACCTCTACTACCAGCTCTTTGATTATTAAGTTTTCTTACAACATTTCTTAATTCAGTACTTTCAAAATTAACTTCTAATTAATCCATCATCAAAATATTTAAACCTAATTAATAAACATCAGATAAAAATGGATTATATCTTCCAACAGTTTATGCTCCACTTGCATCTACATATTTTTAGACTTCAGGAGGTAAATAATCTGGTACACCTCTAATTGTATTCAATAATTCTTCATTTTCTTATTAGATATTGATTCCCAAATTGTTGAGTGATAATTGGTTATGTAAAGTTTATGCTTTTTTAATAAATTTAGCTTCTTCAAAACCTCCAATTTTATATGTTTTACTTAAAGAACAATACCAAATATTATGTGGACGTAGATCTCTATGTGTAATATTTAATTATTCTAATTATCCTAATGCTTAAGCTAATTCACCAAATACATGTCTTATTTCATCAGATGTCCATTACCAATTATGAAATTTACGAAAAGATATTATTTCATGTAATGTTGAATCACAATATTCCATTAATAAAATAATGGATCCTTTAGAGTATTCTTTATCTTCATTTTCTAAAATGTAACAATCATGTAAAGATATTAAATTCTTATATTTATTTCCAATCAATTGCATGATATAGATTTAATATAAAGCTTATTTGAATTCATAATCTTCATAATCATTAAAATTGATCACTCTTAACGTGTATTTATTACCTGTTTTTTTGTCAATTACTCTCATTAATGATGTTTCAAAACAATTAGGATCTATAATAACAGACTATATAATTAATACAATTATTATACTTCATCAATATACCAATCTAACTCATCTTTATAAGAATAGTCATGACATACTACTCGTATTGATACTACAACAGAATCATTAGTAGCTAAATGACTATAAGGTTTAAGGTTCAAAATGAAGTCTTATTGTCTCTCATTAGAAAAGATATCTATAGATCAATCTCTGTTATACCTTTCTTATCATTTTCACCACTTGATATTAATACTTAATGAAATCGTTATGATTCAGGTTTCAATTTTTATTATAATCTCACTGGAATTGCTTAAGAAAATGCTTATTCATTGGCATCTCTATTGATTGGTTGATTTCCACAACATTGATTCCCCATTTTGATTTTTATTACGTTAAATAATTATATTCAATTACTATATATATATATATTTAAAATTCAAATTATGGAAGTAGATAGGTCAAAAGAGATTCTAAGTAATTTGTTAACTAAATAAATTGATTTGAATGAGCAACTATAAAATGAAAATGATGAATTAAATATAAATCTAAAGTGATTTATTATCTATATATTAGACGATTACTCAATCTCTTAAATTAAAAAGATAATTAATTGGAAGAAATAAAAGATAGAATTATTTAAGTTGATTAAACAGAAAATCAATATTAAAATACAATTTCTCATCAAACACAACAAATAAAATAAATCCAATCTGAAAATTAAGAATTGTTACTATAAATCTAATAGTAATCAGAAATTAGATACAAGATGGAATAAGAATTGTCTAAAATAATTGAATCTTTTGAAAGAATGTAAAAAATAAATTAGCAATAATAAGAAGAAATTAATTTATTATAAGAAAGAAATCAATAATTAGAAGAAACTTAAATTACTAATACAATATAAATTGAATAATATTAAAAGTAAATTAAATTATTGGTAAGTTCCAATGAAGATTATGAAAAATAAACAGACATCTTATTAAAATAAACTAATGAACTTAAATAAATATAAATTAAATTACTATACAATTTAGATGCAATATAAAAAGAAAAAGATGAAATGACAACTTAATTTGATGAAAAGCTTATTCAATTTAAATCTTGTTTCTAAAGTACTGCTGAAAATACTAAAGATTTAACTAATCAAGTTAATGATTTAAATAATCAAAATTAAATTTTATAAAAATAAGTAATATATTTATTTTATAAAATTAGAATTAATAATTAATTGATTAAATTGAAGATTATTAATCACTTTCATTGAAATTAGAATAAGAAAGAGATAAATATCATAAAGATTTAGAAATTACTATTTAAAATAATTCAAGATTATAAAATAATAATTCAAATCTTGAAAATCAATTAATTCAACTATCTCAAGATTAAGAATCATCTATTAAAAAAGTATTATATAAATATTATAAATTAGATGAAATATATGATAGAATAAATTGATGAATTAGAATAAGCTAATGATAGTTAATTAAAATAAAATAATGAACTTAAATAGTAAATCAAAAAGTTATAATTTCAATAAGATTAAGTTCTTAAAGAAAAAGAAGTAATTTATGAATAATTTGAATAAATCTAAAAAAATGCTCAAAATGATCATGAAGGAAATAGAGATAAATATATTAAATTAGATAGATCATATAAAGAATTGCATTGTTAATATGATGAATTACTTAATAAAGTATATATCTACATTAAAATTATAGTATAAAATTCAAAATTAAACATTTGAAGAATAATAAGTTCAAATTCAATTAAATATCAAAGAAATCAATGAACTCAAACATAATTTAAGAATACTTCAAGAATCTGAAAGAAAACATTCTTATAATTATGAAGTTATTAGTAAAGAGAAGTTTATGATAACATAAAAATTAGAAGAATCTTACTAAATAATTAAGGATTTAAGAGATTAATGTTAAATTCAAACAGAAAAATTATAAAAAACTGAAATGTTTAATAAATAATTGCTTATGGAAAATGAATAGTAATAAAAATAAGTATCATTATTAATATTCTTTTAGATTAAAGCTTAAGAAAATAAAATTGAGGAACATGAAGTACATATAGAACTGCTATAAGTTTAGATTAATCATAAATAAACTTAATAAATTGAAATGGATAGATAATAAGCACTAAAATAATCAACAACAAAAAAAAGTTAATCAGTTAATAAAGAAAATAATAATAATGAATTAATTAGATTAAAAAAACAAAATACAGAATTAACTAAAGAAGCTATTTCTTTAAATGAATAAATATTAGAACTTAAAGTAATTAATTATCCATAATTATTATAGAATGTTATTAATAAACTTAATGATCAACTTGCATAATAAAGTAAAGTAAAAACAGGTTTAGAATCAAGAATTTAAAGTTTAATAAAAGTTGTTGAGGAATTTTAATAAAAATAAATCTAGAAACAATAGGATAGTATAACAAAGGAGTAATTTCAAAATTAAGTTGAATAAATCAAAAAGAATTGTTATATTTAGATTTAATAATTAACAAGAGAAAATGAAGAATTGAAAAAATTATTACAAACATAAGCAAATCAAACTTTTAATTCTACTGAAGAAGTGTCTTCTTTATAAGATACAGTAGCAGACTTAAATCGAGAGAAAGTAAACTTAATTAGAGAGTTGAATCAAGAACATGAAGCAAAACTTAAATCTGAAGTTGAAAGAGATAAGTTAAAATAATAAATTGAATAATATCAACTAGAAATTGAAAATTGCCAAAATTAATTAGATCTCTATGTTAAAGTATTAAAACAAATGGATGAAAAACTAAAATAATAATGATTAACATTTTTATATTTGAATATTTCTCATTTATTATAATAATTATTTTATATTTTTTAAATAATAAAAAAATATCAATTTATTCTTTACTTTTATTTATTTTAGACATACATATAAACTTATATATATAATTATATATTTAATGAATTTTAAAATTTTTCTCGATATTTTATTATCTATAAATACATTATTAAAAATCTAATTATTTATTAACTTTAAAGATACAAATATTCTTATAAACAATATTACGATATATAAAAACTATTAATTTGAATCAAATATTTCTATCAATTTTTTTTATAGAGTTTAGTATAGTTTAATCTTATAATGATTCATATGGTATAACAATTAGAGCTTATCTGATAAGACGAACTCTTTTTTACAAAGTGATTGCTCTTAATATTATTACCAAATATAATATATTAATGCAGCCTATTCCTGCAATTATATAATATTATAGTATCATCCAGTAATCATTTTCTAAAATATCTTGAGCTGCTTAGATAATAATGTAATAGAATTCTAAAATTGCATAACTTAAGTCAAAAAAATAAGGTAAAATAATTTAGATATATTCTGAACTCTAAAGAAATTAATGAATATTAATGTGATTAGTATCCTCTATACCACTTTTTTCTAATGAATAATGAGTATTAAATATTGATATTATCCTAATTAATATTTTTAATATTTTACTGTTAATAAATGCCATTAATTCCATGTTAATAAATTTATTTATTATTTAAATTTGGGCTGGCAACTGGAAAGGTCGGAAAATAAATGAATTTTTCTTATTCATAAGTACAAAAAGGTAAGATAGTAGGGATAATTTCACAGAGATCTTTTTCATATAGATTAAGTAATAATTATTTATTTTATTCACTCATTTTTCTAGATTCTATTACATTATTATATATTTTTGAATAAATTTCATCCATATCATTTATTAAAGGTGCAAACTCTTTTAATAATTCAGTATATAATGTTTGAAAATACTTTTCTTTGTTATTTAATTGTGGATTCATTTTGAAAATTCCACTTACCATAGTTTCTTCAATTAGAATCTATTAACTTTTTAATAATTGGCTAATAATCATAATACCATCAAGATCTTATTTAAATTTTACATAATTCATAGCAATATTAAGTTCTGGTTAACTATTGTCCATATTTGTTTTCAAAATTATAAATGCAGATATGGCATAACCAGACAACAATGCATATAAGAAAAATAAAATAATTTATATATTTTTAATATTAAATTATGTTTCTTAAATACGAGATGTTTATTTTGCTCTTTATTATTATTACATTTTTACTTTGTTCTTCTCTTTTGATTGTATTTAAAATGAAAATTTTAAACTTTAATGTGTTATTGACATCTTAGATTACCAAAAGAAATCGCGAAAGTAATTAATGTTTTTCCAAGTTGAATGATTGTGATTTAGCTTTTATAATATGAAATAAATCCTAATTCCAGAAAATTCTATATCTTTTTCAGATAAGTTACCAATTAATAGCAAAATTGTTTACATATATTTATATGGTTACAGCCATTATTTATATTATAAGATTAACATTATAATAACAATCAACAGAATAATTACTAAAAATATTAGCTCTTCGACTTGATTTAATTATATTAAATTAAAAAAGTTTTCTTCAATTTAATTAACTATAGCTATTGTTAGATCTAATTAATTAATTAAATTGCCTTCTAAAAATTATAAAAGTATTTAAACTCTTTTAATTATTTCATCATTTTCATCAATTTTTTAGAGTAATTCATTTAATTAATCTACTTTTGCATTAACCAATGTATCAAATTCTATCATACTAACATTTTGTAGTTAATATATGTATTCATTAATTATTCGAATTTCCATTATAGGCAATTATTCCTCTTCCTCCATTATAGAAAACTCCTTTAAAAGTTCTGTCATTAAATTTTGAATTTCAGCATGTCTTAATGCACTTTCATTTTTTATTCTATAATCATAATAATCACCATAAGATTAGTTTATTAATTTTGATTACAATTAAAGTTAACCTATTGTGATAAATGTGCAAAATAATCTATTAAATCTTTAAGGTATTCTGACTAATGGTATACTATATTCTAACTTATTTGTGTTCTCTCTAATTATTGATAATTCAACACTGATTAGTATTATTAAAAATATTGTAAATATAATTGTTATCAATATAGTATTTATTATGGAAGTTTAATATTATTATGTGTATTATAATTTCTTTATTAAATTATATATGGAATTTTATGTTTTATTTGAAGTATTACTAGATTTAGATTGTTTTTCATGAACAAATTCTTCTTTTTAAATGACCTATTAAATATTCTCCTAAATATCTTTTTTAGAACTACTTTTTATTTCATTAGATTCATTTCCTCTTATGTATTCAGAGTCTTCATCAATTAAATCTTTTTATATTAATATATCTCTGTTTAATCTTGGAGAAATTAAATTACTTTCTTTTTGATCTCTCTCAATTATATTCTAAATATTCAAATCTTCTTTTTAACTAATATCTCTTATATTCTGTATTTCATCTGTATCTTTGATGAATAACTTATTAATTATGGGTTAATTAATCAACAATCCTTAATTTAATTCATCAAGATCTTCTTCAGTTTATATTTAATAGTCACTTATCATACCTAATTAAGATTTTATATTTATAAAAGAAGTATATAAACTTTATGTTCCAACATATTTTTTTTCTTTTTAAAAATATTCATTTATGGTTAAACGAAATAATTAATGACAACCCTACATTTAAATAAAATTCAAAGTAAATGTCACTTAGAAATAAATAGGATTCTGATATAATTTAAGCAATTAATCATTTATAAATTAATTTATTTAATTAATGTAATTTGATTCAAAACAAGTTATTTTAATTTATTGATTTTAATCTGTTTATGGATCCTGTTCTGTTTTTATAGAGTGTGTCTAAGTTAGAAAATGTAATTTTCTAAAGTTTTCATGATCTTTTATAAATGATTATAAATCATTTATTGGTTAGATTATGGTTGTTTAAATATTTTATAATTATGTTTATTAACTTTTAAATTGATCCTAATATTCATTAATCAAAAGTAAAAGATCCTTAAACCAAAAATATATATAAGAATCTAATATGTTGTTATCAAATTAATTCCTATCTTATGTTTAAGAATTAAATAATAATAATTAATAAATTGATTCTGCAATACCTAAGATTTTGCCAGATTCATCAAATAGTATTAAATCATCATTATCTATGTTTTTCTTTAATACAGCTGATAAGACATAATCCTCCATTTAATCATAAGAGGATATCAATTATAAAGTACCACTAAACAAGAATCCTGAATAATAAATTGGATATACATCCTAACTAATAATAAATAATGATGATTCCCCAGTTTATAGAAACATCTTCAAAAATTGTTCATGCTTTTTCTACAAATATTATGGTAATATTTAATTAATATGAGATATTTATTCATTAGAATCATCATTTGGAAATTAAAAAAAGTTATATAATTTTTATTTACTTTTGCCCAATATCATCCCTTGATATTTAATCATACTTACAGGTATAATAATGACATCATCATTTAATAAACCTAAATTTTGGATATTTCTAGATAAAACATATCTCTCAAAATTAAGAATTTCTTCTATTCTTTTTTCAATTTAAAGTGTTGTATAATAATCATTTAAAACTGTTGCAAATATTTAAGAGAGTAAACGTAAATCTAATAAATTAAGTTTAAACAATTCTTTTTAAAGAGTAAATATTTCTAAATTTAATTCCATAAAAACAATATCCTTCAAGTTAATTACTTTTTAACTTAAATGCATGGATACATTACTTAATTATTCAATATTTTCATAACCATTTAATAATTAATCCCAATATTTTATTTTTAATTCCAAAATCTACATAATCATTGGCTCACATCTTTCTTGTAAAATTTGACTTTATTTGATTTATTATAATTCTAATCTTCCTTAATTCTGTTATTATTTATTATCAATTTTTTTATACATATTTTATAAGACAAAATCTTGTAGTATACTAAAATAAAGACTTTGACATTTCTTATATATCTAAAACTATTTAATTTATATGTAAGCTAAGTTCTATTTATCTAAAGTATAATAAAGATATAAAATCTTATATGCATTTAGATCTTCATCTAAGAATTTCTCTTGTACTGATAAAGATTAAAAATTAAACAAAATTAAAATGTAATCATTAAACTATTTATCTGATATCATTCTTAGATTACTCAATACTAAATATCTAAGAAGTATAGTTGATATTATTTTAATACGAATAACGTTGTTATTTTTTTAGTAATATTCATCTATCATCTAAATAATTATCGATTTATTTAATTATGAAAGTTTTAAGTTTTGTTCATATATTAATTCCAAAACTTTCTTAGTTATGTAAGTTAACAATGGAATGAAAATTAAACAAAAATATAAAAACTCTATTTATGTCCAATAAATACTTAAACATTTAAGCATGGAACAATAAAATAATATTGATGAACCTATACAATAATTCAGATTCATTGATTAAGAGTAAGGTTAATTTAAAATTGCATCAATTATTTGAATTAAGAATTATATCAGTAGAATTATTGATTAAAACATTTCATCAATATAAGGAAATAATAATAAAAGGATTATTTCTGATAAATTTACAAGGTAATTATATGGACGGTATCTTTTAGTAAAAGGATTATTGCTAGGTAATAAGTAATTCCTTTGAATGTATGTAAATATGGAATAATTAAAAATAATTGGTATTATGCATATTATAATGATGATTTAATTCCCATTTTAGTATTATAATTAATGAATATGTATAAATGATGGATACAGATACAATATTTGCAAATAAGTGAAATATTAGTTTTGAAAATAATTAAAAAATCTCATCTAATTATTATTAAATAATGTGATCAAAGAAGATAGCCAATGAACTATAGAAATTAATATTACAATAAGAGATTTAAATGAATCCATTTCTATAGATTAGATTGGTTTCAATAAATGAAACCAATTGATTAAGTTTTTTATAAGCATTAATTATTTGTCCTAAAAAGTAATAAAATTTTAAATACTTAATATTCCTATTGATTGAATTGATCTACTCTTAGAATATAACTCAATCTCATTCCAATATATAAAATCCAAATAAATGATGGATTGAAATAATTCTTAGATTTTGATTCTCGAATGATCTCATATAAGTTGCTTAGTTTATTTTTTATTATTATAGAATTCATTAATTTAATGAATACATTGTTATTCATGTAATCATATAGAATATTTATTCAGTTATTTTTATATTATAAATTAAGAATAAACCTTTTAATACATAATCAAAATATGATTTGTCTTTTTATGTTATAAAATTTTACACCTTTATTTATTTTATATATTAATTATAATCATATTAATTTATTTTTAATATTATTTTTTTAATATTTTTTAGTTATTGATTGATAAATATTATGATAATAATAATGAAATAAATATCATTCTGTTTTTGATGAATTTATTCAAAGATAATAAATTGTTATTAAACATTCTTTTTAGAGAATAGTTTAAGGAAGCTTAAGTAGATTTATTTCTTAGTTTTCTTTTATTCAATTTTTAATTGTTAGAATTAAATAGATTAGATTAAGACTAATAAGAGTTGAAAGTAGTAATTCTCTCTTGAATATAATTTATTGTTAATGTTTATATATATTAACAATACACATAAATATATTACAATTGTTTAGATGATCAAAGAATTTTAGTGAAGAAATTTTTAAGATTTAATATTAATTTTAAATCAGATGGAATTTGCTACAGCACTTGTATTTATATTCATAGCCTGTGCTTGCGGTATAGTTTGGGCCATATTTAATTGGATGGCAGTGCACAAAGTGGAAATACATCATAAACATGAAGGATTAACTGAATTACTATAAGGAGCTGAATAAGAAAAGATTGAGACCTTGTTAGAGATAGGAGAACACATATAAGATGTAAGAAAATAAGTTTATGATAGGGTGCTTAAGCATTTTTAAGAGAAGAATATACAGATTGCTCAGTATTTTTAGCAATAATGGCTGCATTATTGATTGTAAGTATATTAAAAATAATCTTAGTTCATTTCACCATGGTCATCATTGGCCTTTATTTTAGGAGCAGGAACATCAATGCTTTGTGGTTATTTAGGTATGGCAATTGCAACAGCTGCAAACTTTAGAACAGCTTTTTCAGCAATCACATCATTAGCGAATGCGTTTTAAGTAATTATGAATTTAAAAATTACAAGATGGCCTATAGAGGAGGATGTGTAATGGGATTCTTATTGGTTTCTATATCACTAGCAATTCTCTCACTTATCATAATTATATACAATGCTGTTATTGTAAAAAGTGATGAAAACAATTATGAAGATTTGGTGAGAATGTTTGATTATGTTGCTGCTTATGGATTAGGTGGATCTACATTTGCCTTATTTGGTAGAGTAGGTGGTGGAATATACACTAAAGCTGCAGATGTTGGAGCTGATTTAGTAGGAAAAGTAGAGAAGAATTTACCTGAAGATAGTCCCAAAGTAATATATTTATAATTACTATTTATAGAATCCAGCCACAATTGCTGATAATGTTGGTGATAATGTTGGTGATATTGCAGGAATGGGAGCTGATTTATTTGGATCATTTGCTGAATCTACTTGTGCTGCTTTAGTTGTGTCATCAACTCAATTAAGAGTTTAATCTGATACAGGTAATACAATAGAAATTGGATAATTGATGTATCCTTTAATGGTTTCAGCATTTGGAATTGGAATATGTATATTAGTATCTGCTTATGCTGTTTACATTTCAAAAGTAAATCATATTAACAAAATTGAATCTACATTGAAATTTTAATTGTTACTTTCAACTCTTGCTTTATCTCCAATTATTATTGGTATTTCATATTGGGCTTTACCACCTGATTTTATTATGATTGCTGCTGATGGTTCAGTCTAATTATCAGGTCTAAAACCATATCATGCATTCCTTTGTTCTTTATTAGGATTATGGTCAGGATTGTTAATTGGTTATTTTACTGAATACATGACTTCACATTCTTATAATCCAGTAAGAGAAGTAGCCAAATCTTGTGGTACAGGAGCAGCAACCAATATTATTTATGGATTGGCTTTGGGATATCTCTCAACAATAGTTCCAATTATAGCTATTGCAGTAACTGCATTATTATCAATGAAAATGCTTTCATTTTATGGAGTTGCCTTAGCTGCTTTGGGAATGTTATCCAATTTGACTATTGGATTAGCTATAGATGCATATGGACCAATATCTGACAATGCAGGTGGTATTGCTGAAATGAGTGAATTGGGAGCAAATGTTAGAGAATCTACTGATGCTTTAGATGCAGCTGGTAATACAACTGCAGCTATTGGTAAAGGATTTGCTATTGGATCAGCAGCCTTAGTATCATTATCACTTTATGGTGGATATTTAACAAGAATATAGACTTACAAAGTAGGTGATGAATTCCCATTCTCTGAAGGTGCTAAAATTGATGATCCTATAATATTTGCTATGTTATTAATTGGTGCTATGTTACCATATGCATTTTCTGCTTTTACAATGAAATCAGTTGGAAAAGCTGCTTTATAAATGGTTGAAGAAGTTCGTAGATAATTACATGAACACCCTGGTATATATGCAGGAACAGAGGAACCTGATTTTAGAGCTTGTATTGCTATTTCAACTAAGGCATCATTAAAAGAGATGATTCCTCCTGGATTACTTGTAAATTATTTGATTTATTTGAATTTAGGTTATAGTGACACCTACTGCAGTTGGATTGTTCTTTGGACCATAAGCAGTTGCTGGTTTATTACCAGGAGCATTGGTAAGTGGAGTACAAATGGCTATATCTGCTTCAAACACAGGTGGTGCTTGGGATAATGCTAAGAAATACATTGAAGCTGGTTTTTATAGAAATGAAGCAGGAGAAGTTAAGAAGAAAGGTTCAGATGAACATAAAGCAGCTGTTATAGGTAAAATAAATAATTATTTTTAGGTGATACTGTTGGAGATCCTCTTAAAGATACATCAGGACCATCATTGAATATTTTGATTAAGTTGATGGCCATCCTTTCTTTGGTATTAGCTGGAGCATTTTGTAGAACTGGATGGTTGTATTAAGGATGATCGTATATGATTTATCAAATATAAATATCAAAAACATTATTTAATTTATGGTAGAAGATTCAAAACCTAAAACATATACTTAGAAATTACAGAAATAGAAACAGAAATAAAAATTGCATTAGAAGATTCAAAATAATGATTCTGATGATGAATTTTTAAACTAAATGATACTTAAGAATCAAGAAAATCAGAAATTGTAAGAGATCTAAGAATAGAAAGAAAAAGAATAATTATAGATCAAATAATAAAAAGGACCTGCTTATAATATTGATTAACCTTTAATATATTCCTCATTTGTTGATAATACCCATCTTAGAAATTTAAATAATTGGTAAGAAAAGGAATTCAAATTATAAACATAACCACCAACTATACCAATTTCTTAGTAATTTAAAGATTAAAATTTCCCAATTTCACATGAGATTCCATATTTGGGAGAGAAATCAACAAGAATAAGTTCAGATGAAATGAGAGAGAAAGATCAAATTCATGAGAAATAATTAAAAGCTTTACGTAAAGCTGCTGAATGTCATAAACAAGTAAGATAATATACACAATAAAAATTATTAAAACCAGGAATGAAGTAAATTATTAATTAAATATTCTAAGATTAATTGATATATGTGAATAATTGGAAGATATGAATAGATATCTTATTGAAGCTAATGGATTAGAAGCAGGTATTGCATTTCCAACAGGATGTTCTTTGAATTTTTGTGCTGCACATTGGACACCAAATCCAGGAGACAATACTGTTTTAGATTATAATGATGTTTGTAAATTAGATTTTGGTACTTAAGTTGATGGATGGATTATTGATTCTGCCTTTACTGTAGCTTTCAATCCTCGTTATGATAAACTTTTAGAAGCTTCAAAAGATGCTACAAATACTGGTATCAAAACTGCAGGTATTGATGTAAGATTAGGTGATGTTGGTGCAGCTATCCAAGAAGTTATGGAAAGCTATGAAATTGAATTAGATGGTAAAATTTATAAAGTTAAATCTATCAAAAACTTATGTGGACATTAAATTTGTTAATATAAAATACATGGAGGTAAAAGTGTACCTAATGTTAAAAATAATGATAATACTTTAATGAAGGAAGGTGAACTTTATGCTATTGAAACATTTGCATCAACTGGAAAAGGAGTTGTTTATGATGATTTAGAATGTTCTCATTATATGAAAGATTTCTATGCTAAACAACCAATTATAAAAAATCCAAAAGCAAAATCATTATTGAATCATATAAATCAAAAATACGACACTATTGCCTTCTGTAAAAGATATTTAGAACGTGATAAGCAATCTAATTATCTTTTAGCCCTTAAAAATTTGTGCGATCTTGGAATCATCAATGCGTATTTTATATATATCTATCTTATTTAGTTTGCCACCACTTTGTGATATTAGAGGTTCATATGTTGCTCAATATGAACATACCTTGTTTTTGAAGCCTAGTTGCATCGAAATCTTATCCAAAGGAGATGATTACTGAAAAAGATCAGGAATTATTAAAAATTATACATACAATATACATACATAACATACATATATCATAGATCTTCTCTTTGGAAACTTTAATTTTCTCTAATGAATTCTGCCATTGCTTCTGCTGTACGAGCCTTTTAAAATTTAATTTATTCTGGTTTTTCACCGCCCTTTTTAAAGAAAACTAAAGTTGGGAATCCTTTAATTTCCACTGCATCAGTTTTATGTTAAGTCCAATCCATTTCAGCAATCAACACATTCTAATTATCTGCTAAATTAGCTGCTAAGGTTTTGTATGCTTCAGCCATATTCTTGCAATGACCACACCAGGGAGCAAAGAATTTTACTAAAACATCTTGTTTAGATTCCAAAACAATAGAATTGAAATTATCAGCTGTTAATTCAATTACTTTTCCTTCATTTTTGACATCAGCAAATACTGAAATTGCTAAAACCAAGAGTATTAAATATTTCATATTAATAATTAAAACATTCAAATTATTTTAATCACAATTTATAATTAATCATTTTTAATATTTGTAGTTTTAAAATACAATTTTTATAAATATATTATATACATTATACATCATATGATAGATATTCATATAATCCATAATATATGGATAATATGAATCAAATAGACAATAAAATGATATTTTTAAACTTTATTAAGTAATATCTATTATAAATATTACTTAATTCCAGTAAGTATCTAAAATACTTTATAAATATCAATAATAAAGTTAATTAATTTCTAAAATCCCTAAAGTGATTACAAAGAATTATTGAATATAAAATAATAATTATATGTGACTTTTCTTTTATCAGGAGGAAGATTCTCATAATATAATAAATTTGATTAAAATTTATATAAATCAATATAAACATTTATTAAAATATATATATTGAAAATGATGAGATTATGAATGTGAGAAAAAGTTAGTATAGATGAAAATTTTTGTTGATTATTTTCAGTGCATCTACTTTATCCAAATAGAATCAAGGGTATTAAAAGTATCTAGAGAATCAAATTAAATAAAACATGATTTTTTTGAGAATATCTTTATTCATCATTACACAAAAAATAACACATATTCTCATGTCTAATTCCTTTATTGGAATAGAAAGATTTTAAAATAAACAATAGTTGAACCTTTAGATCTTTAAATTGAGTATAATATAATTCATTATATAATGAATAAAATAATAAAAAAAATTAGCCAGTTAGTTTTTATTACTAACTGCTTAAAACAAAAATTATATTCGAAACAGGCTGACTTATTTGGATCATCTGTTCTATGGATTTGTGAGTATTCATTGATAAATTTTTATTAAAAAACAAGGATTTAGTTCCCTTTCCTGATATAAATACTAATGGATTTTTCTTTGTAAAATAACAATTTAATTAAATTCACACATTCAATGGGACCTTGCTCCTCAAGAAAAATATAACCAACCTAGTCTTTACATCTGAACAACATGAAAACTAATATTTAAGGTACTTCTAGGATGAATTAGTCAAATATGTTGTTACTATATCAAAAAGACAGAATAATTCAGCCTTACAACCCAAACAGTTCAAATAAAAAAATATGTCATTAGGTCTTCAATATTAATATAATGTTGATGTAGAAGGAGTAATTTTTGACGTCATCGCTCCTCCAGACTTATTAGAAGATGACAATTTAGAGCCATTTGAAGGGGAATAATGAGATAGTATCAGTTTAATACCAACCTCACATTTATATATATATATGAAATTTAGTTATAATCTTTCATTTGTTTCCATTTTGAATGAGAAACTTAGTACAATATTAATAATTACTATAAAACTTGATCCCAAATTCTGAACCCAAAAATAATATTTTAGTGAATATGAGTTACAATAGAAATCATGAACCAGAGACCTTTTTGATAATAAAATACTCTTTAACCATTTAGAATTCAAAGAAATTTTTGATTTATTTTACACTGAAAAATAAAAAATTTTTAAATAAATTTATTCTTTAGGTTCTTTGTGATATCGTAATTGTAATTTTATGTTTTTTGTTTTTAAATATAAAAAGAAACACATACAAAAAACATTTGATATAAACAATTAGCATTTATATAATTTCCATTAAATCCTTTTTTGAATAATATCTTTACTCAAGGAAGAGTAAAATTTAAAACATATATTTTAAATTTATGGAAATAATATTAATTTAAAGTACAAAGAGCTTGAAGGTAATAGACTATTTTAAATCACTGATTTAACACAATTAATTAATATAAATAAATTAATATCACTTAATAATAAAGCAAAAAAAAATAAATACTAAAATTCAATTAGTTGTTTTTAAATTTTAAATGTAATTACAGTAGTATGCTTCTGAAATATTCCATCTTGCTTCCATATTATAAGTTAAACATTTAGTAATAAAATCCTTGCATTCTTAAGAGATATTTGGTTTTTAAGGAAATTTAACTTAATAAGAGTTTAAAATAACTCTTTCCTAAGAAATATTTCAATAAAATTATACTTATGCTATTCTTTCTTAAGACATTCCATCTCCAAAAGGTTTTTTACCATAAACCATTTCAAATAAAATAACACCTACTGACCATACATCAACTTTTGTGCTAATTTAAATATTTGGTTATTCTAAAAAACATTCTGGAGGTAAATACCAATAAGTTCCTAATCCTTCAGATGTTAATTCTTATCTAGTTGTATCATAATCTAAAACTTTGCATAAACCAAAATCAGTAATTTTGACTTCACCTTTATGAAATAATATATTTTAAGGTTTTAAATCATAATGGATAATTTTAGTTGGACTACAACTCATATAATGTAATGCAGCCAATACTTAACGAATAATCAATTTTGCTTCTTTTTCAGCTAATAACTTATATTTCTTTAAATGTTGATTTAAATCTGTTCCATCACAAAATTCTAATACAGTACTATTTGTTGTAATAATAAATACCAAAAGGAATCTTAATCAATTTCTTATGTATCATATAATGATACTATATTAATATGTTTCAATCTCTTATGAATGTCATTCTCTCTTAATGCATGTTTAATATAATTATTTTTAGCATTTTCATTCCATTATGGATTTAAATAATGTATTTTACAAGCACAAACTCTAAATTCTTATAAATCAAATGATTTATAGACTTCAGAGAATCCACCTTTACCCAATAAACCTAAAGTTTAATATCTAGAAGCAATAAGTGGCCATTTTGGTTCTGCTCTATAATATCGACAACTAAAAATGATCTATAATATTATACCTTTATTCTTCCATGAATCTTCTTGTTTTATATGCTAATTATTATTTCTCTTCTTCTAATTTTTATAGTTTTAATTTAAGTTCTTCTTCTTCTTTTTTTAATATACTTAATTAGAATTAGATTCTAAGTTTCCTTTAATTATTATCTAAATCTCCATTTTATTAATCTAATTCAAATAATAATTTAGTTTATTTATCTTTTTATATTTTTGATAAGGATTTATCTTTAATTTCATTTTTTTATTTTTCTAATTCATTTCTTTCATTTTCTAATTTTTATAAATTTTATTTAACTTGCTTTATTTCATAACCATCTTACCATTCTTCAACAAATCTCACATTATTTCTAGAACTAACAAATTCACCCAATCTATAACGTTCCCTCTCTAAATATTCCCTCATTTTTTCCCGCTTCAATTCTTCAACTTATTTCAAAGCTTCTGCAAATACTTCTTAAGTTCTTTTTTTAAAAACATTATGTTATAAAATTAATTCCTAACGTTCATTTTCTAATTATTATTTCTCTTATCTTAATTATTTTTCTATTTATTCTTTCTCCATTAATTTTTATTACAATTTATTTGCATCATCATCACTTTATTTTTAAACTGACTATAATATAACTTTACTCTCTTTTGGTTTAATATATACAGTTTTATCATTTCCTTATTGTTTCTACTTACCTTCTTCTGTATTCTTTTACTATAACGCTTTAATCTAATTACCCGCTTCATTGTTTACATCTTTAGTTAGTTTCAAGTATTTGTAGATTGTTTAACAATTAGGTGGATTAACTAATGCTTATTAATTATTATCATTAGATGATTCATCATCACTTTTTAATTTTTGGACAATCTTTTTCTTAGGTAATTCTGTATCAATCCTTCTTTTTCTACTTATCTTTTGTCTATCCTATGAATTCTCAGGATTCTGATTAAAATAATGAGTTATCAATTATTAATCTGAATTCGATTTTTGTATTTCTTCTGACATTTTTAGTGTGTTTTTTTATTATTATTAATTAATTATACATACTTGTATATAATAATGATAATAGAAATTAATTAATAACACAAAAAAAGGTTGATATGTTAATTAAATCATATTCTCTTTTTGGAACCTTAAATTGAACCATCATTTTTTTATGCTCTTCTTTAAGAAATCAATTTTCCATAAGCTTTCATTACTTTTTCTCCTTCTTCTTTCTTCTTTGGATCATTTGCCATCAATGCATCCAACAATTTCTATCTCCTTATTGTACTTATGATCAAACTAAATGGTAGATTCTTATTAATTGGTTAATTGCTTCCATGTCCTAAACGTCCATTAATCATATCTAAATTATATTATATATTTTTATACCTTTAAAAAAATCAATTACCATTGTCTCTTTTGAATTACTTTTACCATCTCCATTTTTATTTTTAATAATTTCTAAGAATTCTTTAAATTCAATAGATCCATCATCATCAACTGTATAAATGAGTTTTTTAACATCTTCACGTGATTCAGCTATACCCAATGAGATTAATGGTTCCTCTAATTCATCTATACCAATAGATTCTAATCATTTAAAATACAATTTTATACTTGATCCATCCTCATCCAAAGAATTGAAGTATTATTTTAATTAAGAACGCTCTTTATCATTAAAGTCAATCAAATGCTTATTTTTTCTCTTTAATAACCAGTGTCTCAACATAGCTTCTTACTTATTTTAGTAATCATAACTTACCAGTTTCGAATCTTATTCATAAAATTCTTTAATTCTCTTATTCTTTTTAGCAATTAATTCTTCATAAGTAATATTTTCTAATCCTTATGTTTTTATCATTTCTCCAATTTATTCATTAGTGTAATTAGTAAAATCCATATTATCATAATCCATTTTATATAATAATAAAACAAATTATAAACAAATAATTTTCATGTTTATTCATTAAACTCTAATAATTTATAATGTTAAATGAATAATAATATCTTAATTAATAAAATATATAAGTTTCACATATACAGATATATAAGTTTAATTACACACTCATTTTTAACTTTATAATTTATGGTTGATTACTATATAAATCATATTTTCTAGACAAGTAGTAGAATAAAATTAAGAGATATTAGGAATGTATTTTTCTTGACTAGAGGATCTTTTAGGAATACTTTAATATACATCAGGATATTGTTCTTCAATTATACTTACATTTGTAGAAGCATGAGAACTTTTTAATGTTTTTCGAAAATATTTTAATTCTTATGCTGGACTTTCAATAGCATCATCAGGAATTGCAGGAAATGTTAATAATATTTTACCTCCTGATTCAAAAGAATTAAAACTCTTTTAATTTTTTTATCTTTTATCTTATACATTTAAGAGTCTCCTTCTATTTTCTTCACCTGCTGAAGGTTTTCTCACTAAATCTCTTTAAGCAAATTTTAGAATATTGTCAATTGATAATCTACTTTTGTTTTACTTTTAAATATTAAATTTTATTTAATTTTGTTTCTTAATCTATAACATCTTAAGAAATCTGTCAGCACTTTCTTTTGTTCTTTTCTTTCTTTCTTCTTCTCTCTTATCTTCTATTAATTTTTAATTAAATTCTGCTTTTGAATTAATTATTGATATTATAGTGCCAAGATTACATTTTGGTGTGAATCTAATATATTCTTTCATAGATTCACCAACAAAAGAATCTTTAATTTATTTATCTCTTAATACTTTTTATGCTAATTTAAATTTAGTCATTTATTTCTTTTTATTTAAAAAGTATTCTATATTTAACATATCTTTAACAATTTTATTCTAAGCTTTTATATATTTATCATTTTTTAATAATTATAAAGTTTTTTGTTTTTATCTGTTCCTTCTATTCTTTTTAAATTTATTTTGAAATTTTTAGATAACATTAATTCTATCATATTTCGAGATCATTAAATGTGAATAAGGACAATAATTTGCTATATGATTATTTTCTTAACATAAATAACATTATAATTTTAAAGCACTAATATCTTATTCTATTTCAATTTAGAATTTTATTTCAAAATATTTTTCCATATCTTCTGGAGATAATAATTGAAGAAATTTACTCCTACATAATGTTAATAAATTTATGAAATTGGTTGCTATTATAGTAGAACATCTTGGTACATTTGCAATAAAACCTATTTCACCAAAATAATCTTTTTTTTTTAATTCATATTAAATGTTTTCAATTTTCACACTACCATTTAATATATAATAAATCTATTTATTTTCAATATCTCCTTATTATAATATTATATCTTCAGGACTATATGTTTATTCTTTAAAATAATAAACTAATTTCTATAATAACTATGAAGAAAAGTTTTAAGAAAAGAGTAAACAAGATTAAGTAATTTTTTAATGAATTAATTCTAAGATTTCTCTCCTTAGATTTTCTGATAAGTTTTAAAGTACTTATTGTTCATAACTATGTTATATTTATTCTTATTATTATAACCATTCTAAATAGTTTTTAATTCTTGCTATTAATTATTTATTTACTCTCTTTTATTTTAAATATAACATTATTTTATCTTGTTTTTCTAATAACTCAATTACATTCTCTTCTTAATTTTCAAACAATAAAACTATAGAATTCATTATATAACCAAATAGACCTGAAGAAAATATCATTACTATAACACCAAAAGTTCTTTCTATTGTTGTTATTGGAAAGATATCTCCATATCCTATTGTAATCATAGTTGTTATAGAAAAGTATATTGCTACCAAATATTATGATACCCAATAGTTTGTATCCTAATAAATAATATAATTTTCTAATTGGTATATCTAATATCTTGTATACCAATTTAAATCTGATCCCTCTATGATCCTAATTAAATTCCATATGCAAGCAAGCCAATGTGCTAAACATAATATAATTATGCAAATCTTTATAAAAGCAAAGAAAGAAATGACTGATTTTGCCATCATCAACTGATCTTCTAATTGATTTATGTATTTCTTTAACTTTAAAGCCCTTATTAAACGAAGTATTTTTATAAAACGAACAACTCGAACTATTTTTAAAATTTATGAATTTCTTTGTAATGATTCTGCTGAATTTGATTTTAGTGTAAATTCTATAATCATATCATATGGAAACGATGAAATCAAATCTAGCCAGAACCAAGATGAAAAGTAGTTCCAAAATACTTTTTTATGAGAAGTAATTAAATTTCCTCTATTATAGTTAACAATATACTTATAATAATAGCTTGTATGAAAGGAAACTATAATATCTAACAAAAAGTAATAGTCCATTATTTAGTTACAAATATCGTAAAACAAATCTAATTCTATGGAAAATGTTATAATCAAAGGAATTGTAATCATTTAGACAAAAATGAAAAGCATTCCTACTAAATCCCAACTCAATTTATATGGGCTATCTGGTTTGAAAGGCTTAAAAAACTCTTAGATAATGGTCTTTAAGGTTTATTTAATGACTTTATCATTTTTACTGTAGGTGTCTTCAAATAAAGCAACATAGCGTTCCTTATACATAATTATTATAATAACTCATCATACTCATTATTATTAAGGCTTCTCAGATTTTGTAAAACTATTTCCACTAATTATGGATGGAATCAACTATAACATAGATGGGATTTATTACTAAAACCTAGATTACTTTTCTCTCCAACCTTCATTATTCTAGAAATAGTATACTTCTTACTTTTAATAAATTATCATTACTTTTCCTTAAACGTTCTATTTCAACATTCAATTAACTGATATTATTCCTAATTAAATTCAATTCACTTTCTTTTGATGTAAACTTCCTTTTCTATATTTCTATTTCCAATTCTTAACTGGCTAATTTATTGTTTGATTCCAATTTTTCATTATACAACTTATTTTAATCCTAATTCAATTTTTGAAATATATTTCTCCAGTTTTCAACTTCCTTTTCTCTTGCTTCTTCAGTCATTTCCAAAATTTAATAATCTGAATTATCATTCTTCAATAATTGTAATTAATATCAAGAATTCTCTTTTTGCATATTCTTTAATTCTATATTTTTCAAACCAATAATTTCATTCAATCAATTGCTCATTCTAATGAATCTGCTTTTTATTCATTATATTTTTTAACTTTGGTTTCTATATCAGTAGACACTATTTTTCAATTTCTCTTATTCTTTCATGTATATTATAATCATACTAATTTTATAATCCTATAACTTATCACTTGAATTCTAATATTTTTCAATTGAATAGTTTCTGTATTTTTCTGAATACCTATTCTATCTGTTCTGGTCATTTTATATTAAATCTCTTAATAATTTATCTTATTGTATATTGAATTCCTTTATATTAGTTATTAACACTTAATTATCTTAATTTAAATCTTAAATATCTTTTTATTATTTTTTAATAATCATCTCTCAATATTATCAATCCTTCAATTCTATATTTTATTAATCTATTTTTTTTCTAAAATCTTTACTTTATTATCAACGTCCATTTTCCAAATCTTAAAACTTTGTCTACCATTAGCTAATTTTTATTATTATTTATAAAACTTTTAAGTATATTTACTTATTATTTTAATGATTATAATCTAATATTGCTTTATTCTTATTAACTTATTTGAGGGTTTAGGATATCATCTTTAGTTATTCACATTCCTTAACTTTCATATTATAAGCAATTCTTAAATTAATTTCATCCAATTCACTTTTAAACATAACCTAAAATTGAGTAAAAATAGATTGTTTCTTCCTATCCACATCTTAAAGTTCTTATATACTTATTCACTTAATTCTAATAATTATTTTTATTCAGATTTCAAAACCTATATTCTTTATTCTAATTCTCTATATTTATCCTACTTAATATTATTCATTTTCATTTCTATAATTTTATATACATAATGTTTAAGTTTTATTAAATTAATTTTATTTTATTATTTTGTTATGAATTAATTTTACCAATTAATCTAGTAACTCTTGATTATTAAAGATCAACTTATTTTCTTTTTTTCTATCTTCTAATAACTTAATTTTTTATTTTCTTAGACAATATTACATTAATCTATTCTTATTATATAAGTTTAAATGAAAAATGGATATTAATTGATTATTCTTATGTGACAAAGAGATCCAATTATTTATGAACTATTTAGATTATTTAGGTTATTTTTCAACTCCTTATTTTAAATTTATATTATTATTTCCTCTTCTTTTATATTATTATTTATAGAAATAACAACAATATTTTAATTATTATATTTTTTATTAACCCTTTTCTTAGACATAATATTATTATTATACTACTAATTATATAAGATAAAATTCAAATATATAACTAAAGTCCTGGTAATTCAATTTTAATTTGAATTTCAATAATCTCCTCCTTTATTCTTGTTATGCAAACAAGAAGCAATCAAACATGAAAATAGAAGCTAACGTCTTCTCCCTAACCTCAAAAATATATATATCGACATTCATTGTTAAAATATTTTTATATGTTTGGTTATATGACTATTATGATCTTATCAATTCATTCTTTTCAAAATTGACTCGATAGCAAAACTTTTTCTTTCTACTTCAGCGCAGTTATCAAGAATGCATTCCATCAATGAATAAGACTATGGTACTTTTTATAAACATGTATCAAACTAACAAATTTAAGTTATATATGTACTTTTTCCAAGTCCTAATCTTAGTCAAGTCCATTAGCACAGTTTTAAAGGTTGTCTGAACATCCTTTTGCTTTTGCACAAGCAATTGCTTGTTTTCTGCAATTCTTAGCCATGCATTTAGTTAATGCATCATCTTCATTCTTGTGGACTTATCTTGCGGTGATTGTTAAAACCAAAAGAGCAATAATTAAGATATATTTCATTATTAATAATTGTCATTAATAGATAACAAATTATTGCTTATATACTTAAATAATTATCATTAATATTTTAATAATGATGAGTAATTAAATAAACCAAATGATTCATTCTAAATTTAAATAAAGTAATTAAAAATAATTCTTATCTGTTCTAAAATTAAAACTTTCAAATCCAACTTTATATAATTTATATAATATTATAAAAATAAAATAAGTTTTCAGTTAAAATAAAATTAACATTATAATTACTTATAAATAGCATAAAATGGTGTTAGATTTAATCTTTAAATCAAATGCTCAAAGAAAAAATTGAAGTAAATGATTAGATAATATCAATTATAAATTAAAGAATAAATAATAAATAATACTAAATAAAATGATATTCAGCATTTTCAAATTCTAATAATTCAAGATCTTTTAAACTATTTAGACTAAAATTATTAAGTTTCAACACTAATAAGTGTTTTAGATGCGACTAATTTATTTTTTTTAACTTTATCTCTGACTTCTGATTTAACTTTTAAATCATCCATATTTTCAAATTCTTCTAATTATTTTTTGTAATCAGGATAAAATTTTAGAACAAACTCATATGCCTCAACATCAAGTATATCAAGTTTGTAAAGTGCTGATGATAATAAATTTTAGAGGCATTCTTTCATTTATACTAAAACCTTTTTGATTTAATCTTTTGTTTCATTTCTCTCTTTTTATTATTATTTTAGTAATTAATCAATTGTGTTTTTATTTTTATTGGCATTCTCATGTTCGTTCTTTAAATACTCATCAGTTATTATTTAAGGAACTAAAATAAAAATATAATTTTACCATCTCTAGATTACCAATAAAACTCTTCTTATGTATGACATTAAATGGAATGGTTACATTTTTAACAAATAAGTTAAGAACCACTAAGAATCATCTAATTGCAACCATCTACTCTTTTGCTTTCACATGTTTTGCAGCAAGTCTTTCCACATTCATTACAGTTAGTTGAGTAGGCTTTCTTCCCATTTTTGAAAATTTCAATTTTATTCCACTTAGTTATATAAATCGTGGATTCATACATCTTTGTATCTTCTATTTTATTTAAGTATATCTTCAACTTACGATCATTTTCATCTAGTGATTTGAGAACTTTTATAAACTACTATAGTTTCTTTTACAATCCTCCTAATTCATTCTTGATTTGTGTCCTTTAATTAATGACTAAGACTGTTCTTTCTAAGCTAAATCCTTTATTTTCATCATCTATAATGAAATCATATAATCTTTCATAGTTCACAAGATTTTTTTTGAAATGAATATTCTCAATAAATCCTTGCTTTTTCGCTCTGAATACAGAATTTTAGAATTAATAATAGAATTCTTCTTTGTTATATTTTTTTTCCTCTTGAAAGTTTTAGGTTTGTTATATATTATTAGTTTATCCTAAATTTTAGGTCCCCATTATGTTCTACTATTAATTTCCCTATCTTTATTTTATCATAATTTATTCTTCCCTAACAGAGTAAAAAATAGAATCTTAACTCTCAAAATTTTAGGTACTAGTGGCAGTGAAATCTGAAAAAGTAAGACAATGTTTTGTGAATGCACACATTTCAGTTCCAAATAACTTGAGAATACTTAACATTGATAATTATAAAAATGTAGGATTACTATCAATTACTTCATATTAAGTAGATGATTATGATACAAATAAAATAGCATGCAAATTTTGATTTTTATTATAAAGATGCTCTTCAATATATTTAGATATTTAAGTAATTCTTTCTTAATCTTTTAATAGACCTTCAGTATCAGCTAATCCTGGTGTATCTATAAGGTTTATAAGAATATCACCAATTATAAATTTATATGATGATACTTCATTAGTATCAGATTAAGCTTGTTGATCTTTCACTTTTACTATTTCAAAATAATCCAAAGAAAACTGTTTTCCTTTTTCTCTAGGTTTGAATTCTCTTTCAATGGCTGTCACAAAACTATTGATAAATGTGGATTTTCCTTATCCTGTTATTCCTACTATTAGTATATTTCTAATTTTATTTATATTATGAGGAGATTTATTATAAGTTAATCTATTTAGATTCTCAATATTTTTAATAATAATTTAAATATCTTCTTCTTTTGATTATCGTAACAAATAGTTATTTAGAATTTATTTTTCAGCTTCATTAAGTCTTTTGCCAGTTTTTGTATTTGAATTCATTTAATAAGAGGAGAGCAAGTCTGCCATAGATTTGATATCATTTATTTTAAAGTATGTTTTCCATTTATTTTTTCTATCAATATCAGCCAACAATTTAAAAAATTCAATCTCAAGATCATTTTCATCTTTTTTTTTTGGTTTAATAGGATTTTCTTCTTTTATAAGATTCTGCTATTAAGGTTGGGAAGATTTTTGATTTTTGATTATTTATTACTTTGAATTTTGACTATTGCCCATCTATATTACAGATAGATTTATTAATTATTGTTTTTAATATCATAATAATTACATAAAATACATGTATAAATTAATATATATTTGAATTAAAATTTATGTAATATGTAATTATTATCTTTTTTATATATGATAAAATAAAGTATATTATAATGTTTGGATATACTGTTATTATATATTCAAGTTTCTATTATTTTATTCTATTAATAAAAATTCGATTAAATGTATCTATTTTGAATAATAAGGAGATCATAAGTAATTGAATAAGAAGAAATCTTAGTTTAAAGATTATAATTAAAAAATGGATGATAATAAATAGATAAAGTTAATTAGACAAATAATCATAAATATTAAACTCTAAAATAATAAACTAGTTAACATTATTGAATAAGTGATAACAACATTAAAATGATTAATCATTATATAATATTTATTATTTATATTTATATACTCATATGATTATAGAATTCTTTAATTTATGAATTATTTATATAATTTTATTTTATACATTTTTCATAATCCCTTATTAAATACGATTGTCTTTATCTTATTTCCTTTACTATTGGTTAGATTTTAATATTATGATTCTAAATCGGTTGGATTAACCTTTAAATATTATGGGAATATTCCTATTCCAACAGAAAGACCACAATATAAGAAGAATCCAGATAAACCTAGGTTAGCATAATATGAATACTTAAATCTAGTGCTAAACCTATTGCTCTCCCTTGAGGATAACATTTTGCTTATTTCATATAATATATGACTATAGGTGGTATGAACATAGGCAATGGCAAAATATATCTTGTAACAAGAGTTCTAAAGAATGCAATTTTAGCTTAACAAATATTAATTGATGCATTTACCTGCCTCTTTAGATAATCCTGGTAACGGTTCTTATGTTTCATCATCAAAAACTTGAATTCCCTTTTAGAAATCTGGATATCTTGCAAAAAATAGATTAAATGTATTTGCAATCAATACACCAAATAAGGGACAAGCCTTTTAAATAATATAAAATTCATAATTACTCTAATAAGAAGTGCAGGAGCATTAAGTTTCTTGAAAAGCCAAGATGTTCCCAAACTTCCAACTACAGCTGATGAAACTGCTCCACCATATGAAACTAATAAGATGTTATGAAAGTATTACATGCCAACATTTCATTGGAAAATACATTAGATGCATTTCTATTACAATAATTAAACATAAAGTTATAGGTTTGATTAGCAGATTGAGCTAACAATTAATTGATTGGCTATGTATGAAAATAAGAATTACTGTTGGTGGTAATACTGCTAATCCAAAAGCTAAAGGTACATTTACAGGAACAAATGTTGAGGTTCTGAATAGAATGTTAACAGGTTCTTTTAATTAAGGGTGAATGTTAGAGTCTACTACATATCTCATTTTCCATAATTATTAATCTGTGTATTATTTTCTAATTGATGGATCTTTGTCAACGTTTTCTAAAATTTTTCCATATTCACTCAATTGTTCAGGAGAATAGAATATGTTGCTATGATTATAAGATATTCAAATACGCAGGACTAATAATGTTTTAAAAATGCTTGAGTCTTCCCCAATAAGTGGTTAAATCCTCTGCTGAATCTTCTGTATTAGTATATCTCTTCATTAAATAATTAATAATGTAAATAAAAATTTCAATATTACGTCACTTTTATATCCTTGATATTAAATTTTTGTATAAATAAATATTCAAGATTCTCCTTTAAGATTCTCCTTGAATATATTATTAAACATTTTCTGTTTTATTTTTACAAATAAATTTTGTTTTTTGTAAATGCTTAAGTTTATTTATTAAATAAATGATTGTATTATAATATGACTTGATCTTTATTTTAAAAGAATCTAATATTTATATGGAAATAAATTATGAGAATATGGGAATAAAAGTATACATTTTTTATTTTGAATGATATATATAATTATATTAGAGAGACAACTATAGAATTTGTATTAATGAGTTGATTATTTTATTTTATCATAAATTAATTAATGGAAATTGAGAAAGAAATTATAAAATTGTCTTCTTGTTAGAAATTCTTGCTGATTCAAAGTTTTAGAACTATGATCAATATTATTGATTTAGAAAATTTCAAATAGAAACAAATAAACTTCAGAAATGCTGAAATTTCATTTATTGATTACTTTGATAATGAGTTATTGATAGGAGATAAATAAGGAAAAATATATTATAAAAATGAATCATTTTAAGTTCATTCTGGCTAATTTTTATAAGGGATTGTTAAAGATGGAATGTTGCTATCATTAGGTTAAGATGGTTTATTAAAATAAACTAATATCAAAACATTTTAATCTCTATACTCTAGATAATTATGTCATCACATAAAGGAAGGAAATTTATATCTTTTGACATCTCATGCTTTAGTTTAGTATGGTTAAAAGATAATATTAATCAATTTAGAAAATGATGTAAAATAATATCATATTTAAGGTAGTAGAAACAAAGTATAAAATAAATCAATAAGGACCTTTGATAGTAAAATTGAACAATTTATCTAGAGATTATTTTTCTGTTTTAGGCAAAGAGGGTTTATTGAAAATATTCAAAATAGGTGACAATTCAGAAGCAATATAAACTATTGAAATAGGAAGTTATGAAAATTATGAATTATTTTATATGTCAAAAAAGACTACAATATTACAATGGAATCAAGATAGTATTATAGGATATGTTTTTGAAAAAGAATTAAATAAATAATATGAGATAAAAATAAATAATTTATAATCTGTTATGTAAGGAGAAAGATTATTGATTGTATATGATAACATAAGTAATCCTAAATTAAAATAGATAAATAATATTGAAAGTTAAAAATTTAAATCATTATATTAATAAGAATAATTACTAAGATTCAATGAATTATAACAAACTAAATAGGATGAATTAAATTAAAATAAATAACAATCAAACCCTATACCTATTGCTTTTTATGATTTTGCTTATTTTAATAATCAAAGTTCTATTATTAAAAATGATAATATAAAACCAAAATAGATTATTAGTGAATAAAATTTGATTAATGTGCTTAAATAATCATTGATAGCAAAAGATAAGACTTATTTAGAATATGCTTTAGAAAGAACTCTTTAAAGTGGAATTGTAGAATCTGTTAATTCATTATAACTTGAATAATTATAAGAGCTTTAGCATTTCATTGTAGATAAATTGATAAGTTATCCAGAATAAACAAAGAAGTATTTGGATTGGATAAAAGCTATAGTAAAAAGAGGAGTTGGAGATTTCTCTAAATTATATTATTTATTAGAAGAAAGAACAAAATCTATTAATAAATTAGAAGAAATATGTTCAAAAATATAATTTAATAAATTAACACAGAAACCAAAATAGGATAAAGATTATAGAAAACAATAACATACTATTTATGAAGAATAATAGGCTGATGTTGTAATTATTTAAGGAAATGTTACTTAAAAGTAAATAGCTGAAATTAACTATGGAGAAGATTAAACAAGTTAAATTGAGGATGATTTCAATTAAGCTTATATTAAAGTAAATAATAAATTGTATATTTTTAATAGCATAAATAAGAACTTAGATAAAAAGCCTATTAAGATATTGAAGAGGAAGCATATGATGAAGAAGATATAAAATTTTGATTAATTATGTATATATCTATATAAAGTCAATCAAATTATCAATTTATTATAATTAAAATCTTTGATTGTAATATCTGTTTTTAATTCTAAAACAATTGAATTCAATTAAGGAATCTTATTAAGATTTTGTTATAATTAATTTACTTAATTCATTACTTATTCATAAGGATCTTCACTTTATTATTTGAATAGTTTTACTGATTCTATAAAATCATCATTTTAATTTAATCTATTATCAAAATCATCTTTATAAACTAAACTTGTTTAAACTAATTAATCTATATCATTTCTTATTTATTTTAATTAATACTATAATAATAATATTATTATTTAATTACATCAACTTTTTCATTGAATTCTGTTTATATAACTTAACATTTCATTTTAAGTTAATCTTACATATTCTCTAAGTATTCTTATAATTATTATTTTGATTATTCAGCTTAATATTTAACTTTCTAAATAATGAAAATTAAATTACATTAAATAATTACATTTATTATAATATAAGATTTCCAATAAGTTCACTTTATGAATTATCTTTTTTTAAAAATATTAAAATAGGTTATTCAATGAATTCAGTCAATTTAACAATTTAATCATGTTTACATTAGAATATTTTATATTTACATTCTCTACATAATAAATGAGTATCACATTTAGTTAAACAACAAAGGAATTATACAATTCTCTTTCTTTATTATGTTTTATTGATATGTCTAATACATTAATGATGTGATGGAGATTGTTGTGGTGAATCTGAAAAATCTCTCTCTCTTTCTCTAGAGGTTTATACATTAGATCTACGAGTTGAATGTCTTTAGAAATAATTATCAAATCTATTTGAATGTTATTTTGAATCTTCTGGAGGTTCCCAAAGTGAATTCATATCAGATCTTCTAGTTGCTAATACTTTGACCAAATTGAGACTAGCCTTATTAGAAATGTTATTTTTATTAAGAGAATGTGGTTTAGTATGAATATTTTCCTTCATTAGATTAACATGTATGATTGGAGATTTGTCTCTTTTTTACATTCGTTAAAAAATATAAATTTATATATAATTTTACAAACATAATATAATGTAAGAAAAACCTCAATTAATATTGTGCACAGAAGAAAATATGGATGATTACAAAGAACCTAATTTAGAGGAAAGTGTTGAATTTGTAGAAATAAAACATGATTATTGTGATTCAAGACCATAAAGACATAGTCTCCCTGAAAGTTTAAGTTAAAACATTTTGACATAAATTCATGAACTTCATGAGTTCTTACCACATAAAGAAATGTAAATCAAAGTATAAGAAATTACAAAAAAAGAAAATAGAAAATTCACAATTAGAGTTTATTATTTCATAAAAAGGTTCCTTACTAAATTATCAGTAAGTAGAAGGCATAAATTATTCTTTAAAAGCATACATTTTTAAATTGTAGGTGATAAAGCAAGTGGAGAATTAGAAAAATTAGGTTAAATAAAAAAGACAGATAAAAAAAGAAAAAGACATGAAAATACAATTTCTTGTTATAATCCATTAACTAGTCTATTAAAAATGTTACCAATAATATATCCTTAATCAGTATCTAAAATAATTTGGGATTTATGCTTATGTATAGTATTAATTTACTTTTTTATTATGATTCCATTAGAATTAGCTTTCAATAATTCCATTATGTATTTCTAATCTATTTGGTTAACTGTTCCATTTTATTTATTTCTTATTATTGATTATCTTATGAAAATGAATACAGTTTATTATGAATATGGATAACCAATAATAGATAGATCATTAATTTTCAATAATTATTTCAAATAAGGTTTATTAATAGATGGCATTTCATTAATAGTATTACTTTGTGGATTTTTTAATGATTATTTTATTTAAAGTAGATGGCTCAATCTTTCATTAATACTTTTTATAACTTAATATCATTATTTTGCTAAAGTAGTTAGAAATATGGAAGAATCAATTCATTTAAGTAAAACATAATCATCAATTGTGAATTTAGCCAAATTAATATTTACAATTCTTTATTTTCTACATATTTATAGTTGTCTATGGTATTTTATAGGTTCTTATGCTAATGAAATAGGAATGGTTAATTGGTTAGATAGTCGTCATTTATCAGAAGCACCTTATGAAACATAATATTTAGAAGCTTTCTATTTCTCTACTGTAACCATGATTAGTGTAGGATATGGAGACATAGTACCATTAAGTAATATATAAAAGTATTTTAGATGCCTTAGAAAAGATATGTACAATCCTTTTTATGTTTACTACATGTGTTCAATTGTCATTTAGTGTAAATACAGTAGGAGAGATATTAAATTCAATTAGTTTGTCTACTGAAAATACAACAGAAAAGATTCGAATTATTAATAAATTCATGAATAGAAAGAAAATCAGTTTTGAATTGCAATATTAGTAATTAAATAAAATAGTAATCATAGAATAAGGGAATATATTAAAATATATTGGAGTCAATAATTGCAATAAGAAAATGAAGAAGAGGAAAAATTAATTACTTCCTTATCAGAGAATCTAAAAAATAAATTAATACATGAAGCTAATTTTTCAATTATTGAAAAGTGTGATTTATTTCAATAAACCTTTTCTATTGATACTAAATAAAAATTAATTAAATTATTCAAAACAGTACTTATTACTCCAGAATAAACTATTACTTGTGAATTACCATAATATAATGAACCTTGTTTATGTTTTATTGATTAAGGAACATTAAATATTTGTGCCAATATTACAGATAGATCTGAAGGTATTACATTTTCTTAAGGTTAATTTTTTGGATTAGAAGAATTATTAACTGGTTAATAGCCACAAATATAATTACAATCTTTGTCATTTGTTAAATTATTAATTTTAACAAGAACTGATTTTATTAATACTTTAAGAGATAATCCAAAAGATTATGAATCATTTTGTTAAATGAAAGATGAAATATTATTACATTAAAGAGATTCAAAAACAAAATGTAAATCTTGTAATTGTATGGGTCATGATATTTAAAATTGTCCTATTGTTCATTATGTTATTGATAAAGAAAGAGTTATCAAATCATATTAATTTTAATCTGAATAAATTAGGGTTCCAGGTATGAGAAATAGAAGTCGTATTAGAAATTAATTTAATGCTATTTTTGATTAATGGTTTTTATAAGAAATTGCATCTATGATGAAAAATCATGAAGATTTACCTATTGTATAATTTTATGGAATCTAATATGTAGATGATTCTGAAATTAAATCACCATAATAATAATTATTATAATCTAAAGATTCTTTAATTACTAATGAACGTGGATCATTTAGTTATGTTGATTAAGTTATATAAAATGCTGTTAGTCCTTCACCTCCTAAAATATATGATCATTCTATTTTTCGTAAATTTTTAATATAAATTAGATCCTCAGAGTAAAGTTTAAAGAAGAAATTATCCTAAATAAAGTATAAGAATTAAGAATTTTGGTATTAAAATTAAATTCTAAAAAATTATTAAGAAAGTTATGAAAATGCAAAACTATTCTAAAGCATTTACTAGATAGAATGATATAGAATCAAATCATAGATTTAATAAAAACATTAAATTCATAGTAGATAATTATTTTAAAACAAATTCAATAAAAGATTATTTAAATAAAGTTGAGTATGAAAATCTATATTTTCTAAAAATGAAATGTGATTTAATTTAATATTCAGAACTTATTTTATCCAAGCCTTTTGAGATATAAAAAGAATATTAAATATATCAAGTTCATAATAATTTATCACATGTAATTAAGAAAACAGATGCATATTTAGAATAATAAAAGAGTAGAATATCTTTTAAATAAGAAACACCAAAAAATGATAAATTAATATAATTAAATTAAGAAGAAAGAAAAGTTATTTTAAAAGACAGCCTTATAAGGTATCTTTCCTATCCAAATTTATACTTTTCAAAATATTATGATAAAAATGAACCTTCTGAAACTCCTTAATCAATAGGATAGAAAAAAGCAAGAGCTCTATTCAAAGCTTACAAGAAAAGATAAATTATGAGATAAAATGCATTTCTTTTGCCTCTTTCTCAAAAAAATGATACCAAAGGGCTTAAGTCTTCTTTAGCTGTAGGAATAAATGTGATAGTGCCTGAAAATTGATTTAATATATAAAATAATTAAATTATTACTGTAGTTTAATAATTATATAATAAAAATGTAATATGATAGATCATTATTGACAGTTGATATTTAAGGAGCCTAACCTAAATCTAGAAATGCTTACATGAATAGATTATTGCCACATTAATTCAGATATGAAGAATAAATAAGAGTTTAGTAATGAATATAAAGTCATGAAAGACAATAAATTCCAAAATAAGATTACAAATTTGGGAGAAGAAGATACTAACATGATTTCCATCACTTTTGCAACATTTGTATTCCTTAAGGAGAAGAGTACTTTGAAAAAACCAATAAGAAACACTTCGTAATTCCAGAAGGAGAGATCAAATAATATAGAGCTTTAGAGAATTATTATGATCAACCTAAGTATTATAATTGTTTTTGATGAGGACAAATTGATGCTGATAGGTTGCTATGTACAAATGACATAGATGGAGCAGTTCCAGGTTCCTTATAAAGTTAAGCTGTTCGTAATCATGATGTAGCTTAGAAACTGAGAATATAGAGAGATGAGTAGAGAGCACAAAAAAAGAAAGCTTTATATTAATCTCAAATAGAATAGAGTTATGAAGTTTAAGAAGAAGCATCTCCATTACCTTAAAGAAATAAATCATTTTCAGTTCAAATATCCCCTGTATAATAAACAGAAGCGAAGGCTTAACCCTATGAATATATGAATAAGCCTTTAAAACTACCTCCAATAAGTGATAGAGTAACGACTTTCACAAATCCAACAAGCAGTAAATTATAGCTTCGATAGAACCCTAAAATATATTTATCTTAGGAATAGGACAAGACATTGAAATTAATATAGAAGTAGCCAGCATTGAGATTATTTGTTTGATATAATCATGAATAAAATTCCTACTGATATTGCTTATTTTATCTCAGATAATGTTAAGGTAGATTCCATTTGACATATTTTTTCTACTAAACTTATTCTGTTGGTTTTTTTAGAACTCCCTTGTCCATACTTTACATCTTAGGTCTGTTTACAGTTCCAATATCTGATAAGGAAAGTGGATTGGAACTCTATTCAACATTATTAGAAAGGTTCTTATCAGTATCAGCTTCAAAGATGTATAACGATCTTGACTTAATGAAGGTTGGATGAGGTTTACGCTTCTTTTTTTACTTTAATGATTCTGTTGTGATATTACAATAGTCAGAAAGCAAGTAAATGGATTTGTCAGAGTTAGATGATTTGCTACGACTAGTTGGTTTCCGTGTTGAAGAAAACTTAGATTGCCGATCTGATGAATCACCTGGAGAACGTTTTTTGGAACGATTTCTAGTAGATTATTCTGTGAATCGATTGCTTCTATTTGTACGTATTTCATTTTGATCACATGAACAATCACAAGAAACATAATTAATGTAGCATTAACATTAACAATTCCCAATAGTAATTGTTCCCATTTAATTGATAATTTTAATTAATCATTTTCCAAATATAAATCCTAAAATGAGCGATATTGCAGCAATGATCAACACTTGTTTCAATTCAAATTTATTACCTATTTAGAAATAAGAAATATAATATACCATGATGTTTGATAGCCACTTCTTATTATTTCACACTCTTTAACATCAATTGATAATCAGAAAGTTCTTTTTACTATAAATATATATATAGAACTTACTAAAGAATCAATTTGTTCTTAATATCTCTAAATTTCTTCATCTTTTTCTTTAGATTATTAATCAATAACTGATTAATACATTTAACTCACATTTTCATGTGTCTCTGAAATCACACTTTATTGCAATTCTTATTGAATTATCTCTTGTTTTATTTCTTGAAGTTTAAGTCTACTTTTCACTTATACTTATTAAATAAATGATGCATCTTTATATTTCCAAAAGTTAGCCAGATCTTTGTTTTTATATAGATTATATACCCTATTCATCATTTTGTTCAATTGTGCTAGCATTTATTTGAAATTTAGAGTTTAATTTGTTCTCTTCTTTTATTGGCAACGTTGTGGTTATATCAATGGATGCTTAACTGTTTGGTTAAATGATCCCCATACTAGGTTTAACTTAAAACATATTTGGTGTTGTAGTTTTGATCTTGTGATGAGAGTATGGTTACTTTGAAGGATATACTATTAGGAGTCAAGTTGAAAATATTGAGAGTAGTACTTGCTATTAAACTCTCATGAAGAATGAAATCTAAATATTGTTTTGGTTCGATGTCAATTAATCCTTACATAAAATATATTGATTTATTTTCATTATATAAATGAGTCTTTTAATCCAAGGATGTTTATTATGTTATTTCTAGCTATTGGATGATAGAATGCTTCATGACTTCGGAATGTTTAAACAGCAAAATCACTAAAATACTATAAACTAATACTGATCCAATTAATTTAAAGCTCTATAAACTGGATAAACCATTTTGCCTCTTCCTATAGATCCAAGAAAATCTGCTACCTATGCAAATCTAGTTTTGTCTCCTACTGTTAAAATTGCTCTAAACCATCTAAACTTCAATTCATAATCATTCTCTTCAGTTAAATGTAGATCCTTATCAATTTAATTAACAACATTCAATTTTAATAAATTGCTTTCTGCTTTCTTAAAAAGATCTTCTAAGAAAACTAACTTTTATGTATGCAAAAAAGTTTTATAATCTTACCAATTTGGTGGTTATTTACCATCAGCTGTAATATAAGCATTAGAATAATCTAAAGCTTAAGTAAGCTTATTGGTTGAAAAATCAAGAAATACTGGTGGTAATCCTGGAGAATATACCCATTTATTCCAATTTTCTAAAATCTTATATCTCTTTGTAGAATAATCATCTACACCTTATTCTTATAAGTATCTTAATAAAAAGTTCTAAAATTCTTTTTGATCAATAGATTAATATTTGTATTATGCTAAATATGCTCTAAGCATGTTTTAAAAGTCTACTTCCCCTACTATAGATTCTAAATAAGTTAAAAATTGATATCCTTTTTCATAAGGAATTTCACTGAAAGAATCATCTGGATTAAGTCCTGTTGTATCAGGATGTAATGAAGAAAAATTACTCTCTAATCCATAACCAAGCATATCTGAATACATAGATGTATTTCCTATGATAGCATTTAATTTAATATCATCAGGAATCTTATAATGAATTAAAGATGCTTTTCTCTCTAGAAATACTGTAAATCCTTCATTAATCCACATATTTGCCCAATTAACACATGTGATTGTATTACCAAACCAGGAATGTGCCATTTCGTGAATGGTTACTGCTAAACCACTTCCTGTTCCTGTCATGATTGAAGGATTAGCAAATGTTAAAAGTGGATTCTCCATACCACCAATTGGGAATGAAGGAGGTTAAATTACTAAAGTGTAAGTACCCCATGTATAGGGTCCAATATATTGTTCAATTGCTTATAAGAATTATTCCATTTCTTTTAATTCTTCAGCGTAGGCAGCAATTTTATCAGGTTCACTTACCAAAAATGTTCTAATTCCAGCACTTGTTGGAACCTTTTAAATGTTACCTGCCACAATAGCAATAAGATAACTTGGAATAGGGACATTTTGAATAAAATATTTATATTTCCAATTAAATGTAGCTTCATCTAGTGGTTTATTAAGAATTTTAAATTGATCTTTACTTTCATCGGCTGACATGAAAACATCTTTTGCCTCAGTATCTTTGTATATGATGGTAGCAGTGTAAGTTTACTTGATTGCTGGAGTGTCCTATAAAGGAGCCAATGCTCTACAGTTTGCATCTTCACATTATGAAAATAGATATGGCATAGCTAAAGTTAGAGATAATAGTACTTTTAGTGGAAGTTTATTCTTTTGTCATGAAGCTAATGGATCTGGATCTAGAATCAATAGAGTATTTGATTGATAATTCTATATATTCACCTCTGTAATAAGTTCTATCTAGTTGAATATTTAGGCGTTGACCTTGATCAGAGTCAGCATATGGACTGTCAATTGTATGTGGAAGTAATATTCCATTTTAAAGGTATGTAGAATAGATATTTAGTTTATAGATATCAAGGGAAATCTAGAATAAAGTAATGTCTATACTTTGTTTATTGAACGACCTACAACTTAAAATGAATAAGAAGATGAAGCATTGATGTATTTCTTATCCATGTTCAACAACCATTCTAAATGAAGATGTCTATTTTGAACATCCAAATAGTTAGAAAAGGTATTCACATCAATCTCGTATGCATGTGAGCATATAATAGATGATATCACCAATAAGATCATTAATTAATGTTAATTTTATTAATTATCAATATATATTGTCTTGGGTAGATTAAGACATTAGAATTTTTATATGTTGATAAATTAAACTAAAAAATTATTAATGAAATGGATAATAATATACTAAGTGTAAAAGCTACAGTTAAAGGTTTTATTTTCAAATTTAGTTGAATTTATACTAAGATTATATGAATTAATCATAATTGTTTGAATGAATATATGAATAATGTAATAATAATAATTATTGCATAATATGATGTAAATTCTCAAATGAAAATATTAACAATTCATGGAGAATGTTTAACCATGAAAATCTTTGGAAATGTCAAAAATTGGGAATATGGTTATAATTAGATAAAAATTTCAATTTAATAATAAAGATCTAATATTAATATAAGTTACTTGTACTATGTTCATAAAATTATGATAAATGACTTAGAAAATGTATCTAAAATGATAATTCCATATAATAGAAAGAATAATAAATAATTTCCATAATCTAAAAGTAAATGAAAAGGTTTTTTAGATGTTTAGTTCATTTTAATGACTCTTATTTTCATTTTAGCATTTCAAATTAAATGTAAATTTCTAAATAATCTAATAAAATATAACAATATATATATATATCAAAATACTAATATTAATTTTAACCAGATATTCAAATTAAAATATACCAATCACATATATTATATACTCTTATTATTCTAAAACCAATAAAATAATTGATTTATCATTAATTTCACACTAAGATGAAAGTGTACTTATATGAGATTATTTATATAATTTAATTATATGAAAAAAGAAAGAACAGATAATTAAGTTTAGCCTATAATAAATAACAAAAATTAGGTTTAGAATGAAAAACGTAATCTCTCATATGATAAGTCTGTATTATTAATTAATGATAGTATTAATCATTCTCATCCATATGAAACTCCATCAAAATAAAACTTCACAAGCAGAGAAGATAATAAACAATATTATTAAAACGAAAATGTTTAATCCAATAGGATTCAATAAGAAGAGTAAATTTTATTTTTATTAAAGCTCTAAATTACCTAATGAAAACAATTATGAGAATGATTTTGAAAATTAAAAAATATCAGAATACTCCCTTGAAAGTATAAGAAGAGAAGATCATATTGAAGATAGAATTAATAGACATACTTTACATAAGTCAATTCATTTGTATTCAAGATTACTTAAATCATCTTCTTAAAAATAGAATAAAGAATTAAAACAAGAACCAGAACCAGAAAAACCTGGTATCTCTATGAATCTATTAAATGCTTTCAATCAATAAAAATAAATAGAACCATAGCCTGAGTATTTTAATGATGTAGAATATGAAAAAATTATACGCAGACATTCAAAATTGATTAAAAGAGATACAATGAAAGATCCTTATTATGTTAGATTAGTCAAATTATCAGAATTTGAAAGATTGAATTATGAATTACAAGTAAGGTTCTCTAAATATTTAGAAATATAATGACAATATGGCTTTTCTTTAGATGAGGAAATATCTTTTATTCTTTATATATTGTATTCCAATATTAGCAAGGAAAATAGTTAATAATGTATTTTTTAAGATTCTAATGACCTTTCTCATTCTCTTTAATGTTGTTTTATATATAGTTGTTAAAACTAATGGAAGAACTGATACAGATAATATTGAAGAAGCTGTGATGATACTATTTATTTCAGAAATAGGATTGAGAATAATAGCAAGTGGAATATTCTTTAATGATTATGCTTTCTTTAGAAATATGGAAAACATTTATGATTTTATTTTGATTTTCTTTACAGCTATGAATATCTATTACCCAGAAGTTATCATTATAGATGTTTCTCCTTTAAGATTAGTTACATTATTGATGTATTTAACAAACATCTTTTAAGGTTTGAATGTAATGTTGACAGCATTAAAGCAATCATTTAAATATCTTATTGAAGCTTTAATGATAGTAATATTATTTTCATTGATCTTTGCATCAATGGGAATATTTCTATTTTAAGGTTTGTTTAATTATAGATGTTAATACGAAAATGGAGATGAGACAGATGATTGGGTTCAATGTCATTAGGACAGATGTCCTGATGATATGTAATGTATGTATAGTGAGTATACACCTAAAATGCCAACATCCTTTAATAATTTAATTGGATCCTTAGGATAAATTTTGAGAACCATTACAATGGATGATTGGAGTTGGGTTATGTTTTATACAATGAGGATATTTCATCCTTGGATTTGGTTATATTACTTATTAATTATATTTATTGGGGGATTCTTTGGATTTAATATAGTTATTGCAGTCTTGAAAGTACATTATTCAGAAGCTACTGAAGAAAATAAACAACATGAGGAGGAAATGGAAATTCATAAGAGATTGTAAGAAGAAGAAGAGTTTCCAGAAAGAGATCTATTAGAAACTTTAGATGTAGCACATTTGAGAGATATTGGAATTTATAAAGTAATTAAGAATTATAGAACTCTACTTAATGAAAATTCATTTGGAAATTATGCTATAGAAGATCCATCTAATTTCAAAAAATCATATCAAACTACTAGAACTCTATCTGCTAGATAAAAATAATTGGAAAGTGGGATTATCAAACTACCATTTGTTGATTTTGTTACAAGTTTTACTTGGAAGAGATTTTTATTACCAAAATTTTATATCTTAGATGAATTAATTAAGAAGATCAAAATAAAGAATTACACAGAAGATGAGTTTAATATGTAAGTGATTGAAAAATTGAAGGGAATACAATTTTCTAGATTATAACCTTAAGTTAATAAGGAAGTTAAATAGAATTTCACATCATAAAATGAGATTCTACTAAAATTAATGTATTTTAATATATTTCCTAATTTTTAGCGATTAATAGGATATAATTTAATAAGAAAAACTATTCAATTTAGATAAGATTAGAGCCACGAAGTTTAAAATGATCTATCACCAAATAAAATTAAAAAAGTAAAACTAATTCAATAAAACAAATCTCAATAAGTCTCTCTTCCCTACCAAAAGCAAAACTCAATCTCCATTTGTGAGTATACTATAAAAGAAAATAGAAGATTCAGCAGATTCTCTAATTTAATTTGATAAACTTGTTGATAAGCATTCTAAATTGGCTCAATCAGGTATTTGTGAAATTGTGTTTAAATAATTTACTATATATAAAAGTGGAAAGCCTTATGTTTTCATTTAAGGATATTACACTAATTATGAAGGTGTATAAGAAAAAATTAATTAAAAAATTCCAATAATTATTCATAATGTGGTTTCTAATTAATTTAAATATGAAGGAATGAGAATGAAAGAATATTAACATTAAAAAACAATATGTAAACATAATTGGTCAGGAAAAGATGTTCTTGGAGTTAATAAATTTAGAATGAAGAAATTTCATTCAATTTTAATGATGCTTAATAAAGTAGATATAATTATATGGATAAAGGGTTTTAAGGGAATATATATAATGTCATAAAAATATGCATACATAATAGTTACTACTAGATTTAGTTAATTCTTTTTTGATTTAGTTATTCTGAATAATTTCACATTTTTATCTCTTTAAGGAATAGTAGACATTTCTATAATATCGACAGTTGAAGATATTTCAACAATTTTGTTATGCTGTGAATTAGTAATGAGATTTGTGGGATTTAAATTAAAAGATATATTAAGATCAGCTGATATGATATTGTAATCAGCTATAGTAATTTTAAACTTTTTTGAATTGACAATGAGTGATTATATGACTACTTTAAGTGAATAGAATTTAAGATTAATTAGAGGGACTAAATGTTTATTATTTTATAGATGTCTAAAATATAATAGAATGGCAATTACAATTGGACATATTGCTTCTATGACATTTGATTAATATATTTATTTGGCATTTTTAATGTTTCTAGTCATATTCATGTATGCTTTAATAGGAATGGAAATGTTTGTAGGAAAATTTGATTAATTAGATTCATTAGGATAATTACATTCATATGAAAACATTTTCAAATCTTTTATGACTATATTCAACATAATGACTAATGATGATTGGTATGGTGTTTATGTAATTGGCAGTGACATAGATCACACTTTTTCTATTATTTATTCTTTTTCTTTAGTTTTAATTTTAAATTATTTGACTTATGGATTAGTTATGGCAGTATTGTTAGATGGTTTTGGAAAGTATTTAAATTAGCCAATAGAAGAAATTTAGAATGAAATAAAAAAGAATATTAATGAATAATTATAACATATAACACAAAATTCAGATGATATGTAAATGAATTTAGCAGATACAATTGAAGAAATTATAGATTCAAATAAAAATATCCCTTAAGAAGATTCTGGTAAATCTAAACCAAATTTAATATACAATCTTATAAAATCCATAAGTAATTTATTATAATTTATAAGTTAGAATAAATAAATAAGAAATTATTATCAAAAAATCCAAAATTATATGAAGGTATTGAATGTGAATAATCTCTATTTTTATTTGATAAAGAAAATCCATTTAGAATTGTTTGTACTCATTTAACTAGTTCATAAATATATATATATTTAATGGATATTGTTACTTATTTGTCAATTATTGCTTTTATACTTAAAACCTATAATGATTTTGAGTAAGATAGTGAATCATATCCAGATACTATTTAATTTTCTTGCAATATCATCTAATTGGCTGATACTATATTTAATGTTATTGCTAAAGGACTTTATATGGATAATGGATCTTATTTAGTATCAACATTTTAAGTTCTGGATTTTATTTATTAAGTATCAAATATCATTGCATTTGGCAGTAACCCTGATGATTTTAAACCAATTTTAAAGATTTTACTTTATTTAGGTTATTTTAGACCAATGAAATTAATGTATAGGTTGAGTTGGTTAACTAATTTAAGAGAAGCAATAGGTAGATCACTTTTTGATATTTTTAATGTACTGATTACTTTACTTTCCGTATGGATGATATTTGGAGTATATGGAATAATATTGTATGAATAATAATTTGGATATTGTGAAGATAAGATGTAATTTGAAGTTAACAGAGAGACATGTTTAAAAGAAGGTAGGATTTGGGTTAATTATAAACATAATTTCGATAATATTACTATAGCAATTCCAACATTATTTGTGACTGCAACTTTAGATGGATGGGGTGAAATTTATTAAGTAGCTGAGAATAGTTAATTTGCTGAAATAGGTCCATAAGGATTTAATTCTTATATTGTAACATACATATTCTTTTTAATTTTCGTTTTTATAGGATCAATGTTTTTTTTAAGTTTATTTACAGGAGTTTTATATACAAATTTAAAGAAGAATTAGAAAGAGATTGAAAATAGTGAAGTTACATAATCTCAAAAAGAATTCAAAAAGATTTCAGATATGTTAATACATGATTTTCCTACTTTCTCTACTCCTCCTACTAGTGGTATTAGAAAAATTGCCTCAGATATTACTAATAGTATGACAATCTAAAAATTTCTCTTTTTCTTATTGTGGGTTGATTTTATAATTCTTTTAATGTTTACATCCACAATGACAGATGAATATTTCAGAACTATCAATAATATACATAATGGATTGAGTGTGACTTATTTTATTTGGGTTTTGTTATTGTTTTTGGCTTTAGGTGTAAATAGATACTTTGATAATTAATGGAGAAGATTCTATTTTTTTTTGGTTGTCATAGCAACAATAGATTTGATTGCTGATTATTCAGCTGATTGGATAATGATATATTATAAATCAAATCCTAATGATTAAGGTTATTAATTATTAAGATTGTTTTTTGCATTAAGAAGTCTGAGAATAATATTGATATTTTAAGGATTTATAAATCTATAAAGACTAATTAATGTGATTTTGTTTGCTTTACCATATTTAGGAAAGATTTTTTCAATCTTAATAATAACAATGCTGGTATTTACATTATTTGGTTGTTAACTTTATGGAACAATAGATTCTGGTTAAGTATTGGATGACTAATTAAATTTTATGAATGCTGCAAATGGAATGATGACTTTATTCAAATGTGCATCTGGAGATGATTGGAGAACTATTATGACAGATACAATGCATCATAATCCTTTATGTTGGGAAGATCCTAAATATTGTGGTACATTCTATAGTTAGATTTATTTCTTTTTATTTATGTTCTTTTCTACTTATGTTTTGCTCACTTTATTTTTATTAAGTTTAGTTGAGCAATTTGAGTCTTTCTTTTAATTGTAAAATTCACCAATACAAACTTATGTGGAGAATATTGATAAAATTAAGACAATTTGGTGTAAGTACTCTTCAGAAACACAAGGACAAACTATGCATTATAAATTCCTTTGTCGTTTTTTATTGGATATTGGAAAACCTTTGGGAGGGAGTAAGGATGAAAATTTATGGGATGTTGCTAAAATAGCATCATCTTTCAAATTAAAATGGTATTATTTTATCAATATCTAGTGATCATTATGGATATATACAATACAATTAATTGATTTATGAATTATTTAGAGTTAAATTTCATGCTGAAGTATTCAAAGAAGGAACACCAGATTCAATTAAACAAATTAAATAATATAATAAAGAAACTTAACTTCGTCTCATGTATTATAGAAAGAATAGACATATTGAAAGATCCAACATCAGTTCTAATCTTCAACTTAAAGCTAATTTCAATATTCTTCATGATTATTTAACAGTTCTCATCTTATATAAGACTTGGGAATCTTATAGCAAGATTCTAATAAAGAAATTAGCCATGAAATAAAATCAGTTTTCTGATGAGGCTATCTCTTTAGATAGTGAATTATAATAAAAGTAATATTTGGATATCATTATTTATTTTTAGTAATAATAGAAATCCAAATCATCTTATTGAACCTGATGGTTTCGAAGGATCTTGTGATGAGGTAACTGATAATTGTTAGAGAATTATCAAATAACATCATATTACTAATGAAAGTCATTATAATTCCAACTTAGAACTTCCAATCTACAAAAGTTAATAACCTTTTTCATTATAAGGTGAAGATATTAAGCTTATTTTATCAGCAGGAGATGAAAAATTATAAAATATTTGATTCTTTTTTTTATTTTTAATCATTTTAATGAATGTTTATGAATAATCAAATATATATTTATAGGTTATCATGTATTTTATTAATATTTTGTATATAAATTTTTAAGTATTAATGAGTTTGATTCATTTTATATTAAATTATTTTTGAGTTTAGTTATGATTGAGTAATTATAACATCATCAAATAAAATTTTAATTTAAATATAATACGTAACATCCTCAAATATATATTCGTCAATTAGAATACTAAAATTCAAAGTAAAATAAAATTAAAACATGGATAATGATTATTATGACTTTCTTGATCATTCATTCGACTATAAACCAAAGAAGAGAGGATAGAGGGGTTAGAAAAATCAAATTTAAATTTAGCATTGACTGATTAAGAGATCATTGTTCGTGAAAGAATGAAACTTGTAAAAAATAGAGAATCTGCAAAAAATAGTAGAAAAAGAAAAAAGATGTATGTTGACCTTTTGGAAAACAAAGTATATATCTATCATAATTTAAGGTGGCTGGTTTAAATCAATAGTTATAAGAATATAAAGAACTTTAAGAACAAAGTTAGGTTTTCTTAAGAAATACACAAATCCAGTTATTATTTGGAAAATCATAATAAAAATCTGATTAATTAAATCATTACTTTCAAGAAATTTATGAATAATCAATTCCTAAAATTGCCTAACATCTTAAACAAGAAAAACATAATCCTGAATTAGATCATTGCTTTTAAAATTTCTATAAATGCTTTAGTGATATGAATAGTGTTAAAGATGAAATGGCTCAAGAAATGCAAAAATTAGAAATCACAATGAAATCTGCCAAAGAAATTCCCGAGTTTAATAAGTTTCTGGAACATGTCTCAAAATTAGATTTCTAAAAATAATTAGACAGTTTAGAAGAAGTAATTTAGATAATATATAAATTTAGGAACTCGGTAATGTTATAAAAACAGATGATCTCCAATTGTCAATAAAGGATACTTATGATTTGTACAACAAATCCTTATAATTTATTAAGAAACCTAAATTAAATTGAAAATTATTTATATATATTGAATTCTCATTAAGTATTAATCTACTAAATATTGTTTATATATATTATTATATATCTTATATTAATTTTAATAGTATATCTAAAGATTCAAGGTACATAATGATAATTTAATACATAAAATAATTAAAGATAATGAATATTTTTATATAAGATAAATAATAATAAGATTCAATAGTCTCAGATGAATTAAATTGAATTAAGTTGAATTAAAAATTAAATATTTATTATTTATTAGCTATTTAAAAAAAAATTAATCTTATTGTAAATATATGGTAAATACATTATTTACTTAAGCTTAAGAAATTGTAATAATTTTAATATTGCAATTAATAAAAATGGAAATAATAATAAATCCTTTAGATTCTAGATTAAAAATTGTTATTAATAACATCATTTTATAAAAAGATTAAAATATTTGAGATGATATATTTGAGTATCAGACAGAATTTCATTATTTAATTTATTTAAAATAGTGTAGTGTGTTTGATAAGTAATTAATAATTTAAAATAATAAAAGAATATAAGAAAAAAAGATTAAGTTTAAGTTTAAGTTTGATTTCACCTTATATAAAAATCTAATATATGAATATATGTTTTGATTGAATATTAAAAAAGAATATCATAAACATAAAGATTTTAAGGATTCTTATTTATTTTTACAATTAAGTAATAATTTTGTAGAAAATTGCTGTTGTTTTAAAGAATAAGTTATTTATAAATCATTATGATTGTTATTTTTCTATTCTAATGAGGAGAATTTCTTCATATGTATCAATTTCTAAGTATGAATAATTAAAATGCAAGTTGCAATTTAAAATTCAGATGAATGTGTATTATTTGCATATTTTCATCAAATATGATTACATTAATTATTTAAATGAGTACTGAGTGTTCAGTTGTATTTAATGTAACAGTTAGGACATCTCTTTCTTAAGTAGTTGGAGTGGTAGGAAATTAACCAGAATTAGGAAATTGGAATGAGAAAAAGGCATGTATTTTAAAAACAGAGCCAGCTTCATTTCCAAAATGGGTGACTGAAAACCCAATAATATTTTAAAGAGGTATTAGGAATACATTATTGAAGGAACAAAATTGGAATTTAAATTAGTGATTATAGAAAATGGGAATACAATTTGGGAAGAATTACCATAAAATCGTAAATATAGATGTCGATATTGGAAGGTTGTTTTAACAGCAGAATGGAATAATTATGAAGGAAGAGAATTTATAGAGAAGAGATTTAAATCTAGCGTATGTTTAAATTAAGAAGTCTTAAGTAAAGTCACAAGGACTAGAATGAGTGATCAATTTGATCCTTTTGATTAAGCAAATGATGATTCAGAGGATTCTGTTGAAGGATTTGATAGTTTTGCTAAAGAAATAGCTGGCAAAAATGATTCAGAATCATCAGAATCTGATAATGAGAAAAAAAAGCCTATTGTTGAAATTAATAAAGATAGCGATTTTTAATCGTTATATTAATTATATAATGAGAATCCAAAGTTTAGATAGTTGAAAAATTTCAATTAGAATGATATTTTGTATGAAGTTAATGAAGATCCTTTAATAGGAATCAGTGATGAAGATTCTTTACTTATATCTACATTTTATTTACCAATAGTAGTGATAAAAAAGGAGGATGGATAATATGAAAGAAGAAATTTTTAACATTCTTTTAGTTTACATCTTTTATTTGGAGTATAATAATTTAAAAGGACTTGGTTTGGACTTCCAATAGTATTAAATGAGAAAGGAGAAAAAATAAATGACACAAGTGAAGCATTAAAAGGTTATTTAAAATAATATGGATTTGTTCCAATATTTGTAGATTAGGATTGTTTAGAATATTTTAATTAAGAATTTTGTACAAAATTATATTAACCTATTATGAATAATGATGTAAGTATTACAAAATTAGCAGCTTTAGAGTATTCTGAATATATGTAAGATTGTTTTAAAAAGATGAATGATTCATTTTTTTAAGAAATTAAACCTTATATAAATTAAAGTTCAATTGCTTTAATAGCAGATTATCGATTATTATATTTAAGTTAAATTTTTGTAAGTCACAAATTCACTAGATTACCAATAGTTATATTTTACAATAGATTATTTCCACATTTTGATAATTTGAAATTAATTCCCTTTTATTAAGATATTACTAATTCTTTTTTATAAGCAAATGTTATATGTTTTAGTAATTATGATACTGCTAATGAATTTTTAACAATTATGAAAGATATTTATTAAATAGAATATCATTCATTCAAAGGAAATTTGGCATTTCATTATTATGGTAGAGAAATATATGTAAAACTGTAGAATCCAGGTATAGAAATAAGAGCATGTGGAGATTATAGATTTGAAGGAAAATTTAAGTAAAAAGTTTCAGAAAATGAAATCAGAATAGTTGGAGTAGATACTTATGGACATTAATCAGGAGTGGAATTGAAGTTAAGACATTTATTAAAATTTATTAAGGAAACTGATATTATATAAAAGAATCCTCATATTAAATTCATATAGATATAATTAAAAGCATTTGAAGATATTGATATACAAATTTAAAGAACTTAATTAATAAATTAGATTAAATAAATAAATTAATTATTATATCCAAATAATGAAGATTATTTTATTAAATTAATTGAAGAAGATATGGATTCAAAATAACGCTTTGAAGAATTCAGCAAAGCTAATATGTATTTTTAATGTAGATACAGTGGAAGACATGATTTTTATTTACTTGAATATATTCATTTAAATGCTATGCCTATTGCTTTAATTAGTGATTCAAGTTGTTTTCATAGAGGTTGCCATTCTATTTCAACATTTAATGTATTTTCTCATAAAGATTTTAAAGAAAAGTTTTCAGATTTATTAGATAAAATAATTAAAAAGTCATATTAATTCACATAAGTTCATAAAATTTAAGTTGAAAAAGATCAATAAACTATTCGTTAAAATTAAACATCATAATGGATAGAAAATATATTTATTGATGCAAAGAAGGCAGCTTCAATGCTTAAATTTGCTTAGATTAGTTTAAGAAATTAAGATGGTTAATAAATAAAAGTAGCTCATAATATGAAATTTTAAAATTTAGATATTTAATAAGTAGCCAAAGTATATTAATAAGCAACTAAAGGAATTATTATTTTAGAATTTGAATCAATTGTTACTGATCAATATGTTATAGATTATAAACCACATCATTTTTTATAATAAAGTCCTCATATGAAAGGAAGTGAAGAAGTAATTGTCATTAGATAAGTTTAATAAGATATATTATAAGCTTTAAAAGTAATATCAAAGATTCATAAGGTATATATTGTTTCAAGTGGATTATATAATGAATTATAATTCAATTTTAATGGATCAAATATTAATTTGTTTGCTGAAAATGGATTCCTATATAGATCAGATTCAATTTAATGGAATGCACTCTTTAATATTGATTATTAATGTTTAACATAAGTCAAAAAAGTGTTTAATTAGTATGCAACTAAAACAGAAGGAGCTGTAGTAGAAGTTAAAGAAAGTTCAATCTGTTGGTAACTCAAAAATTAAGAAGAATATGCTTAATAATTGATTTAAGATCTTGTAGATAATGTATAAACTATAGTTGATCGTTATCCTACTTTTTAATTAATAGTGAAATCAAATAGTGTAGAAGTCTGTCCAAAGAATTTAAATAAAGGAATGGTTTTAGAATTAATAATGTAAAAGGAAAATCTTTAAAGAGGAAAATTAGATTTTGGATTGATTGTAGCTAGAGGAATTGAAAATGAAGATGTATTCTCTCATTTTAAAGTAATCACTTAAAGTAGAAAATATTTTATAGAGGTATTAAATATATTTGATTTATTAGAATGCTAATCATTTCTCAGTTTCCTAGGGTCTTGTTCCATCATATGCTAATTATTACCTTAATTCATAATTAGATTTAATTTAATTATTAAAAGCAATGTGAATTTCTTAAAATAGTATATTATTGTAAATTTCAAGTTTTCATTAAATAATAATTAATATATTATATAAATTTAATTGATCTTATTATATTCTAAATGAATTATCATCATTTAATATACTATAAATAGAGTAGTATATTAATGTCAATCAAATTGAAATAATTGGAATTATAATTAATGATTTCAATTTGATATAAATAATTTAATGTTATTTATTAGAATATGTATATATAAATTCTATTTTTCAAATATAAGAATTCTTTTACTTATGTATTCAAAAATGAGATTAAAAATAAAAATGCTATAAATTTTATTATTTATGTTTATTTTTTATTATTCTATCTTAAATGAATACAAAAATATATTTAATTTAAATATAAGAGAGAACAATAGATTCTCATGAATACAACTTATTAAAAATATTAATTCACTTCATATAAAATGCTTAAGTATATTGATCACTATGAATGATATAACTGCCAATATCAAATAAATCTAAGCATATTTTGCATAATTATCGCTTGTTTTATCATTTTCTTCAGTAACTTTCAAATTAGTTTCAGCTAGATTCCAAGTTAATAAAATTTATGTGGCTTTATTTCTCCACTCTTATTCAGAACAATCTTTAGGTAAATTTTATATTATGAATTCTTCAATTCTAATTTATTTCAGAAAAACTTAATTTGCGTCTCTTCTTAAAACAATCAAATATTCAGGCTTCTTTTGAAAATTTGTAATAAATGGCCAATCATTGTTTCCTCTTTCTTATTTTTTCTCATAATATAGATTCGGTAATTATAAATAAGCTTTAAGTGCATCTTAAGAAAATTCTGTAATTTTAACAATATTTTTCAATTGATTTTATCCTTAATCGTCTTTCTATATATGAACAAGTCCAAGAAAAACAAAATTAGAATTCATAATAAATAATTATTATATTTAATACTTTAAATAATAACTGATTAAATTAAGATTTCCATTATATTATTTTATTATTTAACAAATAATAATAATAGTTATTATGATTTTCATATTATAATTTCATATGTTTTACATATTGATTACATTATACCTGTCATTCAATACAGCATTTAATGAATTTCCTTTGCTTGACTTCTTATATTTGCAGTAAGAATCAGATCCACTGGAATAAGTACTAATATTTATCTTAATGATTGGATGGTTTATTGTTATTTATAAATCCATATAAAACTCAATGTACAATATATGGCAAATAGGCTAAATTAATAATTGATTTCATTAATACCTAAATCCGAATCCATAATAATACACTTGTATTATATTTATAATATTTTAACTGATATTGGAATTGTCTTGTTAAAATAAAACTAAAAATTATCTCATAGCAGTTTATATATCAGTAAAATATTATAGAATAAAATTTTAAAATTATTAAGATTGTGCAGTTATCCTACATTCTTCTATATTTGGACTATATTTAAAGTTATTTATTTCATAATCGTATTCTTAATTTATAAATTTAACAAATGCTGCTGTGAATCCCAGAGCACCATTTACAATAATATCTAAATATATATCTTTCCTATTTAATAAATCAAATATTATTTACTTATCATAAATTAAGGTTTGTTTTGATAAATCACAAACTGGCAAATTATCTAAGGTAGTTGATAAACATAGATCATAATTCAAAACTCCATCAAAAATACTCTTCTCATTATTTTCATTAGCATTTTTTAAGATAACATCAGCAATTTCATTGATCAAAGGTAATAAATTATCCTTATAATCTACTAATAAAGATGTTGATAAAGTTTAATTAATAAAGCTTAAATTATAATTTGGAATAAGAGGTTCTGTTTTTGTAAGACCTGCAATTAATGCTAATGAATCCATATTGTGTCTAAATTATACAAATTTTAATGTAACAGTTAAAGATGGTTAAAAATTATCATTATATGACATATGAATAAGATATCCTGTCATTAAAAATGCCGACCATATTATAGCCAATAAAAATGTTATTATTACATTTGTTCTATTCAAATAATAGGTTTTCTATATTCTTGAATATAAAGCACTAGTAGCTCGATAACTATTTTAAGTTGATTAAATAGATATTGCCTACTTTAATTCTACTTTTTTAGACTTCTTATCTTAATATTCAAACATAATTTCTCCAAAATTAAACAATTTCCATTTATTAGAACTTTCATTATCTAACTATTCTTTAATAATAGATAGACGATTAATTTAATCAATTGATTAATTTTCATTTATACGAGATACTAAAAATAATATTGATTTTGTAATGTGATCAATAAATAACCAATATTTTAATTATAGTCCAATAACAAACATTACACAAAATAATTAGGCCATCATAACTGTCAAGAAGTACGATCTAACTGAAGATTAAGTATCAATAGTATTTTACATAATAATCTAAATTAATTAATTATGCAAATCAATAATTTACCATAAATTCACTCTTATTATTCCTGTTGTTAACATATCCGGATAAATGAATTATTATTTTCCCACATTATTTCTATATGAAGTTTCAGCTGTCTAATAAATAACTTAATAAAAATCCTATAGAGGAAGATCTTGATATTTAATAACTCCATTTTCGATATACTTAAAATTAAAAACTGTATTGATATTCAAATTCTAAGCTTATTTAGGTACTTAAATGGCTAAGTTAATCATTTCTTATCTGGCAAAATCATACATTTAAGCCAAGATGTCAACATTTCTTTTATTCATAAAAGGACTTAATTAAACTAATTATAAACTTTAGACATATTGAATCCATTCTTAATACATAGCAGAAGAGTAAAAGTAATTAATGTCTTAAGGTTATCTCAAATTTTTAACTTATTCTGTTTAAGAAATGAGATTAGATGATATCAATTATACATTTATTATATCTACAGCCAAAATAGCTAAAGATATTAATGAAAGAAGGAAACCTATTTTTTTAAGAGGTGTGATAAGTTAGGTGTTATAATACAATTATTATACTATTAATAAAGATTCCTTAGATGTTGAATTTGTAGAAGTTCTTGATGGATTTGATGCAAAATCCATAGCATTCTCTTTCTTTTATATTTAAGCTATTCTTAATTTACCTAAAATAGAGTTCTTTTTTAATGTTTAACTATTAGATTCAAATTTTTCATTAACTATTTCTTATTCATTTTCATCTAATAATTCTAATTGTCTTTCTTTTAATCCCTAAAATAATATGATTATGATTTACATGCATATCATTTTCCATTTATTCAAATTCTTAATTGCATTATTTATCTAATAGTCTAGGTTTTATATACAAAGGTTATTAAACAATCATTTATCTACTGGAATCAAAAATATTAGATCTTTCAGATTATTTAACTTTAAAGCTCATTTCTAAAGATTTTGAATTGTCTAAAATATTATTATTACTCATATCATCATTATTATCATATTATTTGACAGATTTTAATTGATTCATCATTTTTATTTCTAAAATAATTCCATTTTAGGATTCAGGAATATCCATATTCTCATTTTTTAGGAATAGATCACTGGAATTCATATCTTAAGTTGGATATACACTTTATTATTAAGTAGTTTGAGATGGAATTGTTGTGAGATTTTGATTTGTATTTTACAATTATAAATGCTTTATTTCTTTAATAGATATCATAAAATATGCATATGTTCCTTTCTTATATTTTAAAACTTTAAATTATAGACTATAAAATAAACCTAATTACATATATTATGATTAAGTATCGAATTCAACAAGTTTTTTAACAGATTCTTAGACTTCTGGATGTAAAAGCATTATTAGTGTATTATCTATTAGAATTTATTTTCTAATTTCTTATGGAATTTCTTAATCATCATATATATCCATATTTGTATTCATAGAATTTTATGAATATCTTGAATATGTTTATGATTTATAAGATCTCTAATTGTTTTATGTTTGAGAACCATTACTCCTCCTCTTAAATTATGACAATATTAATTGTGAATTTGATAGACAATCATTATGATTTGATGGAATAATCCAATAAGATCTTAAATTATTCATAAGATAATTTGAAGATGAATTAATTTAAATTCTTAATTCTTCAACTTATTATGTTATGGATGGTATGTAATATTATATTAATGGTTATCTTAAAAGTAACTCTTTGATTTCCATTTATTAAATTGTTGTTTCAGTACGTTTAGACATATGAGAACTATCAATTTTTGTTTTAGATTTCAAAACTTCATCATAAAATTATTTAGTGAATCCAAGAATTTTACCATCTATTCCAAACAAAATAGTTTCATTATTTGATTATTCTTTAGTTAGTATCATATTTAATAAAAAATCATTCTTATTTGAATCAAAATAATTATATAAATTAATATTACAAGGTTCTATGTATCCTTATATATTTTAAAAGAATGTTGATTCACCATGAACCATTAATTTAGAATGTCCATTTTATAAATAATTATCCATTAATTAATCATGTATACTTTATAAGAAATTAGGCATCAATTAATTACAATGTTTTATTAATTTTACATTATCCTCTGAATCACATAAAAACTATGATAATTATTTACTATTTGTATTGATTAGTTCCCCTCTTCTACGTACTAAACTGGATTTTAAGATTATCAATCTATCTTTAAAATTATTATAATATTTATTATACTTTGTATTAGTTGAATATTATCTAATGATTCATCTTATTTATATCTTTCACTCTTTAATAGATCATCAATTGCCTTCTCTAACTAAAATGCTTAGAAAGAATTAGAATAAATTCCAGTCTAATAGATTTATATGATTCTCATTGATAAAATATCTTGAGATGAAGATCCTTTCAATTTATTATTGACCATATCAAATCTATCTTCAAATTCTTTTTTGCATCTTAACATTTTAGAAGTTGTTTTTAAAGCTTCATGAAGACAATGATCAATATCATTATAACCATTAATCAGTTTATTCCAAAAATTGATTTTACTATTCAAAGTTTCAAGAATAATAGGAAATAATAAAGATGCAGAATGTGAAGTATTAAAAGCTGATTAAACATCTAATGAATTCAAATGTTCATTAGCATTTCTTATAGAATTCTTAACTTAAGCCTCTTTCTAAAACTATTAAGTTCTCTTATATAATTCTTATTATAAGTTATGAGAAGCAATTTTATAGTAGATATCATCAGAAGTCATTAAAATCACTCTTATCAATGCTTTTAATGGAGCATGGTTTGCTACATAAGAACAATAAAGCAAAACATAAAGTTAATTTCTATTGATAATTGTATTGGCCATTCTTCTTAATAAACACTCAACCAATTAATGAGAATTTTTGCATTTCTTACATATATGGTTCTTTTTAATAATTGATAGGATAATTTTTGATTTAGGTACAGCACTCATTTCATTATTTTCTTCTAATATCTATGTTAAATTAATTCATACTTAAAGTGTAACTAAATTCTACTATTACTTTAAAGTGATATAGAAATTCACAACTCTATATTAAATCTATATAGATAAATACAATAAAAATAAGAGAATTAAGAATAATTCATAAATACTAAAATTGAATGCAATTGAAACATTAAATGAAATAGCAATAATCTCAACTAAAATATATGAGAATTGATTTATTCTATTAATTGAAGTTATTATATAAGTTAAACTCTTTATTAGGATTAATGCAAATCTTAATTCAGGTAAAATATCAATTGATTTTAGAATAATTGATATAATTAATAAAACTTACATTATGCTATTAAAAATTATAGAATAATCCAATGTTAAAATGTAATTATCTTCCATCAATTTTTCACATCTTCCAAAATAAATATGTATTGTATTTAAGATCAGAGTGAATATTATATTTAGTGATCCTATAAATATCATTCCTATTCTCATTTCTAAAGTACAGATGTCACTAAGATTGCAAATCTTTTAGTCATAAATAAAACTTAATGCTGAATATAGAATAGGAATTTAGAAAAGCAATTAGTAATAAGTTAAGAATGTATGCAAGATATACTATATTGTTGTTGATTTATTTCTCAAAAAGTAAAAATATGTGAACATTAGAAATAATATGATGTGTACAATAAAGAAAAATAAAATTATTAGAATATGCTAAGTTGATGAAATAGAATCTATAATGAAGCAGTAACTTATTATACTTAAAATAGGACTAATGTATATATCGAAATTTATACTTCATTTCTATTTTATAGTACAATTCAAAATTTTTGACAATTTCAAGTTCTTATGCTTTATTTATGGTTGCTATTAATACAACTATACTTTTAAGTTAAAGTTGTGTAGAAGCTGGATGTATTAATAGATTTATTAATTTGAATAGTTGTTCCATTCAAAATTTAAAATAAATTAAAAATGCAGAAATTTCATACTTCATTATATATTAATTCTCACATTTCTATTCAATAGTGTTTGATTTAAATGGTTATATTTATTATATACATAAGATTACCAATATATTGATTCATAATTAAGTGTATAATTCTGTATATAAAATATAATAGATGTAAAATAAGGAGATAGCCTTTTTAAGTATTGAAAGTCCTATTCACAGTTAAAATGTTATATCTCCTCGATTTGATGAATTGATTCCTATTCATTCTAATGAAAACATTGATGATTAACCTATAGATGAAGCTATGAAACTAAAAAGAAATATATTTGATAGAAAGAACTTTAGAGCATTAAATGATGGACATAAATCTGATAATTCTAATGATGACAACTCTTTAAGTAATATAAAGTACTTCTAATTTATTTAAAAATCTATAGCGAAAGTTTAGTTGAGGATGGATCTGTTAAATCAAAAACTAATTCATTGGATCAATAATCTCTTTCTTAAAAACAATGCCAAAATAATAGTCAATTATAAAATGCATAATGTGATTAAATAGTAGATTCAGCTTGTAATCTTCTCTCTAAAACAGGCAAGTCTAACTCAAAACTTGAAAAATATCAAAGTTTCGTTTAGCAATTTGAAATTCAAGAAGATAAAATATAGAGAATAAAAACATAGTAGGCATAGAAATAAATTAAAATAAAAGATGTTAAGCCGAAGAAATTGTCAGGTCGAAGAGAAGGAACAGTTGGGTATATATTTATTATAAGAAACTTAGTTTAAATCAAATTTGGTCATAAAATGGTTTAATGATCATTAGATTAGTATCAAGGTTTATTCAATAATTGAAGACAAAAACTGAAACAATAAAATTTAGATTATTAACACATAAAATATATTCAGTTATTGGAGATTTGTCTAGTAACTTTGAATTTATTTTAGTTACTAACTAAATTAAATAAAAACCAAGCTTAGTATATTTTTAATAAAAATATTATTATTAGTTTCTCATTTTGAAATATAATTTTTAAAAATAAGCAACAAAGTATTTACATTATTTAGAAAATTGTTAAGAATTTCTTAGTAGAAATATAATAGTTATCAAACCTGATAGCAAATTTAAAATAATATGGGATATCCTTTTATTATTATTTATAGTAATGAACATTTTTTATATTCCTATTAATATAAGTTTTGATATTACTACTTCAGGCATATTTGAATATTTATTTGATTTACTTCCATCATGGATATTTGTTGTAGAGATCATTTTAAACTTTAACACAGCATATTATGATAAAGGTTTAATGCATGAAGATAGGAAATCTATTGTAAAACATTATTTAAAACATAACTTTTTTTGGGATTTGATTGTAGTAATTCCTTTTTTAATATCAAATTTAAATATCCCATTTGTTAGATATATTTTACTTTTAAGATTAACTAGATTAAATCCCTTAATGGAAAGTATAGAAGAAATGCTTAATTTAGAAGTATTATATTTTATATTATATAGGAAAACATTCAAATTGTAGTTGATCTATTTAAATTAATCTTTTTTCTTGTTTTAACAGGTCATTTTTGTGGATGTGCTTGGCATTTTGTTGCTTTGACTGAATATGAATCATTTGGAATTACAGAAACCTGGCTTACTCACTATGATCCAAATGCTTATAATTATGATTGGTTTGATAGATATATAATATCTTTGTATTGGAGTGTTATAACAACAGTAACAGTTGGATATGGAGATATAGTTCCAGTAACTACATTTGAAAGAATATTTGTTATTGTTGTAACATTATTACTTTGTGGAATATTTGGTTATTGTATATCAAATATAGGAAATATTTTTAAATCTATTTCAGATAAAAAAACAATATATAAATTTAAACTACGTTAAATTCATTAACATATAAGAAAAAGAGGATTAAATTTAAATTTATCATTAAAAGTTAAAAAATATTTTGAATATTATTTTAAATTAGAATAAGAAGAAGATAATCATGCAGATATCTTTTTATCATAACTTACAAAACATTTAAGAGAGGAAGTCTTAACAGATTTATATAGTAATACACTAAAAAAATCAAGACTCTTAAGAGATAATTTTAATGAAATTACAATCAATAATCTTTGTTAATTTGTTAAAGAGAAAAAGGTTTTACCAGAAGAAGTTCTCTATTCTAGATTTGATTAACCAAAAAGAATTTGGTTTATCCTTTCAGGTTCATTAGAATATATTGCTGATCATAAAAGTATTATTATATCATTACATTAATTTAGATGAAAATGATTATTATGAAGCTACAGAAACATTTTTGAAGAAATTTACTGCTGGGTAAATTATCACTACTAGTAAATAGAGCAGTTTTAGGAGAAAGAGAATTCATTACCTAGTAACCTTATGAATATAAAGCCAGAGCCTTGAAATTTACATAGATGGCATATATTGAGTATGAAATTTATGAATTGATTTAGTTATGATGATTTCATAAATGTTATTGCAGAAAATGATATGGAATATGAAATATTTTGTATGAAAAGAGATAGATTATTATTGTATCCTGCATTTAAGGGATCAGGAAATGTATGTGAAATATGTGAATGGACACATAATTTCATATAGTATAATCCTAATTTATTTTAGATGTCCATTTGTTTTTCTTTAACCAAATACAAATAAAATTGCCAATAAATTTACTGCAGTTAAACTTAATAATAGAATCAAATTTCCATATCGTAAACCTTAAAAATCAAGAACAAAGGAAACTTTAAATTAGGCTTAGGAATGTGCTTTAAGAATTATTGTTGGAAATTTAACCGAATAGTAATTTAAACAAATAATTTTTAGAGAGTACACTGATGAATACTTGATTTCTTTAGGATTTTAATTGAGTCCCAATCTAGATGATATGTCACCAAAAAATTATGAATCTTCCTAAAATATTCATGATTCCAAATCTATATCTAATAGTGATAAATAAAATGCAATCCTTTAAAAGAAAACAAGAACAATTGTTGGAATAACAAGTGATTTAAGAGAAAGTCGAGACTTAGATTTAAGTAAACAAATGAGAAAAAGTATTATAAATTTTAAAAGATTGTAATTTGGAAAAGAAAGAACAAGAGCTATTTAATTTATAAAAAAAGACAATTTCTATTAAGAAATAATCCCTGAAACATTAGAATAATCTTAAATGTTAATTATTCCTGCTCCATCTCAAATTCAAAATTAAAATAATCATACTGCAATTAAACAATATTAATAGAAATCAAGAAGATCATCTAATCTAGATGATTTAGGATTTATATAAGTTTCATAAAAATTGGGTAATTTAGCTTAATAATTTGTTCAATAAGATAATGAAAATAGTAAATATTCACTTAAATAAATGAGTAAAAATAGTGAAGAAAGTGAAATGAAAGATTCCATTAAAATTATAAAATAAATTGAAAATCAAGAAAAAAGAATTCCAATAGGGAGTGATTAAAGAAGAAAAATTAAGAAAACAACTATTTAAATGGGATATAGACCTAAAAGAAGATCATATTAAAATCAATAAACTAAAAATCTAAGTCCTGTGACATAAAATTAATAATAAATATAATAAGTAACAATTTCTTTAGATTAAAATAAAAATAGAACAAGTGTTATTGAAAATAAGAAGAATTTATGTTAAAATACTTAATTAACAAGTTCTAAATTAATAGAATTTAAAGGAGAAATAAAGGAAGCATCCCAAATAGATTCATTGCAACAAAAAATACTAGATATAATGCATTAAAATGTTAATCTTGAAATGGACATTTGCAAATCAACTTTAGTTTATTTTCCTGAACATAACATAGAAGAAATATTGAAAAAGATAGAATTTTATTATTTATAGAATAAAGTGAAGGAAAAGAAACAATATAAAAAAATTTAATCTAATCGTAATCTTTTTGAAAGAATTAAAGGATCAAAAAATGCAACTATTAAAAGCTTATAAAATAATTCCAAATCATAAACAGATGTTTAAAAACAGGATGAAAATATTTGAAATCTCTATATAAATATAATTTAGTATTTTACTTTAATAATTTTATAATTGAACTCTTGCAGCGTTATATACTACTAAAATATGATTTTCTAGTAAAGATTACTAAAAGTTTAGCATATTTAGAAAAAAAAAATAGGATTATAAATATCAATTTCAATACATAATTTAATGTTTTGTTTAAAAAGCTTCATTTTTCATTTTCATTTATGTCTACCATTAAAAATTTTGAATTTTTTTGATTCTCCTACCATTTTCATATTCCTTTTATTTTTCAACATGTTAAACTATAATTGAAATTCTATTTTTATAATTAGTAATATTGGAAATCTTAGTTCAATTTGAGGAAAATAAAAGAGAAAAAAAAATAATTGCTAGTTTTAGCAACTTATCTCTTTCATACTACTAACAATAAGTGAAATACAATTTATAAAAAGTATCACAGATTAATTCTTCTTAGATAAAATATTTAAATTTAATTACCAGTAAAAATAAAATTATTTCCAAATTTTGGAAGGATATCAATTTTAAAGTATTTATAAAAATCTCATTTTAGCATTAATGTTTTGAATAATTATTCTGTATAGAATTTTATTAAGTGCTTTTTTAATATAATAACTGTATTATTAAAAATATAAAAATGTCTTCAATTTTAGAATCTGCAAAAGGTATCATTAAAGAAGCAAGGTAAATAATTAATAATATAAAATAGAGAGTTTGCTTATTTAGGGAAATATCCAGAAGCCATAATGAAATTCAAATCTTAAATTGATACTCTAAGCCAATAATTGCCAAAAAATTAAGGAGATTAGCTATTATATTAAGAATGGAGCAAACTTGTAAATGATTTAAAAGAAGAATTAGATCTAACTTAAATTTTATTTGATTTTACGAAAGGCAATCCCAATAGTAATTTTGAATTAAATAAGATAGGTTAGTAATAACCATCACCTTAAAAACCTAAAGTAGTTTAAGAATGTCCAGAATTTCATGAAGACAACAGACAACCTCGATTACCATTCAATTAAATTCCATTCCAACATCATTAACGAGAAAATACTTCTCCAAGATCAAAAGCAAATTAATTTTAAATATCACCTCCAAAATAGAAGCCTTAAGATCCAGATGAGATATTTTTTGGTGGATTAAGAGGAGGCAATGACGGAAAGAAACCTAATAGTAATAATAATAATAATAATAATAATAATGGAAATAACATAAACCAGAATTCAAGCAATTATTTCTATAATAATAATAATAATAATAATAATAATAATTATAATAAGCGTCCTACTAATAATAATCCTCCCGCAAAGGATCCTGATGTTTGGGATCCTCCATCAAAAAAGGCTGACAAACCAAAACAATCTCAGAAAGATCAAAAATCAAATAATATTTTTAAAGCATAGGCACAACAACCCTAACAAAAAAATAATTAAAGAAGAGAATATGATAAGCCTTGGAAAAATAATGCTGTTGGAGAAAAGAAACCAGTAGAGGGTTAAAGAAAAACATTCCATGATCATGTTTATCCAGATGGAAGAGGTCCAGATAGTGATTTAATTTAAATGATTGAAAGAGAGGTTCTAGATCTAACACCAAATGTTTCATTTGAATAAATAGCAGAATTAGAATTAGCTAAGGATACATTATAAGAAGCTGTGTTACTTCCAATATTTATGCCTCAAATATTTACAGGAATTAGAAGACCATGTAAAGGAGTATTGTTATTTGGTCCTCCAGGAACAGGAAAAACAATGCTTGCTAAAGCTGTGGCTACAACTGGTAAAACTACATTTTTCAATGTTTCTGCTTGTACTTTAGCAAGTAAATGGAAAGGGGAATCTGAAAAATTAGTTAGACTATTATTTGAAATGGCTAAATTTTATGCACCTAGTACAATATTCTTTGATGAAATTGATGCTTTAGGTTCTAAAAGAGGAGATAATGATGGAGATTCAGCTAGAAAGTATAATATAAATTTAAATTCTTAGAGTTAAAACATAAATGTTAATTGAAATGGATGGAGTTTCTGGTGCTGCTAGTTCTGGAGAAGAAAGAAAAACAGTAATGTGTTTAGCAGCTACAAATCGTCCATGGGATCTTGATGAAGCTCTTATAAGAAGACTTGAAAGAAGAATATGTAAAAATACAATAATTATAATAGATATACCTTTGCCAAGTGATACAGGAAGAAAATTACTTTTTGAAATAAATTTAAATTCTCTAAAGTTGTCACCAAATATTAATTGGGATTAATTAGTTAAAAAATGCGAAGGTTATTCAGGTGCAGATATAGCTAATGTTTGCAGAGAAGCTTCAATGTTGCCAATGAGAAGAAAATTAAAGGAAGAAGGAGGATTCTAAAAATTATAATAAAAATATGAAGATATTTCAAGTATTTTAAATTATTCATCTTTAAGATGTTGTAGATGTTCCTTTAGAATAGAAAGATTTTGATGAAGCATTGAAGATAGTTAATAAATCTGTTTCAACAGAATACTTAAAGGAATATGAAAATTGGATGAAAGACTTTGGTGCTGGTTGATATTTTAAATTAATTATTGTAGCCATTAATTTATCGGCAATAGTTTATATTAAGATTTTCTCCTCATCTAGTTTTTATTATTTGTTTTATATAATTAAATTAATTATTAAATTGATTCATAAACAAAAGAGAAATGTGTATATAATTTAAAAACAAATTAAATTATTAACTACTCATTTTGGTATTTGTTAAGGAAATAATTCTTACAATAGCATTTTTGGATCTTAATAGTTTATGAATGAACTTATCTTTAATAACTAAGAATTCAATTCTTTAACATCTGTTACTAATCTGAATTTCATTAAGTAATTTTGTAGATAAAGTAATTCCTAATAGATTAATTAATATTCATTACCTAATCCTATTTATTATCATAAAAAGCAATAATAGGTACACCATTGTCAATTTATTATCCAAATGAATAACTTGCATTATCAATTAATAAAATATTTGACATCTTTCTATTGCCAAGAACTCTATAAATTAAAATTGTAAATTTTACCTTAAATCTTTAACATAAGCTCCTTCATCAGTTTATAAACAATGTTCTCTAAATAATCTATGACTTATCCATTATTTCTTTGGATCTAAATAGTCTAACACAATGTTAGCATAACAAGAATGTGATGCAGTAAAAACAATAATTTCAAAGTGTCTAGATAATGTTTATAGAATCTATTATGCATAAGGTCTAATATTAATAGAAGCTTAGATTTTTTCTCCATTTGGAAATGTTATTGGTAAAATAATATCACCAGGAACAGCAACACTTTCATTACAATGAATCAAAGTTTCATCTAAATCAAACACTAATGTTTTAAAATGAGTTGTTTTAGGTAAGTTAACTATTTTATCTTATTAGAATTCTAATGTTAGATTACTAGCATATTCTAAACCCTAATTTTAATAAGAGACATTTACTTATATAGTTTATATTATATGATCTCTAACAACTTCATCGACTTTATTTGTTTATTATATAAATATGGATCTAGCTACACTAGAGATATAGTATAGAAACTATGATAAAAGATGAGAATACATTATCATCTTTAATAGGTTTTTGAGATGAATAGGATTTATCATTAATTATTGGTTTGGTTATTTAATTATGGGATTAATTTATATCTAAAGATTAATGTCTACTCAATTAAGATTATTATTAAATAGGTTTTTTAATCTATTTAACTTAAGTGACAAATTAATCTAAGTTAATACTTGATTTATGATCTTGTTATTTAATTACTTAACTCTATTTTAAGGCTTAATTTATTTATAAATTTAAAGAAGTTGAACATTTAGTTAACTCTTTAGGAGTAATTGATCCTTTAGATACATTGATTTCTGGATCCTTTTTTTGAAAAAATTTAGCTGCTAATCCAAGTGGCTTTTATTTTGATTTTTCAGATTGTTTTTATAATTAAGAATTACTGATTTCTATGTTAGATTTAATATTATTTATTTTATTTTCCAAGAATAGCAATTTCTCATGCAATTTATTATACTCTTTTTAATCAATTTATTTTTTTGGTAATTATTGATCTGATGAACATTTCATAAAATTAGTATCTGGAACCTATTTTAATGAATAGTATCTAGATTATGGAGTAGCTTATTATGCTTAAATGTATGTTGAATTTTTCAATTCTTTGAATGAAGATCTGCATGGTTATTTCTAATTTGAAAAAGCCCTTTTATCATTAGAGGCTGAAGATGGTCTTGGAACTGCTTAAATAGATGATTATCTAGGTTATGATGAACTTGGACGTATGTCAGGTTTTTGAAGTATTTAAGTAGATTAATATTAATGGTATGCTTAGATAGGTTTTTGCTTTTATATTTGAGTACAACAGTTTTCCTTATTTGATGTTTATTTAAAGGATTATCGAAAAGAATCTTATATTACTGGTCGTTGTATATATTGCTGTACTCGTTGCATTCAATTTAAATTTTGTTAAATTAAAAAAGTCTGTTTAATTAAATATATTCTCATATTCTCCCTAATTTTTTTGTGGCCAACAACTTGACATACATTTAATGAATTTTCTCTCTATATTGATAATTATGATATTGATAGTATGATAAGCCAAACACTAAACCTAGAATACCACTAGTGAACATTTCTCCATAAAGTTTTTTATGTAATGGTCTAGAATTAACAAAGTAAAGCATTGTAATAGTTGAAATACCAAATCCAATTAGAGCACCAAAAGTTGTCTACTCTGAAAGCACTTTGTCTGCTTGATTAAAATCATACTATTCATCTGCTGACATCAGAATAAAATTATTTTTGAGGAATTGCTAAATACAATTTATTAGTACATATTTCTTGCTAGGAATAGCTTAACTTGAAACAAGACGAGTACGTTAAGTTCGACCTGAAAATTTAACAAGCATATCTAAATATTATTTCTATTCATCTGTAAAGAATTCATAAGGTATTTCTGGAGTTTTCATTAATAAAAAAATAATTAAAATTAAAATATTGATAATGTTTATTTATTTTTATAATTGTAAATTTTTTAGAGAGAAAGTTTACACAATTTTTAGTGTAAATAATTAATATAATTCAATAAATATGAGATATCTCCCATAATAATTTAATATTTATAATATTATTCATGACTTCATTTTATCCATCATCTCTATAAATTCATTGTAATCAATCTCACCATCTCCATCTTTATCTGCATCTTTTACCAAAGCTTTCAATGCATTATCATCGAAACCAGGATTATTATCTAAATATAATTTATTAAATTAATATACTTCCTAATACTTATTTTAATTCATCTCTTGATATTTTACCACTTCCATCTAAATCAAACATTTTAAATGCTTAAAACAATTTCTCTTATTTCATATAAACACTTTTCTCTATAGTAGCAGCTAAGAACTCTAATAAAAATTAATATGATTATTATAAACCTGTATAATTTACAGCACCAGAACCATCAGTATCTATACTTTTAATTACTCCCATTATTTCATTCTATGATTCTTTCTTTAACCCAGTTAATCCATGAGTTAATTCTTCCATTGTCAATACACCATCACCATTTTTATCTAATTGTTTAAATAACTTCCCTAATTCAGTTATTTCTTATTCTGATAATTATGATGCAATATAAGTTAATGTAACCTACAATAATAAAATAAAGTTATAACTTTTTTTAATTTATTAAAATTCGTAAAGTTTTTTAATGATTAATAGTTAACACTTAAAAATGAACCAGCAGGATGTTATTATTTCATCCATGGATGTGTCAATACATCATGTGATTTTATACGTTTCTCAGGTTTACAAATCATTTTTGAAATCAAGTCTTTACAACTATCTGATACCTTTTTGAATTCAGGAACTAATTTTATTAATCATTAAATTTATTACTATTGAATGTAAATACACCTTTTTTGACAGCATCCAAAATTTCAGGATCAGTATTCCCATAGAAAGGAGGTACTCCTGAAATGAGTATATATAAAATAACTCCTGCAGACCAAATATCACATGATTCATCATATTTTCCATCTAAAATTTCAGGAGATATGTAATAAGGTGTTCCAGCTCTTGTAGTCATACTCACTTTCCCTTAATTAAGCTTTTCAACATGATTGTCATGAAAAATAACTGAAAGTCCAAAATCAATAACTTTAAGAGGTGAATCATCTGCTTTAGTAAGCATTAAAAAGTTTTCAGGCTTTAAATCTCTATGACAAATTCCATTTTGATGACAATAATTGACAGCTTGCATTATTTATAGGAATATGATTTTAGCTTCATTTTCTGAAAAATGACCCTTATCAATGATTCTATCAAAAAGTTCACCTCCTTCACAAAGTCTATAAAATAATAAGCAAAATTCACTTACTCCATAACTAAATATACATTTCTAGCATCTTCAAAAGTTTCAAACAATTTAATAATATTGGGATGATCCTTATGATTAAAAATTCAGCATACCAAATTACGCATGATTTCAATTTCTCTTCTAAAACGTTCTGGATTTCTAACCTTATTCTTAGGAATAATCTTAATAGCTCTTTATTATTTTGATCCTTTGAGTTTAGCTTTAACAACCTGACCATAAGTACCTTGTCCAAGTAACTATTAAATATTATAAATCAAAGTACTTTTTTATGATCAAACTCATAGGCATCTTCAATTTTACTTTACTAAGACTTAATAAACCACTATTTCTTAATAACTATGTTGTTGTCCATATATTTTAATTAATTTTATTCAAATATCATTGTAATAAAAATCTGATCAAAATATCTTTAAAGTTGGGTCTAAATCAATTATAAATCTAATTGTTTTTATTGAAACTGCTAATCAAATCTTTAATACCAATTTTTGTTTTCTAAAAAATGTCAAAATATATATTTCCAAAGTTAAATCAGCATTTTTGTTAAATTAATAGCTTCCTCATATATAATGATGATTAATAATATAAATTCTTTTTATTTAAAATGGATATATAAATAATATAGAAGTGTAATTACATAATTAAATTTGTAATTAGTTTATAATAAATTAAGTATAATATTAAATTTGTAATTTAGATCTGATAATAAATAATCCAAAAAAAAGGTTCATAATCCATTATTTTAGAAATCAATTATTATATTAAATATGATAATAAACTAATTATAAATTTAATTATGTAATAAAATTAATTTAATATTCAAGTTCAAAAAATATGATAAATATTATCTTGTCAACTGAATAAACTGTCTTAATTTTTCATCTTAAACTCAATGACAAGCTCCTTAAATAAAATTTATATCTCAATTAATTTCAATTTATGGAAAAACTATTATAAAATTGGTTAATCATTAATGTTAGCATAATCTAGCTTATTTCCAAAAATCACACAGACTAATAGTTGCTCAAAAAATTTAGAATCACATTTCTTTTGATCTACTATTTATTATCACAATGAAATTCTTCCTTATTATATAAGTTAAATTTTTCATTATTATATTGGTATTACCTTACTTTAAACTATTTATTCTAATATAATATTTCAATCTCTTTAAAGTTTTGTTTTTCAGATCAATTTTTACAATTTTTGCTTCCTCCTACAAAAGGTCTAATCTACACTATCATTTTCCCAATTTTTAAATTAACTATGATATTTGATAAGTAAGAGAAGATAATTCTACCTACAAGTAAGACTATATTCTTTAGATTATAATAATGAATAAAATGTTGTAAGCCATTTCTTGATAACTCATTGTTTATGTTTATAGTGAATCATTAAGATTATTTAATTTCAATATCTTACATCATAATTAAGCATGCTGATTTCAGATAATTATTAATATGAAAATTATCAACTATATCATTGAAATTAGTTCTGAAATCTAATAAATCATTTTTAATTACTATATTTATTAATCCTATGTTATAGACTTGTTAGATGATTACATTTTTAATATGTTTGAGATTTTACATTTAATATTGAAATAATAATATATTATTTTATAAATGAATAAAAGCAGCCTGAATTCTTCAAAAATTAAACAACTCTCATCAGGTGCTCCAATTGAGGTTGTTCCAAGTGAGATAATATTTAAAGATATTTAAATCAATTAGACATATGAAATAACAGTTTTTGTTAGAAATCTAACACAAACAGCTCGTAGGATTAGAGTTTTTCAACCTCATTCAAATTTTAGATGTGATTATGAAATGCAAGGGTAATTAAGGAATTTTAATTTTTAAGGGCTATAGCAGCAGGACTATCAATGAAACTCATTGTAACGTTTGAAACAGCTAATCTAGAGAGTTACTCAGACAGTTTGAAGATCGTAACTGATGGTTAGTATAGTGTCGATATTCCATTACATGCATTCCCAGCATAAGCAGCGTATGGAATTATACTAATTAAGTATAATCTATGAACCCTTCATAAACTTGGGATTCGTTCGAATGGGAAAAGAGAAGATGGATAAAATTCATTTTAAGAATGAAGGAAAGGCACCTGGAAAGGTTGAATTAAAATTAGAGAAATTACCAGATTTTCGAATAGATCCTAATTCATTTACATTAGCACCAGGTGAAGAATTTTCAGTTTCAGTCTTTTATAAACCTAAAGATGCAGGTATCTTTAGAGGCATAGTAGAAGTGATTGCTGATGGTTAAGTTAGTGGATTAAGTCTTAAGAATCCAATTGATATTAATGCTACTTCAATAGAATTTACACGATTCTTAATTGATTAAAGTGGAACTCAGAATAATCATTTTGATTTTGGTACAATTTATTATGGATAACAAAAACAAATTGAGGTTTATTTAGTGAATAATACTCCAAAATAACAGAAATTTAATGTAAAATTGAAAAAGGGTTTACATGAAAGAGAGGAAACATTGAAATTATAAACTCCAGCAGAATTAGGTTTAGAACAAACTGAACGTATTATGGAATGTTGGCCTGAAGAAGGAACTATTGAATCATATTCTTAAGCAACTATTATATTTAAATGTAAACCAAAAGTAAGTGAAGAATTATTGATACGCACAAAATAATATGCAATGAATTAAGATAGAAGAATGGATCCAGATGAATTTTAATATTCAGCTATCTTTGATTTTAATGATGATGAACCATTGATGAATCATTTATCTGTACATTGTATTTGTCCATAAATTAAATTTCCACCTATATAAGCATTATAATTTGGATAATGTGGAGCAAATTAACAAAAGGATATGGTTTTTGAAGTTCAAAATTTATCTTAAGATTTACCAATCCTTATATCTTTTCCAACTATTCCCTATTTTACTGTAAGTCCACCTATTAAAACTTTAAGTTAATCTGAGAAAGTGAATTTTTGGGTAAGTTTCAGACCTAAACATATTGGATAATTTGTTAGTACTTTGAATGCAGAATTACTTGGTGGAGTGTTCAAAATACCAATAAAAGTTACAGGTACTTGTTAATAAATATTACCAAAACCATAATATAAAAGAGGACCAGAATGTCAACCTTAAGATTTCGATATTACAAAGGATCGATCTATTTCAGGTATAGTTAAGACTTAGACTGATAAAGTTTAAACTTTTGATTTATCACGTTCAATGGTTTCTGTAGCTCAATAAAGTTTGGATAAGATTGATGAATTGAAATTAAAAAATAAAGAGAAATATAATGAATATTTGAAAGGACATAGAGCTTAAAGGATTAAGAAAGAGAAAGAATAAATGATTAAATTAAAATTCAATTAGATGACAGAGAAATTAAATTCAATAAAAAATGAATCATTACTTTTATAGAAGAAAAAATAATAAGCAACAGATGAAGAAAAACCAGAACCTCCTATAGATTATGAATTTGTTGTAGGAATGCATGAAGATGGTTATGAATAGGATTTGAATCTACCTGATGCTAATGAATCTTTATTTGTTACAAAACCAATATATCATTATGAACCAATAACAAGAGTAAAAGAAGGTAATGTAATAAAACCTTTTGATCCTGATCCAAAAACAGTTCCAAAGAAGAAATTTCCTAATGAACCTAAAACTCATAGTGAAATTAGAGATACTTCATGTGAATTAACAGCTGAATAATTATTAAAAATAAGTGCTGGTCCAGTTAAAATTGAATTTGGAAATATCTATATTAAATCTTTAGCTACAAAATATTTTTATGTTAGAAATGAATTAAGAAGTTCAATATCTGTTAGAATATATTCAGATAGAGAAGACTTTGCTTAATCATATATGAAACCATAAATAATACCAAGTGGATAAACAGCAGGATTTGATGTATGTGTGAATTCTAGGTAATTAGGATAATTAAAATCACATTTGAAATATATAATAAATGAAAAACATGTTTTTGAAATATAAGTATCAGTTACAATAGAAAAAGTTTAATTAGAAATGAGTAGATAATAAGTAAAATTAACTTTTACAGAAGACAATGGAGAAATGGAAACAATGGAAATTTTGAGATTAACAAATAATGGAAATGCTGATGCCAAATTTAAATGGATAACATCAGATAAAAAAACATTTTCTGTTAAACCAGAAGAAGGTGTTGTACCATTTGGAAAATATTTAGAATGTTAAATAATATATCGTCCATCTTTGGCAAACAATCAATAATAAAATGTAATCTAAACATCTGGATAATTATAATAATAATATACAGCAGCAACAACTAGAACTGAAGAAGAAAAGATAACACTTAAGACTGAAGAAGGAATAGATTAAACTATTAAATGTATTGGAGTTGTAACTGAACCAAAATGTTCAGTCAAGTAAGTATCTCTTGATTTTAAAGATGTTATTGTATGTAAACCTGATACTAAAATAATAAGTGTAAAGAATCATTCTAAATCAACAGCAGTATTTGCAATAAAATCATAAATAGATTGTATTGAGGTCATGCCTATGAAAGGTAGAATTCATTCAGATGAAACTAAAGATATTCAAGTTAAATTCTTTAGTAAAGAAGAGAAAATAATTAAAGGGGATATTGTAATTTAAATTAGAGGTGGTAAATTATTGATTGTTCCTTTCTCAGCTTAAGCAATTATACCTAAAATTGAAATTGAATAGGATCATTTTGATTTTGGAAATGTTACTACTTTAGGTACTAGTAATCAAATGCTTTTGACTCTTATAAATTATTCTACTGTTAATGTGGAATTAGTTTTGGATTTGAGATCTTAAAGTGAAAATCCAAAAGCACCTGATGGAATTGATTGTTTAGAATTCAAACCATAAGATGATGATGATACTATTATGCATTCTGTTCATCCTGATTAAGAAGATGATGAACCAAAAGAAGAAGATCCATTAGATGATGTATCTGAAAAATCTGAACCTATAGAAGTTGAATAAAAGATATATAGATAATATAATATATCTATTGGAGGAGGTAAAACTTAATAATTTTTATTACGTTTCTCCCCTAAAGAAGTTAAATAATATTCTTTTGATATTCCATTGACTCTAGCAAGATTTGGTATGTTACCAACTTTATTAAGAAGAATTACTTGTAAAGGACTCAAACCTAAATTCTTAGTTGAACCTTAATCAATTGAATTCAAAAAGAAAATAATTACATCTCCAGATAAATGTTTTCCTACTGTTGAAGAAATCAAATTATCTAATCCTGATAAAAGAGATGTCCATTGGAAAATTGATGTATCTTCATTAAAATCAGAGAAAATCTTTTCAATCGAACCTTCAGAAGGTATTGTACCTAGTGGATAATAATAAAAAATTAGAGTCAAATTTAATCCATATGGACCTGGAATATTTAATGGAGTAGTATAATTATATATATTATCTGATCCTGAAATACCACCAACTTTACCTTATGTAGAATTAACATTAGGAGGATCTGGAGCATATCCAAGATTATTATTTGATAAAAAAGAAATCATTTTACCAGTTGTTCCATTGAATATTTAATCAAGATGTTACTTTAGAATTATTAATGATGGATACGAAAACTTAAACTTAAAATACAATTGGGCTCAAGAAATCAGTAATTTTAATTTAGAACTTAAATTTCCTGAAGGTACAACTTTAGGTGTTGCAAAAAGTAAATTAAGAGTTGAAGTTATTTTTAGTAATAAGAAACCTTTAAGTTTTACAACAAGAGTAGAATTTATTGATGAAGCTAGAGTATATTCAATATATATTTCTGGTACTACAGATAATTGTATTTTTACAAATCAAACATTTTTATGGAGGATGGGAAGATATCAATTAGAAGTTGAAGATAAGAAACCAATACTCTATGTTGATGATGAAAATGTAGATTCTGATAATGAAAAGAATCCTAAACATAATTTATCTGTAAGATCAAGTACTTCATCTAAAGGAACTGCAAATTTAGGTTATACTCCTGTTAGAAGAGATTAATTTGATTCAGCTTCTGAATATATTATTAGATGGCTTAATTATCATGTACTTACTACTAGTATTAATATGTATCCTGAAGATATAATTAATTCTAATGGACAACAGATTTTTGAATTGATCACATTCTTAACAGGAAAATAGAATTTTTCATATAAATAAAATATTGATCCAAATTGGAAGAAATCTTAAAAAGCAGAAGCACTTTATAAATAATATGATGAATTAATTAGATAACTTAAAATAGAAGGAGCATTATTAAATCATATTAGATCAGAATATTTATTAAGTTATTAAGATTATTTAGCATGGTTGAAAGTTTAACCACCAAATAAATTTGAAAATGTTCCTGAAAATATGTTGAGACTCAATCCTACTAAATATAATTATTTATAATAAGATGCTTGGATTGCTTTATTTTATTAAATTATCAAAATCTATTATTTAAATCGTATTACTCTTAAAGCATTTAAAACTCTTCCTGGAATTCCTACTACTAAATTAAATATTCCTGAATATTATTTAGAAGGATCCAATTTGATTTCATAATCAGAAGGTATACTCCTTTACTTTTATGAAATATGTTATGAAATCCAACATTAAATGCCTAAACGAATCAAGAATTTTGATTTAGATTTCAAAGATTCAACATTAATAGCAGATACTTTAATTACTTTTATAGGTCCTTCTATGAATAAATTTTTTAATAATCTTCGTAATTCTTGTAATCATGAGGATGATTATAAATACAATACTGAAAAATTAATGCCAGCATTATAAGATTTTGGTCTTTAATCTCATATCTAACCTACTGATATATATAGACCTTAATGTAGAGAAATGATTATGTTACTAATTCAATTATTCTTTTCATTACCTTATTATATTCCTTAAAAAGAACCTATTTTCTTTTCTTGTGTTTTAGGTGAAGAAGTAGTCAAGAGCATTGAACTTAAGAATCCTACTCAAAAACCAATTAGTTATTGGGTTAAATATGAAGGACATCCAGATTTTTAATTAGAAGGAGATGAGAGTATTAAAATTGAACCAGATATTCCATATTAATATAAAATTAAGTTTACATCAAGAATATCTTAACCAGTTTCTGGAAGAGTGATTTTTACAAATAAAAAAGAATCAAATATTTAAGCTGCAGCATTAGTTTTTGAATTAAAATCTAGTATTACAGGTAGAAAATCTGAAAAATAATGGAATGTAAGTTCAATATTGTATGAAATCTTTGATTTTCAAATTTAAATAACAAATAAGTTTTTATAAGATGGTGAATTTCTAATAATTATAACTCATGAAACAAAGTAAGTTGAATAATAAAAGAAGAAGGGAAAACAAAATTAAATATAAACTATAAATCAAGAAGAGGAATTTCCAGCATTCTTTTGTTAATAAGAGAAAGTTCGTATTCGTAAGAATTAAACAATAAATTTAACTTTATAATATATACCATTAACAATGGATACTCATAAATGTTAAATAGTTTTTACTGATCCATAAGTAGGAGAATTTTAACATGATTTATTAGGCACAGTAGAATTACCTAATTTATCAGGTGAATTTAAACCTGAAAAACCATTATATGTAGATCAAACTATTTAAATACCTTATTAAATTCCTTTCAAGAATGAAAATATAATTCGTGCAAGACAATAAATCTAATAAATTATGTAATTAAAATAAAAGAATAAATAAACAGGTTTAGATAAAACTAATACTTAGAATAAATTAGTATTTCCAGGTAGCAATATAGATTAAATTACATTTGAATTAGAAGTATTTCCTTAAACCTAATATCTATAAGTTCCATAAATATTAACAGTAAATGATGGAAATAAAAAATAAGTTGATCGTAATACTGATGGTAAATTGCCTATTACTTATGCTTTTAAAAATGCCACAAAAGATTTTAGTGTTATATTGACACTTAAAAATAAATTCGATATAAGAAGATACAAATTATCAGCATAAGTATTACCAAAAGTTGTTAAAGCAACTTTAGAATTCAGAGTACCAGCTAGATAATAAGTAATTTAAGAAATTCCAATTGTGAACAATTCAGATAAAGATTGGAGTATTAAAGTGTAGATTATTCAAACTTAAGATAGTCTATTTTAATGTCCAAATAAAGACTTTTAAGTTAAAAAGAAATCTACTGGTTTATTTCCTATTACATTTAATCCTTAATGGATTTCATCATGTGAAGCAAAGTTAATACTTAGTAATCCATTAACAAATGATGTATTTGAATATGATTTAGTTGGTATTGGAGAAGAACCAGTTGCTGAAGAACATATCATACTTAATTGTTAAGCTAGAAAATAAATGAAGAGAGATATAGAAATAAAAAATAATTCAGAAAATGTAATTACTTACAAAGTAGAAACTGATTTAATTTATGCTTCAGGACCCTAAACAATTACTGTTTAACCAGGAAAGAAATAAATATATTAATTAACAGTATAACCTGTATTATCAGGATAATATACTGGATCAATAACATTTACAGAAGAAAATGGAAGATATTTATGGTATACTGTATTTATGAATACTGAATCACCAAAATCAGTTTAGACTTTAGAATTATCTTGTTTAATTAGATAAGCAACAGTTATGCAATTAACACTTATTAATCCATTATCTGAAACAGCTATATATGAAGCTGTAATAAATGGAGATGGATTAGTAGGTGAAGATTAATTTGCTATTGGAGCAAATAAAGAAGGAAATTATGAATTAACTTTTGCACCTCTTAAAGTTGGAAGATGGAGAGGTAGTGTTGCATTTATAAATCGTTAATTAGGTGAAATTTGGTATGAATTTATACTCACTTGTGAAGAATAACCATTAATCAAATTAAATGTACTTAAAGCATCTCTAGGAAAAGTAGAATCATAAACTGTTATATTAGAAAATCCATCAGATTAAAAGATTACTTTATAGTAAAGAATATCTAATTCTACTAATTTTGATATATTTCCAGATGAATTAGTTATTTAACCATATGACATTTTAAAAGTTAATATTAGATATACTCCATCTTCACTTGATTAAATTGAATAATCAGAAATTATCTTTTCATCTCCTATTGGTAAATGGCATTATTTAGTATTTGGTAATGGTCTACCTCCAACTAAATTTCCAGCTACTACTGTTAGTATAGGATTGAATAAAGATTATAGTTCTGTTGTACACTTTAAGAATCCTTTCAAAGATCCAATTACTGTAAAAATTGAATTAGAAGCAGAAGGACATAATAAAGAGGTTTTTAAATTACTTACTACCAAAAGTGATAAAATCCTTATTCCAGGTATGAATGTTTTATAAATTCCTTTTTCATTTGTTCCCAGAGAAATAACATGTTATTATGCTGAAATTATTATTTAAATGAATGAAAAGATTTCATGGAATTTTCCCATTAAAGGTGTAACAGAAAGTGTTTCTAATTAAACATTATTTCATTTTAAAGCCAAGTGTAGAGAGAAATGGGAAGATGAAATAAAAATTGGTCTTTAAGGAATTGCTTAAAGTTTATAATCTGATGATAAATTTGATTATGAGTTAGCAAACATTCCAGTAGATTTATAATAAATGATTAACAAATGCTTTAGTGTTAAATGTACAAAAAATTATTTAAATTCTCCTCATGAGAATCTTCATTTTACAGTTAGATTTCAACCAATGAAACCATTTAAAGCTAGCCTTGAATTTATTGTTCTCAGACAAAGTGGAGGCAGATGGAAGTATCCTTATTATATTATGATTTAATAGATATAAGATAATCTTAGAAGCTACTTAACCTGATGAAGATGATGTCATCATAATTAGTTCACCATTAAATAAAACTGCTAGTGTATCCTTCAAATTAACTAATAAAACTAAAGGATATGCTAAATTCTATGCTGGATTTACTCCTGAATCTGATGCTGAATTTTCAGTCATACCAAAAATTGGTGATCTTGAACCATATGGAAGAGAGGGAACAACTTTTGTTATTTCATTTACTCCAATAGAATATGGTAAAGTTAGAAAAGGAAAGTTAGTCATTTAAACTGAAGATATGTATTGGTACTAAATATAATTATAATATAGGTCTTATTTGATTAAAGGCATTCTTCCAAAATATATACCTCCATAAATTAAATAATCTAATATAGATAATCATTAATCTATATCCTAAATTTAATAATCAAGTATTATTGATTAATCCAAAAATTATGTTGTTGAGAATATCAAAAAAGCTAGATAACTTACTCCACCTGCATCTAAAAAATAGATGTTTTTAGAAGCTTCTTTTATTAAGAAATGAAATATCTACATATATATTTTTATATTTTTATATCATTTATTATCAAGATCTTAATTCAATAGTTTTGATGTTTCCTTACTAAAATAATTCTTAGATTCTAATTAATTCTTTTAAGTTAATAATTCATCTCTATGAATGTTATATATTTATAATTACTTCACTTCATTTACAACTTTATCACTAACTCCAAAATAATCTAATAAATTAAATAGAAAATGTTTCTAGAAATTTGGATCAAATTTCAAAGCTGTATCTATTTACTTACCTTTTATTTTTGCTAAACCTCTCATATACTCAATAGGATTATATAGTCCTAAGATTCATATTTCAATTCAAATACCTGTTATTGCTGCAGTCCCTAAAATATAAAATGATGTAAAAACAATTGATTGAATTGTGCCATATTTAATTACTTCTCTAAAACCAAATTTTTTAGGTGAAAATAACTTTTTTGAATAATATTTGAAATGTATTGTATAATACATAGTGAATCCTGCAGTAACCAAATTGAAAGGGACAAGTAAATACAAACGATAATTTGGTAAATATTACTCTTTATATCTTTATTCAAGTATCTTTAACTATTCTTCTGTTAAATTTTCAATATTATCCATTCTTATCTCATCGTCTCCCATCACAAATAATTTAATAAATTATATTATTTTTCATTAAATAAATGAACAATATTCAATTTAATCATCTTATCATAATAAAGTTGTGCTATTCAAAAACCCTTTAGAATTCTCTTAACTCCTTAATGAATTATATAGTCTGATCAGAAAAGTACAATATTTAATGAAAAGAAATCTCAAATATATTATTATTTCATTCATCTAACCATCTTATCTTTTTTCCATCTTCCCATTCTCCTTCTCTTTCAACACCATTACTACCTCTATATACTCCTTTACCATGTTATTATCCATCTTTCCAAAAACCTTTATACATCCTTCCATCTGGCCAAAAAAATTCTCCAAAACCATGTTTCTTATCATCAAAATATTATCCTTTATATTTTCTACCATCCTTCCATGTAAAAATACCATTTCCATCCATTTTATTGTCTTTCCAATCTCCAGTATACTCTCTAAAATCTGCCCATTTATAAACACCTTTTCCATGAATATTATTAAAAGCAAATTCTCCAGTATAAGTACTACCATCACTCCAAGTAAATGTACCAATTCCATGTTTTAAACCCATATCATAATCACCTTCATACATTGCTCCATCAACCCATTTTTCAACTCCAAAACCATGTTATTTATCTTCATACCACTCTCCTACATATGATGCTCCATCTTTATGATAATAAGTTCCTTTGCCATGAGCTTTATCATTAAGCCATTCTCCAATATATACATCTCCATCAGCATGAATCAATCTACCTTTTCCGTTAGCCATATCAGATGCAAAATAACCTTCATATATAGAACCATCAGCCCAATGCTATTTTCCTCTTCCTTGTCTCATTCCATTCTTCCATTATCCTTCATAGTACACATTAGTTTCAATTTCCAATACTCCAGAATAAGGTAGAGTAAATATATCCTCATTTGGATCTTCATATTCATAAGGACCAACCCTATTTAATGCTTCTTAAGTTAATGAATTAGAGAAATCAGGTATAGAACTAAGTTTTTTTAGATCAGATCTAATATGTTAAATTAATTGAGAGGATTGCTATAATTTTGGTTTGACACTTAAGTTTTCTTAATTATCAGGTACTTTTTTGGATGGTTTGAGTTCATTACGAGATTCATATTGATTTGGATCATCACAGGTAGCACAATTTCCCATTTTGACTGTTATAATTTTTATTATGTTATCAAATCGGTCAAATAAGGATACTAAAGAAGTGAAACGTATTAGTCTGATTCCAAGTAGACAAGAGCAATAACAAGAACAAGAATACAAGTACATATAACCTGTAAAAACTGTAAATGTGGAGAATCAAGATCCAAAATGGTCAGAACTCAAAGTAGATGGTAAGAATATCAACCATAGAGCTTATACAAGTATAACAATTCATAATGATTTGTATAATTTTCAGTATTTATATAGTCTTTATTTATATGGAGGATATTAAGTTCAATTAGGAATAATGGATGAATTCTATCGTATGAATCTAAAGAGTTTGAGTTACCAATGGGAAAAGTTGTCTTACAAAGAAAACCCAGGACCAAGAACTCGTCATCAAATGTGCACTTACATGGATAGAATCTACATTTTTGGTGGTCAAATACACTAATCTGTTTCCACTAATTCTATGTGGTACTTTGATCTCAATTCCCACACTTGGATTAAGTGCAAAATTAATCAATCTTATCCTCCAGAAATAGATAATCATACAGCTATTATCCATAATGATAATTGGATTGTATTTGGAGGCTTTTTTGGAGGAACAGTAGGTTTACACTCTAACTATGTATATAAATATGAGTTTGCTTCTAATACATGGCAAAGGATCTAACCATAAAATAGCACTGCTCCTACTCCTAGAGATGGATCAGGCATAGCTATACATAAGAACATTCTTTATATGTTTGGAGGATCTAATGGACATTAGAGATTTAATGATTTATGGAAATTCGATTTCTAAGTATGGACTTACATTCCTGTTAGTTCCAATATATTACCAAGAGTTAGATCAGGTCATGTTATGCTTGTTCATGATGATAAAATTATAATCTTTGGTGGAATACATGATATAACTTGGGAATTAGATGATTTATTTGTATTTAATCTTAAGAAAATGGAATGGATTAGTGTTGATGAAGATAGTGCAAGAAGAAAAGATAAATAATTATTATCTCCTACTAAAGATAATAAATAAGATCTTTAACATTCAAGAAGATAATTTAGAAAATCAACTAGAACTGGTAGTATTAGAAAAACAATTAAAAGAACAACTCTCTCTCCACTTAAAAAACCAGATTAATCTGAAGACAGTTTGGAGTCGCCAACTAGAAATTTATCATAAGCTTAATCTAATTAAAAAACACTTGATGAAAAAAAAAGAAAAGAAATTTAATAAAAAAAAATGGCATTATTAAAGATTTTTGAGGTTGATGAAGGTTAAAAATTATAATTTAGAGATAATTCACCTACTTCTGAAAAAATGAGAAACTCTTTATTTTTAGTTGGCAATCCAAAAGCTGACTTAAAAATTAGATAGGGAAAATTAACTGAATTTGGAAAACCTTTAGTTTCAAAGTAAATTTTCTATAATATTTAATAAGATTTCTCCAGCCACTTCAATCAATGTAAAATTAAATTATTGGAAAGAAGCCTTGTGCTAGAGATGGACATTCATTTACAATTTATCAATCTTAACTTATAATTTTTGGAGGAGATAGACATTAAATGTCCTTTAATGATATCTATTCTTTAGATTTAACAAAAATTTGATAATATTAAGTTAAATAATTATTATTTATCAATTTATATGGAATATTTTGATAATCAATTTTAGAATAATTGCATCCCTTGTTACTTTTTTTATTTAAACTATTCTAAAATGATGATATAATTTTTGATTAACATTAAATATATTAAATAGCCTCTTCTATCATATTTACTATAATATTATTAATTAATATTTGAGATTTGGACAATAATAAATTTATTATCTATTCTTTATTAATGCAAAATAAATATATTGGGTATTTTTTAAAATATGTTGTCATTTTTTTTATTATTCATAATTAATCAAAATTTCTTTATTAACATATGTTAAACATAATGTTCATTATTCATATTACAATTATTAAAATAATATTATCTAGAACTGCTAATAAGTTATATTAATAATATCTATTATATTACTCTAATTGAAAGAAAATAAAATAGAATTGTTAATTGCAACTATATAAAAACGAACTAATTTTTATTATAAAAAAGGATTATTTATAAGGAGATATATTTGGTTATATAAATATTTACAAGCTAGCCAATATATTAAATATTGTTGTACGATTATTAAAATTTGACTTAATCATTTTATTTAATCTGAATTATATTATAATAATTTCAGTTAGATCATCTCAAAAATTTTCATTATAAAAGTATTTTTCTATATTTTATTGATTAAATATTACAATTTAAATTATAACATATCTTTTTTGTCATATAAAAGTCACAGTTATTCAATCTAATATTAATAAATAAAAATGTAAAAAATTTTGGCAATTGCATTACTCATCCTTTGTATCACAGCTAGAAAGCATCACAAATAAGAGGAAGGATAAACAGATCCAATGGCTTAATGTCTATAGGATAATTGTATGGATTAAGCATTTGAATGTGTCTTTAATGAATAATGTACCCAAACCTTGGAAAGTTGTGATAAAGAACACGGAGATGCTATAAAATTAGATGATGTAAATTTTAATTTTAATTACTTAGTTTGTTTCTTGCACTGCTAATGATGAAGTTGCTTCTGCATTTGCTGCTTGCATGAGAGACCACTGTGCTAGTTTGGAATCAATTATGAGATTTTTCAACAGAAGAAACTGATCATTGTGATGATTATTATAAAACCATATTCAAACAAAATCATCCAAGAATATTATATTTCATTTTAGACTTAACAAACACAAATGTTAAACAAGTTTCAATTATTTTATAAATAATTACCAAAAATTCTTTAAATTATGATAATATTGAAATAAAAATGATAGTATATTTTTGTTAATTATATAGATAATTAGTAATTATATACCTTAAGAAACGAACTAAAAATAATTTTTATATATTATATTTAATCAAAAAAATACTTTATTTATAAGAGTTTTATTTTGAAATAATATATTTTCAAAGTCATTGTTTATAAATTATATTGTATTGATTAAATAAAATCACTAAAAATTAAATTGAATTCAACTTTGAATAAAATATCTTAAAATAATATATGAATATTTGTCAATTTTAACATTAAATCGATTACATTTGCAGTATGTTAAATAAAGTGAATAAAAAATGAAGACTTAGTACTGAATTGGTTGAAGATAAATAGAATAAAAAATTTGAATAGTTTTGAAGAAATAAAAATGGATAGTATTTAGCAAGAGAATTGAATATCAAAAATAGTTCATTATTATTAATTAAGACAAAAAATTGCTGAAGAAATTATGAGAATTAAATGAAGGGTTATTACTTATAGACAAGTAATTGTTAGAATATAAATATAATATATTTTGTATTTCTTACAAATTTTTTTATTAATTTATAATTTTATTTAATTATCATTCGAGATTCTTCTTTACATAAGTTTAAAAAAAAAATAAAATATATAAGTCATCCTAAAAAAAGTGTGCTAGAAGTGCTTTTTGTATTTTTTGAGAGATTTTTTTCATAACTATAGCCATTAAATAGATTCTAAACTGAGTTTTTCTTTAATAAGAGTTTATTTTCTCTGATCAAATCATCCTGACTTTCGTTATCCTCACTAATTTAATTTAAATATTCAATATTGTCATCAATTTCCTAAATAAAAATAATATTTATACAGTTGGAATATATGGAGATTAGATTTCTTTATTTAAGAGTTTTTACCAAGGAAAGTTTCTAAGCCAAGGATGATTTTTCACTTCATCTGGTCCTTTAAAACCAAGTCTATTAATTGGTTTTCTTTATATTAATTTGTTTATAAAATCAGCACCTTCAAATGACCAATCATTTGGAACTTCAGATTTTTTAATCTAAACTTATCTTGTGAGGATTTGATCTCTAATTTCTTATCTTGACCTTCCATTATAAGGTCTTCTTCCTAACATAAATTCATAACCCATGATCCCAAGAGCAAAGTAATCTACTGCTATTGTATGATTCTATCTACACATTACTTCAGGAGCTTAAAATATTTAATATAAATCTTATACCCATATATCCAGGAGTGCCACTTGTATCTTATGAATTTTCAGGTTTCCAGATTCTTGCAATTCCTAGATCTGTTAATCTAACATATCCATATTTATCCAAAACTAAATTTTCTGGTTTAAGATCTCTATGTATTATGTTATTGTTGTGTAAATATTCTAATGATAATAAAACACAAGCTACAAAGAATTTAGTTTAGTGTTCTTTAAATCTTCTCATTTTCCCTATATGATATCTTAAATCTCCTCCTGTTAATAAATCCATAACCAAATATAAATTGTCTCTATCTTGAAAACAATAATTCATATTAATTAAAAAGGGATGTTTAAATTAAGCCAATAGATTTCTTTCATTCATTACTGAATTAACACTTCTTTTGGCTATTACTTTTGCTTTTGACATTTCCTTCATAGCATATAATTGTCTAGATTTCTTTATTTCAACTTTCCAAACCTTTCCAAATCCACCCTTTCCAATTACATAATGAAATTGAAAACTATTCTTGTTCACTTGAATATTGCAATCTACCATTAAAGTTTCTTCATCATCATCACTTGATTATTGTCTTTCTTGTTATTTGACTATGCTCTTAGAATTCTCATATCTAGAATTATGTTAATGTTTCATCATTGAATTCAATAGATTTTCAAAACCTTTAGAGTATTTAAATTAACTAGGCATTAAGAATTCTTATTTATGAATTTAAGGAACTTCATTTATGATTTGAGATCCTTTTTCAATTGGCTTATTTTCTTTAACTAGACTGTTTTAATAATTGATAAAGTTATCTTGTGGTTAAATTTAATGAGCACTGGAAAATTTAGGATATAGAAAAGGAGATATAATTTTTGTTGTAGTATTTGGAGATCTAGAATTCTTTCTAACAGTGTTTCTATTTATAATATCTAGATTCTCAAAAATAGCTGGTTTAATAGGTGATTGATCTTTAGATCGATTCTGTGATTGTATTTAAGAATCTTATTAATTATGTTATGACATTAATTTAGATAATGCAAACATTGAACCACGAGAACTTGCATTATTTAAATACTCCTACTTTCCTTTATGAAATGAATTGTTTCTACTACTATTAATATTTGTTGCACTCTAATTCCTTAAATGCTTTGATTAAATTTGTAAATGTGATTCATTTTATTTTTGCATATTCAATTAAATGATTTTAACTTTGGTAGGAGTTACACTTCTCTAAGAAGAAGGTGTTTATCTATTTTTAGTAGTTTTTTAAGCTATTTAGAAGAAACTTGCAAATTAACTTAATCCTAATGGAGATTTATTAATTTGTTTAGAACGATCATTTTATAATTCCTTATTATAATTATTATCTTACAGGCTTGGGCTTAATTAAATTAAGTTTAGTTGGAAATAAATCTTTCAGATTACGGTGGTTAGACATTATTAATATTATATAAATATAAATTATTATTAAACAATTTGTAAGTTCAGTAATGAACAATAATAGTTCAAATAGGAAGATAAGTTATAAATGTAAAATATAATAATAAAAAAGTATAGAACTCTTTTTATATGAATAAAAATAATAATAATAAAAATTATATATATATATATATTTAAGCCAAATCAATCTAATGTTTAATTTTAATTGTACCACCAAGAAATCTATTATTTAGAGGAGGTTCTTCTAGTTCTTCAACAATTGGTTAATGAACAACATGCTATGGTTTAATTTACTTAAAGGCTGTGAAATCAATGGTTCTCTTTTCATGACGATGTGTACTGATTTCTTCAGGTTATCTTGGTATCTCTCCTAACTATAATCTATTAATTGGTGTTGCTCCTTTTGCAGAATGAATTTCAATCATTTAACATGGTTTATTTTCTATCATAATTTAAAGGTTCTTCTTTTTCATGGTTTGATTTTAGACTATTTTTTCAAAAACACATTTCTTTATACAAAAGACTTCTCCTATTGTTGAATTACAAAAAACATCATAAGAATAATTATCATTATGAATTTCATCCATTCCTATTACATCCATTACCTTGTAGGTCTAGAAGTATAATTATTATTGATAATGTTACACGAAGTTATTTCTATATTTGAGGTTCCTGAGCAAATATCTTACTTATATAATATAATGGATTCTTGGATTAAGACTTGACTAATATTCATTTTGCTTAAATAATGATACCATATTTGACTTATACAAATTCACCCTTTGTTACAACATATACGTGTTTTGGTACTTCATTGGAAACAAAGATCTTAGAGTTTAGACAATACTATCTAAATTATTATGCTTCTTATGGCCATTTTTTTAATGCCTAAGATACTGCAATCAAATCATTTTTGGTCTTATCTTATTTGTATATAAATTTCAAACATTCCTGCATTCGTTAATTATGCTTTTACCTGTTGAATTTGTTCCATTTTTTAATTTATTATGAATAGTTATTTAATAAGTAAGTACTCTCAATCATCTCATTATCATTATAAAAAAGGAATAAATGACATTTTAGAAGGAAAAAGATGTTAATTACTTATCAAACTTAAAGATCTATAATGTTATGACACACCTCAAGAACACATAACCAAATATTATCACATTAATCAGTTAAGAGATAAATTACATATGTTGGGAGAATATTATAAAGTATGAAATACAATTAATCAATCAGTATCATAATGATATACCACGTTTATTTATGATTCCTGCCATCATTCCCTTAAATTATTTTCATGATCGTAAAAGAAGACTAGCATTTTTTAGAATTGCTCGTTTGATTGCTTAAGAAAATCATAATAACCCTGACAAACCATAAAAAGGAATTGTAGGTGATTCACCTATCCCATTGACAAGTGAATAAATTACTCCACAAGATCCTAGTTCTTCTGATGAAGTATTATTAAACCATAATTAAATTAGATCCTCTCGAAAAATGATAAAATCTTGTAAGGAATCAGTTTCTTAATTTAAGAACCTGATTCAATTGAAAAAATCAAACAATAAATTTAGTCAATGATCAAATTAAAAAAATAACCAAATACATCTTCCACTAAAATCAATAGTATTGGAAGTAATACAACTACTAGTAAATCTAATAAACAATCTATTCTAAAATAAACTAAATAACCATAACCATAAAAAAGTAAATCTCCTTCACTCAAAATACAATCAGCTTCCATTCAACTTATTGATGTTGCATCTCCTAGAGATTAAAAACCATCCAAACATATTTCCCCAAAAAATATACAATAATTTACTAAAAGCAAACCTAAATCACCTTCTGTCAATATGGCTTCACCAGTTCAACAATTTATAAAATTATCAGCCAAAATGAAATAATCATTTAATAAATAATAATGTAGCAGTGCAAGAAACAATACAAATATACCAAATAGTGCTAATTAAAGAAAGAGTAGTGTTACTCATATTCTAAATATTCTCAAATCACCAAATAAAAATAATTCTCATTAGATTCAACATATATCATCTACTCCTAGAGATTAAGAATCCAAAAGAAGTTTTAATAATAAAAAAGTTCATCAATTAGAATTATAAGTGATGTCTGATTTATAGAGTTTATTATAAAAAAAGACTTGTTTAACTCATAGAAGTTCAATGACTAATAAAAATTAAATTAAGAAGAAACTTAATACAAGAGAATTAAATTAATTTAAATGCATTAGATTACCATTATCCAATAGAGACAATAATAATAATCAATAAAAAGAATGATTTTCTTACCTACATAGTTAATATTTATATTTAATTAAATTATCAAATATTAAGTAGTAAAATATCATATTTAATTATTTAAATAATATATTTAATATAAGAATCATTTTAAAAAAAGTTATCTTTGATAATTCTATTTCCCTTCTTTCATTACTTCATTGAATTGTTTAACAAATTATAACATTTTACTTAAGACTATTCCAATTACAGAATAACAAAACGCAAATCCATAAATTATGGTCAATTTTACAGTTGCTATCCTTAAAATCTATTATTACAATTTATATTAGGCAATTAACTCAAAACACTAATAACCCAAATATTAAATATATTGATGAACATTTAAATTAAACCAAATGACAATCCTTAAGTTCTAAAGTTTTATTTTTGAATACCAATCAAACTTGCACTTGATATCTATAATTTTGTATAATCTTATTACTTAAACAACTGTGAAAATGAATTACTACATAATTAAAGTGATAATAAAGAAGAACATCCTTAAACCTAAAAGACTATTTGTACAAGTGAATTAAAGAGTACTTAATAAAAAATACATCAAAGAATCTGCTGTTTTGTCTGTCAAATATTTTAATGCATTATCTTACTACTAAATGTTTTTGGCAATATATCTTGCAAATATTATAGCTACGAAATCTAAGACATTTATTTACAAATAATAATTGGTGCTTCTTAAATTATAAATCCTAAAATTATATATCCATTCTTAGAATCAATAAAATATTAATCTATTTCATTTTTAAAATTATGATATAATGAAGTTACATCATATGATTACCAAATCTATATAATACTCATTATAGATCCTGCTGCTATTGCTATTACTGCTCTATCTGTATTTAAAATCTCTTTCAAAGCTTACAATAAATTTCCTTTAGATTGTATCGGAATTAATTGCAATTCTGGTATTTTTTAAAATGCATCAATTTTAAAAGTCTTAAAAGAACGTTAAAAACAAACTGTGAGACTTAAAAGAATTACTAAAGGTATCGATGACATTACTATTGTTGAGATCTCTCCAGTTATTATGGAAACAGTATTTAACTTCTCCAATCGATAATATATTATCAAAGTTATGATGGCACATAGAAGCCTTCCAGCATATCCATATTAATAAAATAAAGCTAATTATCTAGGAATTTGATCTTCAGGAAAATGCTTAGAAACCATAGTCTATATTATTATAGTTTGTAATTGTTATGCCAATATCTAAAATCCTATTGCAAAATACAAATAATCTTATATCAATTTCCAACAATATCCTAAAAAGTATATGTATGAAAATATTGTTAAAAATAAACTAATAAAAAAGATATTTAAAGTATATTAAACATGATCTATTATAAAGCCTCCTAGAGCAGGACAGATAATTTTTAAAATAGTCATAATGACAAAAAAGAACAATTGATTAATACCTGAAAATAAGCTTAAATTATAGTATTGGTAAGCAATAAAAGTATTTACAAAGTCTGAGAAATAGAGCATATTGAAAAGTAATCTCATTCGTATTTCAGAAATCATTTGCTATAAATTTCTATATATATATATTCTTAATAATAAATATAATTATGAAAAATTAAAAAATAGAATTAATACTTATTCAAAAGAACCTAATTTCTAAAATTTATAATACTAATATCTTACTTATATTTTCAATCTCTAATACAAATCTCTTATCATAAATGTTTAAAAAACAAATCTAAATAATTATATTTACATTGATAAAAATGATTTTGTTCAAATATTATTTTCACTAAGACTAAAAGTTTATCTTTAGATAGTAAATAATGATTAACAAAATTTAATATAAATAATCAAAGTTCAAATTCTTCCTCATAATCATTCTTTATGGGTTTAACTGTTCTTAGCTTTTTCCAATATATGTATAATGCTATTATTAAACAAAAGGCTACAATAGATATTAATCCATAAACCCAATTATTTTGATTTCTTTCATATATAAAAGTCAATTCTGTTTAATTTTGCCCAAATGCATTTTCTGCTAATAAGGAATATTTAAACTTTTCAGACTTAGCAAATATGCTTAAATTAAATCTACAAATGATTGACATAGGAGTAATATTATATAGAATTCCATTTGTGTCATTTGATATAAAAAATTATCCATTTTAATTTTTTATATCATAAACTGCAGCTATCATTTATGAACTATTTTGTGGAACTAAACCTCCAATCATGAGTAATGGTTATCCAAGATCAGTAATTTTAATTTTGGTTAAGTTATAGAATGTATAATAATATAAATTTTATTCACTTTTATAAGTATTTATTAAAATCCCATTAGCTAATTAAGAATTTTTTAAAGTAAGGTTTCCATAAAGAGGTATGGTTCCAATAATTTACTATATTTAATATTGTAATTTCTATGAATCATATGCCATAGATATGATTAATGTACAAAAATTAGTAGTTGTTAATAATACTATAATTTCTGAATAGTAATTTTTCACAACCAAAAATTAATATGGTTTAAATTATTAAATTTGAGTCTTAGTTTAAATATTTATTTTTTATTCTTTGCTAATTTGGAATAATTCTTAAGTAATCAAATTATATTCAAGTATTTAATAATGTAATGAGTAGGAACATATATAAAAAACAGCAATTAAAGAAATCTGTTGAGAAGCTTAAGTTGTGTTTCTAAAATTAGTAACACTAAAATAAGTGCAATTCAAAGAATCTGTTAGTTGTAATGAATAATTTTTTTAAGGAATATATATGAATATATTAGTTTAATTATCGAGATTTTCTAAAACAAAATACATTTCAAATAAAACTACAAATTGTAATGGTTAAATATAATCTGTCAGAATATATGTTTATAATTGTTATATGTTAAAAGCATTTATATTAAATGAAATTACAATTAATTATTAATTTTTATTTTAGCAAATTGAATATAAAGTTGTATAAGATGAATATGATAAGTAACAAGATTCAATAGAATCAGATGTATAATTATAATATTATGAGTCTAGAGCAAATAAATAGTTTTAACTTTATAAAACAAATAGTCCATCAACAGCAGTTAGAATATTATAGGATGAATTATAACTAAATAGTTATAATTAATTTAAAGAATTATATAAATTACATTCACTATGTTCATAGTTGCCATTTAAAAAACTAAAAAATGCTATCTATGAATTATTGCTTATATTTTCCTAATGTAAAATAACAACTTCATCTTTTTCTACCTACTTATCTATTACATTAAATGAAATATTAATAAAATTATTAATCAATCTTAGAGTATAAGTTGGAGTTATTTAATAGGTATATTTATTAATACCTGATGTAATATTGAAAAAGTAATTAACAACTTTCTCATAATTTTAATAATAAAGAGAAAGATTTGGTGTAAATTTCATTGTAATAATAGGGTACAAATTATAAAGATTACCATTTATTAATAATTGTGAGAATTCTTCTATATAAGTACATGCCAAATAACTTTAATTATAAGTAAAATTATAATAAAGAGATGCATGTTAAGGTAAATTTGGATTATATACAAGCATATTATTTGATTTTTATTTTACAAAAAAAAATTAGTTATCAGATGTAGACATTTAATATTCATCAAATTAAGTGCACCTCAAATTCTTTTCAAAGATAATACTTGTCATATTTGCTATTTCCCAAACTTAAAAGCACATACTTAATAAATCATTTTATCTATAAATAATTATTATTTTGTTCTTTAAAACTTTAATATCAAAAACCATAATTTCTAGATTTTAAATGATTAATGGAGTTAATATAGCTTCATTAGTAATTGAGCAGATTAATATCTATTACTCATTGCCAATTATTAATAGTGAAGATAAATCAAATTAATTCAAGGCGATTGCAGTAGGTCTAAATTTTTACACTTATGGAAAAAACCGTTTAATATTATCTTCATCAAGGTGAAATTATACTTAACCATTCAATTAAATCACAAGTACTTGGTTTCTCTTTGTTAAGACTACAATGCAATTATAACTCTACAAAATAGATTAAAATTAAGGAACATTAATGTAAATATAATCAATTGATGATATTGATGAATTATAAGTAAAAAGTAATATTTAGTTTTAAGATAATGAAATACTAACAAAAACAATACCTTCTAAATTTTATGCTAATTAAATTTATTAGATGTCTGATTGATTTAAATCCTAATGATATATTAAATTAAGTTAATTTGGAAGGCCTTAATAAAAAAAAAGAGTTTCATTTTAAATTCCAGCTATAAAAATTATATTTTGTAAATATTATTAAATTAAATTCATCATAGATGCAAGCTAAAAATTAAGATTCATTGTTAAATTTACTGATTAAAGTATTGCTAATTCAAAATCTCCAACATACATTTCTGTAAATATACTAGATAATTATAATAATGATCCAGAATAATTTTCAATTATTTAATTATAACCTTTGTTAATCACAACATAATTTTTATTGGTATCACTTTGGGATGTATTATAAATTAAAGTATCATTTTCACTTAGTACTGTAAAAAATATTTTAACTTTACAACGAGGATCTAAGACATTCAATATTGTTCTATAAATTGTAAATTTATTAGAAGAAGAATTATTAGGAAAATATCCATTTAAATTTGGTATGGTTACAAAATATGCTGTAAAATGGTAGCCAAACTCAAACAAGATGCTTTTTGATTAATCAAAATGAAGAAACTTTGTTAAATTCAATTTTTCAAAATTATCTAAAAAAGCCTCTTTTAAGACCCTTTCTGGAAAATCTATTTAATAAATCATAACTAAATAATTCTATTAAAAAATTAAAAACTATTAATTTGCAAAAATTATGGCATTTTGTATATTGATACCTTTTATATTGAAATAATAGTGTCTATCTACAATAAAATTCATATAACATGCATAAATATACCATAAATTCTTATATATTTCTGATTCCAATAACACAATTAATTAATCACATTGTGAATTCTTAACTAGACTTTGATATACAGTAAATGTTATTATTTAAGCATCTTAATTAAATTTTGTAAGAATTTGAAACTATTCATTTTCATTAATAATTATTTAAAATAAGTTTTCATTGTTGCTTATATAAATAAAATTTGTTCTGTTAAACCCTTATGATGTAATAAAATCTTAAAATCCCTATTGCCATGTTGATATATTTAAATATGATATTTTTCTATCTTAAAATAATGTCAAAATTTAATAGTCTAAAAAATACTATCCATAAAGTGTGTAAACTGAAGTTTGATTGATCAATTAAAGTATTTTAGTTGATTTTGGTAGCTAACTTTAATGTTAATAGATTCTGATTAGTTAATCATTTAGTTAATAAAATAACAACAAATTATTATTATGATAGCAATCTATTAAAACATTGTTATCTAAAGTATAATATGCATTAAAGCAATGATAATCTATTTATTTAATCTTAAATGGTTTATATTTATTAAATTAATCACCATCCCAACCATATGTAATAACCTCTTGATCTTTTGTTATTGCGACGAATTTAGTGTTGTTTATATTAGAAGATATTGATTTAAAGAGATGTTCTAGTAATAACTAAATTATTATTACTGCTTTTGAATTTATTGCCAATTTAATTTAAAGTGTTCTATAACTATACTCCATATGGACATCCTCTACATTCATAAGTCATATTTTGGCCTTAGAAAAGACTTTCCATATATATCTTATAAAACTCTCCTTCTGTTGGGTATATCAATTCTGAATCTCTTCTAATCTCACATGCCAAAATAAATGAAATATAAAATATAATAATCATATTTAAAATTAATATTTTAGTTTACTTTAAATAATTATACAACTTAAAATATTTTGATGGAATGTAATCACTTATAGATAATTTCTTTATTATCATTTAGAATTTAATTTACATTAATATTAAAATAATATTATAATTTTTGGATTTCTGTTTAATTTTTATTAATTCTAAACTAAGATTCTTTCAGATTTTATTAATAATAAATTTATTATCTTCAAATTAACAAATAATTTAATATATGATTATCTTCTAATAAACTTAAAAAATTTTTTTTAATTTCTTTCTAATATTTTGTCAAATTGGAATTCTCCTCAACTTTGATGTGAAATAAATATATCTGTATATTTTCTACGAATATTATAAAGTTTAAAAGAGAATCTGCTTCCAACATACTACTGATTCTATTATAAAGAATATCTTTAAAATTAAATTGTTACTAAAATCTTTTTAATTTTTTAGTTATCTAATTAGTTAAATTTAAGTTTTGAAATCCTAACTAAATCGAAAAATTTTGAACTTTTATTCAAAGAATTAAAAATTTATTAAAAATTAATAGTCTCTTCTTATATAAGTATATAATTTGGGTTTAATAGTTATTTCTCCAATTGCTATTTTTTCTTGTTTTTGATAACACTAATTATGAAATAGTAAATTAATTATTGAAATATGAGAATTTATCTAGAGTATAAAGTAAACAATATGAATATACATTAAAACATAAAAAAGGTGAGATTACTTAAAACATGAATGAATAATTCTTTAAAAAATAAATATATTTGTGTTATAATGAATATTGTGTAAAATAATTTTTAAACTTTAATAATTATATGAATAATTCTTTTTTATTATTGTGTTTGTAACACAGATGTATTGTTTTATCAATAAATAATAAAAATAAAAAACAAAAAACAACAACAAAATATAGCTAATATGTCTAAAATTGAGAAGTAAATATAGAAATAAAGAAAACTCAGTCATGAATTCGAATAAACATACAATTCTACAGAAATCCATTCAAATTTATCTTTCTATGATGAGGAGAGAAGTTAAGATTTTTATGATGATAACTCATTAGTTGAAGAAGACTTTTAAGATATATGGGAAATGTCATCAATTTGCACAGAGAATGTACCTTTTTCTTTTAAAAAAATAAGTCATTAAATCCACACTCTATTGAAGAAAATCCGAAAAATAAAAGAATTAGAGTTAGTCCACATCCTGAATTAGCAATGAAAAGAGGGACCTCTAATAATGAAGGCATTAATTATAATGCTGCTGAAAGCATTACTAAAAATGCTAATTCTGGCAAGGGCATTGCCATTCACGTGCTTGGACAAGGATCCATAGGTACAAAGAGCAAGAAGGATTAAAAATCACAAAAATTACTCAATAAATAGCTTCGATGGAATAATGATAATAATAATAATAATAATAATCATGATAATAATAATAATAATAATGATAATAATAATAATAATGATAATAATAATAATTTGCATCAACAACAATAAAATTAGTATTAATAAAATAATTCTTATTATGGTTAATCACTATCACTTCAACCTTAATAATAATAAAGAGAGTCACATTAGGAAGATAAATAAATTAAATAGAGTTAAAAAATAACCCTTTCATATTTGTTGATGGAGAGAGAAATAGAAAAATTAGCTAAAATAAAAGCTATAAATTTTATCGAGAAATATATGGTAAAATGTAATGTGGATGAAGTTGTATAAATGATTTCAGAAACCTATAAAATTATGTTAATCCCTGATTAATAATTACAATAACTTATATCAGTTTTGAATTATGAAGACCGCCAATTTTAATTTAACTTATCATTACAACGTTTAAGTTTATCGCGAAATGTTCACCCTCTAGCATCGAAGGCTGATTAGAAACTAAGGAAGTTTTTTTTAAGTTGTTGAGAAATAATGAATAATCATTTGCATAGGAATAATGAGAGTATTATTAGCTATAAATATATAGTTCTCATGATCACTATTAAAAATTAAACATAAATAATTTTCATAAAATATAATCAATAAGTTCATATAATTTGAGTTTTTGTCTATTATAATCTCTGACATCTTCATATTAACTGGCTTCAATTAAATAGTCAACTAAATATTTTAATTCTTAATCTTTTTCATCATCTGTCCATTCTAGAATTGGTATTCCATTTTCTAATTAAAATCCAAAAGAATGAGTTAAATTGTCAACAATTATAATGTTTTTTAAATCAACATCTCTAAGGATACGAAGATCCTTTATAAAATAACCATTTTTTGTTTCGAGACAATGATTTCTAGTAAATATTCCTAAGATCTTATCTTCAAGAGGATCAATATAATCAACTAATGCTAATGCATATCCTGGAGAAGAGGCTGTAAATATGAATATCTGGTAAAATGTAGATAAATTATCAAGAAAATATGCAAGATATGGTCTAATATTGAATCTAAGCTAAAATATTACTATTTATATTACTAATTATCCATCTTCAGTTCTTAATTAGACTTATGATTTCTCTTTGCTTTTACAAGAATGTATCAGTGTTTCATCTAAATCTAATATCAAAATTTTTTTTTCTTTGTCTTTTAAAGGAACGTCCACCTTTTTTTACTGCAAGAATTTTTCTGATGGAGGTTTCAACGATTAAGTAGCATAAACAACACCTCTTTATGTTTATTCAATATGCTTGAATAGAATCTCTTATGTTGTTCTTTATCCAAAAATCAACTATCTAAATGGATGATCAACTAATTTATCTCTTCGAATAACTAAATTCCTAGCATTATGTGCAAATAAAGATTTGCTTTTTTCGTGTTAAATTTTGAATTTAGACATTTTTAGAGGAGTTAGAGTAATTTTATTGGGTGTACCTGTATCTGAATCATCACTTTGTATTTATTCCTTTATGGAAAATGAAGTTAAAGCTGTGTCTGGTGTTTTTTCATCCTCAGATTAGCTTAATTAGTATTTATTATGAAGTAAAGCGATCTTTTTCTTTATCATTTTTAATATTATTTAGTCGACTATTTAAAGTAAAAATTGATTTTTAGATATTATAAATTTAATCAAATACTTAAGTTTTTGATAAATATTATTGTATTAAACAAGATGTAAAAAACAAAACATTAATAAAATATTTCTTCTTTTTCTTTAAAAATATAATTTATATGTTTATATGAATATATTTCATATATGAAACTATTTAAGATCAAATATTGTACTCTAATAATTCATAATTACTTAATCTAGTCTTAAATTTTCCTGTAACTTGTCCCAAAAACACATAGATTTATTATTTTTAATTGTTTTTATTATCATTTTCTAAATGAAGTTCCATTTTTGTGTTCGAGGCCTTAGTTTTTAATATTTTACAGCCATATTAACTTTTCACGTATGGTTAAGGATCCAAAAGTTATGATTTTGGCAACACTAATATAATTAGATGATATATTTAGTACAATTTTTTATATTAAAGTAAAAGATACCTTTTTAAGCACTTCCTTCTTTTTCATTTTTTATTTTATCTATTTCTAATTAATATTGAATATTTTCAATTTAATAATTGCTAAAATAATGGCTTTCACAATCTCTCCTCATTTCTTTTTCTTCGTCATAAAATTTTATATTTGATCTAAAATGAGCTGGAGGCAAAAGGTTTTCGTAAATTTATTCTATTTTATATTCTATTCCATTCGGTATTTAATTTTCATATTAGTTATTCATGAAAATAATTTTATATAAATTAATATATTTTAAATGAATTAAATATTAATGTAAAATCAGTTTTAGTTAATAGAATTCAACTTAAAATCATATAGTTAATAAAGAATTTATGGATTTATCATTTTATTAAAAAAAATATAATTTATATTATGTATGCAATTAATATTATATTTGATTTTATTTATAATATATACTTATAGTATATATAATTTAATGTAATTTAATTGGATTTTAATAAAATTTCATTCAATAAATGTACTCAATATTGTTATGGGATCAATACTCTATTTATAAGATATCAGTTAATTAGGATCTTTGATATTGTTGATTCTAAATACAACTATAATGTTGATTGGAATTTTGATTTTGAGAAAAAAATTAATAAATTAGAATCATCTACAACAACTCATACTTGCTATACTTAGTATTCATGTTTCATATTGTTGCTTTCTTAATCGCTAATTAAATGTAACCACTTATTTGTTGCTTAAATTTTAAGAAGCCTATATTATTAAAAAATAATCAAGAATAAAGAGTATTTTATATCACATTGTCTACAATTCAGTTTTATTTTCTTTATTAATATTTCATAGTGAAAACATAATATTATACATTTTGTTATGCTATTGTACTTTAATTATGATAAAAAAAAATAAATCAAATTTTTAACTAGAAAATTAGGACTTTGAATTACCCTCTCATTTAATTAAGTAGACCCAAAGAAATTAAGAAGTAATGAATATAGTATAAGATACATTAAGTAATTCATGGATGATTAAATTATAAAATATTCCAGTTGGAATTATGATAGTAAAAAAAGAGAATTTATAAATTATATTTGAAAACTAATCTCTTTTATAAATATTTGAAGGAATTAAAGATATTTAATCTTATTTAATGAATGAACTTCAATTTAAACTATAAATAAAGAGAATGAGAAAGTAAGTTAGAGAATCTAGTATCATAATGTAAAAACAACAAAATTAATAACAAAATAATAATTTTTCTTAATTGTATAGTTATAGTAAGATTCCAAGTCAATAAAAGATATCAAATACTTTAAAAAATATTCTTATTGAATTATAGAATGGAAAATTGGATTAAATTTATTAAAAAGAAAATCATTTAGAATTAGTAGGATAAATTTCAAAATAAAAATAATTATAATTATTTGAAGATGAAAATATTCGTAAAATTTAATGCAAAATCTTTTGTGGTTAAAATGACTAAGAATATTTTATAATAGTTGATGATATTTCATTACAAAGTTATTTATAGAAATTAGAAACAAGAGAAAAATTCTAAGTTCGCATAATTGATTCTTTTTCTCATGAATTGCGAACTCCTTTAAATAGTGCAAAATTGTTTTTAGATGCACTCTTAAATGATCCAAAAATAAAAGATACCTATAAAACTAATTGTATTGAACCAGCAGCAAATGCTTTAAAATTATAAGCTTATTTAATTAGAGATATTATAGATTTTACTTAATATCATTCACATTTAATTAAATATAATATTCAAGAATTCAATTTTGAAAATATTATTTAAGAAATTAATGATATTTTTAAACCAATTTGTTTAATAAAAAATTTAGGATTACATATTAATGTTAAAAATTCAGTTCCAGCATTAATTAATTCTGACTTTGATAGAATTATGTAAATTTTAGTGAATATTATATAAAATTCTATTAAATATTCTGAAAGAGGATTAATAATTGTAGAAATATCTTGTTATGAAAAAGCATTGACATTTTGTATAAAAGATCAAGGAATAGGAATACCATAAAATAAATTATAAAAGATATAAAAGTTTTTAAAGTCATATAATTAAAGTAGAGATATTTCAAGTTAGGATGAATGGGAAGGTTTTGGATTACTTGTTAGTTAAATGAATTTATTAAAATTAGCCCCTTAGAATAAAAGTCAATTAAGAATAACATCACGTGGTTAAGCAGAAGGTTGTTAAGTTACTTTTAAAATTAGAACCACTTAAAAAACAAATACATAAATATTCAGAGGAAATACATTATAAAGAACAAGTTTGAAATGTGCATTTACTGTACCTGATCTATGTTTAGGAATATAAGGAATTTTAATAATTAATAATCCTAGATAAGATAATTCTATTTAGTAAATTCCAATTCGTTAATAACACTCTGTTGCAAATTATTTTAAACCTTAATAATCAACAGGTGTATTAAATCAAAGTATTTAATAAGAAACAGATTTAATGAATGATGAAGAAACAGAAAGAGGTTATCCTGAGGAATAATTATTAAAATTAAATAGTCAAAGTAAGAGTACAAACTTAATAGTAACAAATTTTGATACAAATGATAAATAGATTAAAAAAAGAAAACAATCATTATTTAGTGTATGTGATTTAGATGCTTGTTCTAGTAATAGACCAAATACTCTTATATCTAGATTAATTTAAAGAGAAGAATAAGAAATTGAAATGGAAGAATAATTCTAAAATTTAAGATTTGCATGTAAATGTGCTCGTATTTTAAGTGTAGATGATGATATTTTCAATTAAAAAGCTTTATAAGTAATAATTAATCAAATGGGTTTTCGTTTGTAAATTGTATATAATTAGTTTATATTTAGGCTTACAATGGATAATAAGCAATTGATATGATTTAGAAAACAGAAAAATGTTCTGAATCTTGTGAATTATTTTATTTTATTTTAATGGATTGTCAAATGCCAATAATGGATGGATGGACAACTACTAAAGTTTTAATGGACATGATTAGATAGAATATTATTCCTGATATACCAATTATAGGATTAACAGCTTTTAATTCAACTGAAGATATTGAAAGATGTTTAGAAGTTGGAATGAGGGAAGTCTTCACAAAACCTTTGAATATCAATTTGCTTAAATAAGTATTACTAAAATTAATTAATTGATGATCTTATTCATATAATCTTACTATAAATGAAACGATTATAATCATAATTTATTGTAAACACATTCTAATAATTATTATCCGTTAATATGAGTTTTAGAGATTTAGAAAATCCAGAATAAGCAGTCTTTATATCTTAAGATTTGTTAAATGAATCCTTTTCCCAAATGTCTTAAGAACAAAATGCTGAATAATAATAAGAATTTGCTAACAACAATGAGAACTATCCTCAATTTAGCTAGACTTAGAATTCTCACATTCTATCTGAAATAATCAATACTCCATCTCAACCTAAATTATAGACTAAAAAATTTACATTACTTCCCCAATCAGGTGGACTATTTTCTTATTTAATTGACAATCAAAGTAGAATATATGATATCTTTTAAAATTTCTTACATCGATTATTTCAATACTACTTCATAAAGAAAGTGATGGATCAAAATATTATACAAAATTATATTGATTTATAAGCAGTCAAAAGAAAACTCAGTTATGTTCAATAAGTATATAACTAAACATTTTGTGCATTGAAAAATAGCATTCAGTATTATTAAGATAAGATTTTGATATTGACATCAGAAATAGATAAAGAGGATCCTTATTCTTTATTAACTTAACATGAAATAGATCTTAGAAGAGGATTACATGATTTTTATTAATTTATAGATTCAGAGGACTTACTTACAAGTAGTAAAGGAATGGGAGGAAGTTAAAACATGTATTTATATTAATATAATTAAAATTAGAAGTCAATATAAAACAATATAGATAGAAGTATTTAATCCAGCTGATTTAAATTCTCTTGACAAAGTAGCTTAATTTGTTTTAAATAGTATTGAATTGGAATAAATTAACATAACTCCAATATAATTATTAAATGATGATTTATCTTTGAATTTACTTAAAGTTACTATGCAATTATTGCAAATATGGTAACATTTATTTAGATTTTTGAATCAAAATGATGTAACAAATATTTAATTCAATTACGAAGTAGATTAAGCTAATCATAATGCTGCTATTGTTGCAGCATAAACATTCTTGTTGGTTCCTTTGGATATAGCAAATAAGATTTTGAAAGGTCAATATAAAGAACTTATAAATTATCATCTTAATTCCAATAATAAATTGCCTCTTAAAGAGGAATATGAAAAGAAAAGAGATGAAAAAAGTTAAGCTAAATTATAAAATACACTTCATTTTGATAAATCAGAGAATATTATCAAAATAGCTGATGATGCATTAACAAATGAAGCTGAGAATTTTTCATTTTCAAATGCTGAACATTCTTTAATGGAAGAATAATCTGATTAATAATAAACAATTCAAAAATATAATCATAAATATTAATTAAATTCAGAATAATATAAATAAACAATATTAGATTAGGCAGTTGAATTAAGTTTTAAAGGAAAAATAAATGAATCACATTTATTAGATATTTAACCTCCAAAACATAGATCATATATTGCTGAAAGTGGATAATAAATTTTAAGAATTACTCCTATTACAATTTGTACTTTGAATTGTTCAAAATCTAATGTTGAATTTAATCATGTCAATTATTTTATTGATCCTTAAAAAGAATTTTTACATTACTTTAAACCAAATACAAAGTTTTTCTTTTAATGGTAAATAGATGCTGAAAATGTTTAAAAGATAATTTGTGATGTAGAACAATAATTTACAAATGAATTGATTTCCTTTGCAACAAAAGAAGGAATCATATTTTTATTTAATCCATTTTCTAAGGCTGCTGATAATACCTTTTATAGATATAATGAACAAAGCTCTATTCTTTAAGCATTGCCTAATATGATTGAAAAAAAAAGAAATTTCAGAGTTGCTCAAGTAGGACATTATATCTATTTAATTGGTGGTGAAAATCAATATAATTAAGTAACTAATGCTTGTGAAAGGTTTAGTCTTAAAACATTAGAATGGTAAAAGATCAAGTCTTTTTAAACTCCTTTAACCAAAGTTAATCTAGTTGTTTTTCAACAAAGATATTTGATTAGATTTGGAGGATTGAATCGATTCGATCATTTTGATAAAACTGTAGAAAAGTAAGTTAGAAAATATAAAATTATAGGTATGATACAAAAAGACATAAGTGGTACCAAATAAAATTGACTAGTGGACAAGATTAAATATTCAAATTGAATAGTGTTTGTCTTTAAATCAATTTTAATTCAATCTTAATTTTTGGAGGTTTAAATGATAATGATCACAGTGATGCAACAATATAACTACTTAATATTGATGAAGTTGATAAGAAAAAGAACGAAGATATTGCACATCTTTAAGAACTAAATGTACAATAATAATTACTATCATTTATTGGTCAATATGATTTAAATGTATATTACTAGCATGATAGAATTTACTTATTTAGAAAAAACTACAGTTCATTATTAATGTGAGAAAATTTATATATTGAAATAAATGTATTTTATAAATTATATATATAAATAAAATTTGTATATCTATTTAAATGATATTATATTATTAACTATTATATATATTTATTAATCATTATCTTTAAAAAATAATTATATTTATAAATGAGAGAAATAATTTAAACATTTATATTATTGAATAAAGATAGTAAATAAGAAGAAGGATGAAAAGAACTTTTAAAAACTAATATAATGATATTAAACTTAATTAATGTGTTAATATTTAAAATCTAAAAAAAATAGATGATATTAGAATTAAAATATTAATATTAATTAAAAAGTAAATAACTTCATTAAAATTGAGATTATAGTTCTTATACAGAAATCTATACATTATTTTGCTCAACTAATTGATATAATAAATATACAGTTATTCTTTCAGATCAAAATTATTTCATATCTAAAAGTTTAAATTATGATATAAATTTATATTAATATATGTAAAATATTTATATTACCATTCAATTATAATTATAAAATTAATTCTTAGTAATTTTTAAAAAATGGTTTTTCCTTTTTAATTCCTTATCACTCATTCCATTTTAATTAATCTTAATGATACAAAGTAATATCACTTCTGTTTTTAAATATCTTTAATAAATAATTGATTATTTATAAGTATATTTATAAATACATGAGTATTATTGCTCTTTTCAAAAATTGTTATGAACATTTTAAAGGAAAGTTTTCAAAAAATTATATTCCAGCTTAAACACCAAAATTATTTACTTAAAAGAAAGCATTGGTTCTAGATTTAGATGAAACATTAGTGCATTGTGAATTCAAGGAAAATGAAAATTTTCAACATGAAGCCTTACTTAAAGTCATACATAGAGGATAAGAATACAAAGTATATTTAAAAGCTAGACCTTACTTAAATCAATTTTTATTAGAAGCAAGCAAAGATTATGAAATTTTTATTTTTACTGCAGGTTATGAAGCTTATTGTTAAGAAGTATTAAGTTTTATAGATAAAAAAAAAATAATTACTGATTATTTTGCAAGAGGAAGCTGTCACTTCATAGATGGGATTTGTTACAAAGATCTATTATTAATAGATAGGCCTTTGGAAGATATAATCTTTATTGATGTAAATAAAAAACAATAATTAGAATAATCCAAATGCTTTTATCAAGTACTAGAACAATGGATTATTAATTCCATCATTTTTAGATTCAAATGATGATGATTGTCTTTTTAAATTAATTCCATTTTTAAAATATATGGCTAAAAAAAAAGATGTTAGGCCAGTGGAATAGCATTTAAGAAATTATGAAGATAAGAATGGTACATTAGTATTCAGTGAAGCTCAAAAAACAATATAATTAGAATAAGAAGAACCAGATGAAGATACATTAAGTGAAGGGAAAGTTGTAAAAAAAGAATAAGATGTTACAGATTTAGATATCAAACATAAAAAAACCTAAACTCAATAAGAAACTGTTAGCAAGTTCAAAAGTAAAATAAGAAGTGCTACCTTATTTTCCAGTTCACATATTAAGTGATTTTATAAGTGTTATTATCTTTGTCTTAGGTTTATATTTCATTCAAAAAAACTAATATCTAAATATAATCAATTTTCCAAATGACCTTGATTTGTGTTTTTATTAAATCTATTTTTAATTAAAATAATGTTTATATAGAAAAAATTAATCATTCTGTTTATTAGTCTATTCACATGTAATCCTAAAAAGACTTCTAATACAGAGGGCTTAAATTCGAATATTAACTGTCTTAATTTTCTTATTGACTTCTGATTGGTAGTGGAGAATTTACTATATATAATAGTTTTATTATCATACATTAATTTGGGCTAAATGTTGATAAAGTTTTCTTCAATGAATAGTTGAGTTATGATTACATCATTCTAAGAATTGGAGATAGGGATTCCATTTGTTAAGTTTATGATTGTGGAGGTTCAAGTTCTGTCTTGACATTTGCTTTAAATAAATCCTATTCATTATTTTCCTTGATGTTTATATCTTATTATTTTAGAAAGAAACTAAGCAAATAGCTGAGTCTATCAATTTTTGCATCTAATGATTATCTCGACAAGCTTAATTATGACCATATTGAATTATGTTGTTCCATAATAATTTAGTTTTATTCACTTATGGCTTTGAAATCATTTTCAAATTAAAGTTATCTTTACTTTAAAAATGTTAATTCTTATTCCATTTATTATTCAAATTCAGCCTCTGTAGATTCTACTTTTGCATTTTTCTTTTCTTTCTTTAGTAAAACATTCTATTTAATTGGGTTTCTTTTAATTTGAGATAATTGCTTTCTATTTATATATTAAATTTAATACTTGTTTCCTTTTTTGAAATTTGGATGAGTAAATATTTCATAATTCTCTGAATTACGTGCCTTCTAGAACTCATACATATTTAATTGTCTTAAAAAAGATTAGTAGTGATTGTGTTTGAAATATTATGGTAGAATCTGAGATTCCATTTCTTTGGGGTTCATTACTAAGAAGTATTCACCATCGTCACTCCACTTAATTATTGTTTAAAATTATGGAGTGCTCTTTATGATATAATCATAATAAAATACTTATTCATCTAGCATATCATAAAGTTTAATGATAAATGCAGGGGTAGAGAAGGGTCCTTATTGATTGTTCATAAAGAATTGAAGATATTGATCTTTTTATATCTTATAAATTATATTTTGAAAATAAAATAATAATAACCATTCAATAATTAAACTTTATTAGCCTTTTATAAGCTAAATATTCATTAATGCATTTTAATGATGAACCTTAAATAAGATTAGAAAATCATTGTCAATATTAAAATAAAAATGAAAAAGGCTCATCATTAAAAGTAAAATTTAATTTTGAAAACAAATAAAACACTATCATTTTTAGAAAATTGCAATTCTTTTTTTACTGAATTTATAAGTTGCTATTTTATATATGTACTTAGATTGTAATTTAAAACTTTATATGAAATCACTTTTTTTCAGAAACTGTTTCGAAATATATATATTTCAAAAAATATATATATATTATTTTTATTTTGTGATTATTTTGAAATTAATAGTTGAATTTAGTTAAAAGGCCAATTCTTATGAATCCTTACACAAAACCTGTTACAAATACATTATGTTGCTATAAAAATTACAGTACATTAATAAATTATCCATAAAAACTTATACAAATTTTTTAATCATTCTTGTTCTCATTAATATATGTTCATGATAATAAAAAAACTATAAAGACATAATCTTATTGAATAAAAAAAGAAGTTTGAACATAAAATATTAATATAATTTTTGTGTACAAAATTTAATACAAACGTGAAGAGTTATAATTCTTTTTATTTAATTGTAAATCTTTAGAATTTTTATGAAATGAAAGTTTAGAGCCTAAAAATATTGGAGATCTATCTTTAAATATGATTAAATTAATAAATATTGTTCTAATAATATTTTTTTGATATTAAACCAAGTTATGAATATAAAAATTACTATGACTTTGCTATTTCATCTAATTTATTTCACTAGCTTTGTGGATTAATTTGTTGAAACATTATACATGAGCAATTTGATATTTTTTGGATTTCAAAATTCAAGCTTTTTTTATGTTATACTTACAGCTTTAAAATTTGTTTTTTCAGCTTTAATAGGTTTTATAATAGATCATGTTTAATATACGTATAATCTACTATTTGGAAGTTAATTATTGGTTTTATTTTCCTATGCCTTTTATCTAGTATTTATTGTTTAACTTTGTTCTGAATAATTTATTGTAGATTACTTGTATTTTGCAAATGCATTTCTAATATTGGGTTAATAGTTGGGATCTATTATTATTATAACATTAATTTCGAAGCATTATTAGAGAGATTAGATTCCTTATTAAATATCTTATTTTCAAAAATATGGCTTTAGTGGAAAGTTATTCTGTTCTGTAATAGTCTTAATACTATACATATTTTTTATTTGTTAAGATAAATTAACTACAGAAACTCTTTTACTAAAAAATAAATATATCATCATTATTTTATCAATTATTCCTTTTATAATATTATTGGTAATATCAATATTTCTACATTAAACATTTGTGTTTTTTAAATTAGAGGCTGAAGAATTAATGCCAGAAATTAAGTTGATTCCTGTTTAATAAAAAGGAAATTTACTTAATGCTATAAAAAATATTTTCAAAACTGATAGTGCATGGATTGCTTTATCAGCAGGAATTATAATGGGAATTATTAAAATTTGGTTAGTCTATTAGGAGACTTAAGTTATTTAGCAAACGCAAAACCCATTTGAGATTTTTGGAATTTATATGTTTTTTGAATTACCAACTATTATAAGTAAATAATTCAAACATATATAGGTTTGAGTTTGGTTTCAACAATTGTTAAAAATTTTGAAATTGAAACAATATCTCTTTAAGCATTAATTGACAAAGCAATAGATTCTTTTGTATTTTTTTTATTATCAATTTTATTATCTACTTCTATTACTAATAATCAAATTGGAGAAATAATAATATTTGGAATAATTAGAATATTTTAATAATACTATTTAACAGTTATATCAGTATTTAATAATAAAAACTAAATTAGATCTCTGGTGCCAGTATTATAGGTATGTAAAAAGAGAATTACAAAAATTAAGGATTAACTTTTGGTTTACTTGGAATGATTGAGAATGGTTTTGCAGTTTGGGTTGTTTTAGCAATGTGGTTTGGAAGTAATGCAAAAATTGATATTACAAAAAATGGTATTGGAAGTGATCCAAAAAATGGTATTATCTATGGTATTATCTATGGATTTGCATTTGGATATTCTTTAATTAGTATAATTTCTAGTAAAATGCTTTAATTTGACAAACAAGTTAACAAATTAGGACATAAAGTATACTCTATAGAATAAAAAATTGATAATGTTGAATCTTAAGAATAAGAGTCATGAATATCTTAAATAGATATCTAATTTTTATTATTATTTTTAAACTTAAATTTTTCATTATACAATCTCAATTGGAGGTTAACTAGAAGAAGTCTAATTTAAATCTTCTTTAAATAGATTCCTTTTCACATCACTTTTATGTTGAGGGATTAAAATTTTATTAGGTCTACAACCTCTCTAAGTATAGAAAGCATATTTAGTATTATAAGTATCAATTACTGATACACCATAGCTACCTACAGTTGATGCTTATGAACCAGTTATATTTCCTTTAATTGGACTTGCTGTTCTATAAATTCCACTTAATTGTTGAGAGGATTAATTAATTGATGAGTAGAATGGCTCTTTTTTAATTGGTGAAAGTATTCTCACTCTTTAAGGTGAAATCTTGTAAGGAGATAATCTTTATGGTGAATAATGTATTATTTTTTAAGGTGATGGTGATCTTGAATGGACATTTTGATTAAATACTTTATTTATTCTTTAATTTTCTATTTATTTAGATTACTAGAATTTAATTAATTTAGGTGATAATGATATATCTTATTTGATGCTAGTAGATTTATATTATCTTTTCAACATTATCTCAGATAATTCTATGAAATCTGGTCTTTTCTCTGGTGTATTATTAAGCATTCTGGCTAATAATTGTAAAAGTTATTAAGAGTATTCATCAATTAATGAAATTACTGTGTCTTTTAAACTCAAATGGAATTCTATATATATATTATTTTATATTACTTTTTTTTGTCATTAACTCTACCATTACTTATGCTAAATCATAGACATCTTATTTAATTTATTAAGAAGTTGATTAAATTGTAATTGAATCTAAAGTTTTTAATGTTTAATCTTAAGTGATGAAGATATTATCTGAAGTAATTTTACCATGAGAATATCCATTTTATTACAAATACTTAAGAACACTTATTAATTGTTCTAGTGACTAAGTAAATTAAGATATAAAAATTACTTTCCAAACTTCTATTTCTCTGAATGGTTCTGATCTTCCACATAAATACTAAGAAAGTGTTTGGGAAATGTATTCAAAGTAAAATTACTATGTTTCTACATTTCCACAAAAAGAGGGAGAATTTTGAGTACATGCATAATATTGTAATAGATTAGGATGTTTTAATTATGTTCTCTATGTATGAATTGTCAATAATATTGAATCTTAATAATAAATATGCCTTGTCTTAAATTATTAATATTTATTACAAGAGAAAAGATTTCAAGAGTAGTGTTATTCTTCATTTTCCACAACTGGATATTACCAAATGCTGGATGAGATATAGTTCCACAACATTAAATTTAAGCATTTAAATCAGAGGTTAAAGTCATTTCAGTATTGTAATTCACATAAGCTTAAACAGCACCCATTGTTGGATTTATTTAATATATTTAATTAGATATGAAAATAATTCCTTAGCATTTTTATTTAATTAAATTGGCATAATATTATAATAAATATTATCTAATCAACTTGTAATTAATATATAAAAAATGAAATTATCAAGTTATACTCTACCAGTAACTCATTCTTTTGAAATTATTCTAATAAAATTAATCATATTCTTTTCTCAATTTTGTAAAACTAAATTGTATATTCTATAATTTAATCAAAAAAGTTGATTNTATTTATTTAGATTACTAGAATTTAATTAATTTAGGTGATAATGATATATCTTATTTGATGCTAGTAGATTTATATTATCTTTTCAACATTATCTCAGATAATTCTATGAAATCTGGTCTTTTCTCTGGTGTATTATTAAGCATTCTGGCTAATAATTGTAAAAGTTATTAAGAGTATTCATCAATTAATGAAATTACTGTGTCTTTTAAACTCAAATGGAATTCTATATATATATTATTTTATATTACTTTTTTTTGTCATTAACTCTACCATTACTTATGCTAAATCATAGACATCTTATTTAATTTATTAAGAAGTTGATTAAATTGTAATTGAATCTAAAGTTTTTAATGTTTAATCTTAAGTGATGAAGATATTATCTGAAGTAATTTTACCATGAGAATATCCATTTTATTACAAATACTTAAGAACACTTATTAATTGTTCTAGTGACTAAGTAAATTAAGATATAAAAATTACTTTCCAAACTTCTATTTCTCTGAATGGTTCTGATCTTCCACATAAATACTAAGAAAGTGTTTGGGAAATGTATTCAAAGTAAAATTACTATGTTTCTACATTTCCACAAAAAGAGGGAGAATTTTGAGTACATGCATAATATTGTAATAGATTAGGATGTTTTAATTATGTTCTCTATGTATGAATTGTCAATAATATTGAATCTTAATAATAAATATGCCTTGTCTTAAATTATTAATATTTATTACAAGAGAAAAGATTTCAAGAGTAGTGTTATTCTTCATTTTCCACAACTGGATATTACCAAATGCTGGATGAGATATAGTTCCACAACATTAAATTTAAGCATTTAAATCAGAGGTTAAAGTCATTTCAGTATTGTAATTCACATAAGCTTAAACAGCACCCATTGTTGGATTTATTTAATATATTTAATTAGATATGAAAATAATTCCTTAGCATTTTTATTTAATTAAATTGGCATAATATTATAATAAATATTATCTAATCAACTTGTAATTAATATATAAAAAATGAAATTATCAAGTTATACTCTACCAGTAACTCATTCTTTTGAAATTATTCTAATAAAATTAATCATATTCTTTTCTCAATTTTGTAAAACTAAATTGTATATTCTATAATTTAATCAAAAAAGTTGATTTATAGTTATTGTTAAATAATTGTTATTAGAACAATATAATTTTGATAATAATAATTTGCAAAAGGAAAAAGAAAAAAATAAACATTAAAAAGGAATTTTAAATATAAAGATTTTTCTTAATTAAATTTTAGATGTCTTAACAATAAGGAAAGGGTGGAAAAGCTTAACAACCAAAAACTGAAGGGAAACCTGCAGCTACAACTAAAGTTGTTAAGCCATAAGAAACTAAGGAGAATGTTATGAGAAAGATTAGAATTGAAAAATTAATGGTTCACATTTGTGCAGGAGAGTCTGGAGATAAATTGACAAAGGCAGCTAAAGTTTTGGAGGATTTGACAGGATAAAAACCAGTATTTGGTAAGGCAAGATATACAGTGAGATCTTTTGGTATCAGAAGAAATGAAAAAATTTCAGTGTTTTGCACAATAAGAGGAGATGCTGCTAAAGATATCTTATTCAGAGGATTAAGAGTTAAAGAAATGGAATTGAAAAAGAGAAACTTCTCTGATTCAGGAAACTTTGGATTTGGCATATAAGAACATATTGATTTGGGATTAAAATATGATCCATATACAGGTATTTATTATTATAAATGTTATTTAGGTATTTTTGGTATGGATTTCTATGTTATCTTGTCAAGACCAGGATTAAGAGTTGCTTAAAGAAAATCAAGAAATGCAAGATTAGGAACAGCTTAAAGAGTTTCTAAAAAGGAAGCCATGGAATGGTTTAAATAAACTTTTGAAGGCAATGTCTATTGATACATTAATACAATACATTAAAATATAAATCATTAACATTCATTCATTTTGAAATTTAAGTAATTCTATGTCACCTTCTTTTTATTATTTCTCCTTTTACTTTTTCAATTTTTTCTAAACAAAATAAGCCTTCTTATCTTTCAAAGCATCTCTACCTCTGAATATAAGTCGATCAGAAAATGTTTCAGTAAACATAAATTCTTTTAATCCAAGAAAATTCATAAATCTATCATACAAATCAAAATAATTAATGAAACACAAAAAGAGTAATAAAGCAGGCATCAATTAAATAACATTAACTCCAAAGATTGGTACAAATTCCATCTAATATTATATATTATATATATTAATTACTTCTCCCATTGCAAATTTGAATGCAGGTTCACAATTCATTCTTTATTTGATTCTCAACATATTCAAAAAGTTTTAACATAATGGAGCTGCTACTCTACTAAAATTTATTGTTGCAAATAGTAAACTAGGAGCATCAGTTTAATGATCATCATATAATCCATAACATCCTGCTATTTTAATTCTAAACATTCCATAATAAACACAAAATGCTATATAAAATAAAGGAACAAAACAAAATATTTATAATGTGATAACCCCAGATTATAAAGATATAGGCATTCCAAAAATTGAAAAAGGAGTATTCAAAAATAATGTTGTTTCTGATATAATTACTAACAATGATAAGATGCTCAAACTCATAGAAAAAAATATTTTAAATTGAGGCTTATAATGGCATAACCAATACCATTCTAAAGTATCTAATGTTTAAGAACAAGATCCTTCTCTTTTATTTGATTTAACATCATAATGAATTTTTTTATCTGGATTTTCAATTGAATTTATAACATTTTCTAAAGCATATGCCTTCTTACAATTCTCTTTCCATGCTGCTCTCAATCTTCTAAATGTTCTTGATTTTTATCTAATATCTCTATAGATTTCAATAACTTCCTCATCTGTTGCTTCAGGTTGCTCTTTAAAAAACATTCTTTATAAATAAGAAATTCCAGGTGCTTTAGATTTGGCATCTTCTTCCACTAACTCCTTAAACATGGTTTTAGGAATAGCTTTAAGACTCATCTATAAATATATTTTTGATGATTATTATTAAAATTTCTCTTAATTTCTAATACCTACAACTCTTTTAGCTTTTTCTTGTAAATAATGTTAAGCATCATCCTTTTCCTCTGTTATTTTTGCTGTTTTAAAATATAAATATTTCATTTGAACATCCAAAGTAGAAGTTCTAATATGTGCTCTTGGAACTGCAATTAAAGAATATCTAAATTTTTAATAGATTTTCATTACCCTAACAAAATTATAATTAAAGCAACACCAAAAGAATTAGCCATACTTTTAAGCAGTTTGGCAAGACCATAATCTGAAGCTTAACCTGTCATGACAAGTATTACTACAAAAGCAATACCAGCTATTCCAATAATGAGATAAAATTTGCCATTATTGATTAGGGATCTAATAAATTTCTAAGCTCTATTAAGATCTATTGCTTCTTCGTATTCCTACATAATTGGAATAATTGTCCAACAAAGTATGAAATTTGCCCAATATAATAATTGATATAACTAATTTAGATAATATATTACATATGCTATTGCTTCATATTCTTTTGAGTGCACTTCCACTTGATTATTAAATTATTCTTGATCTCTAAATGTTATATAAATATCTAATGGTAACAAAATCAGCAAAATAAAATTTGTTAACCATGAAATTAAACATGTTACTTTTACAATAAAGTTTACATCTTTGCAGCAAATATTATTGATTAATTTGGCACAATAGATTGTAACTAGAATGATTTCAAGTAATGTTAAAATGTACATATTAATATTAATTATTCTAAATTTCATATAAATCATCTCTTTTTTCTATCATTTATAATTATTTGTGTATTTATAATTAATTACATCATATAATAAATTGAATTTTTATTAAATCTAAAATTAGATCATCCTTCTAAAATTAATTAAGCATTGAAAATAAAGATTTTGGTAATCAAATTAAATTTATTCTTTATAATATATGAAATCAGAATTATTAATAATTAATATTAATATATTAATAATTATAATGTTCGAATAACAATTTACAAGACATAGTAGAATCTCAGAAAACCTTAAAAAGATCCATGTTTAACAAAAATATACTTTTGACACACTATATGATGATATTGGTGTTGGATTTATTAATTAATCATTCATATTTAAGTTATTTTAAAAGAGATTGAAAATTAAGAGCGCGCTGTTTTTGACAATTGTATTTTTATTGTTTTTGGCAGCCTACTCTATGGTAACTTCATACATCAGTCATATTATGTTAATTGGATATGCAATTTTATAAACAAATTATGAAATTCAAAGGTAAAAGGATTCCAAAAAGCAGCTACTAATATTTTGGCTCATTTTTTCCACTGATATTTTAATCGAGAATTATTTTGCAAAAGATAAATTTACCTTAATTAGATACACAAAATTTATAATTGTACATGCTTGTTTCATGTATAGATTGTATATCCTATCATTTATTTTATAATTTGTATTTTAATATATTATATATTAGTATAATCTATTGACTATAGGAAAGAGTTTTACAGGTCCTCAGACTTCTAAAAAGTCCTATTTTTAATGATTTTATTTGTTTGTGTTCATAAAATTTAACAATTAGCTATCATAAATTTTATATATTATAATACTATATTATTTTTAATAACAATAATTTAATTAATTCAAACTTAATTAGTAATTCGAAATAGAATAAAAAATTGCTCCTTTTTTATTGTTAATTCTTGTCTATCATATAATAAAATATTTTTAACATCTTAAATTAAATTCTTATGATAAGCAAAACTAAAAGATATATTAGATTATAATATTTTAAAACAAGAGAAAAGTATTAAAAATCAAAATTAAAAAATTAAAAAAAATGTTTAACTATTAAAATGATTTTGGCAACTAGGTATGGAATCATGAAAATTATGATTAAGATGATTATTTAAATATGCCTTAATATCCTTTTTGGAAATATCAAATTAATGATATTGAATTCTATTAATAATCCTCTTCGATAAACATAATAAATATAGAGGAAACAAATGATGATTATAAACATGAATAACAATCTAATGAATTCCCTTATCTAAATTATACAACATAAGAAAAAAAATATTCAAAGAAAATTACTACTCATTAAATCTACTCTAATTAACCTAGAGATGATGATTAATCTGAAATTAAAGAAGATTTATTAAGAAAAAACAGAAAGAAATAAATTCTTAAAGTATACTTTTTTTAATTATAATTAGTTTAACGTTGATTCAATATTGCCAGGAGAAAGTAAGAATTTACCTAAATGTTATGCTAGATAATTAAAAATATTCATTAAAAATGTTTGTGATTAGACAGAAGACCTTGAAATATAAAAATTGAAAGATGATATAGATATTAAGTAGTTCTTATAAGTCCAAGTAGAAAAATTATCAAAATTTGAATTATTCAAATTTATATAAACTCCAGGAGGAAGTATCTTCTGTAAGGAGTTTTTTGGCAAATGTTTGTGGAATTTTGGAGTTGTAAAAGAATCAAAAACTAATGTCAATGTGCTTTTCAGGCACAACCTTGAAGAATTTTGTTAAGTAATCAAAAAGAAAAAAGAGTGAAGATTATTAATAAATGATTATGGCAATTTTATAATAAAATAAAAATTTTAATATAGTCCTTATCTTACAATTTCAATATTATATTCTTAAAACATTTTAAGAAATTCTAAATTTATTTTTAAATTCAATAAACTCCTTATTCTCTATTTGATTATTGATGATAAATAATATTTAATTTAAATATATAAATAATTTGTATGTTATTTTATTTAGAGCAGCAAATTTTATAGATAAATATTATTATACATTTAATTAATTTAATGAGTATTATTAATTCTCTCGAATATATAAATATAAACTATTATAATTCATTACATTAACTATTGAATATAAATTGAATTGATTTAATTATATAAATTAATATTTTTTTATTATTGAAAAATAATAATTTTAAATATTTTAATTTATTATTTTCATATATTGAGACAACACTATTCTATAATCAATGATTAAAAATTAAATATTTGGTTTTTATGATTGATTTAGATTGATTCAATAAGCATTATATTAATTATTTTTTATATGTAACTAAAGTTATGTTATATATGTTATTACATATAAATAGGGGTCATTCATATAAATATATCTAATATATAATTAATTAAAATAAAATAAGTTTAATGATTATCATTATATATGCATGCATAATTGGCTACGTAATTAGTGAGGTATGGTTTCCAGTAAGTAACTTTTAGAGTGATTTAGATTAAGCTTATAAATATTTGGTTTAAAATTAAGATCAATTAATTCTTGGTTAATGGACGGCAAGCTCGGATTACTTAGTTTACATCAATATAGTTTATGATAATCAAAATCTGATAATGTAAGTCTATCCTAAAAAACACAATTTGTTACATGAAAAACACTATTTTAGGCTTAGTTATTCCCTTTCAAACAATTCATATTACTATGATACAGTTAAAAGGTATCCAAATTGAAAAATATTTAGATTAATGACATGGCAGAATATAGATGTTATAGTTGAATTATAAAATAGTTAGAGACATCCTCTTTGTATTTGTAAAGCTACACTTGAATTAGAGGTTTCAACTTAAACGACAATACTACATAGTTAATTTGCAGAGGAATGTAATGTAACTGAAGAGAGAATAAGACTATTCATATTCAGTAATTCAGTTTACTAAATACAAGTTTTATCATATACTATGCTAATCATATTCATATCTTTAGTTTAAATAATTAGCTCTCATTTATATTTAAGGTCTGATCCAGCAGAAAATTAAGGTGCCTCAATGACAATATCAATAATATTGACATAAGACATATTCATATGTATTTTTAGTTCATTGCTTTTTGATATTCCAAGGTTTTATTATTTCTTACCTTGTTTACTATGTTAGTTAATAGCAATTTTTTATGATCTTAAATTAAAGGCAAAGTTATCTGTAATTATAATAAAATCAATTTAGAATATGAAGAGATAATAGAAAAGATTTTTATTATTGCAGATTATTGAAATATTATCTGTCACTTTTTTATTTTTAAGAATTAGACATTCAACTGAATTAACTATATTGAATCTATTTTTAATTCCATAAATAATAATTACATTTTTTTCAGGAGAAAGATAGAGATTCAATAAATATTATATTGGTGCAATATTTCCAAGAATATTACTATCCATATATGCAAGAGGATGTTCTCAAAATATATTATAGCTAATGCAAAAAATTCATGTAGTTTATGCTATAGTGCTTATTCTATTGATTTAGCTTTTAGTTTATTATTGTTAAAATCAATTTGGATGGTTTATATTAAAAAGGAATATACATAATTACTTCATTGAATAAACAGATGAACATTTATAATCAGATTGTGCTATATGTTTAATTAATCTATCATAAACTCCTGAAAATACATTTAATAAAGGGGAGTCATATATACTATAAACAATTAATTAAGCATCTCGAAATCATTTATTAATGAACACTCCTTGTGTAAAATATATATAATTAAATTAGAATCATTAATTTCATCCTTCTTGTTTGAGTTAATGGATGTTAATAAATCTTTCTTGCCCATTATGTAAAAGTGCTTTGCCTTAAGTATTTTGAAGATCATGAATATATTTTGAATATATATATACAATATTTGAAGAAATACTTTAATTTTTTTTTAATTCATTCTTTTTTCAATTAATATATCTATAAATTGATAAAATATATTGATTATATTTTAAATTTACAAATATAAATTTTAGAATTAATTATATAAATATAAAAATGTGAAATCAATTTGATATAAATGAATTTCAATATTTTAAAGTATTATTATTATTTTTGTATTAAAATATTATAATCTTTTCTAAAGACTTTCTTTTTAATTTAGTTTTTATTGATAATTATTTAAAAGAATTTTTATATTAATTATGTAGTATAAGAATATATAAAGATAGTAAATTATTTTATTAATATGATCAAAATCTATTGAATAAGATGTAATATTTTCATTCAACTTGATCTTCAGATGAATCTGATATCATATCGAAGAATGATTCTTATTTTGTATTTTTGTTCTTTTATTTTTAAATCATCTGTTATTTAGCCTTCATTTATTGAATCTATTTTCTGGCTGTTTAATTGAGATGAACAAAATCATTATCTGACATCTTCTTTACTTTATATAATCTATCAACCATCCCTTTGAATTCATCTCTATTTAATACTCTTTATTTCTTTATTGTTGGATAAAGCATCACTTATCCATCTAATCCTTTCTTTTCACATAAGCCAAGCATTTGCAGTTTCTTTTTTAGAAAATCTTCTTCTGTTTATGATTGCCACTAAATAAATTATTATATATTACATCATCCATCTTATCATAACATTTCTTGATTAATTCTTCATCTTTCTCAATCATATCTATAACATCAGCCTTATAATTTTCATTTTAGAAATGATTCCTAATTTCTCTTTATAATAATTTATCCATAATAATAAAATATTATATTAATATTTCAAAACCTATGATAAGGTGGTACAAAATGTGTTTAAGGGAAATATTAAGGATGAATTGGTAATGGTGGATGTCCTGGATGTAATGGAAGAGATTAATGAAAATGTTAAGGACTTCTATGAACTTTACCTGGAGGTGCTTTTGGACATTGTTATTAATTATTTTCAAATTGTGTTTTCTTTTCAGGAATTGTAACTCTCAAAGGTTCTTTTATTCTACTCCCTTAAAGTGATCTTATTTTTGTGCTTTCAGTAACATTTGTTGTTGGTAATTGATGTATTCCAATAAAATCAGGAATAGAAGTATGTTATACTTTGATAATAGATTGTAGAAACAAACTTAATTCTGATCTATAATATTGTTATTAAATAATATACGCTCTATGTTGATCTATTTATACTTCACTACTCACAGTTGGGAATGCATTTATATATTCTCCTATCTTTTTATAATATACTTAATTGTCTTCTTGAAATGTTGTTGTAAAATATGGAATCAAAGCAGTGAGACAATCACTTGATTAAAATGTTACCAACATCTATTTCATTGAACTCCATCTCTCTTCTATCATTTATAATAAATTTCTAGCATCTCGTTCTTGATTATTTACATTCTTTTTCTATTTATGTTCAACCTCATTCTCAAGACCACTGAAGAATTATTCTACTACATCGATTATCCTTTTTTTTATTTCTCGAATTTTCTTTATAGTTTTCTCAGCATGAACCTCAAATGTATTCACATGCTTCTTGATATCATAATAAGAGTTAGTGAATTTCTTTACTATAAATTAATATATATCATCTAATTCTTACATTCATTATTAACATGATCACTTGCTTAATTTAATAACACTTCTAAAGATTCAAAAACTGGATAAGTGCCTTCATTCACATGCTCTTTAGAATGTAGATGAATACATAATGGACACAAAGGTATAATACATTAAGGAGCCCTACACATATTAGATATATAATATCCTTTGTGATAGTAGCACTCAACCTGTTAAATTTATAATCTTAATCATTACTTATGGAAGATTATTTGAATCAAAGAAAACATTTCTACTAATATTATCATTTAATCTTTCTGGTTAATGAGAAGTACCTTAATTCTATTCATTGTACTCTTCCTCAACATTCTCTACAATATTCATTAAATTCGTTATTAAAATTAACGTATAATTACAAATTTTAAATCACATAAAATGCTTTAACCAAATAACTATCATCCTCAAAAATATATATCATTACATACTTTTATTCAATGTATTCCCATTCTATTTAATAATTCAAGGAAACTTTACAAATGAGTCAAATATTTATTAATATATATCTATGTCATGGAGAGATAAACAGATTTTTATGAAAAATAATAAATAATGTTGAAACATGATTTGCTAAAAATTCATAAGATTATTTATATCCTTAATGATACTTGAACTATATTATTTATATCTTTTATACAAATCTTAAATAATAATAATAATAATATTTTCTTTTTATGTGAATAGATACAGCTTATTATCATAAACTATTCTAATTAATTTATATCATATAAATAACATTATAGATATAAATAAATCTAATAATATCTTTAGTTTAATTTAATTCATTTATAATTAGAAACTCAATAATAAGAATCAAAATAAGAAAATATTAGTTTATATAAAGTTCTTAAATATAAAGACCATAATATAAATTTAAAGAATAGAAATGTATTATAATTTACTCATAAAATTAATATATTCAATCTTTTAATTTGGAATAACTCAATTTGTTTATTATTACTTTAAAATTTCAAGAATGGTTTATTCATTCTAGATTATTCGTAGAAGTCTCATACCATTACCTTAATTTTTATGTTAAATTTTCTTGATAAATGATATTTATAAAATATAATTATAGTGCTCTATCTACTACTTTTTCAAATAGAATATCGAAAAATTTTGGATGTTATAAATGAAATTTGATTTTAATATAACTAAATTGCTTTACATAATTTATTAGCATTCTAATATTCTTTATAATTGTAAAGTAAAATTAATATTTATTATAATTATTTAAACTTTTTTAACTAACATACTAGCAGATAGATATTTTTTTGATATAAAAATTAATATCATTATTTCATTATTTATTAATTAAAATAACATTTGTTAGATAATGTCTTACGAAAGTGAAGATTATAATTTTCAAAATGATAGGAATAATTATGAAATTGATGGTTTTAATTATCTACTAACTTCATTAAATAGTATAAATGAAGAAAATGTTTAAAAATAAGATGAATAAAATATAAAAATAGAAATTTATAAAATACCATAAATTTCTGAATAATAAGTCTAAAACAATGATATAGATTGGAATTTATAGGATGAATATATAATATCTGATTAAAATTAATCTCCTAGAAATTCTGTAAACAAGAATAGTGATAATGATTATTCTAGTTAGGATGATTATTATTCTATATAGGAAGATAAAAAATAAAAAATAGAGAAGCCTTAAATAACTACAGAGAAAATAAGAATCACTAAATAAAAGAAGAGTTCTAATAATATCATAATAGTTGAATAAAAAAAAAAGAAATAACAAAATTAATAAGTAGAAACAAAAAACTTACCTAATTATTTTGGTAGACACATTTTAAAAAGAATATAAAGTAAATTACAAGATGAATAAAATTCAATTACAAAATCTGAATTGAAAAATAAGCTTGATAAATATAATAGAAAAAAATTTTAATTTACACTTAATTCATTAAGAAACCTTTTAGATGAGTCATATTGCAGAGAAGAAGCAATCAAATATTTAACAAGTTTTGATTTTTTGGATGACTTACTGTAATCAGATAAACAACAAGACATAAAACCATAAATAAAATATGTCAAAAGAATGTATGAAGGATGTCTTGACAGAGAAAAATTATTATAATGGAAAGATTCTTGAATATTCAATAAAAAAATTAATATAAAAAATATTTATATATATATTATTAATTAAAAAATTATATTCTTATATATTTATTTTTATATTTACAAATGTATTTCATTTGAAATATTAAATACATTTCAATTAAAACTTGAATTAATTTGAATAAATAAAAGAATATTATTTTTATTGAGAATGACTACTAACAATTATTAATTAGAAATATTAACAATTCATTATGTATTTAATAGAGTTTGATAATGCTCTATCTATTCAGCCCATGCTTTTTTGTTTTCTGTGATTTACTCAATAAACTCAGATAATTATGGAAGTATTTGTGATAGAGTATTGTAATATGGAAGAACCTATAAATATTTTTCACTTTATTTACCATAAAATCAATAAATCCTAATTAACTTTTAGCAACATTTGTTGTTCTTCTATCACAAAGCATTGTTACTGGAAGGCCTAATTCCTTTTCTTTATCACCTTGAAGCCAAAATTCTCCAAGAACTCTAAATGTCCATTACTCATAATTTTTCATTGGTTTAAAAGGATTACTAATATCTGCAGCATGTAATAATGTATCAAAACAAATTCCTTTATCTTTAGATCCAGGATCAAAATCATTTGAAGCCAATCTTGCTTTTAATTTATTATAATCTTATGAAATTAAAATTCAATACCTTTTCCATGCATAGCATTGTCAGTACTTAAAATCATATTAATTGATTTTTCTCTAAAGTATTTAAAATCTGATAATGTAAAATGAACCAATAAATCTGTTTCTCTAATATATCTAAATAAAGTAGATGCATGATGTTATTCAAGTGGAGACTTATCATTATATGTCATAGCCAATTCATGTCTAGTATTTGATAAGAAAATGTTATTTAAACCAGGATGATCAACATCATGTGCTGCAGCAGACAATAAGAGAATAGAATAATCTAATTTCGATAATTTACCTATTTCTTTAAAGTTACATCTTTGAATGAAAAAATAAACAGTATGAGTAACATCAAAGGCATGAATTACATTATGGTATAAATTCTCTTTATGATAACTTAATGCTAATTTGTCAACACATTTCTTAAAAGAGTCTGGAGATATTCTTAAATTACTGAACAATTATTCTTTTTGAAAATAATAACACATTAAATGTGTCAGTATGGAACTATCATATTTTTAAAAAAGAGAAAAGTAATCATAATCTAGATTTAAGATGTTTTATTCAAAATCTTATTTTAATTATTCTGGCAAATGAGATTCATCAGTAAATTATATATCAGATGACATTGAACGTTTCAATTCCTAAGAAATCTATTATTGTTATTGTGGTTAATTAAGCCATCCCAAAGCTTCACTCTTTTTACCCTCAATAATTGGTTCATAAACAGTATTATTAGAAATATGAGTTATTCCCCAATTCAATTGTTTTATAATATCTGGATCCTCAAATTGATCAGCAAGATCTCTCATTATTTCAATCACTTTCTCAACTGGGGAACGAACAACATATCTAGTCCCTGCATTATTTATCTTTTTGACTTGATTAAACTGTTTTAAAATATATATTATAGAAATTTACTTTTCGAAAGACTAAAAATAGCCTTAAGAATCTGAAGATTCCTCTTAAAACCTTGCTAATCGTTGTAAATGCTTCACCTTCTAAATTTAGATCGAGAATAATTAAAACGATTGAAGCAACTATAATTAGAGCATCAAAAACAGACCATAAATCTGAAAAGTATGTCTAATTTATATAAATGTCATATACTATAGGTCCAACATTGATACATCGGAATGAAATTTCTAAAACAAATAGAATGAGAATGACTAATTCAATTATTTTAGTTATAAATAAAGTCTTTTCTATGTCAGGATCTTCTTTAGCATCATTAGCTATACAAATTATTACAAAGTAAGTTACATGTAAATGAGAAGTTAATGAACACCAGTAACGTAAAGAGGACAACCAAAATAATTACAATCTTATCTATCAGTGGAATTCCAACTTGTTTTTGATCAGTGATTCTGCAATTATTATGTATAATTACTCATCAACAACTACATGATCAATCCCATCTACATTATAGGAAGATCTACGATCTCCCAATATGTTAGAAATTTCTTTTGAACCTCGTGGAACTACTTTGGCTCCCATTTAACCTACATTCTTTTTAGAATCCTCATTCAAGTGTTATTCTTCTGCCATATTTGTTTATTTTATTAATTAAAATTTCAATCCTTGAATCTTTGTATGTAATTCAAAGAATTACTCAATACTCACTAATGTTAGAAACAGAATTTTGGGCAAAAACTAAATACTTAGTTTATCAGTTTTTTTTCAATAATAATATAGCTTGAACCTTAAAAATTCTATAATGTTTTTTATAGATTATATTTTCAATCAAATCGAGGACCTTCTTCAATTTATCCATCTAAAACTAGTTTAAATACAATATCTTACTCATATCCTCATTCTTTCTTTCAATATTGAGATCCTATCCTAATTGGATTTGAAAGGGAATATTGACAAGTTATTGATATGGTAATTGAGCAAACATTTGATTCAATTAAGTTGGATAAGGAAAAATATAATGTTATGGAAAATATGGAGTTTATTGAGGTCTATAAGGATTATATTATTCTTAAATAGGTTGTGTTTTCAATCGTTTAGATATAGATGGTTCAGCAGGTTTTCTTCCTCTTTTTTTTGGTTCTATTTGCTGACCTTGATTTTTTGGTTTTGGTCCTCTTTTTTTAGGAATTACTGATGTAGCAACATCAAAGCAGATATCATTTTGAATTTTATTTTCATCTTTATTTTTATAATCTTCATTTACTATTTTTAATATAACATGAACAAATTCATGTCTATTAAAACTGTTTATGTGATCTGCAGATTTGATATGCTAAATTATTAAATTCCTAAAATTACATCCAAATAATCTACATAAGGTTTACGACAAACTCCACAATATCTGTGTTTTCTACCAGGCTTAGGAATTTACTAAATATATAATAAAGTAATACTAATTTGGTTTTTTTTGTTGTATACTCCTAAACCTTTTTTAAATGATCTTCTTTATATTTCTACATACTCTTTATATAGTCATTCTAATTAATGTATTCATTTAAATTATACTCGATCCACTTCTAAAATGAACCCTGGTAAACATTACTATTCATCTTAATTGAAAACAGGAACTATATTTTCATAACAAGATAACTAAACACAATTTATTTAGATCTTATACAGCATCATTATATAAAGGGCAAAAATCAATGTTAGTAATATTTTTAAGCCAACATTTTGTACTTTTAGGTTGGAGATTGAATTAATGATCAGGACATTTAAGTTGACATTTGCGTTTACCTGAACTTTATAATTTCTCTCCAGCCATTTTAAATTAATTATATATATTAGATATTCAATTATTTTATTTTTCTTGTTGACTTTGAAACACTCTGTAAAAGGAAAAAGAATAGTTTTTTCATTTTAATAATCTACATATTGAAAACAACCTATTTCTTATTAAAAAACACCAATAATAATTTAATAATGCAATATATTGATTAAGGAAGTGCTCTTTCTAACAAAAATGTTCCAGGAAGAAGATTACAAAAAAAGAACTCCCTCTTTTATTAAGTAAGACTATTGTAAATAACATAGCAATCCGTATTAGAAAATGAAGAATTCACACAACGCTACCAAAAAAATGTCGATGAATTACAAGTATTTAAGGATGATGCTTATCTTGAACCACATAAATAGCACTTCTAAGTAAGAAATGCAAAATTCTTTGAATTACTTGAATAGATAGTCAAAGTAGAATCATCTTTAAAAGATTTTGCCAAGGGGTAACTGGATCTATAAATATTAGATACGAAAAATATGGGTTTTTGATCTCTGACACTGGGATTACATATAAAGAATGGGCTCCTGGAGCTAAAGAAGTATATTTAACAGGTGATTTCAATAATTGGGATAAAATGCAATATTCTCTAACTTCAGATTCTTTTGGAAATTGGGAAATATTTTTACCAAGAAATGAAGATGGTTCATATTTGATTCCACATGGTTCACGAGTCAAAACATACATAAAGGATGCTAATAATCAATATTAATACAGAATCCCAGCTTGGATTAGAACTACTTGGTAGAATCAAGAGAATAAAGTATTTAATCAATAATAATATATTTAAGTTATATGACGGAGTATTCTACAATCCAGAAAACAAATATGAATTTAAGAATAACAGACCACCAAAGCCTAGATGTTTAAAAATATATGAAGTACATATAGGAATGGCTGGTATTGAACCAAGAGTACATACTTTCAAAGAATTCACATAAACAGTTTTGCCAAGAGTTGTTAAATTAGGATATAATGTGATTTAAATAATGGCTATATAAGAACATGCTTATTATGGAAGCTTTGGATACCATGTTACCAACTTCTTTGCTGTCAGCAGTAGATTTGGTACTCCAGATGACTTAAAAGAGTTGATTGACACAGCACATTCTCATGGAATTACTGTATTAATGGATTTGGTTCATAGTCATGCATCAAGTAATGTTTTAGATGGTATTAATTAATGGGATGGTACTGATTATTAATATTTCCATGCTGGTGGTAAGGGTAAACATGAATTATGGGATTCTAAATTATTTGATTATTCTAAATGGGAAGTGATAAGATTTCTATTATCAAATTTATCATGGTGGATTAATGAATATTAATTTGATGGATTTAGATTTGATGGTGTTACATCTATGTTATATGTTCATCATGGAAATGGTTATGGTTTCACTGGAGGATATCATGAATACTTTAATGAATTAGCTGATATGGATTCATTAGTATATTTGATGTTGGCAAATGATCTCATACATGAAATTAATCCTAATGCAATTACTATAGCAGAAGATGTGTCTGGTTATCCAACATTATGTCGTAACATTAAAGAGGGGGGAATTGGATTTGATTATAGAATGGCAATGGCTGTTCCTGATAAATGGATTAAATTACTTAAGGAATTTAAAGATGATGATTGGGATATGGGGGATATCACACATACACTTACTAATAGACGTTATTTAGAAAAATGCATTTGTTATGCTGAATCTCATGACTAGGCATTAGTGGGAGATAAGACTCTCTCCATGTGGCTCTTTGATAAGGAAATTTATAGTGAAATGAGTACCATTTAGCCAGAAACCCTAGTTACTTTTAGAGGAATGGCATTACATAAGATGTTGAGATTGATTACATTTGCATTAGGTGGAGAAGGATACTTAAATTTCATGGGGAATGAGTTTGGACATCCTGAATGGATTGATTTTCCAAGAGAAGGTAATGGATGGAGTTATCATCATGCAAGAAGAAGATGGGATTTAGCTGATGACTAATTATTAAGATATTCTAGACTCTTATAATTTGATACTGAAATGATTAACCTTGAAGATAAATATCCATGGTTACCTAATGGCGAATAGTGGGTAACTGAAAAACATAATGAAATTAAAGTTATTGTATTTGAAAGAGGATCTCTACTCTTTGTATTTAATTTCCATCCTACTTAAGTATTATGTGTTATTTGATAATTAGTCATATGAACATTTTAAGGTTGGCACTAAATTTGAATCAGATCATAGAATCGTTTTAGATACTGATGATGTTAGATTTGGAGGACATTCAAGAGTATCACCATCTTATGATCACAATTTCCCAATAATAAAGGAAGAATGGCAAGGGAGACCTAATCATATCAAAATATATTTACCAAATAGATGTGCTATTGTTTTTAAATCAATTGAGTGATTTTTTGTTTTAAAAAGACATGCATATAACGATTAATTTAATTTTAAAATGTATTCACTATAGAAATTAGTTCCAAATAGTAAATTACAAATTAAGCCTGGTGCATTCTCTCAACATCAAAAATTAAATTAAAGTGTTGATGGTGTATTGCCTGTAAATTAATAATCTTTACAGCAACTACAAACATAGATATAAATATTAACAAAAAAAGAACCTATTCGCTAATAAAATAAGAAATAAGAATTACTATAGATATTAGAGAATGCTTAAGCAAACTAAAAATAAACTAAATCAATGTCACCTAAAAGAACACCTTAGAAATAGAAGAGTAACAGAAAATTGAATTTTAATTAAATCACAGATCAAGATAATATATTTTTGAATTCTAGTAATGCAATGGCAAATATGATTATTGAAAACATCTTAAATAAAGATGAATATTATGAGAAAATCAAATTAGAGAATTAAGAACTCAAAGATTAATCCTCAAAATTGTAAGTTAGTATAGGAGATCTAAAAAAGAAAATAACAACTTTAGAACGTTAGAATAAAGAAATTAATAGTAATTTAAGTAATGAACGTCAAACTTATTAAAATGAGTTAATAAAAATAAATGAGAAAATTTAATCAATGAAAACTATGTAATAAAATTTATAGATGGAATAAAAGAAAAATGAATTGCTCACAAAATAATTGTAAGATTAAATTAATATTAATAATGGTTTAAAATCTTTTATTTGTGAAAATTGTTTATTAAGTATAGAATTCTTAACATTCTTTTAAAAATCAGTGTAAACTTTTTAACCACATTTAAGTAATGCATATGATATTTTAATTTAATTATCCAAGCATTCAACATCCTTTATTTTTGAATTTATTTCTAAAACACAGAATTTAAATTTACCTGCATTAAGAAATTGTTTACTTCCAGAAGAATTTGATGTGAATGGATTTTTTGAGACATTAGAAGAATTAAAATTGAATGAATCTCCAGAATTATCATTTCGAAATAAAAATAATAATCTTATAAAAAAGAATATTCATGGAAATAATAATAATAATATACCAATAGGTGATGTACCAAAATAAAATAAAAATACATCTTTATAAGAATAATTTAATTCATTCCTTGAATCAAGTGAACCATTCTCAGATTCATAATTAGGTAGTCCTTATTTCACAGATTTAGAAACTGTTGATAAATAAAGACCTATTAGTAAAGAAAAACAAAGAAATTAGATGCCATTATAAATGAATGCTGCTAAAAGAATCAAACCTGAAATTAATTAAGCTCCTCATTATTTTTAATCATTTAAATAAGATGAAAATGAACCAACTGTTTTTGATTCTCTAATGAAAGAAGCACCCACAAATAAAGATCGATGTTCATCTGTTCATAGTTTAAGATATTTAGATTAATAAATTTAAAAAGAGTAAGACAAATCAACAAAAAGAAACAAAGAAAATTAATAAAATAATTGCCAATTTGTAATAGCTAAATATGATTATAAAGCTTAAAAAGTATATGAATATTATAATATTAATAGGATATTGATTTGAGTTTCAAGAAGGGAGATTAAATTAAATTATTAAAAAAGACAACAAATGGATGGTGGTATGGTGAAGATAAGAATTAAGTCAAAGGATACTTTCCACATAATTTTGTTCAATTATTAGGATGATTGTAGTTAAATAAATTAGTTTTCATTTTTTGATCTTAACTTTCTAAAACATATCTATTCAGCAATTTTATTATTTCTTATGTAGATTCTATAACTAAATTACTATTCTTTTCCACTTAATCTGAAATAGAGACACAATGAAATTTCTATAATTAAATTTTTATAATACTTTGTTTAATGGCATATTGGCAGATTAAAATATAAACATAATCTTTTCTAATAATCTTCTATCAAATGAAATAATATTTGCAAATGACACCAATCCCTTTTAATTTGTTTCATTTATTATTATCATCTTTAATATTTCATCTATCTATTGATATTAATGTTTAATCTATAAAGTATAATTCTCTTATAATATCAAATAATCATCAAATTCTACCTTTAATTCTTTAATTAAATTAGAAAAGAAAACATTTGCAGCAGCATTTGTATCTTTAATTTTCTCTTTTAAAGACAATGTATAAATTTAATTTTTCTCTATTAAATTTAAATGTTCCATAAATGATAATTATTATAATTTTACTTCTATTTAATCATCTCTCTCTACAATTTATTAAAAAGAAGTTTGATTATTTTATTTTATAAATAGTCCATCTTAAGCAATAATATATAAATTATTGATTGATCCAAAATTCAATTCTAAAACTTCACATTCTTAATCAGATACAATAATTAGAGTATTATTCTCATCTTATGCTAATTTTTCTAATGCTTAGACTAATTAATCTAATTTTTAGATTTTCTATAAAAATCTTTGAGTATAAGCAAGTATAATAATTCTCTAATTATCTTAATAATTAGTATTAGCAAATTTAGAAATTATATTCGTTGTTTCAATTGAACAAAAATTTTTATCTTTTAATCCTATTGTTAATTCTTTTGCTGAATCATATAATTATTTATCAAACCAAAAATCTTCACAATAACTTAAATGATCATTCAATCTATGTAACCAATCATTACTATTTGGAACATTAATAAATGTTGGTTTTTTATCATTTAAGTAATTCAATATTGCTTGAGCTGATTCTATAGTATTATTTGGATTGATTTTTTTATGATCAACTTTTAATGAACACCATTAACTTAAGACTAATTTTGCTGTCTTCTTTCTAAATTATCTAATATATATATATTCTAAATAATTAGAAGATATGCTTTCCCTTAAAGATGTCTTTATGAAAAGATCAGCCTTTTTATATAAATTGATTAATTCACTTTAAGAGAGATCAAATTTAATTTAAATTAATTCCTATTAACAATTTTAATTAATTTATTTAGCTAGAGTTTTTATTTCTTCTAAATATTTAAATATCTAAATATTACTCTAATAATCTTCATCATTATTAGTATATAAGATTTGAATTAATTAAATCTTCTATTACTATAATAAATGCATCTACTCTACTATTTTGAATTTCTATTATAAACCACTTAATAATGATAAACTATCAACTCCAAGAAGTGTTAATTATTCTTCTTAAATTGTTTCATCTACTGTTATTAATTTTTATAATTAACTTATATTTAAACCTACACTTCCATAATCCAAAATAATTTTTCTACCTAATACTTCTATTGTAAATGCACTTACACCAGATACTTAAGTTAATTTTTGATATTTTTAAGGTAAACAATGCACAAATTAATGCAAATCTTTTAATTATATTAATGAGATTAAATCACTCATTAATATTGATGATAATATAGTTTCACTACAAGATAAAATTCTAAATTATTTTGGATTTGGAAATGATCTTCTCATTATTATACATATTCTTGGTCTATTTTCATTTTTTTTTATTAATCCTTCCTTTATATAGATTGGAATCAAAAATAGATGATAATCAAATATGAAAATAGAATGTAAATGACAAAATTAATTTTGAAATAATGTACAATTTAATGCTTCTTAGACATATTTTGCAAATATTTTATTGATTTCCATATAATCATCCTCTGAATGTAATCTTAACTATGGAGTTAAATTATTAAAGATTGGACTTATTAATTAAGAAAAACAACCTAATAAATCTTCATCTAATTAAATTCCAAAGCATTTGTACTATTCGTACATATGTTATTATATTAGAATATATTCATTTTCATCCATTACTTATATTCCAATCCATCCAATCCAAATTGCCTTCAAACTTAATTTGTTGCTAAATAGATTGTACATATTTATATAATAAGGATCTGATGTCAATTCAAACTTATATTTATTTGTTATATCTAGATTATAATTATATTCAATATACCCTTTTTATTTGTCACTTAATAAAATTAATCAATTAAAGTTATTTTTATAGGTATCTTCAATGACAAACAAATTACATAAGAATCTGAGAGTATTTAAGTTGAAGAAGATCGTTTCCTTTTGTAATCAAATATCAAATCAGATTATCCATATTGTTCAGATATTTTTCTAAATTTAGATATTGACTTTAATTTTTGTTTACATTCAAAATGACTCTAATTGTATTAAAATATTGTATTACTTTTATTAACTCTCTCCAATCAATTTCTAATTAACGAATACTTATGGGACCTCTTACTTCTTTTGCTAATTCTGGAATACTTTCATTATCAGACTTAATATTTAAAGATTATCATACTGAATCTAAAACATTCTCAAATGGATTATAATCTCTTGATCTATTCATTTTTTAAACTTTCACTAAAATTAAATTAACATTTATATATACTTAGCTCTTCTTGAACAAATTCATTTGAGATTTCATATTTTTAAAATGTTCTAATATTCATTGAGGGATTATCAAATTTTAGATACAGAAAATTACGCCTAAAATCACATTTGTGAATTCTATTTGGAATATTCTCCCATATATAATTATCCCCATCTTGTATTAGACACTTAAATTCTAATATAAAACCTATTAACTCAATATGATTATTAACTTGGATCAATTTGAATTTTGCTATCATGACTCCATTCAGGGTAAGTTTCACTTGAAGTAGATAACAGATAAGAATTATGAGGATTCCATTAACCAAGAAGTGGATGATTACCACAAATTCGAACTACTTGTGAATATCTAGTCTCTATTATCACCTTAAAACTTATATATGACATCTTAAATTATGTGAATTATAATTTATTAAATATATGAATAATAGGTCTTTCTTTGCAATTATGTTTATAAAAGGTTATTTCCTTAGAATCCTTCAAATTTTCTTTATTTTATCATAGATCTAAATATTTATATTGTACTATTATGTAAATAAAATAAAATTGAATTAGAAAATAGTCAATGAGTTTAGATCATTAAGAAAATGAGATATAACATTCTAATGTAAATGATAGTAGAGTATTTTGTAAATAAGTTGTATTTTCATTATCTGAAAATATTATATGATTAAATAAATCTATTAAAATAAATAAAACTAATGAAAATTATCAACTTAATACAATTTTATAGATTCTTATTAAAATAAAGAGAAAAAAATTGATTTGAATAGAAATTACATATTCACAAAAAGGGTAAATATAATATTAAATTTAGAATTAATTGTAATTTTATTAATAAGAATTATTAGTTTTATTGATCAAAAAAAAGTGAAAGATGAAAAAATTAGATTTCTGAATGATTAAATATTTTCATTATTTCAAAAAACATTTGATTTTTCACTGATATGCTTAGTAAAGTATACAGTAATTTATAATTTCAATTTGATACTGAAAACAAATATATATTATGATTTGTATTTCACTGAAGTTCAATAGATAATAGAATTTAAATTATATAAATAGATAAGAAAATAGGAAAACTAACATAAAATTGAGAGAAATAAGAACAATAATGATGATGGTTGTTGATTTTATATATTTTGTGATAAAAATCACTTAGATTATCATTATTCTCCTTCTTCTTCAAATTCTCCTTCTTCTTCAGCAGTGGCATCTTGATATTATTGATATTCAGAGACTAAGTCATTCATGTTGGATTCAGCTTCAGTGAATTCCATTTCGTCCATACCTAGATTAGAATATAAATTATTAAATACCTTCACCAGTGTACCAATGTAAGAAAGCCTTTCTTCTAAACATGGCTGTGAATTATTCAGCAACTCTCTTGAACATTTCTTAGATGGCAGTTGAGTTACCAACAAAGGTAACAGCCATCTTCAAACCCTTTGGTGGGATATCACAGATGGATGATTTAATGTTGTTTGGAATCCATTCAACGAAATAAGATGAGTTCTTATTTTAAACATTAAGCATTTATTCGTCGACTTCTTTGGTTGACATTCTTCCTCTGAAGAGAGCAGATGCTGTTAAATATCTTCCGTGTCTTGGATCAGCAGCACACATCATGTTCTTGGCATCGAACATTTATTATGTCAATTCTGGGACTGTAAGAGCTCTGTATTATTATGATCCTCTTGATGTGAGTGGGGCAAAACCAATCATGAAGAAATGGAGTCTTGGGAATGGAATCAAGTTAACAGCCAATTTTCTCAAGTCAGAGTTCAATTGACCTGGGAATCTAAGACAGCATGTAACTCCTGACATAGCAGCTGAGACCAAGTGATTCAAATCACCATAGGTTGGGGTTGTCAATTTCAATGTTCTGAAACAGATATCATATAAGGCTTCGTTATCAATGACCATGCATTCATCAGCATTTTCGACCAATTAATGGACTGAAAGGGTGGCATTGTATGGTTCAACGACTGTGTCAGACACTTTTGGTGATGGCACAACTGAGAATGTTTCCATAATTCTGTCTGGATATTCTTCTCTAACCTTTGAGATCAACAATGTTCCCATTCCTGATCCGGTACCTCCTCCCAATGAGTGAGTGATTTAGAATCCTTATAAACAATCACATCCTTCAGCTTCTTTTCTAACTACATCCAAGACTGAGTCAATCAATTCTGCACCTTCGGTATAGTGACCCTTGGCCCAGTTGTTACCAGCTCCTGTTTGTCCAAAAACAAAGTTATCTGGTCTGAATAATTGTCCGAATGGTCCAGCTCTGACAGAGTCCATAGTTCCTATAATTCATTAATTTTATAAGATACCTGGTTCCAAATCCATAAGAATAGCTCTTGGGACATATCTTCCTCCTGTTGCTTCGTTGTAATAAACGTTGATTCTTTCCAATTAAAGATCAGAATCTCCGTGATATGTTCCTGTTGGGTCAATACCATGTTCATCTGAAATGACTTCCCAGAATTTGGCACCAATTTGATTACCACATTGTCCTCCTTGAATATGAACGATTTCTCTCATTGTGACGGTTACGAAAAAGGATTTTGATTTTTTTAATGTTTGAAATTTGAATTTCTTCACAGCTTTAAATCATAAAATTCACCCCCTTTTCCAAAATATCTAATTATCAATTAATTCATAACTGATTATATATAGTTATATACACAATAAATATTCAAATTTAAACCTTCTTCATTATTGTAATTTTTTCAATTCATTTCTATGTTATTCTTTCTAAATCAAATTGAATTTATCTCATCTTTTAACTTATTTTCATGTAAATTGTAATCATTTATTTTTTCCCTTTCATTTTTATTAAATACTATTCTTCTATCAAAATGATTTCACCCTTATTATTCTAATTAACTGGAATCGATTGATTATGAATCTTGTATCAATTTTAATATTTTATGCCAAATGGACAATAATTATTTAATATATATATATATTAGTGAATTTCATACATATTAAATTTCACTCCTTTTTCTTAATGATAAAATGAAGTAAATTAATATCATGTATATTGTACCAGAAACACCAAATAAGAATGAATAGTATACATAGGATAACTAAAGTGATGGTTAAAAGGGTTATAAAGGTTCCCCTGAAATTTTAATTTTATGTATATATGGGTCATCAATATGTCTTATTTACAATTATAAGTTTTCAAAGTTTGTAGCTTCATTATCCATTAGTTCTTTATAGAAAAAACCATCTTAAAAGCATCCTCCTTCAAAATATAATTTATCTTGCTTAATTGATATCTTTAAACATATTTCAGTCAAAATATATAATTTTTCTCCTTTCCAATACCATGGAGATATAGGTATGCCAAATAAGTTATTACATTATGGCAACTTTTTAATAATTTATTTTTTTTTTTGTTTTGATATATAAAGTTACAGACAATATGTTTTAGGTAACATCAATTTAGCCAACTTATAATCAACATAGCCAAAAAATTAATGAAAATTAAATTTTTAGAAGTATGTCGTATTATTGATTTAAAGATTAGGATCAAAGTGATTTTATAAGAATCTTATTTCTTAATTTTTGAGTTCGCCAATGATTGAGTATTATCCAAATTGCTTTTAATTCAAATTCAAACTCCAATCAATAGTTTCCTATATAAAATAGTTAAAAATTACTTTCTCAATTATAAATTGCTATTCAATGTCTTCTTATTAGATAGGTAGAATAAAAAAGGAACATGAAAATAGAAGTAAGATGAAATCAATAATGCATATAGCATAAAATAGAATGCAAAAGATTCTATTTGGAATGAGTTGCTGTATTTTATAACAATCATATCTAACAAGATAAACTTATAACATAAATTATTAATGTATTTCAATATGATTATCTTTTTAATTATTGATTCTCTTGTTCTAATTATGAGATTCTCTAAACTAGATTACTTTGTTCTTTCATATATTGATCCAAGAGTTATTGCATTTCATTTTATTAAATTTAGAATTATCTAATCATGTCAATATGCATTGAACTAACACTATCTTAAACAATCTTTTTTAATTAATATGTTTATTCATTTATTTATTGCTGTATAAATTTCTTTTATTCATCAGTAAAACTACAATAAGAATAATAAAAATACTCATTTTATCCTCCAATTACTCTGCTTATCTCATATTTTCTAGATATATCCTCAATTTTACTAGTAGATTAATCAAATTTAGATTACTAACTTGATTAGACACGAGATTGGACTATTACCTAAATAAATTGGATTTAGTTTACATTGATCATACTAAATTTGCTTTTATTATTCAATCTTGATCATTGATTCTTTATTACTCAAAATATTTAAATCTTTGCTACTATCTTTCTTAATTTCTTAAATCGTTGGAGTTTTTGCTTAATTGATTTTTAATTATGATTGTACACTCAAATTGCTTTCATTCAATAATCTTTATGATATCGGAGGTTATTGAGATTATGTTTCAATATTTTGATATTCCATAAAGTTAACACTAGAGTTGTCATGTCCCCTAAATTGTAATTTAGGTTTTTAAGTCATTCTTATATCATAAACATAAATTTATCCATACAGAGTACCAACAGTAACAGAATAATCATCATTTTACATTGCAACAGAATTCAATGGATTTTCACATGCAATAGTATGTGTAACCTTCTTATCAACAATGCTGTAAAGATAACATTTTTAATCAGTTCCAACACTACAAACTAATGATTATGTAACACTTAATCCTGTTACTTTACTTGTATGTTAAGATGAGAAATTGCAATGATATTCATTTTTATTTAGATCAAAGATTGTTACAGATCCATCATTGCTACCTGAACACAAGAGATTTTTGCTCATAAATTTAACTGCTTTAAATCCAGGTGTTTTGGATCCTTTTAAATTGAAAGTGGATACTGCTATCTATGTATTTACATCATGGACTAGAATATCACCTACATTAGAGGCACTTGCAATTAGAGTGTCTGCAGAATTCCAATGTAAAGAATTAATTTAAGAATAATGTCCTTTAAGATGACTTTGAATAGTTTTCTTTTTCAAATCCCATACCCGCACAATTGAATCATGACCTCCACTTGCTAAATATTGGCTATTTGATGTGAATGAAATTGCATTAATTGCTTTTCCGTTATGCTCTAAAGGCAAAAGTGATTAACCATCAGTTGCTCGACTCAAAATTATAACACCATCATTGCCGCAACTTGCTATTACACAATCTATAAAATATAAATTTTAGATACTATTGTGATTCCATATACAACAATTAATGCTAGATTTATGTGGATTGATTCTTAAAATAGGGTCCATTGATTAATCATGTATGAGAATGCTTTTGCCACAAGAAACCAATTAACTCATTTCAAATAAATATTATAATGTTTGATAAATAATTTTCTTAAATTGAACCAAATTATTCAATATCATTTTTATCTTCTTCACAATCTATTAAATCCATCCCCTCTATTTGATTTCTAATATTTTCTCAATATTTGAAAATAAATTAAATTATCAAAACTATATATTTTTGATGTTTTAGATAGAATTTGTATATTATTAATTGAATTTCTAATATTTAAGTTACTATAAATTATAGGATTGCAATATCAAATATATCTTTATTCCAATTTTCTTATCATAATCTATATATATCACTATAAACAGATAAAATTATAAATAATCGTTTGACTATTTATTAATATATTATGAAATATTACTATTTAAATTAAATTTTGAATTGTCTCATTTTATTTCTGAAATAGTATTTAATCCTTCATTTATTATAATTAATTGCTTATATTTCATATAACAAATGAATTCTTATACATATAATTCCTTTTTGTATTAATCCATTAATTAATATAATAATATGCATAATAGACAACATCTTTCAATTAAGAATCTTGATGGTCTCAAATTAGATTCAACTCAAGTTCGTCGTAAGAGTTGTGTTTGTGAATAATGTGGTACTACAGCTTTAAAAGAAGATCGTCTACCAAATTAATTATGTGAAATAGCCTACCATAAATAATAACGATTAGCTGATTTCTTTTTAAGTAAATTGGAAGGAGCAAAAAAATATATGAGGAATGATCATAAAAAAAAGAATTTTAGAATATTTGCCAAAAATCCACTTTTTATACTACGTTCTCAACCTGATCTGGAGGAAAGTATGCATCTTCCAACATCACCGACAAAAACTCAAACTCCAGAAAAAGAACGTTTAAAGACTGAGCAACCTTAAATTGCTCCTTATAAATCGTATAAATACATTCCTACTTCAAATTGTTTTCTATAAAATATGAAGCAATAAGTTTAGCGTTCCAACAAAACTATCAATCGATTACTTACTGATAGAAAAGTAGTTTAATCATTTCAGTTTTCCACTTCTGATAGACTACCAGTCACGAAATCTCCTTAAAAAAATAAGAGAAGCTTTATTAAATAACTTAAGCCTCTTCCTAAATAGAAATTACTTTAAACTAAATTTGACTGTATGATTAGGTAATTCTTTAACTCATCTAAAGCCAAATAATACTGACAAAATGATTATATTTTTTTTGTGTTTATTAAACATTATTACATGCAAGAGACTGAGCAATCAGAAAAAGATATGATAGGTTCCCTTCTTGATGGTAATCAATTTTCTTAATTCTATAGATGATGAATCAGAATGCTCAGAATTTCGATCTTCCATTACTAAATCCCAATAACATTCATAATCTGTAAAAATAATCTTCTCTATATATTTATATAGCCAATCAAAAGTTTCAAAGATTTAAAAGAAAGTCCAGTTTTAAATGAAGATCCAACGTATTATTAGAAATATTGATTTAGTTAATATGAATTCCCTTCTGTCGATCCTAGCAATTTTTATATTACAGTGTAGCCTACATTTATTGAATAACGATAACATTCCTTAAGTTAAGAATTTCATTCATACATGCTACCTCAACAACCAATTTATTATCCTTGTTAAGATGGCTATTTCTCTTAAAAAAGAACAAAAAAATTACAATTATAAACAGAGATTGATTCAACAATTGTACAATTATATAATTAAATTACCTTAGTCCCAATAATGTCAAGATCAATATGCCTCATTGATTATTCAATAATCATTCATTTAAGGAAATGAATATTAAAGAGAAAAAATATTTAAAGGTTTAGTTGATGATTTATTCTTACTATCAAAACACAAATTTGGAAATTATGTTATATAAAAAATAATTGAAAATAGTAACTAAAATACTAGAACACTTATGTTTGAATAATTAAATTCTCATATTTTGGAATTGTCTTATGACAGATTTGGTTGTAGAGTCATATAAAAATTACTAGAATTTATTCTTATTTAACAAAAAGTATAACTAATCAATTAATTAAAACCTTACGCCTTAATATTAATATTTGATCAATGTGGAAACCATGTTATCTAAAAAATAATAGATTTAGTTACTGACGCTGATTTTATTATAGATCTAGTTACAAATAATGTAGATAAAGTTGTTTCCCATCCTTATGGATGTAGAATAGCATAGAAATGTTTAGAAATGTTTCCCAACGACAAATTGTAGGCACTCTATATATCCTTAATTCCTCTATGTGAAAGGTTATCGTTTTGTTAATATGGGAACTATATTGTTTAACATATGATAAACTCAGGACCTCCAAAAGGATTTGAAGTTATTGGAAAATTTATCAAATAAAGAATCATAGAAGTCAGTTAAGATAAATATGCTAGGTAATTTTTAAATTAAATGTAGTAATGTAGCACAAAGGTATATTACTTATGCTTAAGATGAAGATATAGCAAGCATATGTAAAATTTTGATGAATCAAACAGTACCTCCTATGTTATTAATTTTAATTAATAATTCTTTTGGAAATTATGTTATGTAAAATTTCTATTCGAAATGTAATGATAAGTAAAAAGAATAAATTTAAATTCAAGTCTCTAAATATGAAGAACATTAATTCACTTAATTTGGTATATCAATTTAATAATTAATTAAGGTCGACATTTCTTATAATATTTAGCCAGACTTCATGCTTGTTGATTGTTTATTTTTATTTTATATATAAATAGATATATATATATATATATATATAAAGGTAATTTATAAAAAAAAGAAATTATTCCAATACATTTTGGAGTTATTGTAATTATAACTTTCTCTACTTTTTTGATGTATAATTATAAACTTAAAACTACTATTGATATTATTATTTTTAAATTCTCTTTTACTTCTCAATTAAATCTTTTCTGATATCATTTGTATTAATTTTCAAACTTTTATTTCCATTGTAAATCATCAACTTTAACCATTTAAATTTGATAGATTAATCAATGTATCTACTTTTACATATATCATTCTCGGTTCCTAATTATGTTATTTACCATTAAAATATAGAGATAAGAATAAATTTAATATGCGTAAAAAGCTTTTATTTATCTTACTAACTAAAAATCTTTAGATAAAGTGAAAAAATTAATCGTTTTGGCACATGATTTCTGATTGGATGAATAACAAGATAAAGATTAGATTTATAATCAGATTTTTATAAATTGTATAATAATCCTAAGATTATTTTTTCTCATCTACTCTCAACATATCTGATTTTAATAGTGAATAGAGTTTAAAATTAACAAAATTTATTATTAAATTTATGTCCTCATCAATAAATTATAGCAAAATGAATTGGATCTTCTTATATGTTAACTTTTTCTATTTTTTAGTTATCCAATTTATTATTCACAAACAAATTTTATTTCAAAATTTATGAGATATCAAAGGAAATATTTGTCTACTTGGAATCATCAAAAAAAAGTCAAATAATCATATATTTTGATTTTCTTTAGTGATTTATTTTTGTTTAGTATCATCATCTTATAATGTATAATACTAATCTTCATTAACAAATTGAATTCCACTTAATTAAGCATGATAGTTCAGGCATCTTTAAATATGAGTTCTGCTTTTGAGTAATGAAGTCAACATATATTTAGATTTCAATAAAATTAATAATAAATAAAAATTTAGGTATTCAAAAAGAAGAATATAATAATGAGTAAACTCTACTAAAATATAATTGGATTATTTATAAAACATTAATATATATTGGTATTTTTTAGAGTCAGAGAGACAACTAAAAAATAAGTGATATAGAGATTTACTTGCGATATCCACTATTAAATTTAGTATAATCATTTGTCTTTGTTATTTTATGATATGATCAAATAAGAAATGATCATCTCTTCCAAAAATTGTTGATTACTGCTAAAATGTCTTTTAGATTGATTTATAGTGATTGCTTAGGATAAATTTAGATAAATATTAATTGCACTTAAAATGGATTTAAATAATTATGTGAGACTGGTATCAAAATAAAGAGGATTTCCTCTTACAAAATTCAAATGTCAAAGCAACTTCGAATTATTTTAACATATATAAAAAGTTCAAATATTATATTAAATTATTTTGATTATCCATAATTTTTCAAATATTACTTATCTTGTAATTGCAATTATAATTTGAAGTGATTCTTTGCTTGAAATCATCAGAGGTAGAAACTGTGACTTCATCTCTGACAGCAAATGTTTGTTCTTTCGATAGAGAATTACTTTTCACTTTATTGGCTAAATCATCAACATTAATTCCCATCGTTTAAGTAATCATTCCTTGCCCATAAACTTAAAGGGATAGCTTTCCTGAAGTGAAAACTTTGTCATAAAATTAAAACAGATCTTATTTGGTAACCATACCTATATATTATGCAGCAATATCTTTTTCTTCAAATGCCAAATCATTATTCTTAATATGTGACCAAGTGTTTCTAGCCTTCTCTTTTAGATTCTTCTCAACTTCCTTTAATCCAGAAATCTAAAAATTATTATTAATATAAATATTACAGTAGTGGCTTTGAGTTCTTCAAATTATTGATCTGTCATCTCTTTCAACTCTCTTCCATAATTAATTAAAAACTCTTCTATATGTTAATTCACAATATAAGGAGGTTTTGCTGTTCCTTAAACCAAAATTTAAGCACTATCCAAACAACCAACAGGTTTAAACTTGACACTTACAACATAACCTAATTACAATTATGTACGTAAATAGGCGTATGCTGCATTATGAAGAATCTTATATAATAAATTCATCATAGCTAATTGCTTCTAATCTCTATAACCAATTTAATAATAATTGAGAGTCACTCCATTTGTATCTAATTAATTGGTAGATTTAGAGATCAATGAATATACAATAGACTTACGACTAAGATCTGATACTTATGTAATATGATTCTGTATTCTAATGTGAGATGTAGATTCATCAAAAATTTTAGGTATTTGACTTTATAAAGATTATACTTCATCTCTCAAAATATTTCCTGTAAAATAAGTTGTGAATCTGAAATTTTCTAAAATTTCTTTTTAAAATTATGCCAATTCTGCTTTAGTAACTGAATTAATTTCATCAATCATCTAAGAAGGAGTTGGTTAACCTTGAATTATAGTAGGTAATATAACAGAAGTGGCTTAGATAAATAATTTTTATTCAAATGTATTACTCAATTCAGTGATTTGACTTAATTTTACTCGGTTTAAAAGATCATCATCACTAATTTCTTTCTTAATTTCTCTTAATACATTCTTATAAAAATATTCAAATTTATCACTCCATCCATACATTTCCAGTGATAAACCTTTCATAGATGAATCAAAGGATAATTCATAACCAGCTTCAAATGACTATTAAAGTGATTTATATAAATTATCAGAAACATAACTATTAAACACTTATAATAATGCCACTTTCTTTAAAGATTTCATATCAACAGCTGTTTCAAAATTCATACCTGCATAAACAGTTGGACTATATGATCTATCCAATCTCCACCATGTTTTACCTTCTATATCTTTCTTAATCAATTATGGAAAATGATTATATTATTCATATTCAAATTCATGTTCTTAACATTCCTTCTTTGATGTGAAATAGAATGGCATTTTATGAGTATTCTCTATAAATATATTCTATCTATTTTTTCTATCATATAAAGTGTCAGAATCAACTGATTAAATATATGAAATATGTTATTAATCACAGAGAGACTTAAAAGCTAAATTAACTGGAACATAATGATTAATTTATGGTAAATTTAAAGAAATGTTTTCAAGCATCATAAAATCTAAACTTTCTCTCTCCATTGGTTTTACATCATATTATATATGATAAAGATCATTAGAAAATTAGAGTTCACTTTAAGTGATGAAATCTGCATCACTAACATCTGAATTCTATTATAACAACAAAGTTGAAGGCTATTAAAATGCTAAAAAGGATGCCTTTAATTCTTCACTTTCAATTTCCTCTTAAACCAATTTATATCCATCATCTCCAATCATAATTAACATATTATTGGGATTCATTAGATCAGCTAAATAATTATAAATGCATTAAGGATCATATTTAAAATAACTAGTTTCTGCATTTAATACATATTTTGGTGGAAATGTATTTAGATTATGTGATAATTTAAATATATCTATATCTTTTTCCAAATATTTAAATTAAACATCTGACATAGCTTTCTTTGTTTTATAAGTTTCTTCTAAGAAATCTGTTGGATTTTATTCTTCATCATAGAATTTATGAATCTATTCTTCAAAATATGATATTATAGCTTATCCTATTTATAAAGCATAATCTTTTTATTGACCAATCAAAGTTTCACTTAATTCAACTTCAATCAAATAAAATTAAAAACAACCATTATTACCTAAAAATGGTTAAGCATCCATATCAACAATGAGATTTTTACTTACTAAATAATTATATAATCCTCCATCATGTCTTGATCTTACTATTGAATTAATAAATTGAATAGGCTTAGTTTCAAAATATTTTGTACTATCTTCTAATTGATAAAAGTAAATTACTGTTGTTGCTCTTGTATTGATGTGATATTTTACTAATTTAGCAACATCTTTTATTGGCAATCCAAAATGAGCCAATGATGGTTTTTCTATTTTCAAATTTGGAATTTTTACAAATTCACTTGTTTCAATAAATTCTTTCATCATTTCAATAGGTTATGAACTTTTAATTACTAATGCCATCTAATTAGATGAATAATATTATTCATGAAACTTTTTTAAGGCTTCAACAACATGAGGTTTAAGTAATGATTATAAATTACCAATAGTAAATCTACTCATTGGATGTTTAGGATCTGACATTAAACTCATTAAATGCAATATTTTCCATCCATCTCCTGCTACATTTATTTCATACTCAGAATTTACTGCATTTGCTTCCTTTTAGACCATCTCTTATGATAAAAGAGGATCTATAAAAAAGTGTGCAAATACATTCAAAGCCTCACTTGTTCTACTTGTATCTATTGTAAAATAATAATTGGTTCTAGTTCCTTCTGTGTATGCATTTGTGTAACCTCCTCCTTTTGCAACTAATTATTCAAAATAACTTGTTTCTGGATAGGTATGTGAACCTTAAAATAACATATGCTCTAAAAAGTGAGCTAAACCAGGAAACTCATCTGGTTCATGCCATGATCCTGCATTAACATTCAATGCTGCTTATGTTAATTTTGTTTCTGGATCTCTTATTAACAAGACTTTCAATTTATTAGGTAATTCCAAGTATTCATATTCTTTTTTGTCTACTGTTGGCTTTTATATTTCAACATGTTTATGTTCAGACTAATTTATTTTTTATTTATGCTATTTCTTATTCACACTCATTCTGACTTCTAAAAAGCTAGGTTAAGTTAATGAATTTTGTAATGCTTTTATTTATTGCTCTAAGTATGTTTATTCTTAAATTAATGAAGCCTATTCAAATGACAAATCATTCTAAACTTCTCTTAAACCCACAACTTTGAATAAAACTATACCCATAGTGAAGCAAGCACCCAATAATACTAGCAACTGTATTAGTGTAGTGTCTCTCTTTTATTGATGTTATTCTTTTTTCATTTAATATAAAATAAAACATTAATAATTTAAAAACGGTATACATATTCCAAATGAAATAAACTGCATCTTATTATATTATATTCTTTAATTTCAAAAAGACTCATTGATAAATCAGATTCATTGGTCTCAATTATATATTATTAAATTAATTACATAATAAATAATAAAGTATTTACAATTTAAAATGAAAATACACTAATTTAAAAATAACCTTGACTTTTCTTTTTTAGAAGAATTTTATCAAAGTCTGTTAAAGTATTTTTCACTTATTATCTTAGAATATAATTAGAAGCCTAAAAATAATGAATTCTAGAAAATACCTCATCGCTCATTTTATCCATTTCCTCATTGATACAAACATTAGTCTATTCTTAATTTATTGAACACTCATTTACAGGTCGTCTTCTTTAACTATAGGAAGAACTAAAAGCATCTACTAGTTTTCTATTTTCTTTTATCTTAGGGACAACAAACTTAGCATGATCTATTGCATTTATGATATCTAATTTAGAACTCTAATTAGGAACTTAAAAATATATTTCATTTTATTGTTTTTGAAGTTAATCAAATAATTGTTCTTCTAAAGATTGCACAATTTAGAACACATTCTAATCATACATTTATTTTTAAACTATTAATTTAAACTTAGTTGAAAAAGAATATCCTAGAGTTTTTCTTAGTTTTTTTTGATAATTTATTGGAACTTCGTAATAATTTACTTTTCTTTTCGTTCTTATACTTTACCATTTATCAAGAATTTATTTTAAAGAATTTTAATGCACCTTTTTATTTCTATTTTCTTAAGTTTCATTTAATAATAAGAAGAGAAATCAAAAATCATGTTCCAAAATTTTAATTTTTAACTAACATATCTAAATGGACTTTTATCAACATAACTTCCTTCCCTTCCTCTTTATTTTCTGATTATTATGGATATTCTGAATTTTCACTTAGACCAAAATTCCTTAGATTATTCATTATATATTGATGGCAGATTAACCCATACTAAAATCATTACTTTTTCTTTATTTAAAATAGGCTTAACTGCAAGAGGAAGTGGTTATTTAGGTTCTTATACGACTTTTTTAGATGCTGTTAATGATTCCTATTCAAATGATTGACTATATAATGATGACAGATTTGATTCATTTTTCACTTAAGAATTTTACAATTGTCCTCTAATTGGAAAAGAATCTTTAAAATTTCCTTTAATAGCTATTCATATAAATATTTGAATTTTATTAAACATCAAAATCTTTCTTATATACAAAAGAATTCTAAATATTTTCAAATAAATTTATATAGGTTTACCAATCTATATCTGATTACTAAGATCCATCCTCTACTTCTTTATCTTCTGTAAGACAGTTTTTAAATGATTATTCATAAATATTTTAATTCAATTTTTCCGTTTAAATCCTTTCAGATTCTTCACCTTCAAAATCTGCTTAATAATAGGATTCTATCTTAACACTTCTTTTATATCTTTTCTTACCAATAATCCTTTTTTGAACTATGCAAATTATTCAAATTTATAGGAGAGTAAACCTTAATTTCTTAAAAGTGCTTCTGATTATTAATGAGGATCAATAGTTGCTACTAATTTTCTTGATCCGAATTCTAATCTTTATTTTTCAAATACTCTTTCTTCTAATACTTAAAATTTCATTTCTTCCAAGACTAATTTAAAATCAAAGATTTAATAAAGGATTAAATTTATCGTACTCAAAAACTAGAGTACGATTAAAACTTAAAGAACGTTGATTGCTTTTTCATTAGATTAAATACTATAAATTTGCAATATAAATGAAAACTTAAAAATGATATATTGAATTTTATGAATAGATCAATGATTTGATTATTATGGATGACTACGCAATTGTCTAGCTTTAACTGGATGTTTTGAATGATAATCTTCGATTCTTTCTTCTATCTCTTCTCTGTATGATCTAATCAATCCTTAAACAGGCCATGCAGCAGCATCACCAAGTGCACATATAGTATGGCCTTCAATTTAATAAGTTAATTCCTTTGGATAAGATAAAGAAAAATACTTCTAATTAATCAATTTCAGCAAAATCAGCATTCCCCACTTTCATTCTTTCTAATAAATCAACCAACCATGAAGTTCCTTCTCTACAAGGAGTACATTATCCACATGATTCATGTTTATAGAATTTACTTAATCTCAAGATTGCATCAATAATATCAGTGGATTTATCAATGACAATCACTGCAGCAGTTCCCAATCCTGATCTAACATCTCTTAATGCATCAAAATCCATTAATACAGTTTCGCAAATTTCTTTAGGTAACATAGGTACAGATGAACCTCCAGGAATTATACATTTAAGATTATCCCATCCTCCTCTAACACCTCCACAATGTCTTTCAATCAATTCTTTCAGTGGAATAGACATTTCTNATATAGGTTTACCAATCTATATCTGATTACTAAGATCCATCCTCTACTTCTTTATCTTCTGTAAGACAGTTTTTAAATGATTATTCATAAATATTTTAATTCAATTTTTCCGTTTAAATCCTTTCAGATTCTTCACCTTCAAAATCTGCTTAATAATAGGATTCTATCTTAACACTTCTTTTATATCTTTTCTTACCAATAATCCTTTTTTGAACTATGCAAATTATTCAAATTTATAGGAGAGTAAACCTTAATTTCTTAAAAGTGCTTCTGATTATTAATGAGGATCAATAGTTGCTACTAATTTTCTTGATCCGAATTCTAATCTTTATTTTTCAAATACTCTTTCTTCTAATACTTAAAATTTCATTTCTTCCAAGACTAATTTAAAATCAAAGATTTAATAAAGGATTAAATTTATCGTACTCAAAAACTAGAGTACGATTAAAACTTAAAGAACGTTGATTGCTTTTTCATTAGATTAAATACTATAAATTTGCAATATAAATGAAAACTTAAAAATGATATATTGAATTTTATGAATAGATCAATGATTTGATTATTATGGATGACTACGCAATTGTCTAGCTTTAACTGGATGTTTTGAATGATAATCTTCGATTCTTTCTTCTATCTCTTCTCTGTATGATCTAATCAATCCTTAAACAGGCCATGCAGCAGCATCACCAAGTGCACATATAGTATGGCCTTCAATTTAATAAGTTAATTCCTTTGGATAAGATAAAGAAAAATACTTCTAATTAATCAATTTCAGCAAAATCAGCATTCCCCACTTTCATTCTTTCTAATAAATCAACCAACCATGAAGTTCCTTCTCTACAAGGAGTACATTATCCACATGATTCATGTTTATAGAATTTACTTAATCTCAAGATTGCATCAATAATATCAGTGGATTTATCAATGACAATCACTGCAGCAGTTCCCAATCCTGATCTAACATCTCTTAATGCATCAAAATCCATTAATACAGTTTCGCAAATTTCTTTAGGTAACATAGGTACAGATGAACCTCCAGGAATTATACATTTAAGATTATCCCATCCTCCTCTAACACCTCCACAATGTCTTTCAATCAATTCTTTCAGTGGAATAGACATTTCTTCTTCCACAGTACAAGGATTGTTGACATGACCAGAAATACAAAATAATTTGGTGCCTCTATTATTGGGTCTTCCAAATGAAGCGAACCAATTTGCTCCTCTTCTGAGAATAGTTGGGCAAACAGAAACAGTTTCAACATTAGTAACAGTAGTAGGACAACCCCATAAACCTGCATTTGCTGGAAAAGGTGGCTTAAGTCTAGGCTTACCTGGTTTGCCTTCTAAAGATTCGATTAAACCCTTTAGATTACTTTATAGATTACTGTTTCTTCACCACAAATATATGCACCTGCTCCACTATGAACATAAACATCAAAATCATATCCACTACCACAGGCATTCTTTCCCAAGAATCCCTTTTTATAAGCCTCATCGACTGCTTATTGTAAGGCATTAGCTTCAACCCAAAATTCTCCTCTACAATATATATATGCAGCTCTTGCTCTCATTGCAAATCCTACACACAAAGCACCCTCAACCAATTTATGTGGATCATGTCTTAAAATTTCTCTATCCTTGCATGTTCCTGGTTCAGATTCATCTGCATTTATAACCAAATAGGATGGTCTTTAATACAACATTATATTTACCTTCCATCTGGATTAACTTTTGGCATGAATGAATATTTCAAACCACTTGGAAATCCAGCACCTCCTCTACCTCTTAATCCACTTTTTTTAATTTCATCTATAATCCAATCCTAACCCATTGTCAGTATGTCTTTTGTTCTATGCCAATCTCCCTAAAATTTTAGATCATTATACTCTCCTTAAAGCACCTTGAATATAAGGATCTCCATCACGATAAACATTTGTGAAAATTCGATCTTAATCTTTTAAACCTCCATGATAGAACTTTGGAGAAGATGTTAATTTTAGAAATAGATGAGATTATCTATTTATCATAATCTTTATTTATTAAAATTAGAAGGAATGGGTTGTTCTGCATAAAAATAATCTATTAAACAAGAGTTATTTGTAAGTAAGCTCAATGATAAGGAAATTATAGAGATTAGAGATAAAATTTTAAAAGAAGACTAAAGATTTTAATCAATCAATACCAATAATTTTTAAGTGTCTATAATTTAGGATGATGGAATATATACAGGAGAGGTGAAGATTAAAAAAAAAGATGGAGTTGGGGAATATATATCATATATTGATGGAAATAATTCAGAGATGTTAAATAAAAAAGTAAAAGAATACTATCTAGGATAATGGAAAAATGAAATGAAAGATGGCTATGGTTTGATGGTTTATTATAATGGAAATTAGTATGATTATTACGTTGGTGAATTTTAGTAAGATAAACGACATGGCCAGGGATATATTAAATATTCTAATAAATAATAATACAAAGGATAATTTGAAAATGATTTTTTTCAAGGAAAAGGCATATATACTCTTCAAGATTAAGATACATATTATGAAGGTGAATGGATTTAAAATGAACGTGATGGATTAGGAAAAGAATAAGGTAAAGATGACAATAAAACATGGTAATACGAGGGTTATTTTTCAAAAGGTAAAAGATAAGGAAAAGGAAAGCTCATTATTGATAAAGAGTATGAAATTGAAGGGGATTATGAAAATGATTTTCCCAAAAATGTCATAATTACATATAAATAATAAGAATTTTAGGATTATAAATATGAAGGCTATTTAGCAATAAATGATAAACAGGAGGCTATATTTGAAGGAACGGGAAAGTTAACAATGAAAAATAATTAAATTTTAGAAGGTAGATAATATAGATAATGTTTTAGGAGAATTTACATAACATTAATATAAAAAATAAGAAGTTTAAGAGAAATGAATTTATTCATAAATAACACATTCATTATCATTAAATTAATGTATAATAATCCTAAATCCATTTGTGAAATTGTGCAATAATATCCTATCTTACTTGTTTCAATTATTCACAGTCTTCTTCTTTTGGTGTATACAATTCAACACAATGACCACTATCATCACAATTAACCTCATAAGCCAATATTGATCCTTAATTAACCAACACACTAGACCATTTCCAAGGATCTTCATTTCCATTAGTCATTATTAAGTTATCTACATTCAAATTCTTTCCACCAAATCTTGCATTGGCTAATTAGTCATCTGGAAATATATTAGCTTGTATTCCACCAAAAATACTATTGCAAAAATCTCTATAGAATTATAAATCTATTAAAGAAGATCTTACACTGTTTTCAAGTGGACTTGTTTACCACCAACCCAATTCACTACAACATTAATACATCCATTATCTTGAAGGGCTTAGATTATTTTCGTCATATTCATCATTCTTTAAATAAAATGATCCATATTCCATGAAACTACCTACTTCAATAACTGATCTAAAATAGTCAATCTATTCAGTTATGCTTTTGCCTTCTAATTACATACACAACTCTGATCTGCCTCCATACTAAATTATTAATAATTAAGCGTCTGCAAAAAAGAATAAGAATTCTAAATCAGTCAATTTCTCTGCCCCAAAAGAACCCTTAAATTCTTCCTTTGTGGCTTAATTTAGTATTTGCTATTCTGCATATTTATTCATATCCTAAATATATTTAGCACATTAAGGTCCAGATTTGAGTGCAGATACATAGATCTAAGTATCAAACATCTTAAAATCAGTAATAGATTCCACTACAGCAGATGAAGCCAGTGCTCCTATAACGAGGTGAGGATATTAATATCTATACCAAGCTGCAAGTGCTCCTGGGTATGATCCTCCTATTGCAATCCAAGGATTCTAAGACCTAATTCCGTGTTTTTTATTTAAAATCATGAACCTTTAGAAGTAGGCTAAATCATCTAAAGCTTATCTTGTGCTTAAATATCGAAGATTTTCATCTTTTAAAGATTCACTACCAAATGGCATTGACTTTCCATAATATCTATGTTCCAACACTATGATCAAAGCATTAAACTCTTTAGCTAATTAAATAATGAACAATCTTTCTTCCATTATTCCAGGACCTATGCTTAATATTTTATTTACATGTATATTCTCCACAAATCTGAAATAATACTACTCCTGTTTCTGGGATAAAGTTTTCTTCCACAACCCAATATCTTTGATGGAATACATTTTTATTCAATTTATCATAATGATCAACCAATTAGTGTTCAAACCAATACATTTTTTGATTATAGCTCAAATCATCAGCAATTACGATTAATAAGGAAATAGATATGAGAAAAAATTTATTCATCATTAAAATATTTACAAATTTTTATGATAAAATAAACCAAAGAAATTTTATAGTTTTTAATATAAAAGGTAAATTGTAATTCCTATTTTCATAATATAGGAATGTTTTAATCAAAATACTTATTTCAAATTAACATTATGCATTTTATTCAATAATACTTGCTTTTGGATTTATATTATAGATCTATCTTTTCATCTACAGGCCCTGAGTTTTAGTATATAATCATTATACTATAAAGATTGCATTTATATTAATCAAAAAAGGGTATTGACATATGGAAAAATATTTAATTATATGTGAGGGAAATAGTTAAATATTTTTTAGAAAAAATCAAATAATAAAAAATAATCTATATCATTAATTAAAATACTTTCATTTTAGTGGCAAATCTTTATATAGTATTTAAGCAATTATGAGAATGTTTAGTAGAATTAGACTTTATTTGAAATGAAAGATTTAATTAGTGGCAAAATTAAATTTTTTCTACATCATAAGAGTATAATTAATATTACATGTAAGGTATACTGAGAATAATAAAATCTTAAAGTAGTGAACTGTATTCTCTTTAAAAAATTTCTTTTTTAGTTTAAAGTAATTAATTAACTTTATTGTTATGGGATTGCAAGTTAAATTATAAGATAACTTAATAAGTTTGGATGCTCTTGGTAACATTTTAATTTAAAAAGGTTCATTTTATTTTTTTCAAGTACTAATAGAGTGGTAACTTGATTATAGAGTTTAAATATTTTTAATATTTAATAAAAATTATTTTTGAACTAATATGAATTTAATTTATTTCGTTTTATAAATATTATAGAAAGTTTAGAAGAAACTGCAAACTTATTATAGTTAATGAATAAATTAATTTATAAGAGGAATTTAGTTAGTGCTTAATTTTGTAGTTAATGCTCTACAAATTATTCGATGGACTGTGACTCACATGTAGAGTTTTTGTCTACGGCTTAGACTGGAGGGAAAATCTAACAATAGACAGACAGGGAATTCTGAAAGCCATTCAAACACGACAGGAATTATGATAGAAAAGATAAAAGGTCACTTACATTTTTCGGCAACAAAAACTTGATTTTAGGTTATTGAACACTTTTTGTTATAGAGAAAATGAATAGATATAAAGAAATAATTGAATATTATAAATTTAACCATTCATAAAAACCTTGAAGATTAATTTTATAGTAATCAAAACTCCAATTAAACTTTATTATTTATTTAATTACTAGTCATTTTAAGGAACACTTGAATTATAATCAATAATCATTTATAGATCGATTTTATTATTGGTGGAATTTCTAAGTTCAAACTTCTAAAATGAAGGTATTATTTTATATTTGTCTTTCTTTTTTTAATGCGTCCTTTTTATAATTATTTGACTTTATTTTAGTTAATATTTAAATGATATTCCAATATGTGGTTACACGTAACTCTTTGTTAGTGTTGCACACAGATTTCTCAGCCATGAATAGACTGGAACTACTGTCCATTAAGTAATCAGGCATTCATTTTTTTCCATGATTAGTTCTAAAAGAGCAATTAAATTAGGAGAACTATTGGGAATCAATAATTTATTTAACAGGGTTCTTCTCATTGAACGTAAATACAGTTATGAGTTTTCTAAAAATTATTATTATTCTTATATTATTATTTATGATATTTGTTGTTCTTCTAATGCTACTTAAACTAATATGTTTTTATTCACTGTTGTATCATGATCTTTGTTTAATACTTACTGTTGCTATTTAATTATTATGAATGGACACAAATAACTTTGTTCTCATTACTTTATGAGTTATATTGTATCTTTGAATTTCTTTCCTTAACAGAATTTATATCCTCTATTTTTGTTTGAATGTTTGGTTTAGTGGGTCTAGCAATTTATTTTAGATGAATATATTTCTTACTTTTCTATTGATTTAGTCTTAGAGCTGCTGATATTTTACTTATATTCTTATTGTAATTGAATTAATTGTCACATATTAATAAATGTTTATGGTTGCATAAATATTATGAAGTTAAAAATTTTGGGAATTATTGTAAATAGGACATGGTCATCAATAAATTGATGATTAAATCTTTAATTGCACAATTGTAATGATTTGAATCTATTTCTGTTTTAACTTAGAAGGTTGTTGAGACATCTATACCTTATTTAATTTCCATATTTTACTGGTTAACCTTCAGTTGCTTTTGAATGATGATGTATTTTGCTATCTAACTGATAAGAGTGGCGATGAGTTTAGCTAAGGATATTGAAACTTTTGAAGTTTGGTATTTTTAATAAATCATAAAAAAAATTTCATGTATTAGACTCTTCCATAAGTAAAAAATGAAATTAATATGCTAATATTCGACTATATTTAAGTTGAATAGGTTATTAGAATCAAAGCAATTTAGTAATTAATTTCTAAAACTTAAAAAAAATTCATAAATTAGTAGTTCTAGTTATCAAACAATTAATTAATTATTCTTTGAACTAGAAATGGAATGTGAAAAATTTTAGATTAGAAAAGTTTACAAGGGTAAATAAATAAGTTCTAAATATAATAACAATTTAGCATCTTCTTACATAAATAAAAAATTGATATTTTAATCGAATAATTTTTTTGACAATAATCAATTTTACTATCCCTAAAATTATATTTAGCTATCCAAAAAAAAACTTCCTTTGGATTTTAATAATGTTCTTAAATCTACACCTTATTTATTGACAAATTCTCCTTGAAGTACTAAAGCTCCTTATGCTTAAAATGAGGGTGTTTGGGAAATCAAGAGTATATTTATATGAGCTGAGACTAATTAATGTTAAAAGATATATACCTGGAAGAAGATTTTTTTTAAATAGGGTTTTTTTAAATTATTCCAGAATATCTTCATAGTTTTTATTCATGGGTTAAATTTCTATTCTTGTTTGAATATCCCATAAACGGATAGAGTTATCATAACTTCCAGAGGCTAATATAGTATCATCAGGAGAAAAGCAAACTGAGTAGACAATTCCATCATGACCAAATATATTGGCTTTTAATTATCCTTTTTTCACTTCCCATAAACGGATAGAGTTATCTCTACTACCAGATGCTAATGTAGTACCATCAGAAGAGAAGCATACTGAATAAACAGTTCCACTATGACCATCCAATTTAGCTTTTTATTATCCTGTCTTTACATCCCAAAAACGGATAGACCTATCCGCACTACCAGATGCTAATGTAGTGCCAACAGGAGAGAAACATACTGAGTTGACTTAATATTAATGACCATTAAGTTTAAATGTTTATAATCCTGTTTTCACATCCCACAAACGGATAGTATAATCATAACTACCAGATGCTAATGTAGTACCATCAGAAGAGAAGCATACTGAATAAACAGTTCCACTATGACCATCCAATTTAGCTTTTTATTATCCTGTCTTTACATCCCAAAAACGGATAGACCTATCCGCACTACCAGATGCTAATGTAGTGCCAACAGGAGAGAAACATACTGAGTTGACTTAATATTAATGACCATTAAGTTTAAATGTTTATAATCCTGTTTTCACATCCCACAAACGGATAGTATAATCATAACTACCAGATGCTAATGTAGTACCATCAGAAGAGAAGCATACTGAATAAACAATTCCACAATGACCATCAAATTTAGCTTGTTATTATCCTGTTTTCACATTCCATAAACGGATAGAGTTATCATCACTACCAGATGCTAATGTAGTACCATCAGAAGAGAAGCATACTGAATAAATAGTTCCACTATGACCATCCAATTTAGCTTGTTATTATCCTGTTTTCACATTCCATAAACGGATAGAGTTATCTCCATTACCAGATGCTAATGTAGTACCATCAGAAGAGAAGCATATTGATAGAACTGAATATATATGACCGTCAAATTTGCCTTTTTATTATCCTGCATTAATATCCCATAAACGAATACACTTATCAAAACTACCAGATGCTAATGTATTACTGACAGGAGAGAAGCATATCGAGCCAACAGTATCACTATGACCAGCTAATTTAGCTTTTTACTATCCTGTCTTAACATCCCATAAGAAGATAAAGTTATCTGCACTACTCGATGCTAATATATCCCCATCAAAAGAGAAGCATACTGATAGGACTACCTTAGTATGACCATCAAATTTGGCTTTTTATTATCCTGTCTTAACATCCCATAAACGGATGATGCCATCTTAGCTACCTGATGCCAATGTAGCACCATCATGAGAAAAGGTTACTGATTAAACATAACTAGTATGACAATCTAATTGGATTTTTTATTATCTTGTCTTCACATCCCAAAATTATATATAGTTATCTTCTTTATCAAAGGAACTTCCACTACCAGATGCTAATATACTACCATCAGGAGAGAAGCAGACAGAATTGACACATATACTCTGACCATCCAATTTGGCTTTTTATTATCCTGTCTTAACATCCCATAAACGGATAGAATTATCTCCACTACAAAAAAAGCTCCCACTACCAGATGCTAATGTTGTACCATCAGGAGAGAAGCATAATGAGTTGATACTCTCATTATGACCAATTAATTTCTATTTTTTTTTCCTTGTCATCACATCCCATAATCGGATAGACTTATCATCACTACCAGATGCTATTGAAGTACCATCAGAAGAGAAGCATACTGATAGGATTCCACTAGTATGACCATCTAGCTTGCCTTTTTATTCTCCTGTCTAAACATCCCATAAACGTATAGATTTATCCTCACTACCACATGCTAAAGTAGTGCCATCAAGAGAGAAGCATACCGAGTGGACCAAACTATCATGACGAACTAATTTATATAATTCATGTATTTATAAGTTCTTCCACTTACAATAAAATAATTATGCCTCATTTAAATTCATTCCACTTATATCTACATTTTCAAATTCTGATCCACTTAAATTACATCTTAACATATTTGCACCAACTAAAGAAGTATTCTTAATCTTGATATTCTCAAAGCAATGTTTAGTCAGATCAACCTTCATTTAAACTAATAAATTTAATGAATTTGATCCACATTATAATAATCTGTTGTCTATAGTTGTGAGATAAACTAGAAATTTCAAAAATTAAATTATATTCTTTTCATGCTATATATTTTAAATTAAATCTTATCTAGCCTTCAAATAAATTTCGGTTGAATAGTCATTTTAATTAAAATCATGATCCTTAATTTATTTGAGAAAATTAGAAATTATCTAAATGTTATTTGTTACAACATTTAACTTCTATTCATTATCAATTTATGTTAAATTTTCTAATTGCAAAATGGATTATTCATTATATCTGCTGTTTTAATTAACCGAAAGATATCCTATACAGTCTTAAATTTTCTCTTTTCTAAAAATTTCAATTATCACACTGAATATTTATTCATCAACATCTTTAACTGAAACAAAAAGTTCAAATAGATCATCTATCTATTCACCTTTGCAATTCATTTTATTATTTTTAAATATTGAAATTCATTTTCTTTTTTTTCAGTCTTATACTAAAATTTAAAAAATATAACTTATGTATATTTGTAAGGAAAAAGATGAGACTATCTGCAGATTTGTAGTTGATTATATTTGATATAAACTCTGCTTTAGAGAAATCAATTTTTAATTTGAATTGCTTTATTCTTAATAATACAAAAAAAATGATTTCTATGAATAATTTTATTTTTTAACTTGTTCTATTTTTGATCATTCATCTTTCTCGTTAATCCTAATTTTAGGCATAAACAGTTGTGATTTTTTTAATTGGAAGTAGAATATCTGAAATAATCTTAAAATTTTAGTGAAAATGGCTATTCTCTCATTTTAAATAGAGAATTACCCAAAAATACACTTAAACATTTTATTTAATAATCTGATATGATGTTTTAGTGAAAAGATATCATTACTTTAAATATCATTATTTTCTAATTAATTTTAAGACTTGTATAAGGGAAATTATATGCAAAATAGGATTTCAGTTTTGAAATATTTTATTTTTTTAAAAAAGAGCATACAGGTAGCAAGAGTAGATCTTTTCTAATTAGGATTATTACTCGCCTTCATATTAATGGTTTACTGTCCCATTTGCCTAAATAATTTTTTCTCTTCTTTTTACTTTGGGTGGCATATAGGAATGCCATCCCCTATGTACCCCTGGTTGATATAGAGTTTATCGATTGTAAAATGATGAACAGCGAAGTAATGTAGACTAAATTAAGTACCTTTCAATAAATCAAAGGAAATTTATTGATTCATGAATAATTTTAGTATTAACTTAAAGGGTCACTTTTACTTTAACCAAATATGAGGGCCTTGATCAAGGGATTCCATATTTTTTCTCGCTTGTAACTTGAGTTTTCTGTCTGTTGCTGGGTGATTGCCAGATTGTTTTCGATAGTGTTGTTCAGCATTTTGCTAACTTGGAAAATTGCAAATAGTATTGGATTCTATGTATATATTATTTTTATAAAATATATTAATTATTGAATGAATTTTCAAAATAATGTATCAAATAAAAGTTTCTTAAATTAGATATCTAATTATGAAGAAAATAAATAGGTTGGGAATTTTAAATTTTAAATTAAACAAGTTTGGGATAAATTTGTGGAAAATATGTTTTAAAAATGATAAACCATTAGGATTTAAGTCAAATAAAATTGAATTAATGGATGCAAGATATTTTTTATTTCTGCAAATAGTGATCAAGAGAAGGGGATATTCAATCGAAGAGTATCTAATTTCACAATTTGTTTTTAATCATAAAACATTCAAACATACAAACCAATAAAACAAATTTAAATATCAATATATATAATGTTTTTTTTAACATAAACATCAGATTTATTGTTTTTTAAAGACGATACCAATATATTAAACTTGTGAGAGTGAGAATATAAAATAAAATTAAATAATATATTAATAAATGTAATGCTTCTATAAGAATTCGATACTAGGAAAATTAAATTTATCGTTTATAAAATATTAATGCTTACTTCTTCTACCATATAAGTTCATAGTTAATTTGAAATAAAAAAAAATGTATGAAAATAATTTTGCAATATTCAGGAACAAATTCAAAATGCCTATTGACTTTCAATATTATTAATTCCCTGCCTCTTTAATTTGAAATTGGATAAAATATAAGATTAGTGCAAAGCATCAGAAGTGCAGATCCAAAAAGAAAAGGAGTAAAAATATCAAAATATAGATTTAGGTAGAAATTTTAAGAGAGTAATGCTGGATGAAAAGCGACATAGAAAAATTAAGAGAGAAGAAATGGTCTGGGGTAATTGAAATTCAAATTAGCTGTTGCTGTCGCAGTTCCTTGAGATGGATAAATTATCCTTTGATATTAAAAGATATTAGAATAGTTATAAAATCAAGGGGTTTTATCTTTAATTTCCCTTATTGGAAACGTTAGAATAGAAAACTGCAAGGGCTGATTAAGTTTCCGAATTTATTATTTATAATAAAAACAGTTTATTAAATAAGTAAATATAAGTTATAATAGTTTGAGAAATTAAATTCCCAAACATTTTAACATGGAAGATTTAACCAAACAAAAAAATAACCAACAGCAACAACTATCACAATTAAATTAACAACAATAACAATAAAATATCAAAAAAAACAAAAAAAAAAACAAAAATCTAAAAAAAATACCAAACACTCAATTAAATAATTTTTTGATATGTATATAGCAGCTAGAGCTAAAGATTAATTTAAAAAAATATAATTAATAAACAAGATTTCACAATTAACAATAATATCTGCAATTGCGCAGTTTTATATATCTTTATAGAGAAAATAATATATAAGAGTAAACGAATGACTTTAGTAAGCAGAGGGCACTGAAGATTTTCCTTGATCAGCTCAATTGGACAGAGAAAGAGAGAGAGATAAAGATGGACTGAAATACTTGCATTATCCCTAAAGAAGTTGGGGAAGCCGTACCAATATTTAATGTCACATTTTGATATTTTTCTGAGAAAAGAAAAAGAAATACCCATTCAATTTTAATCTCTTTATACTCTCAAGTCTTAGGAAGATTATTATATTGAGAGTTTTAAGTTACATTCTTAAATCTAAAACGTTCTTTCCTCTTTAGTATTGACAAAAGTAAAAAAAATAAACAAATGCTTCTTTATTTCTGTTGAAAATTGAATTATCGGAGTTGAAAGTATTCCAGAGTGTAAGGTGGTTTTCCTCCCTCAAAGAAGAAGACAAATCTAGTTCCTAGCCAAAAAGTAAAATCTAAACCCTACTTCAAATTGGATCCAATATACTTCTTAACAATTAAATTAACGAAACAAGAGAATAGAAAAAAAATCTATGTGTATTTGTATGTTGTAAGGAGAAAGAAAGAGATATAGAAGAGGAGAAGAAAGAATTCCAAAGATAAGATGGAAAAACTACTATTTAAAATTTCATGATATATATTATATATAAAAGGAAGAAATTAACATTTTGAAGTAAAATGATTTTGAGGTTTCTAATATGAAGCAAAAATAAGAGAAAAAGTAAAGATAAAAGAAGAAGAAGGAGAGAAAATTGGAAGATTAAAATCATAAAAATCATATTGAAGAGGAGTATTTCAATAATCCTAATACTAG